GCATCCTGACCAAGTTTGATGACAAATGAGTGTTAACAAGGTTTTCCCATATTTGGGCGGTGTGACCTAGTTTTTGACCCCAGGTGACCCATATTGGAATTTGACCATTTTCCAGGGTATTTGCATCAATACAGTAGTCACTAGAGTGTTAACTAGGTTTTTCTTTTTTAGCTCCTATGACCTAGTTTTTCAGCCAGTATTACCCATGTTCGAAGTCATCCGAGCAATTACCTAGGCAAGGATCCTGACCAAGTTTGATGATGATTGAGGCAAAAATGTGACCACTAGAGTGTTAACGATCAAATATGGACCCAACAAGACAGACATTCAACGATCCTGCTCAGGGAGCTATAAAATTTTACAGGAAAGTATAATCACAAACATAATTATACAAGTCTGTAAAACCTTTGAGTTTTGTAGTGACCTACTACATGTATAGTGATTCAAAAGACCAGTGTGATTTTAAGTGAATACCTGAAATATAAACCTGTACTTTATTAAAACCTGAACCAAGTGTTAACCTAATGGGAAGCTGTGGTGAGTAATTCTGTAATTCCAAAACAACAACACTCGATCTTTTAATTCAAGTTAATTTTTATTTTACATTGGTGATTATATGCAAATACATTGGTATGATAATTAACAATAAGAGTTTCAAAAAATAAATTGGCACAATTATCATATTACTACAAACTATGTATTAATTGAGAGGATGTGAAGCTATAACTGGTGTATACATACTACATGTATCAACTAATGTTGCAAACATGAACCTAGTCTAGGAACCAACACCTTTGACTTACAATATGGTAACTATAAAAATAGTGTAACAAGAATAAAGAAACATAAGCAAACACTATTATATATTTTCAATATGTCCAAATAAATTATTGACAAAGATATGACCAGATACGATCATCAACTTACTACTTTGGCCTCGCCCTTTTCAGCTGTTGACCCGGCATCTGTACATGATAAGTCTACTTATTGTGCCAAAAATTTATGCCTGATATTTCAAATGACAGAATTGTTGTTCAGCCATGAACAGCTCAATGCACTTTCATAAAAACAGGACTTGATGTACAAGTGCAGCACTTGTACATCAAAAGTCATGTTTTTATGAAAGTGCTACCTTAACCTTAGAGGGCTGTAGTCCTGTTTGAATGGGGGGGGGGGGAAGCAGGGGGGTGTGCGTGCCACATATCATCATCATGTCCAGCACATTTATGCACTGTTATTTTAAATTCCATGACTGTTGTTGCACTTTAACCCATTACTTCATGAGCATTTTGCGAAAAATGGCTGTTTTCATTGAAAAGTCTCCCGTTACAAGTTCAAATTGCTATAAAACTATAACAAGAGGGCCATGATGGCCCTGAGGTCGCTCACCTGTATATAGGCCCCCCTAACCCCCACCCCCCCCCCAAAGGTTGCAGGGCCAATTTAACCCAAGGGCTTTTATTTGCACAAACTTGGTAGACACCCATAAGAAGATGTTTCATGCTAAACATCTAAGCTCTAGCTCATTGGGCTTTTTAAAAGAAGTTTTTTTAAAGTTTTTACTATACACATATAGTTAAAAACAATGACATCCCTGGGGCCGGGCCAGTTTTGACCCCAGGGCTTTTATTTGAACAAACTTTGTAGACACTTACTAGAAGATGTTTCATGCTTAATATCTAAACTCTAGCTATTTGGGTTTTTTCAAAGAAGATTTTTAGTTTTTGCTATACACATATAAAGAAAATTAATGACCCCCGGGGCGGGGCCAATTTTGACCCTAGGTCTTTTATTTGAACAAACTTTGTAGACACTCACTAAAAGATGTTTCATGCTTAATATCTTAACTCTAGCTATTTGGGTTTTTTCAAAGAAGATTTTTTAAGTTTTTGCTATACACATATAAGGAAAATCAATGACCCCCAGGGGCTGGGCCAATTTTGACCCCAGGGCTTTTATTTGAACAAACTTGGTAGACACTTATTAGAACATGTTTCATGCTAAATATCTTAGCTCTAACTCTTTTGGTTCTTTAAAAGAAGGTTTTTTAAGTTTTTACTATATGCATATAGGGAAAATCAATGACCCCCTGGGGCGGGGCAAATTTTGAACCCAGGGCTTTTATTTGAACAAACTTGGTAGACACCTATTAGAACATGTTTCATGCTAAATATCTTAGCTCTAACTCTTTTGGTTCTTTAAAAGAAGGTTTTTTAAGTTTTTACTATATGCATATAGGGAAAATCAATGACCCCCGGGGCGGGGCCAATTTTGACCCCAGGGCTTTTATTTGAACAAACTTGGTAGACACTCACTAGAAGATGTTTCATGCCAAATATCTAAGCTCTAGCTCTTATGGTTTTTTAAAAGAAGACATTTAAAGTTTTTTCTTTCGGTTCCCATGGCAACCAGAGTTCTAAATGGAATTAAATTCTTTGAACAATTTTTAAAGGTGACCACCAAAGGAACATTCCTGTGAAGTTTGGATGAAATTGGCTTAGTGGTTTATGAGGAGATGTCATTTAAAGTAAAAGTTTACGGACCGACGGACGCCGGACGAAAAGCGATCACAAAAGCTCACCCTGTCACTTTGTGACAGGTGAGCTCAAAACTACTTCAATACTAATCAAACTTGGCACAAATGTTGACTGGACTATTGCCTTTGCAACAACATGCTCAGGCTTAAATTTTCTGTTACCATGGTAACGAGGGGACATCTCAAAATTGCCAAAAATCACTAGTTTGAGTTGATTTTTTCCATCAAAATTGATTTCAAAGTACTGCAACTTCTCAATGGATTGAGATAGAGTCAAATGCTTTTCAGCATTGGTTACACGTTACCTTATATCGATCTGGGGTCATTTTTAGCCTCTCAAAAGTCCAAAATTTTCTTGGCGGGACTGCTGCCCCCTTCAAACCCCCCAAACAGAAGGGGGCACATCCCCCTTCTGGCAACCCCCTGATGTATCTTTTGGTTAGGGGGCTGCACCGAAAAAGTGGTCACTTTTTTAACAACATTTCTCAAACAAAAACAAGTGTTGGTGGCCTAAATAAGCCATTTTTTCACTATATGAGACAACAAAAAAGGGGAGGGTGAAAAAGGCGTTAAAAGGCGTGTATATCGAGTAATGGGTTAATGAAAAATTCCATTTAAATCTATGTGTTACCTTGACCTACAAACCTATGTCTTTTATAACATTGTCTTAATGTGCAACTTCAAAATTTAGAACTGAGCAATTACATTGTTTTATATTGTTTTGGTCCTATCTGGAGAGAGCTTTAACAAAAGGTGTCTGTTTCATTCAACATAGATTACAATATCTGTGAAAGGAATTTAAGATTTCACAAACAATATATTCAATATAATGAATATATATATATTTTTTTTGGGGGGGGGGGGGGGGGGGGGGGTTTAACGTCACACCGACCCAGTATAGGTAGGTCATATGGCGACGTTCCAGCTTTCCTGGTGCAGGAAGATCTCAGATGTCCTCAGATTGCATTTATTGAGGCACGAACGGGGACACCTCATTAGAACCACCAACGTTCCGTAAGCTAGCTGGATAGCTTCCTCACATGATACAGAAATTAAAAACTTCATTCCTTCATTTTAAGGGACTGTATGATTTTATCCTAACAACACAAACAAATATTCCATAAACAGACAACCAGATATAGCTCAATACTTTGAACGTTGCTAACAAAATTAATGTTTCCTATGTGTCTGATTATAGAACTAGAATATAGTATATTACCACAACTCTTCACTTATGTTGAATCATTAGTCACACAATCTAGATTTCAAATAAAAAGAACAATTCTTACCATTAATATACATTATTATCTTACAATTGTAAATTGTATTTGTTTTTTTTCAAGTGGATGAGGAAAATTGGTCCAAGGATGTAAATGTATGCATTTTAATGGTAAACAACAGTATCACAGGTGTTAAAATCCTTTTTACATTTACATCTATAATACTGCTGCAGTCTGATATGTTATATGCTTAGGAGTGAACAATATAAACATATTTGATTCCAACTTAATTTACCATCTCATAAATTTTTTTTAAAGTAAATGTCCTCTCTGAGGGGAACCAGTAACCATACGTTGTTTTTTTTCTGCATGCTGACCAATATTCAGTATGTAAGTTATGTTTTATATCAATTGAAAACAAAATTGCCTTTACAATTCTGGAATTCTGAAATGATTTCAATCTAATTTTCTCATGTAAAATCAAATTTTAAAGCTGTATGCCTCCAGATAATTTAAAATATTTAAAGAAAATCAAACTTGAGAAAAATGTATGATTTTAAGAAAAATAAAGTAATAATTATACCTTTTGTGTGATTAAAAACTTATTTTACAGTGTTTATCACTATATTTCTACTGTGTGACTAATGCAGTAAGGGCTATTTTTGCTCATTTTAACCTCTTTGGTTATTTACGTGGATTAATTGTAAGTGCCATTTGCAATGTGAAAGTTACTGTCTTTGTTCACCTCATAATTATTAATATCTTACTTTTAAATACATTTTCAAAATTTTCATGACATTTAAGATAAATCTGGAGGCATGCTGCTCTAAGATGAAAATAATTTGGCTTTCACTTCAGCTAACCATGTGATATGAATTAGTTTTCAAAGCAACCAATAAAAATCAAATAAAACAGTAAAATTATTGAATAACAGTATAATACTCTCATATAATGACGGTGTGTGTGATACAGACTTCTATCATAGTTATTATTACAATTAACAGCACCGGTAAAAACATAACGATATAACACCATAATCATTATCTCATTTCTTTATATACAGCATACATTATATATAACATACTTCAACCAAATCATCAATGAATAAAATCCTGATTATTTTCAACATAATTTATCAAACACCAATTACACAAATGAACTACAATCACTTGTTACTTGATACTAAATATGGTATGTTAAGTGTTGAGACAAGCAGGTCAATGAAAATATTCTGAAAAGATTTTTCATTTCAATTAAAACTGATTTTATCAGTCACTTGACACTTGAAAATAAGTTTTCAGTCATTGTTACTAGCTGTATTGTTGTCAATGTATGATAAAACAAAGAAAACAAAGACATTATTTCAGATAATCTTGCTTGTTTTCAATGTAATTACTATAATTTACATTATCTTTTTATACGAGATACATGTTAATATAAACAAATCATGATATCATCATCTCTACATGTATATATAGCAAATACATATAATTCATAGGTGAATCACACACAAAATTCCTTTGCCAGGGGTGAGAGGGGAGGGGGAGGTGCACATTTATTTATAAATTGTTATACATCAAATCTTTATTTATTCTTATTTCATATAAACTTCCATTAAAATCATCCATTATAAAATTCGTCACAGGTTTTCCGGAGTTGATTAATAGAAGTCAATATATATAACAAGAGCTGTCGGTAGGACAGCAACGCTCGACTATTCTTAGTGCTTGAAAAAAAAAAAAATGCTTGATACAGTTACCTCCTCCTGCTTACAGGTTGGGGTAATGATGGTGAACAAGTGTGCAAAGTTTCAAAGCCATATGTCAATGAACTTTGAAAATATTTGAGGTATTACAAAAACTTTAACATAAATTCTAAGTCGAAAAAGGGGCATAATTCTGTCAAAATGCTTGATAGAGTTACCTCCTCCTGTCTACAAGTTGGGGTCATGATGGTGAACAAGTGTGCAAAGTTTCAAAGCCATATGTCAATGGACTTGGAAAATATTTAAGGTATTACAAAAACTTTAACATAAATTCTAAGTCGAAAAAGGGGCATAATTCTGTCAAAATACTTGATAGAGTTACCTCCTCCTGTCTACAGGTTGGGGTCATGATGGTGAACAAGGTGCAAAGTTTCAAAGCCATATGTCAATGGACTTTGAAAATATTTGAACTATTACAAAAACTTTAACATAAGTGGTTACGCCGACGCCGACACTGACGCCGGCGCTCGGGTGACTGCAATAGCTCTACTTATTCTTATCGAATAGTCGAGCTAAAAAGGGACAAGATTTTGTCAAAATGCTTGATAGAGTTACCTCCTCCTGTCTACAGGTTGGGGTCATGATGGTGAACAAGTGTGCAAAGTTTCAAAGCCATATGTCAATGGACTTTGAAAATATTTGAACTATTACAAAAACTTTAACATAAGTGGTTACGCCGACGCAGACGCTGACACTGACGCCGGCGCTCGGGAAATAACTGATGCAAGATCAAGTATGTTTTTATCACATTTACATATTTTATATCAAATTGTTACATATAAATAATAGAAATTTTACAGAAATACAAATTGACATGAAATTTATATGGCAGAAAAATTATTATTCACATTATAAAAAGTCATAATAAGAAAATCAAATGGATCACTTAGACACTTAAAAAATGAGCAATTTCAGTTAATACATGTATTTAAATACTTCTACAACTTATGGATTTCAAAGATTAATCTAGATGTCAGCTTAAAAAGCTTATTAAAATGTAAAGAACATATCAACATAAAAGCACTATTATGTTTTAATGGTTCTATAATACTTCATTTAATTGAATAAAAAGGCAGTTTTCATAAAAAAATGCTAATATTCACAAAATAGTAAAATATTATGACAATCAAAAGATATAATTTCAATCCAAAATAGAATATAAATATTTGTCATTTTCTTAACTGGATTGGGGAAAAATGAAAAAAGATTTATTTACATTAAACATGTTAATAAGCTGACCTGTCAGAGAAAAGAGGGTATAAAAACACACACAAAAATCAAAACTTTTTATCTTCATACAAATTGTTTCAGACAACAAAATGAATGTGTTTCTCAAAAAACTTTCCTATACTTTTATGACATCTTTTTGTTAATTGTTGACATAAAACAAGAACTATATGTATCAAAAAGCTGTTTTACAACACTCGCTTGTTTTAGGTATTTTTTATATCTTTTAAGTAATTGGAAACTTTAAACATTCTAAATATAACAATTAAAGAGGTAAGAAATGACTATGGTAAAATGTTTTCTGAATTTAATAAATAGTATAAAAATAAATGACTTGCTTTTCAAAAAAGATAGATATACATGTACAAAAATTACAAGAATCACATTAAAGCTGTATAAACAATTATTGCCTGTGATCCGATTTTTGGCTTGTCTTCTGTACAAAAGCTGTTATATTTGATAAAGGAGTCCTGCTGATGAGATATTGTCACCACCACCTCCTGTCTGAAGTACCTCCGTACATACAAGTACGGGGGCGAGACAGATATCAAACTCATCCTCTGACCAGCATGACACCGGTCTCTGCTCCTCTAGTGGTATTCTATCCGCTGAATCTTCACTTGTGCTCGTTGAAAATGACTCATCCATCAATAATTTAGCTTTTTCTGTATCAATATAATTGGATCCACAAACATGTCTGTTTGCAGTAAGTGAAGCTTTAGCTGCTGCTGACATTGTGTTCTTCCAGTCTGAACCTTTCTTTGTTAAGATTGCCTGGTAAGCTAGTGTGTGAACATGCAGTCTTGTTAACTTTCTCTTACCATTAGACTCATCAGTGTCTTTTAACAGGTTAAAAACTGTTCTCATTTGATCTAGAACAGTGGCTATCCTTGGACGAGAATCAGATATCAGAGCTATCTCTCCACTGGTTAAAATACTCACCAAGTTAGGTAACTCTTGTTCATTCATACCCAGAGAATCACATTGATAAACTACGCTGTCTACTATCTCCTTCATCAATGTAGCATCACTGAATGATGCCAGTTCAAAATGGGTCTTTGTTGAACGATCAGTCTTTATCAAAAGCTCATTCAGTTTCTTCAGTCTCTCTTCTCTGTAACCTAATAGAATAACAATATCAACTCATAACATTTTGGAACTGAAATTGACTATAGCTTTTGCAAACAGTAAAGAGCCAGGCCAGCCTGCACTACAGTGCAGACTGACCAGTCTCTAAACTGTTGGCTGACCAATATTTTACTTTCTTGATATCCCAAAATTGATAATGAACTGTTCCAAAAATGGTTGAGTCTATTTAAGAAATAAAGCAGGCTAAAGGTTAATAATAAACCTGACTCACTAAGAAGCATTACTAGAAATGTTAAATCATAGAAAAGAAATACAGAGTATTCTATACAAATGATACAAATATAGATATTCATTACTACAATAATCCATGTCTATAGATAAATCATAGACAGATGTTGTGAATATTGTACACTGTATGTAACATATCATCTTATTTTCACATATATACATATTTGTATATCATTGTGATAGGACAGGGTTGTTGATGACTTACCTTCTTTAAATGGGAAGTTATCCATCATCTGTAACCCACCAACAACCAAAACTGAGGGATCAAAACTTGGTAACTCCATTTCTAGATCTTCTAATGTATCCAAAAATGGATTACTTTTATCACTGTGTATTATAAACCTGTAACATTATAAAATGAAATAAAACTAATATATGCAATTAGTTTTTAAATCTTTGGAATGATAGAAAAAAAAAACTTTCAAAACACACTAATTAAAACAAGAATATAAGTAACATCAATGCAGGCTTTTACTATGACAAAGCTTAACTTAAACTAGTTTTAAGGTAAAGTGAAAAATATGTCTTTATACGCTACTGTCCTTGACCCTAATCCTATATAATCCTATCAACAAACCTTTTGTTTTTTGTTAAACAGTGGACATTTTAAATATCTTTAAAAAGTCAATTTTTATCAAAACATCAAAAAGCATTGCCTTGCCAATAGAATTAACTTAATATTAAAGCTGCATGTCTCCAGATAAGCAAACAAATGAATGAGTGACTTGCAGTATTTATCACCACATTTCTACTAACACAGTGACACCTATTTTTGTATATATTTACCTTTATTTGGTAGTTTACCTGGACTGAAAGTGCTGTTTGCAATGTGTAAATTACTTTTTTTGTTCACTTGAAAATGTGTTTTTAATGAAATTGGCTTTAATGTGGAGGCATGCTGCTTTATACATATTGTAACATTCCTTGTTCTTGACAATTTATTTACTTAAATATTATGGGGTTCTATACCCAACAAACATGCAAATTTAAGATGTATTGTTACCTGTTGGCTCTAGAAGCTGTATAGTTACCCCATTTACTACCAGCACTGTATTCTAACACAAGGTGGAGCTCATCAACATCTAAAGGTTTCCCTAAAACTAAATCAAAACAAAAATCTAAAACTGTTACTTCTAGTACAGTACTGAGTAAATAATGTTAAGAAAAGTCAAATAATATTTCTTTATTAATCATCTGGAGGCAATAATCTCGACAGTTATACCTTAATATCTAGGTATGTTTCCTTTTATATTATGAGCAGTGTTTACTTTTACCATACATTTCAGCTAACACTAACAATAAATCATATAGAAAAATGTATACCTCTTATTGACTCTGGAAGCTGTTTCCTAGTTTGCTCTGTGAATCTTGCTGCAAGGAGAATTTCTGCCCCTTCTATAGCAAGCCTTCGTGCCATTGCAGGAGCATTTCCTCCAAGAGCCAAACGAGCAGAAGGAACATCTCTAGCTGCAGCAGCTACCTCAGCAAATAGTGTTGCATTCTCTACATAGCGCCTGGAAAATCAATAAATGCCTTATATCTTTATTTCATTTTACCTTCTGGCATAACAAATGTAGTGATATAATGAACAAGACAAAAAGGTGACCATAAAATATAGATGTTCCAGTTTGTTGCTAAGGAATATAAACTAACAAAACAAATGATAATTACAGATATAACACCTCAGTTAAGCACATTATTAAAAAGTATTTAGTGTTAATAAATACATATTTGGTAAATATGTTTTGACAGTAACAAAACATAATAAATAGACTTACTCTGCTGCAGCACCTTCACCAAAGAAATAGGTAAAAATTCTAACAAAATCTGATGCTGATGTTATATCCTTCACATGTGCAGGATCATCTGGGACGGTATAATCTAATTTTTCAAGAACTTCTTGGACATTTGCAAATATATCTTCACAGCCACCAAAGCCAAGTGCAATTCTTGTGTTCCTTTCTACGCCAACTTTCTTCTCGGCTCTCAGAAGACCATGCAACACCCGTCCCAATTTCTCCTGTAGCAAATCGGCAGATCGCTTTTTGTATAACACAGCGCACAGCACGATCAGAATAGAACAAACAATTAATGATTTTGAGTTCAGAAAAGCCATTATGACAGAAATGTAAATCTTTAACACTGCTGAATGCTTTCCAGTAATTCTTGTTTACGTCTTCACCCGGATGTCTGTATCAATGGACGCTTGTAAATGCTAGTGTCGTGCCTGATTAGTTGTGAATTGCACGTTGATTGATGTTCTCTTTTTCAAAATTTAAAATGCCTGTTAATGTTATTTTTTTATTTTATTTATTTTTGGCCCAGGTATAATGCAAATGGTAGCCAACGTGCAGCAAACTCTATCATGGCATTGTTGACAAAGGTGAAGCGTGAGTTTTGTTCACAGTTAAGTATATTTTACAATTCACAGTCCAACAGATGAAAATGAAGTAGCGATTATGATAATATCGGTCATATTTTGTCTGTATATAGTATATGGGCTACTGATAACCCAGATATTGTTTCAAATAGAAAAAAAATCTATTGGCTTGTGCAAAGAGGTGAAATACCAGTAAAATTAAATTACCTTATTTAAAGAAATGGCAGTACAATGAAAATTACATTTTAAAGTATATATTAAAGATAATTAAAGAGTATATCAGCTTCCTTGACTTTAAAAATAAAGTATGTGTCACGGTTCAGAACTGTTCACTAATTCAGAACTGTTCAACTAATTTCAATCTGTGACATATGTAAATAATACTGATTCTTTGGAATTATATTTTTAGCAAGGAGACAAAAGGTGCATGTTAGGTACGTACGTAGTTTTTTTATGATAAGAAAATAAATATCAGCAAGGGATACTTAATTAACGTCCATGAAACACTGCCAATACAATATAAGATAAGATAAGATAAGTTTTATTTCAAGTCGGCAAATTTTCAACAGTACAACATAAGCTCTAGGAGCTTTTATAACCGACTGTATATAACATAAAGTATAATATCAACAAAGATATAACAGCTACAATAAAAATGATTTGACATGATATATATATATATATATATATATATATATATATATATATATATATATATATATATATATATATATATATATATATATATATATATATATATACATCACATACATAAAATAGACCTTTTTAGATATTTTTATGAAAATGAATCAGATGCTAAAAAACTAAATGATAGTTTACCCAATTCTACATCATTAGCTTGTATAGTAAACTATGCTTACAATGTCTAGTATCTAAAAATTTTACTTAAAATTCAATAATGTACCGATTAAACAATTAAAAATTTAATGAATATTTAAATGAATGAATAAATAAATTAATAAATAAAAATATTAAAAAAAATAAACATACATTTTTTATATATGATTTAAATATGAAAGACTATGGGTTATCAGACTACACAAAGACAGAAGGTATCATACATGTAAGTCAACAGTTGAACTCATTTAACAGCTAGCTTGAGTCATGCTGGAAAGATAAGCAAAAAAAAAAAAAAAAAGGGATCTAGAAACTAAATGCAACATCCTATCTAGAAACTAAATGACAATATTACCATAAACATTTAAAGCAAAAACTGAAGAAACTAAATAATAAATGAGACCAAAAAAAAAATGTTCATACCCAGAAAAATAAATAAAAGTGGAGTAAATAAATAAATAAATAGAAGTTAGCTGCAAGCAATACATTTACACTGTTTACCATTCCAGGATGAAATTAACTTTTTAAACTGAGCAAAATTTGAACATTTTCTAAAATTGTCAGGCAGAGTATTCCATAAAGCAGGTGCAGCATACCTGAAAGATTTTTTACCAGTAGTTGTAGTTCTTACTTGCGGGATCTGCAAAATATTTGAAAATGTAAAATTTATACCAGATGTTTTCTTGGCAATAAGGTCAGACAGAACAGCAGGAGACATATCATGAAAATTTTTAAAAGTTTCAATGGCCATAGCCCTCATTCTTCTTATTTTTAGAGTTTGTATGTTTACTTTTGTTTGCATATCTTCATAACTTGAATTAAAATCATTATAGACAAATCTAAGTGCTCTTTCCTGTAGTTTTTCCATCTTTTTAGTATTATTTTCTGAACAGAAATGCCATGACATAGGACAAAAATTTAAATTGGACAATATAAAAGTATGAAAGATTGTTAACCTATTTGTTTGATTTAAATTGTGAACTATTCTTTTCAGGATACAATATCAAACAACAGCGTGACACAGGGGTTGTTAAGCCTCTGTGATAAAATTATTCTTGAGTTGCACTCATTAAATAAACAATCCACATAGAACAGGTTTATGTAAGATAAAAATAAGATAAAAATGGGACATTTTTTAAGTGTTGAACTTTTCTGGTCCTTCATAATAATGGATGTCGGCATGTTTTGAAGCTTGGATAAGTTAGGGGGTGTAAGAGATGTCACTCTTTATCTTATGAACAGACTCAATGAAACCGAGTCTGCAATTTTCATTATATTATAATAATGTTGTCGTTAAAATTGCTTCTGGTGATTACATTTTATCCTTTCACTTGTATCAATTTCGGCCCGATATAACAAGGTGCCGTATATTTTTACTGATCTACGGCACTTGATCACGTGGTTTGCCGTACTACTTTTCAAGAAAAAATATAATTAGGAAATAGATATCAATTCTGAGTGCATTGTTGTAGAATAATGCACGGTTTGAGTTCAAATGCGTAGTAATATAATCACGAAGGCCGATAGGCCTGATTGATTAATTACAAAGCATTTGAACGAAAAACTAAGAAGAATTAATATCTATTTCCATTCTAACACGTCAAGAAAAAATATAATTATTATTATAAAGTTGGACTTTATGTTTGGTGGTTAAATTTGTTTTCGCCTTAGAGTTTCCATTAGAAACGTTATTTAAAGGCTGTTCCAGTGGGTTAAAAAACTGTCGTTAAATCTACCATGTGTAGAAACATTTTGAGAATAACGAATTTTGGAAACGTTGATAAAACTTTGTTTGTGTATTTTATTTCACTCTATAATTTTTCAAGCGAAATACAAATTATTAAAAGTGAAATAAATGTAAAACTTAACTCGTTTGCGACATTTAAATAGCGTACTTGATTTGATTGTTTTGCACGTGCTGTTTGGCGCTATATTGTGACGTCACGTAAACAACACTTTAAACGTCTGTACAGCGTTAATGACTGAATTAAAGATATTGGTGTTCGGATTCATTTTCTTAGTTAGACCATTTTCTTTCATTCTAGATAGTTTTCACAACAAAATTCGTCAAAAATTGTTTTTATTTATCAGATTTTCAAACAAAATGGCGCCCTCAATGTGAAAATACACAGGGAGATAATAAGAACGGCGAGTGCATTGCTGTACAATAATGCACGCTTCGGGCCTTCTTTGTTTATATAGAAAAAAATCCGATAGTGTTAGAATTATTATTATAATGTTGGACTTTATGTTTGGTGGTTAAATTTGTTTTCGCCTCAAAGTTTCCAACAGAAACGTTCTTTACAGGCCGTTCCAGTGGTATGAAAAAAAATCTTCTATGTGTAGAATAACGAATTTTGGAAACGTTGATAAAACTTTGTTTGCTTATTTTATTTCACTCTATAATTTTTCAAGCGAAATAAAAATTATAAAAAGTGAAATAAATGTAAAACTTAACTCGTTTGCGACATTAAGATAGCGTACTTTATTTGATTGTTTTGCACGTGCTGTTTGGCGCTACATTGTGACGTCACATAAACAATACTTTAAGCGTCTGTACAGCGTTAACGACTGAATAAAAGATATTGGTGTTAGAATTCATTTTATTAGTTAAACCATTTTCTTTCATTCTAGATAGTTTTCTAAAAAAAATTCGACAAAAAATTGTTTTTATTTATCACATTTTTCAAACAAAATGGCGCCTTCAATGTGAAAATACACAGGGAGATAATGATTAAGAACGGCTAGTGCATTGTTGTAGAATAATGCACGCTTCGGGCCTTCCTTGTTTATATAGAAATATTTCCGATAGTGTGATTGGTAAAGGTAGTTTGCCTAATAAAATTCTATAGAAAAAACGGTGACAGGATAAATAGAATAATAGATTGGTGCCGTGGATGGGGAAAGTTTATCTGGCGAGGCGGAGGAATTTATTCGGTGAACCTATTATTTTCTATTTTCCAGATTTATATTTCGCCGTAATAAAAACAATTAATGGAGAACTGAGCTATAGCCACAACTTGGAAGTTTAAGCACTTAAATTGACCTCTTTAAATTTTATCATTCTCTATGTTCTAGTTAAAGTTTTTGATTTTGGAACATAACATTCAATTATGATTGTTACCATCTTGTTTTGGGCATTTAAATAATCTCATATTTTAGAGGTCCACTATTACCCCCCCCCCCAAAAAAAAGAAAAAAAAAGAAAAAAGAAAACAATATCAATATTAGCCGATAATCAGTAAAGTTCTGCAGTACCCAGATTGCATTAAATCAGCATTAATTATATATCAGCAGATTGCTTTGAAATTAAATGAATGGATTTCAAAACACTGGTTCATTATTTTTTTGGTTGCTGTATCGATTTCAAATAATAAAAAAGTTCTTTTTCGTGTTATAAGAATCCGAAAAAGTATTTTACTCTACAAATCGTTAGAGGTCTGACACTGTCCGCCGAAGGCCCCTCTGATCGCTTTCATAATTCTGTCAGATCAAACTGAAATCAAGCACAGCAAAAAGCGCTTAGCGACTCGGACTTCTTAAAAAATATTCTAAGTTAGAAAAAAGAAGGTTTTGTAAATTAAGTTGGACTTATTTGCAAAAAAACTCTGCTGCATATAAGTACTCAACAAGTAATTAATCAAAATGACTTTATATTTGATAAATTATCTGTATGTTAAATATAAATATTTATATTTGTACGTAATGACACATGATTTCGCGACACCGGTAAAAGTAAATGTTTATACATACTAAACTTCCATTATAACAGAACACATTGAGGCCTGTAATAAACATTATTTTAATCCATTTTTAAAGGACATTGGTGTTACTCCCTCGTTAACCTTTATAGAAAGGCCTGCTCTTAAAACCAAGCATTATACTTGGTTCCTATGACCTATGATATCACGGGTTCTATGATATTACCAGGGCCTTTTCACTAGTTTTGGGGAAGGCGCCCTAGCCCTTTTTGTGGGGAAAAAATGCGTGATTTTCACAACTTTGGGTGAAATATCATATTTTCACACATTTCAGAGGAATATCATAATTTATTTGCATATCTTCCTCCAATCACATGTAAGGTTTACTGTAGCAGACTTCCCGAAATACGTCGGTCCGACGGACATGTCCGATAAATTTTGATCAGGTCCGACAATTTTTTATTCCTGATCAGTCCGACTGTCCGGCTTTTATCCAAGCTGCATGTATACAAAATGGCGTCGCTAAAGGTGCCAAACATTGGAAAAACCGAAAATCTACGTCAGAAGAGTGCGCAGAACAGCAATAAAAGGATGAAAATATTAGACCTGAGACAAAATTTAATGAAAAATGGAAGCAGAACCATGAATCATTGGTGTATAACAGGGAGGAGATGAAAATGCGCTGTACGGATTGTGCGAAAAAAATAAAAAACAAAAAGTGTCTTAGAAATACAAACACAAGTTTTTCTTTGATTTTGATCAATTTTATTTGGTCCGACAGATTTTGTTTCGGTCCGACAGATTTTCATGGTTTGTCAGACCGAATGTCTGACAGTTTTTTTCAACTTTCGGGAAGTCTGCTGTAGTGCTAAGCTTTCTGTCCAACAGGAGTAAAAGACATTTTTTACAGATCAATTTTTTGCCCTTTATATTTACTCATATGTCCTATTTATAGTATTTTACATTGGTCATGTGAGGGTTCTTGGTTTGATTCAGAGGGTACATTATTATCAGTTTACACTGTATTGCGTTATTGAATTATTAGCTTTCATTGGACAAAACAATTATCTATTTTTAAACAAGAAAGTTTGTTTACAAGTTTTATTCTTCAGTTAAAGGGGAAATATTTGCCAGAAGGGGTATTTTAGACTGTTTTTTGGGGGAAAAAGATAGTAATTTGGCTTGGGGAAGTAGCCTGATACAGGCTACAGCAAAGAAGGGTAAAAAGGCCCTGATTACAGTATTTACATTTTCTGTGAGGCCATCCTTAAAAAAATGTTTGTTTGCAGTAACCCGACCCAGATTTTTCAAGGTGGGTGGGTAGGTAGGTCGATTTTTTTTTTTTTTTTTTTTTTTTTTTTTTAATTGAACTGTACTCCCAAATAAACATGGATTTTCAAAATGCTGGACAATTTATGCTTTGATAATCTGGTAACAATTAATAAATTGATAAATGAATTCTAATTAAATAATACCACATTTTATTTCTTCTATTAACCTTTAAAAGAACAAAAACAAAGCACAAGGCATAATTTTCTGATTCAAAAAAATTTATTTTATTATCCAGACCATGAAAAAAACTTTTGAGTAGGGGCAAATTTTGTGAGTCGGTTGCGTTACTGCAAACAAACATTTTTTTAAGGATGGCCTGACTGCTAGTTAAAGCAACACTTGCACACAATGATGCTATTATTATTAAAACAGGCACACTAAATTCATTTTCATCTGCCAATAAATTTTATTCTGTGAATAATGACTGTATTGGCGGGAAGAAAACTATTTTATAAAATCTTCATATTTGTCTACTATTTCCCTTGTTTTTACACAGTCAATTAAAATATGTTATAATCCCATATACTGACAAATCATCTGTTCATTTAGTTTGCATTTTTTGCAAGTTAACTGTTGGAAGTTTTTCACAACTTGACTTGAAGATTTTGACCCATCTATCCTTCAATACTTGGATTTTTGGGGATTACCGTGATACCATAGTATTGAAATTGCCCAAATTGGCAGGCATTCGAAATTGTTTTAAAAAAATGACATTTTAATTGGATCTTTTGAAATACTTTTTGACACTCAGTCTTTGAAAAAGTTCACTTATTAAATAGAAGAAAAATCTCATTCCTAATTATCCCCCGCAGAAAGGCGGCGGGGAATATAGAAATAGTCTCTTTCCTTCCGGTGAATATTTTTGTCCGGAGCATATCTAAAAAATAATGTATTTGAGGTATCAACTTGAAACCTCATAGGTGAAAAGATCTCATTGAGGAGTGCAGCACACAAGAATGATAACTCTACCCTGCATAATTTTTCAGTTATTGCCCTTTGTTATTTTTCAAACTTAATTTTTGTCCAGAGTGTAACTCAAAAACCTTTGAAATATCAACATGAAACTTCATAGGTGGATAGATCTCACTCAGGAGGTGTGAAGTGCACAAAAATGATAACTCAACCCTTTATAATTTTTGAGTTATTGCCCTTTGTTATTTTTCATACTTAATTTTTCACATGAGTTGAGCATAACTCAAAAAGTCTTTGAGATGTTAACATGAAACTTCATAGTTGGATAGATCTTATTGAAGAGGAATGCTGTGTGCAAGAATGATAACTCTTCCCTTTATACAAAAATGATAACTCTACCCTTTATAATTTTTGAGTTATTCCCCTTGGTTATTTTTCCTACTTTCTGTTTGGAGATTGTCTCAAAAAGTGTTTGAGTTATCAACTTAAAACCTCTTAGGTGTATAGATCTCATTGAGGAGGAGTGCAGCACACAAGATTGATAACCTACCCTGCATCCTGTTTGAGTTAATTGCCCTTTGTTATTTTCAGCCATCAGTATTCACATAGGTTTCAAATCTGTAATCACTACAGCCATCAGTTTTCATTACAAAAAGACCTCTTAAAATTGAATTATTCTGCTGGACTACATATACATTCTTCCAATGAGCAAACACATTTGGCGGGGATGGCCATGTTAACATGGCTCTTGTTGATATTTACATTTGAATTTTTTTTCCTGTAAACGTTAAGATGTATAAGTAACCTATTTCATGTTTATCCTTCATTAATCTGATATTTTACATTTGAATTTTCATTGTTATGTTAGGTCTTAACAGATGACTGAAAAATTATGTAGCAAATAATTTGACATTAGGCATCCAATTAGATCTAATGCATATAAATGATTTAATTTGTAATGATTTGAAAATAATATATATATAATTTAAAGGTTAAAACAGTCTGAAACAATTGAATTTCCTATGAAAGATTAATGCAAACTAGAGCTTTCATCAATAGAAACAATATCAATGTATCATTGATATTATACTGTCAGTCAATAATCGATACAATTAAAAGATCGATAATTTTGATTAATTATTTAAATGTCTATAAATTATGAAAATTCACCAAAAACATATGATTAAATATTTAAATTCTATAAATTATGAAAATTCACCCAAAACATATGCAAAAGCAGGTGGCCATGTCTGACACTAAGCTGTTGTTACATTATGGACACATTTCATAGCAGTGAAGACTAAAAATGGTTAGGTAAAATCATGCAAAGGACATTTACTTAAATCATTTAAACAGGTATGAAAGTGAAATACATGTATATACAAAAAATAAGAGTATATATTGGTGTATCGCTGATACTTGTCATCTGATATCGATGTATCGTCAATATGCTTTGCTATGAATGAATGACAGCTCTAAGGCAAACTGAAATTAAATTTGTCACTTTATATAGGAGATATGTCCATTTAAATGTCATCACTGCTATGTAATCAAACTAGGAAGCAATGGCTGTGCAATATTCACCAAGGATATCCGAATATGATACAGTTACAGTCTATTTGTAAAATCAAATTTAAACAGAGTTTTTACTAGTTTAATTTTGATAAATGATACTCTTATATTTTGTTTTTCTATACTATCATTGCTGAATAAAAATTATTCTTTTAAACTAAAATGGTAATGCAATTTATTAACATATTTGTATTGGGTGTAAATGTATATCAATGTGATTGAAACATCAGTGTTGAAAATTTAAATCAGTGTTCCAACCAATATAGAAGTGATTTTGAAACTGTTAGTTTGGTGATGAAATAAAAGTATATTTTTCATTGTATTGCACATTCTTTGACATAAAAATCTTTACATTTTTAAATTTGATTTATGCTACGTCTTTTTGTGTCGCCTCTACGGAGTAGTGGCAACATACAGGGATCACCTCTGATGTCTGTCCGTCTGTCCGTCTGTCCGTCTGTCGTCACAAAACTTGTCTGGACTACTCCTCATAAACTACTGGTGCAATTTCATCCCAACTTTACAGGAATGATCAGTACCAAGTCTAGTTGTGCATATTGTCAGCATTTTTACGGTTCAATAATTTTTGTCAGAGTTATGGCCCTTTAATAATTTTTATTTTTAAAGTTTGTCCGGACTACTTCTCTTATACCACTAATGCAATTTCAATGAAACTTTACAGGATTGATCTGTAGCTCAAGTCCTTGCGCATATTGCACGGGTTTTCCGGTTGAATGTTTTTTGGCTGAGTTATGGCCCTTTGATAAAAAGGTGTTTTTTTCTGTGTGTTGCCAGATACACAAAAGCTTGTCCGGAATACACCAAACAAACTACTGGTGCAATTTCATCCAAACTTTACAGGAATGATCAGTACCAAGCCTAGTTGTCGAATTGTCAGCATTTTCCGATTCAATGATTTTTGTCAGAGTCATGACCCTTTAATAATTTTTATTTTTAAAGTTTGTCAGGACTACTTCTCTTATGCCACTAATGCAATTTCAATGAAACTTTACAGGATTGATCTGTAGCTCAAGTCCTTGCGCATATTGCACGGGTTTTCCGGTTGAATGATTTTTAGCCGAGTTATGGCCCTTTGATAAAAAGGTGTTTTTTTCTGTGTGTTGCCAGATACACAAAAGCTTGTCTGGACTACTCCCCACAAACTACTGGTGCAATTTTATCAAAACTTTACAGGAATGATCACTACCAAGTCTTGTTTTGTACTGTCCGTCTGTCTGTCCGTCTGTCACAAAACTTGTCCCAACATGAAATTCGGCCATCATGAGGCGACACATGTGATCACTGATCGCTCTTGTTGATACAATCTGTTTAGATGTTGAAAAAAGCCTTGATATTTAGGCCATATTAATTGATCTTTTAACATTAAGAATGGTAATAGTATACATTTTATGTCCCTGGGATATGGATTATGTTTTGAAAATTTGTGTTTTATTTTACAGATTAAGATATCTACTTTAGGAATGAAATATTTGTAATCTTTCACACTGGATACGGATGAAATGATCACGGCCAGTGACACCCAGGACTTTGTTCCATTCGGCCGAGAATATGTTCAACAGCATCCTGGGAAATTTCAAATACAGGTTGGTAATACATTGTATGTTTTCAGTTATTTTGATTTTGTGCCTGTTGATTTCTATTACAAAGTCTGCCATAAAGGCAGCACATTGTATTCAAAAGAAATAATGTGACTTAAACCTAGATATTAGGTGCATTTTTACAATGACATACTGAGAAGAAAAATTTGTCATGTTATCACTACTTTGAATACTTTCCGTGACCTTTTACTGTTTGATATTACTCTCAAATGTAGGATTGTGTTAGCATTAACATTGAATTGGATAGACATGTAATTTATGTTTAACACTCAAATTATTGATTATGAGTACATTTTTATCATGCTGTTTTAATTGTTCAAACTATAACGCTTTATCACATAAACTGCGGCGCAGGAGTGTAATAAAGCCATTTAATAAAAACGATATTACACTAGTGTAATAACACTTTGTGCTATATATAAACGATATGATTAGCGTTACACTATAGGCGCGTCATAGAAAAATGACTCTTGATAACAGTTTACCGTTCTTATTTTATATATGTGATAGATAGAACATTATGTTCGTGTAGATTCAATACTAAATTTATTGAACTCGTTGAATAAAACAATATTATGCTCGCCAAAGGCTTGCATAATATGATTTTATTCAACTTGTTCGATAAATTTAGTATTAAACCTACACTCATTTAATATTCTCTATTTATGAAATAGGTATTTGTGTAATCTTAACTCAAAAGTGAATATGGAAAATGATGAAAAGATTATGTTTGATTGTGTGGGTTGCTATTTTATGTTTTTTCTTTTGAAAAATGATATTTTTAAATTCAGATTGAAGAAGATTGCAGTTTAATAAAACATCACTATGGCATTATCATATCTTATAATATATGAAAACAAAAAAATAAAGATATTTCATACATGTGACAAATCAAATGGGCCAAATCTGGATTTTCAGCTGGATTTTGAGGCTCAAAACTGGATTTTTTTATCGACTCGAATTTCAATGTGTAATTGGCACATTTGGTTCAAAGAATCTATATTACCCTCAAAATCATTAAATGATTATACTTTTATGATTTTTTGTTGATCAATATTAATTTATTTCACCAAAAAATAAATAAATAATAAATAAGTGTAGTCATACAGGCTATTTCTAAAACAGTCACATTTTATTATTTTCAGTTTGAAGAATATTTATTATATCTGTCTTTTCAGTCATTCAATAATTGGCTACAAGCTATTTGAAAATGTGCAACAACTATTCATGAACATAAGACTCTGACAGTTAAATAACGTAACATAAGAAGAAGACTCAAAATAAATGCAAGAATCGTTCCGTTAATTAAATCCACATTTTTGCCTCGATGATTGTGTAATTCCTAACAAAACAAAAAAATTGCCCACTCACTAAAAATAGGTTAATTAGACATCTCGAACAGGTTTTTGAATGATCCACTTTAAATGATTCTGCTCACCTTTTATCTTTATCAGTGCGGCACTTATCAAAGAAAATCAAAGGTTGAGCCGAATTCATACATGTAAATTTCCAGGGTAGTTTTGATGACGTAGCGTGTAATATCTACTGCCAAATTATAAAAGAGGTCAATTGACTGACACACGACACGTGTTAAGTTAAACATGTGAGAATAACTTTGGGTGATGGAACTGTTTATTACGTCACCTTGCTGTCAATTAGCGACTCAACATTTAATCCGCTATAATTTAGGATATGGACAGATAACAATCAATGCCCGGAGGCACGGTTTACATTTTAGATACAGGTGCTGTGTTTGATTTTTTTATGTTGATTATTTTTTTAAATATCGGGAATTCAAGCTGTAATATCGGGAATCGGGATCAGTGTCGAAATATCGGGATTTTTTTAAATCCCGCCGGGATGTCACATGTATGGTATTTTATTTTTTATTTTCAGGTACAAAATGTGGTTCACACTGATCCTGGACTTCCACTGCTGAAGTCGTTCAGAGATATTTCAATCCAGGATAATGGCAAGGTATTGTATTGTTTTATCAAACTGATTGTTTTATATTATATATTGCTGATATAGTTTGATGATAACACTGAACTTTGTCATTTGAGTGATGGAGATCCTGTCAGAACATTACGCTGGCTTACTATAATCAGCTGCGATACATACAAACATGAACAATATTCTGCAATAAAAAATCCAACTTAAATTGTAATAGTAAGATGATGACAGACTATGGAAATATACCATAACTCACAGATTAAGTAAAATAAAGAACCTATACAATATGTGCAATATTTCCATTATATTGACAGAAGGAGCAGTGGACATTTTACTCGGATCCAGATAAAGATGGTCACCATGGTAACTATGATGAGGAGTTATATGTGAGTGGAAACACTGTGGTGTGGAGTAAAGGAGGCCTAGATGGCTGCAGATCTGTTGTTAAAACATTCACCATGGATACACCAGTACTTCAGGTTAGAAAAATTCACAGATATTATTACTTTGATACTGTACAGTGTACTGTATATCATATAAAATTATTTATTGCTCTTAAATACATTGTATGTGATTTATGTGTTAATTTCTGTTTCTCTTGTATCAGTCCTGTAAACAAAATGATAATTTCAGCCTGAAAACAGATTTTGGAGTCATTCCTTTTAATCATTTTGAATTGTGCTAATGAAAAATTGTTCTTGAAAACAGTCACATTTTCATAAACCACTTCTTTATAACTCGGATATTTTGTTTCTGTGTCCAGCCATTATGACCACATTTCATTTAATAAATTATTAACATGTACATGTATGTTATAAAAAAAATTCTGTTACAAAAAGAGGTACATGAATATTGTTATTTAATCTAATTTTAAATAGAATCAAGACATTAGTTGTTTGGTTGACTTCTATATATTTTATGATTAACTTATTGTATATATTGTATATATTTTTTGCAGGCATTATGGTGTAAATTTGTCATACCGGAAAGTTCCAATCCAGAGGAAATTTGCTCTACTCTAGACACTGAAGGTTGGTTGTGAATTTTCTTCACCTTTAGATGTGATTGAAATAAAAATTGGCAAAATAATTCTATATTTTTATTGATGTAATTGTGTTGCTATCCGGCTAGTTAATGTTTCTGCTCTGCCCTGACTGGACACTGACTTCACTCTTCATGAGTAAAGCTGGAAAGTTATAGTATCTATGCACTAACCTAACTAACAAACTTATTGGACTCATGACTAGGGCCTATATCACTTATAACTGGTCTGACACATGACTAGGGCCTATGTTGCTTACAACTTATCTGACAATCTGAATGACTAGGACCTGTGACACTTAAATTTTGTTCTGACACATGGCTAGGACCTGTGACATATTTGATCTGACACAGACCTTGATACTATGTCACATATAACTGTTCAGACACATGACTAAGACATGTGTTACTTAAAGACTGCCTTGGAAAGTTGGAATGCTTATTGATGAAGAGTAAGTATAACAGGGTTCCCAAATTTTGTTTGACCATGTCTGACAAATTCCAAGCAGATCAGTAATTTGATGAGTGAATTAAAAGAAATTCAGTATGTTTTTTCAAATAATTATAAATAAATATGATTTTCAAAAATGCAAATCATGCAAATCTCTATTTGGTCTGAAATGAAAATCAGTATAGAATATTAGATGTTATAAAACATGAGACATTGACTAGAACATAAGACTTTATATAAAACCTGAATGTTTGGTGGTATAAACAGGTGTGGTACAGTGTGGAGTGTGTGTTGTAGAGTCAAGCTGTGTTAGTTGCTTTATGGAAGATGGCAGTGATTACTTAGCAGCTCTTCCCTTTCAGGTAAACATTTTATATTCTCTAGGTACTTGTAAAATATATAAAAAATATAAATGATATCACCATAATGGTAAAATATAAATAATTTTTAATGGTAACTGTATAAGACTAAATTTTCATAGAAATATATCTTCTAAATATATGTACATACAGTTAGTTCATGTCTGGAATTTTTAATATGATAATAATATGCAGACATATATATAACTTATGGGTTTACAGGAGAATGTATTTCCTTTAACTTTGTTTGTGTGTTTGTATACTAGGTTGCACATGTATGGGTGATCAAGAATGGTCTGTTGTTTGAGAGAACAGTATCTCCAACAGAATACAGATCTCTGAAAAGGTAACTTAGTTATTTGCCCCTACATATGCTATACACAATGTATAAGAAAACTAGGTAACGTTTTGCTGACAACAGGTATTGAGATCCTTCAAAATATCTGGCAAAAGTGTTACAATAAATAATGTGTGTCCCATAGGTAAATTTATTAGAGTCTGGCTCATTACAATCGGTCTTCGTGTACCATTTTTTAGTAGCTTGGCTATTTGAAGAATAATGTTGCTATCTTATTGACTCTGGTATTGGTCTAACATTAGTTAAGATTTTGGGTGCAAATCTATTACTTGTTGACCAATATATTCAACAAACTGAATACATATCTATATGATCAAAATGTTGGCTTCTTACTAAAGCAGATATCTTTATCACAACTATATGACCTTATTCTGTGTTTGTAACGTAAATCTTAACAAAACGAACTCTTGTCTTCAGTTAAATAATGTTTTTTCTGTGAAAATATTATGTATATTCTGAGGATCAAAGTGGTTTTTATTTTTAGAAAGGTGGTGTTACAAATAATTTATGTGTTGAAAATATTGTTGGTAGTTGATAATTTATTGTTACAGAAATGCACCAAACCAGACAACTGTGTTCAGTATGTTACATCCCCTAGATGAGGTAGCTCCTGTCATTACTAAAACTGGTAGGTATATTATCTATGTATATACAAACATAATGAACATTATCTGTATTTATATATTCATGAACATTGTCATTTAGTATACATGTACATCCATGTGTCAAGGATCAAATAATTTGATATCTATCATCTTAAATTGATATTTTGTTATAGATATTAGTATCAAGTCTTATAGTTAAATGTTTTGTCTTAAGGACAATAGAGGCCATTTTAGTCTCAACTTGAATTAACTGAAAACAAACTATTTATAGCCCTTACTATGCTGACATTGTGTAACCAAATCTTGTTAGATTTAGGAACAGTCTGTTAACATTGAAGGCTAAACAGTATAGCAAACTATTAGAAAATTCTACTTTCACTTTGGCATCTAATTAACATCAATGAAATATAAATTTACTTCATTACCTTTGTTCAATCAGACATAAAGAAAATAATGTATAAATTTCTGCTTGTGAGTAGATATGATAACTTTTATTATGCTGAATGATATCATGTTTGTTTATATATTGTAGGTTCTGCGGGAAGTCAGAAAACATCTTATCTTACAGATAATACCCAGCATGTTGTTTTCTCCAGCTTAGATCCATCTATAGTTCTCACGTATGATACAATGGTTGGCGTACACTCAGCATGGAAAGTAAGAAGAGCAAGAACAGAGGTATGTATTTGTCATATTAACATTGTACATGACAGTTGGTGAGTTGGTCAGATGGTTAATGTGTCTGCAATTCAACCCATACGAGAACGTAGAATGTGTGTTTAAGCACTACTTGGGTTACAACCAAGTTTCTTAAAATACCATAAGCACTGGTAAGTTCCAGGGATTGGACAAAAGAATAGTTTAAAGGAGTTCAGGCTTTCCTCATATTTGAGCTGAAATAAATATGTTTTAACTTAACTAATCTTCATACGGATGTGTTTTTCAGTATGTTCTGAATGCTTGTTTGATTTATATTGATTTAAATGTAATACTCTAGGCCTTTTATTAATAACTTATTTGGACATATGATGTAAATGTTTTTTTTTTGTTTTTTGTTTGTTTTTTTTTTATGTAAATTTTGATATATATGTTTGATGAAATTGATGTGTATTTATTTGTCAGATTTATGATATTTAAACAGAAACATTAAACCAGTCCTTATTTTGTATTTTAGGAGTGTAGTGCTGTATGTAACACGTGGGATCAGTCTGCCAGTATATATCAGATGGGTCCATGTACTCCAGCTCAGAACTTTAACCAGTCTAGTAGTAGCATGTCTCGTCACTATGGTAACATCTCAGCTTCACCTCAGGTATCACCACTGAGAAGTTTCTCTGGTCGTATTAGTTCTCCAGCCTTCATGTCTCACTCACAAAGTCCCTTGACAGGCAATCCACCTGGCCTAGACAGGTTTGTAAACACTATTATAGCTGCGTCACGACAAAACCAACATAATGTGTTTGCGACCAGCATGGATCCAGACCAGCCTGCGTATCCGCGCAGTCTGATCATGATCCATGCTGTTCGCTTACAGACCCTATAACAAGTAAAGAAACTGATAGCGAACAGCATGGATCATGATCAGCCTACGTGGATGCACAGGCTGGTCTGGATCCATGCTGGTGGCAAACACATTATGTTGGTTTTGTCATGACGCGGCTCATTTCACCCATTGATTACAGCTATAGTAATGATACATCTATGCTGTCAGTATAAAGTCTCTTGAATAGTCCATCTTAGACTCTAAGTATTGTATATAAAAAATCCATTAAACTGAAAATTGATAATTTAAGATTCAAAGGAGGATAGACCAATTGAAAAATATTCAGTAGTGCATAGATTATTATATTGACTTGATAGAGAAGTTATTACTTAAAAATTTAAATTACATACAAAATTTGGCATTAATGATGCTAAATATATTTTAGAAATAGTAATTTTAAATTTTCAGACGTTCACAAAGCCCGGCTATGTTAGGTAATACATCACTACACAGACTTCATACTCCATCTCCACAAACATCTAAATCTCCGGGAAACTTCTATCGTACCCCAGCTAACATGTCCCTCATCAATGAAAGTATATCAGAATGGATCGAACCAATAACACCTGAGATATGCTTGGAACATATCTGGACAGAAACTGCACCTGCTATAAGGGACGGGTCCCTAGGAAAATCATCAAAAGCATTTCAGACTCGTGACCTGTGTGGTCAGCAGTATTTGTGTTACTTAATCTCATATAGACAGCAGTTACGTTGTGTAAAATTTGAGGAAAGTAACGATCTGAAGAAACTTGTATTTGGTACAGTAAACATTATTCCATGTAAAGATGCTGTCCCTATTGAAAGTAAAGATCTGCTGATTGTACTTGATACAAGTGGTTGTTTGTATGTGTACAGTGGAATAACAAAGATTAATCGTTTACATGTTCCTACACTTCCTGTTGGTGGGAATATGTCTCTCAGTATGTTACGCCAAATGACACCATTACAGAGTCCTGTTAGAGGGGGTGTATTTACTTCCAGTCGACCACCTAGTGCAATGGATGCAAGATTTGATGAAGAGTTTCAGTTGAATCAGATCTCCCCTGTACAAACAGAATTTGATGAGTCAGCAAATTATGATGATTTCCCTGTAGGTTGTGGATATATACAGTGTTTGAGAGACAATATCTCAGACAGGTTCACTTTAGAACTGACCAATGGTCATTTATGTAGATGTACTATACCAGATATGACCAACTCTCCAGGAATAGATCTCAGCTTAAAGGTACGCTGACCATGACATTTTAAATCAATATTTTCTGTAATAAATCTATTCTTTCTATGCTGTGTTAGAAAAGTTTTAAAAGTATTTCAGATAGTTAAATGTCTCCGAAATGAATATTTTAACACCGTAGATTAATTATTCAGTTAAATGTAATACCAAAAGAGATAAATAGAGAAAAATATTTGAAATTTGATAATGAAAATCTACTTTTTCAGGCATTGAAGCACATGTTGCCACGTGACTTGGCGTTACAGATGTTAGGTAAATGGTATACAGTGAGAAATTCACCAGGCGGCATTGGAAGTCAGCCTGAATGGATGATGTTTATACGATGTTTACTAGGCATGATGGGATATGATACAGCTAAACTTCCTCTTACATTTAAGGTACTGACAATTTATATTCTTCATATTTTATAGTCACTTTTCATATTGAGTTTATACTGCTGAACAAGTCAACTTTTAACTACAAAGTATTGTTACAGGTCTTTCTCTTTATTTCTATTCATATATTTATTCAATTAGTGTTGAAACTATTAAATTCTTTAATGATCGATGTTAAACAAGTATCAGCAAAGTTAATAATAAGTAATTCTTTGATATTTATTCTTAGATAAAGATACATGTGTTGTCTTACTTGCTGATTATATTGTTGATGTATAATTTACAGCAAGAAATGGATCTGTCTCTGTCCCCAGTCTCAGCAAAGAGGGCAAAAACATCTGACCAGGGATCTGAGGAGGTAATTTATTGATGAAATAATCTGTATGAGCCGCGTCACAACAAAACCAACATAGTGCGTTTGCGACCAGCATGAATCCAGACCAGCCTGCGCATCCGCGCAGTCTGTTCAGGATCCATGCTGTTCGCTATCAGTTTCTCTACTTGTAAGTAATAGAGTTGGTAAGCGAACAGCATGGATCCTGATCAGACTGTGCGGTTGCGCAGGTTGGTCTGGATCCATGCTGGTCGCAAACGAACTATGTTGGTTTTGTCGTGACTAGGCTCATATATTATGTATCTTATATGATAAAACATTCATATTATGTATGTGTTTTGTAGATCTGTAGTACAAAAATAATTTGTAGAACAATATTTTGTTTCTTTGAAATAACTTAGTTTTATTATCATGTTTATGCAATGTTTAAAATGAAAAACTATTGTGATGTACACATATCTCACTCTTAAATATAAGCATGTAACAACATGTGTAATTATGCTGTATATTAAAACAGGATTGGGAGTGGATGTTAAGTTCAGATCACCACAAGTTTGTTACTGAGAGTCTAGAAGATGTCCTAGGTTTGTCTGTCTGTAATGTGATACCAGAAAGTACCCAGTATCAGCAGGCAACAATCAACACAACCGCCATATTGTTTACTCATATCCCAGCATGCTTCATGGCTTTACATCTTGTTTATGAGGTATTTTCATTAAATGATTATTTACAAGGCCTTTTCAGCAATCATAAAAATGATATTAATTATTTTACACAGAAATAGGAAATGTATGTAAAGAGAAGTCCTTCATTAAGAAAAAAGAGTGTCTTAAGATCTTCAGATAAATTTTATTTGTGAAATACAATAACAGAATCAATAGACCTGATTTGTTGTGTTATTTTTTACAGGAATTAAAATTGAACAGTTTGTTAGTGGAGGAAGTGGAACAGCTAGTTGTATTACTACACCAGCTAGCAGTAGATCTGAGGTGTTCTCAGTATACAGATTATTATTGTAGAGACTTCCCTAAACTGTTAGACATCACTAACTGTGCCAGTCAGGTCAAAGATGGTGAGACTTCTTTATGTACTCAGTTATACACCTACAATCTGAACATATTATATATCATGTAGGTTTGATGAAATGTTAAATCTTGGTTTGTCAGAATAATTAACAGTCCTCTGTTGGCAGAGAATTATAAATATATATGATAAAAAAGAAAACATTTATCTCTAAGTGTTGATAGACTGATTGTTCAGAGACATACCTTCAAAATTTTATACCAAGTCAAAGTAAATAATATAATAACAAATTTTTGATAATTCTGAAGTTGTGTTCTTGTTTATAACCTCAATGCTTCAACATGAATGACAATTTTATATTCAGATTTCATACATCCTATATCTGGTTGCTTTGGTGACCTGTTATGTTTTACAGATCATGTTGAGAAAATGCAGTACCCGTCAGTGTTCACAAAGATACCACCATCTGTATATAACTGGATAGTTAGAAACTTTGAAGGTCAAAAGTCCGGACATGTCTTATACATACCATTTGTCTGTAATAACATAGTTAATGTTATTTCTGTAAGTATGATTATAGCATTACAGTTTTAAACTTCTAATTTTAGAAATATTAGTTAATTTTGAAATTTTGAATTAAGTTCCTATATCTTCATTGTCCTACTAACACACTAAATGTCAGTAATTTGTAAGCAGGTGCCCACTATACCTGAAATCATACACAAAGTAGTATTGCAGTCCTTTTCCACTAGTAGAAGCTTGATAAAACTATATTCAGGATTCTTTACTTATATGTACCTCATATTTTTATCGAATGTCCATTTGCAAAACTTTCTTTATATTTTTACTGTAGTTGAACATGTAATACTGATAGTTGAACATGTAATACTGAAATTTAGTGTATAATATTAACATATTACCTTGTATTGTTTCAGTTGTATGCATTGTTGTTAAATAAACATATGGGAACAGAACAAGCTATAGAAAGATGTCTGAAAAAAGTGCCACCTTCAGGTAATGTCTAAAGTTTTGAATAGAAATTTTAATTATCGTATTTGCTGAAGTTTAAAGACAATACCACTTCAATAAATGAAGAACCTTTTCTTTTAAGATCTGTACTGTTCATTATTTTCCATCCGATGATAAGGTTTAAAAAAACTCAATGAATATTGTTATGGTCACCAAGAAAACACAAGGTTGTCTAGAAATTCTGGTATACTTTCTTATAGCTCAACATGTTAGCAGCCATAATAATGGACCTTTAGTTTCAGTAACTCCCTTAAACTATTTATAGGCTGTCCAAAATGAACAAACAGGGAAAGTCCATTTAATAAATTTAGCTGGATTCAATTTTAGTACTATGTTAACTAATGCTAATTGTTCTGATATTTTCATTTAGGTCATAGGCACCAACTTGTGATATTTCTATGTCAAGGAGTTTCTGTAGAGCCAGTCCTACACATAATTATCTAGAAAGAGTGGTACTGTACATGACACAACTTGGTAAGTTTCTATGTAGCATTTCTGAGCATAACTTTATACATTGTAGTGGGGCATCCATGGCCAAGTGGTTAAAGTCTTTGACTATATACTACTTGCCCCCACCCCCACCCCCACCCCACAGCTTTTTGTTTGAGTCCTGCCTTGGACTTGTAAGGAAGCTATCTATGCAAGCTTACAGAATGTCTTTGGTTCTACTTAGATGTCGGCTCATGCATGAAGGTATCTTTATGACCTCTACAGTGATGGTGTAAGCGATTTATGATATTAAATAAGTTTGCAAGAACTTTCAAGCTTGAAAAATATATTAAAATTAGTATGAACATTAATTATTCACAGGTATGACAGAAAGAGATTTAACTTACCTGCCAGTTGGAATAGCTCTTCCAATTAGGGAGGCCATATTTCACTGTAGATGTAACCCTCCATCTGATTGGCCAGAGGAATCCTATGCTCTAATTGGTCGAGAAGACATAAGCAAGTTGATGTCACTACAAGATAGAGAAGATGTGTCCCCACCCCCAGGAATTTTCAAGAGAAAACCTAGCCCTCAATCTCAAGGGACAAAAGAAGAAGATGATGGCATGGAACATCTTGATGATGAGGTTAATATTATTGTGTTGTCAGTTCCACTCTTGTAATTTAGTTGTGTAATGTATGCTCAACATGTGACCTGATTCTTGATATGATGATATTTATGAGTTACGAATCTTGTGATTTAAAGGTGTAATGTACACACAACTTATGGTATGATAATACTAATGTACAAGACTCTAGATACAATATGTACGAAAGTATACATTTGCAGAAGAAAGACATTTACACTTTGTTAATTTCATTACAGTTCCCATTTTGTAAATAGCAGCTAAATGAAACCCTCATCTTGAGATTTTTTTACTTAAAGGCATCTTTATTTTTTATTAGTCTAAAATTACAAACTGTTCCACTTTATACCACTGTTTACTATGACAATTTGCACCTTTATTGTGATTTGCTAAATTAAGACTGCTAAAGTAATATCCATGTTACTTGATTGGCTAACTCGATATTTAAGATAAGGTGTAACATGTAAAGTAGTTTAGTATTATTTAGTTATCATGATTATATATGAACAATATTACAGTATTTGAGGTTGAGATTTAGCGAGGATCTAAGAGTACAAGAAGCTAGGAGATTATTACAGTCCTCAAGACCAGCTAGAATATCTCTAGTACAAAAACCAGAAATAAGGTAAAACTATTTACTTCTGTTACCTCTGTCTGTATGAGTGTGTGTTGTAAAATTTATATACGTGTACTTCTGCATGCATGATGGGATTACAAAATAAATCAGTATACCTGACCACAAGTAGAAGACTAGGTGATTATACAAGACCCCAACTCAAATGTTAAGGTCAACTTGATGTATTTGTCATGTAGTTCAAGGTGCAGTTAGAGTTAGTCATCAGTCTATAGCCTCTGCATTCATGATGAGATCTCAAGATAAGTTTGTTCACATGATCACCATAAATAAACAATGTGTCTCATGCACAACCTAGGTCCCTAGGTCACAGCAGATGTTTTAACTTAGTGTATTTCTGACACTAGTATATTCATTATTCCGTTTTGGGGTCTATGCTTCTACTAATTAGCGCATTTGAAATATATTTTTAAGTACTTATTATCAAACTCATTTCATTACAAATGTATAGAAAAAGATATTTTTTTATTGTTACCAGTATTTGCTAAACATCATAAAAAGTAATTTATTTGTGAATATTGCAAAAACAATTGCTTGTTATAATAAGGAACAATTTTTAGCTCACCTGTCACAAAGTGACAGGGTGAGCTTTTGTGATCGCTTTTCGTCCGTCGTCCGGCCGTCGTCCGTCCGTCGTCCGTAAACTTTTACTTTAAATGACATCTCCTCATAAACCACTAGGCCAATTTCATCCAAACTTCACAGGAATGTTCCTTTGGTGGTCACCTTTAAAAATTGTTCAAAGAATTTAATTCCATGCAGAACTCTGGTTGCCATGGCAACCGAAAGAAAAAACTTTAAATATCTTCTTTTAAAAAACCCTAAGAGCTAGAGCTTAGATATTTGGCATGAAACATCTTCTAGTAAGTGTCTACCAAGTTTGTTCAAATAAAAGCCCTTGGGACAAAATTTGCCCCGCCCCAGGGGGTCATTGATTTTCCATATGTGCATATAGTAAAAACTTAAAAAATCTTCTTTTAAAGAACTCAAAGAGCTAGAGCTAAGATATTTAGCATGAAACATGTTCTAATGAGTGTCTACCAAGTTTGTTCAAATAAAAGCCCTGGGGTCAAAATTGGCCCCGCCCCAGGGGGTCATTGATTTTCCCTATATGCATTTAGTAAAAACTTAAAAAATCTTCTTTTAAAGAACTCAAAGAGCTAGAGCTAAGATATTTAGCATCAAACATGTTCTAATAGGTGTCTACCAAGATTGTTCAAATAAAAGCCCTGGGGTCAAAATTGGCCCCGCCCCGGGGGTCATTGATTTTCCTTATATGTCTATAGCAAAAGCTTAAAAAATCTTCTTTGAAAAAACCCAAATAGCTAGAGTTTAGATATTAAGCATGAAACATCTTCTAGTGAGTGTCTACAAAGTTTGTTCAAATAAAAGAGCAAAAGACCTGGGGTCAAAATTGGCCCCGCCCCGGGGGTCATTGATTTTTCTTATATGTGTATAGCAAAAACTTAAAATCTTCTTTGAAAAAACCCAAATAGCTAGAGTTTAGATATTAAGCATGAAACATCTTCTAGTAAGTGTCTACAAAGTTTGTTCAAATAAAAGCCCTGGGGTCAAAACTGGCCCCGCCCCAGGGGTGTCATTGTATTTAACTATATGTGTATAGTAAAAACTTAAAAAAATCTTCTTTTAAAAAACCCAATGAGCTAGAGCTTAGATGTTCAGCATGAAACATCTTCTTATTGGTGTGTACCAAGTTTGTTCAAATAAAAGCCTTTGGATTAAATTGGCCCTGCCGGGGGGTGGGAAGGTCATTGTTTTTCATTATATGTGTGTAGTAAAAACTTAACATCATGAAACATCTTCTAATGGGTGTCTTCCAAGTTTGTTCAAATAAAAGCCCTTGGGTTTAAACTGGCCCCGCTCCAGGGGCCTATATACAGGTGAGCGACCTCAGGGCCATCATGGCCCTCTTGTTTAAATGTTGTATATGCTAGAATCAGCTTGTGAAACATATGTAGAATGATTGTTATATTTTCAGTGACCATGATTTTATAGAGGAGCAGGAACGACATTTATATGCAATATGTATCAGAACTATGGCTCTATCTGTTGGCAGGTTAGATTTCAGTAACTTTAATTTTTAGCTCGACTATACGAAGTATATGGAGAGCTGTCCTACTCGCCCCAGCGTCTGCGTCCAGATTTCAGATTAAAGTTTTGGTGCAGTAAAATATTTTTCACTATAACTTTGTCATTTCTTAAGGTATCAACTTCAAACTTCAAATATATGTTCCTTATCATCAACCACATCTTATGTGACAAGGTAACTCTAGCACCAATATTTTCAGATTTATCTCCCCTTGAACTTAGAATTTTCCTTAAAAAATACTATTTCTTACTGATATTTCTTTATTTCTTAAGGGATGAACTTCATACTTCTAATATATGTACCTTATCATCATCCACATCTTATGTGACAAGGTTCATTACTCTAGCACCAATATTTTCAGATTTATCTCCCCTTGAAGTTAGAATTTTCCTTAAAAAATATTATTTATTACTGTTACTTCTTTATTTCTTAAGGGATCAATTTCATACTTCAAATATATTTACCTTATCATCATCCCCATCTTATGTGACAAGGTTCATAACTCTAACACCAATATTGCAAGAATTATCTCCCCATAAACTTAGATTTTTTTTTCTAGAAAAATGTTATTTTTTACTATAACTTTTTTAGTTTTAAAGATATTTACCTCAAACTTCAAATACTTATTCCTTATCATCAATTACATTTTATGTGACAATGTTCATAACTCTTGAATCAATATTTACAGATTTATCTCTCTGGACTTAGGATTTTCTTTACGAAATATTAAAACTTCTTTATTTTTTAAGGTATCTACTTCAATCTTCAAATATATATTTCTTATCATTACACACATGTTGTGTGACAAGGTTCATAACTCTAGTGTGACTATTTCTAAAATTGTTCCCCTAAATCTTGGAATTTATGTTAACAATGTTATTTTTTTTCTATAACTTAAAACATAATTATACATAATTGATTTTTCTTTCATAGTTTTGTCTTCCTTAGTATGTCTAGTATTTTATTAGTTGAACTTCGCTGTCTCCTGTGACAGCTCTTGTTCTAACCTATTATCAATATAACCTATTATTGTTTTGTCTACAAATTCAAAATATGTTACCATTTTAATTTAAAATGGTTTGCTAGTACTTGAACAACTAAACTTAAGCTTTCTTTTAAACAAATTTACCCTTTTTGTTTTCCACATCCTGGTTTGCAGTATAATTAATGTTACATATTTTGTGTGACCATTGACTGTATTTTCAGATAATTATGATATAGAATATATCACAACAAGAAATAATGTAATATATTGCATATTTCAGGGGCATGTTTACAATGAGCACATACCATCCTCTATCTACAGAAACATTACCCATACCTAAACTCTGTCTCACAGGGAAAGCCCCACCAAGGTATTGTTATATTATTCATTTACTATTCAGAATTTTTATGCATAGTTAAAATGAATTAAGGGTAATGTTCCATATAGAAGGTCATATTGTTTATTCTTTTCCATTTTATCTTGTTCTGTAAGAGTATTGTACACAGTTATAATGGTTATGCTTGAACTTTATTCAGACTGCTCTAAGAGTTTTCTTTTTTTGAACCAACCAATATGAGGAACCAGGAGAGGGCTTTAATCTAAAATCCTTTTGTTAGAGGCAGACACTTTTAATCACAAAGATTTCTGCTCTTTTAGTATTATGTTGATAGTTTTGCATAAACCTTTCTTATTTGTAGTCAACATTGTGAGACTGAAAAATTTAGGTGTACATTTTGGGCATGTTTTACACATATATTTCTTTCTATAGGAATACAACAGTAGACTTGTCTCATATAGATACACCAGCTAACATGACAGCATGGCCACTGTTCCATAATGGTGTTGCCGCAGGATTGAGGATTGCAGATTTCTCTCAAGTAGACTCATCATGGATCATGTACAATAGACCTAAGAGTAATGAACTGAACAATGAATATGCAGGATTTTTAATGGCACTGGGACTAAACAAACATCTTGTTAAAATGAACATACTTAATAAACACAATTACCTTAGTAAGGTTAGTTTATCTTGTATATTTTATACATTTTTAAATTGTATCTGTTTGAATAAGAATCTTTGTTAATAAAAATAGCTCATTTCAGATAATTTATTCTCAGGTTAAGAAATTATCTTTATGAAAATGTTGCCTAGGTCATTGGAAAAGATATTCTGTAAAAAGTGTTTTAATGTTTGATTTTTAAATCCTTCAGAATATATGTAAGTTGATATAAAAGTTTGTCCTCTATGAGGAAATTTGCTGTTGTTCATCTTATCATAGCAAATAAAGATAAAATTTAAAACAACATATCTGAATTAACGCATTTAGTATAATAAATATTATTTTAAATATTTTTAGGGACATGAAACAACAACAATAGGTCTGCTGCTAGGAGTTGCTGCAGCCAAGTGAGTGGTCTAGAAATTAATTGATTGTTATTTCATTGATATTTTCATGGTAATGAAAATCGCTTCTTATTTTCAAGTAAAGCTTTATAGTTTTAATTGAAAATCCTGTTTAAAAATATTTTTCCATTAATTTCAATGTACGAAATCGATAAAAAAGATAGGTAAATTAAGGAACTTATATATTTCTTGTTAAAGACGTAGCACTATGGATCTATCAACAATGAAAATGTTAAGTATACATCTACCAGCAATGTTACCACCTACCTCTACAGAGCTCAATATATCACATAACATGCAGGTGGCAGCTATACTTGGTGTAGGGCTTGTATTTCAAGGCACTGGTCACAGACACACAGCAAATATACTCTTAGCTGAGATAGGTATGTCGCCACTTGTTGTTAAGTTCTATATCATTTTACTATTCATCAGGTCCGACATATAGCATGCCTACTTTACTTTAATAGTATTGGACTTTAATATGCAATGAAAATGAATAGAAGTTCATTGAAGAATACAATAAATTTTGATACAGTACAACATATATAATTCTTTAAATTTGAAATTTTATTGATAAAGTTTTTTCCTATAGCATTGTTTATACTCTAGTTTTTTCCTATAGCATTGTTTATACTCTCTTAACAATTTTATCATTGGGTTTCTCCTTCACATTATATCAAAATGTACCGCCTCCGTGGTCGAGGGGTTAGAGTCGATGACTTCTAATCCAGTTACCTCTCTGGCGTGGGTTCGATCCCCGGGAGATGCTTTGGTAGTTTAGCGCGGTGGAAGGTAGTCTAGTACTGGTGTAACTCTCCAGGAACAATGGTTAGGAAACTACCCGCCTATATGACTGAAATACTGTTGGGAAAAGGCGTAAAATGAAACAAACATATTAAAATGTTGAAGAGGAGTATAGTTAAGATGGGGTATTTGTGCTCTGCCTTTAATTTTATCAGCAAGTTATTGCAGTCTTCATCAAAAATATAATGAGGTACAATATTCTTTACTGAAGTATAAGAAGAAAATGGTGCCTGAAATAATCTTATACTCAAGACTGTATATACTGTTATAGGTCGACCACCTGGTCCAGAGTTACAGAATTGTACAGACAGAGAATCATATTCCCTAGCTGCAGGTCTCGCACTTGGACTTGTTATGTTTGGTGTAAGTTTAACTTGCATGTTTAGTTATTTCAGAAAACATACATATATAAAACATACATTTCAAGCTCCACTATCTGAAGAATAAGGAGAACTACTGTCTGTGTCACACTTCAGTTAAGTTTTTGCATGCAAGTGGGTATCTGCAAAACTATGGAATGGAATGGTTTGAAACTTTCTATACTTATTTGAGAGATTAATAGGGGGTTACTTAACAGGGCTCATTACTCTAACATGGACTTTGACAGAGTTATGGCCCTTTTTTGAACTTTGTAAAACATTAGAAATAATGGCTGTGAGTGACTGTTCTGGACAATAATGTAGGAAATATATAGTTTATAAACAGCTCTTATTATTATGAGTTTAAGAAAGATGTAATATTTTACAGAAAGGAAAGGAGACAATGGGGACATCAGATCTCAGTATGGCAGATACATTATATCATTTTATGGTGGGAGGTCACAAACGGCCACTGGTAATTATATACTATTAGAATTTTTGTTACTCTTCAGTTTTTCAGTTTGTTTCAAAGATATTTTTTATTTTCTTTGATAGTCAAATTGTGAAATATTACACACAAATGTATTAAATAAAAGGTGCACTATTGCATTCTTTATCAATACAAAAAAGTTGAACATTAAACTGTTTAAAAACATTTATATTTAGTCTAGTAGATAATATATTTTCATGTGTTCTATTATTTATGCAACATTACAGATTGGACCAAGTCAAGAAAGATACAAGACCCCAAGTTACCAGATTCAGGTAAGTGCTTTGGGGCCCATTTTTTTTATCAACATAAAATTTCTAATTTTAATAACATTTTCGTTAGACAATATTAAAACATCAATACTATAATAAAACAACTATTGTCACACTTTTAGATATACATGTTCATTAAAACATTTACTGTGTTTTACAGGAAGGTGACACTGTTAATGTAGATGTGACATCACCAGGTGCTACACTAGCACTTGGAATGCTTTACTTCAACACAAAAAACAGGTAATATATCATTAAACACCTTGTTGTTAGAATAGGAAAATATAGGTAATGTCTCTTAGATATATTGCATCATGATTTTACAAGATTATATTGATATTTATATGAAGTATTTAGTCAGGTTTATCTTACCTTATAAAACAGAACAGACTCTGATTTTATTTCAATATGTACATACCAGTGATTTTTTCACTTTATTTTGAAGAAGACTTAGCCTCTATATTTTGGGAAGAATTATCCCTAAAACAGTTCATTTGGGAAATAAAAAACTGGTGTAAATTATGATTTTTTTTTTCTTAAAAAAACTACATTATTTTAAAGAAAACTTTGACTGGGAAGAGGCCTTTTAAAGGCTAATGTATGTGTTATTCTGTAATGTAAAAATCTGGCAGGTTCATATTTGAACTTATATTCATGTATGAAGTTCAACAATATTTTATATCTTATATGATACAAACATCACATATACATATATATAAGTTGCTATATACAAGTACAAAAGAATTGGGTCAAAAGTTATTTCCTCATTATTTGGAGAGTCTTCCCCTGTAGGGTTAGTTTGATTTCTCAAAGAAAAGAGTTCTGTAAATGTAAGTTTCGTTATAATATTATAGAGCAGTATCAGAGTGGTTACAGGTTCCAGACACACAGTTTATGCTGGACCAAGTCAGACCAGACTTTCTACTTCTTAGGGTAAGGCTTTATAACCTTGAAATTTAAATGAATTTCACTTTGTGACTCTTTCAGAAGTTAAGGAAGCCTTTTTCAATCATATGCTCAAATATAAAATGTAGATCATTTATGAAAATAAGTTTGGTAATCAGTTGTGTTGTATATAGAATTTTAGATAAGAAAGTAACTGATGATAGCTTGAGCGTAATATAACATTACAGGTGGCTACTCATTGATTTGTTTATCAAGTATATATATTATTATTTCAGACACTAGCTCGAGGTCTTGTGATGTGGGATACTGTTTTACCTTCCATAGATTTCCTCAAACAAACAATTCCTCAGGTCAATTTCTACATGATAACCCTCTAATGACAACACAATATTTTTTCAAATTTAAATGTTTAGATTTTTATGCCTCCACAAAGTGGGGAGCATATAGCGTTGCACTTGTCCGTCAGTCCGTACATCTGTCCATCCGTACGTCTGCCCGAGCAAACATTTGATATTTATGAGCTTCATTCCGTAGTTAAATAAAGAACAAAAACTCATAAAATTCAAATTAAGAGCTATTTTTTTGTTTTTATAAGCTAAATTTGCTTATGGACTTACATCCAGGTGTAGTTTATGAGCTGATTTGCCTCTTAAATATCAAATTTGGTACGTCCGTCCGTACGTCCCGAAATCTTAAACTGGATGGCAGATTTTGCTTAAACTTCCAGGGATGAACAACCTTGATGTGTAGATGGTAGTATAGGAAGGAATTTTTGCTGGGACCAAATTTAACAGAATTATGGCCCGTTGTTGATTTTTTAGCTCACCTGAGCTTGCTCAGGGTGAGCTTTTAGGATCGGTGAATGTCCGTCGTCCGTCGTACGTCCACAATTGCTTGTGAACACTCTAGCGGTCGCATTTTTGCCTCAATCATCATCAAACTTGGTCAGGATGCTTATCTAGTTGAAAGCTCGGATGAGTATGAACATGGCTCATCTCGGATGAAAAACTAAGTCACAAGAGCTAAAAATAGAAATACCTTGTGAACACTCTAGAGGTCACATTTTTGACCCAATCATCATCAAACTTGGTCAGGATGTTTGTCAAGGTGATAGCTTGGATGAGTTCAAACATGGGTCATCTCGGATGAAAAAGTAGGTCACAGGAGCTATAAATAGAAAAACCTTGTGAACACTCTAGTGGTCACATTTTTGAACCAATCATCATCAAACTTGGTCAGAATGCTTGTCTAGTCAATTGCTTGGATGAGTTCGAACATGGGTCATCTCGGATGAAAAACTAGGTCACAGGAGCTAAAAATAGAAAAACCTTGTGAACACTCTAGTGGTCACATTTTTGACCCAATCAACATCAAACTTTGTCAGGATGCTTGTTTAGATAATAGCTCGGATGAGTTCGAATATGGGTCATCTCGGATGAAAAACTAGGTCACCGGAGCTATAAATAGAAAAACCTTGTTAACACTCTAGTGATCACATTTTTGCATCAATCATCATCAAACTTGGTCAGGATGCTTATCTAGTTGATAGCTTGGATGAGTTCGAACATGGGTCATCTCGGATGAAAAAGTAGGTCACCGGAGCTAAAAATAGAAAAACCTTGTTAACACTCTAGCGGTCACATTTTTGCATCAATCATCATCAAACTTGGTCAAGATGCTTGTCAAGGTGATAGCTCGGATGAGTTTGAACATGGGTCATCTCGGATGAAAAAGTAGGTCACCGGAGCTAAAAATAGAAAAACCTTGTTAACACTCTAGTGGTCACAATTTTGACTCAATTGTCATCAAACTTGGTCAGGAAACTTGTCTAGGTCATTGCTGGGAATAAATCGAACATGGGACATCTCGGATGAAAAACTAGGTCACAGGAGCTAAAAATAGAAAAATCTTGTTAACACTCTAGTGGCTACTGTTGTGATCCAAATATTCTGTTAATTGGTCTGAAAGTTTGTTTTGATGATTTCTAAGTCAAAATCGAACATGGGTCATCTTGGATGAAAAACTAGGTCACACCGCCCAAATATGGAAAAACCTTGTTAACATTCTAGTGGTCACATTTTCGACTCAATTATCATCAAACTTGGTCAGGATGCTTGTCTAGGTAATTGCTTGGATGAGTTCGAAATCGCATGTGAAACTAGGTCACCGGAGCTAAAAATAGAAAAATCTTGTTAACACTCTAGTTGCTACTGTTTTGATCCAAGTATCCTGGAAATTGGTCTGAAAGTTTGTTTTGATGCTTTCTAGGTCAAGTTTGAATATGTGTCACCTGGGTAAAAAACTAGGTTGCACTGCTCAAATATGGATAATCCTTGTTAACACTGTAGTGGTCACATTTTTGACTCACCTGTCATGAGACTTGGTCAGAATGCTTGTCTATGTAATTGTTTGGATGAGTTTGATAAGTCAGGTGAGCGATCTAGGGCCATCATGGCCCTCTTGTTCACTATATACTATGTAGAAATTTTGTGAACGCAACTCCTCTTAAACCAGATGGCAGATTTTGCTTAAACTTCCAGGGATGAACAACCTTAATGTGTAGATGAAAGTAAAGGAAGGAATTTTTGCTGCGACCAAATTTAACAGAATTATGGCCCTTTGTTGATTTTTAAGCCCCCAATAAGTGTGGAGCATATAGCGTTGCACTTGTCTGTCCATCCGCATGTCTCTCCATCCGTACGTCAGTCTGTCCGTATGAACCCAGAGGTACTTGTGTGACTTGGAGAACAATTGGTAACAGTAAATTCTCTTTGATCCTATTCATTCCGTTTTTACTTGTGTGTCTTTTTTTAAGCCTTGTGTGACTAAAAATGGCCAAAAAGATCAAAGGAAAAGTCACATAAGTAAAACTAACGTTTGTGAGTACGTCCGTATGTCTGTCCATATGTCCCGAAATCTTGTGAACGCAACTCCTCTTAAACCGGATGGCAGATTTTGCTTAAACTTCCAGGGATGAACAACCTTAATGTGTAGATGGTTGTAAAGGAAGGAATTTTTGCTGTGACCAAATTTAACAGAATTATGGCCCTTTGTTGATTTTTTCACTATATACTATGTAGAAATTTTGTGAACGCAACTCCTCTTAAAACCGGATGGCAGATTTTGCTTAAACTTCCAGGGATGAACAACCTTAATGTGTAGATGGTAGTAAAGGAAGGAATTTTTGCTGCGACCAAATTTAACAGAATTATGGCCCTTTGTTGATATTTTCACTATATACCATATTGAAATTTTGTGAACGCAACTCCTCTTAAACTGGATGGCAGATTTTGCTTAAACTTCCAGGGATGAACAACCTTAATGTGTAGATGGTAGTAAAGGAAGGAATTTTTGCTGCGACCAAATTTAACAGAATTTTGGCCCTTTCTTGATTTTGTTCACTATATACCATATAGAAATTTGTGAACGCAACTCCTCTTAAACCGGATGGCAGATTTTAATAAAAAGTTCCACTTAAAAATCTTACATACAGATATGCATGCTCTTGTTTACGAGCACATCTGCACAGTGGGGGCATTCGTGTCCTTTGGACACAGTTCTAGTTATTGATATATCAAATTCATATAATTTTTGCCATATCTGCTTAATTATTAATTAATTTCTTGAAAGTTTTTATCAATTAATTTCTTAAAAGCTTTTTAGTTATTTCATCTGCTGAGAAAATTGTGTGATATTAAAAGTGTTAAATATATAGTTCAGACAAAAACAGTTAATTTAAGTCATTGATTTGTGCAGCTATAAATCCCACTCAAAATCCTTGCAATATTCCTTGGTTATTTCACAAGAATTATATGACAATATTTGTAGATACTGGAAGACTATGCCTTTCATAAATATCAGATGGAAGATGAGGATAATACCATAGATTTTGAAACTATGAGGTAAATTCTTATATATCATTTTGTTTTCAGTTTTAGATGTATACTGTTCAGTGTTTGAACATTTTTTAATTTAACCTTCTCATATCATAACAATGTTGATAGGCCAAACTAAATCATCTCCTTACCTACATGCCTTTGTTTCTTTAAAATGACCAAAAAAAAAATTGAATGTTGAGTTGTTAGCTGTATTGTTAGAAAAGCTATGCTGCTAGCCTTGTTTGAGAAATAATTTCTGAATGTATGATAAATGAACTTATGCCAGAATATATAAAACTGTAAGATTCTCTAACTGATGACTGGTACATGCAGGGATTTTTTAAACGGGCATATTTGTAAAAGGTGGTAATGAGGTTCTGTTTCCATTGAACATTTACACAAGGGGTGGATATTCCCATCTGTGAAGTTAGCCAGTGTTTTATTCTTTTTCTTGAATATTACATCTAAGAGTTTGAAAAGAAATCAGGAAAACTTGTATTTTTATAGCACTATTTCTTTATATGAATAATGAAATATTGTAGAAATATGATGTTTTGATATTTCAGTCAGGCATATTGCAATGTAGTGGCTGGAGCATGTATGGTGATTGGTTTAAAGTTTGCTGGATCAGCCAATCAGGAAGCTTTTGACACACTGGTATTTTGTTGCTCGTATTTATTACTCGTTGAATGATATTCCTATTTGAATGTAAAATTAAGACCTGTTGTTTTATTTAGAGAATTTTAGGGACATAGCTTATAGGTAAGGGTATTTAAAAAAGGGATAATTGATTATTGCACTTACTTTATTCCTTACACATGACACTAATATATTGGTCAGACCAGCAGACTGACCCAGGATTAATAATGTTTACCTAAAGATCTAACCATTTTACTATGAATTAATCATCTTAAAAACACTTAAGAGTCTTTGCATATATAGTTAACAGAATTAGCTTTTACTTTAAAAAAAGTTCAGCTCATAGGTTCATGTAGATGAGAGTTAGTATATTTGACTCAGTTAATTTTACTATATAAATAAGATATTGAAGTGATATTATATATTATGTACAGGTAGAGTGTATGAATCGGTCGTTAAAGGTTATATCTACACCACCTCTAGTAGAACAAGCTGGCAAGAGTACAGTAGAAAATTCTATGATGACAATACTGCTCTCCATGGCAATGGTGAGTTAGTTTTCAAGATGATATAACACCTTATTTTTATATAGTTTAGAAAACTAGAAACACTTAAATAATTTTGCCTAGCAGTGAAGCATTTACTTAAAATTAAGGTGTATGTGTAACAAATATTTTTCTCCCTCATTCTTTAGAATGTTAATTAAACTTACCATTTTGAAGGACTTAAAAAGCTCCTATATAAATACATTACTTCATTTTGTATCAATGTTGATTACAGGTAATGGCAGGAACAGGTAATCTTGAAGTGTTACGTATGTGTAGAATGTTCCGGTCGCGGGTCGGACCACCATATAACCTGTATGTGATGTATGGATCTCATATTGCTATCAGTATGGCAATAGGATTACTCTTCCTAGGTGGTGGCAAGTACGTGCTTCTTACTTTAGTGTTTCAAGCTGTTGTTTTTTTTTTTTTATCAAAAATCTTTTTTATGCCCCCACTTCAAAGAAGAGGGGGTATATTGCTTTGCATTTGTCTGTCTGTCGGTCCGTCGGCCCGTAGACCAAATGGTTTCTGAGTGATAACTAAAGAACCCTTAGGCCTAGGGACTTCAAACTTGGTATGGTGATTGGTCATGACCATTAGATGACCCCTATTGATTTTGGGGTCAAGGGGTCTAAGGTCAAGGCCAAATTGACCTTGTAAGTAAAAACTGTTTCCGATCAATAACTAAAGAATGTTTAGGCCTAGGAACTTCAAACTTGGTATGATGATTGGTCATGACCAGTAGATGACCCCTATTGATTTTGGGGTAAAGGGGTCAAAGGTCAAGGTCACATTGACCTTGTAAGTAAATACGGTTTCCGATCAATAACTAAAGAACACTTAGGCCTAGGAACTTCAAACTTGGTGTGATGATTGGTCATGACCAGCAGATGACCTCTATTGATTTAAGGGTCAAGGGGTCAAAGGTCAAGGTCACATTGACCGTGTAGGTAAAAATGGTTTCCGATCAATAACTAAAAAACACTTAGGCCTAGAAACTTCAAACTTCATGTGATGATTGGTCATGACCAGCAGATGACCCCTATCGATTTTGGGGTTAAGGGGTCAAAGGTCAAGGTCACATTGACCTTGTAGGTAAAAACGGTTTCCGATCAATATCTAAAGAATGCTTAGGCCTAGGAACTTCAAACTTGCTGTGATGATTTGTCATGACCAGCAGATGACCCCTATTGAATTTTTGATCAATGGGTCAAAGGTCAAGGTCACATTGACCTTGTAGGTAAAAAGGGTTTCCGATTAATAACTAAAGAACGCTTAGGCCAAGGTACTTCAAACTTGGTGTGGTGATTGGTCATGACCAGCAGATGACCCCTATTGATTTTGGGGTCAAGGAGTCAAAGGTCAAGTTTACAGTGACCTTGTAGGAAACTTGGTGTGATGATTGGTCATGACCAGCAGATGACCCCTATTGATTTTGGGGTCAAGAGGTCAAAGGTCAAGGTCACATTGACCTTGTAGGTAAAAACGCTTTCCAATCAAAAACTAAAGAATGCTTAGGCCTAGAAACTTCAAACTTGGTATGATGCTTGTTCATGACCAGCAGATGACCCCTATTGATTTTGGGGTCAAGGGGTCAGTGACATATTGACCTTGTACTTAAAGATGGTTTCTGACCAATAACTCAACAACTCAAGTTGCCATGGTTGATATTTTTATATTAAACTAAAAATCCTTTTGGTATACACATTTGAAGGTCTTATGTAATATAACAACTTGGCTGTCATTAATGAGGCCTACATGATTTATAAAATTTATGCATATATTATTTGGTAAGATTTGTAATAACTTAAATTGCTGCACACAACCTATGGGGTCACAATAATTATTACCTTGTGACTAGTCATGACCAGTAGATAACCCTTATTAATTTTTTGTTCACTGGGTCAGAAGTCATGCATAATAACCTGATCACATGACTAATTGGCTACCGATAGGGGGCATACATGTTTTACAAACATATCTTGTTTATATAATATCAGTCGAGGTCCTTTTCTTAGTTAAAATGGCAATGGACTGGATTCACAGAAATATCTGCTAAACAGCATATGATTTTAAGAAACCATTTTTGATGAGGTAAACACAGTGCACTGGCCAAAGAGCTAGTAATATCCTTGTGAACATATTTTATGTTATTTTGCTCTGTTTTGATCTTCATTTCATGGGAACTGTTTTTGTATTTGAACAAAATTTTCTGTTACAAATATATTGAAATAAGTTAAATTGTTTGTAATCTGTTGTTCTATGTGTGATACAGATGATTAGAACATAGTTTATGGTAACATGAGATTTTATTTATTTTAGGTACACATTGAGCACCAAAGATGAAGCTATAGCTGTAATGTTGTGTGCTTTCTTCCCCAAGTTCCCTACTCATAGTAATGACAATAGGTATGTTTGAGTATTTAAATGTTTATTTATTGAAGTATCACTTTAAACTTGTGTACATTAATGGGGAGTGATGGTGTATTGGTTTAGGTGCCTGCCTCTCAACCCAGGTACTGTAGGATTTGAGCCCTACTTTGGTGGCAATCATGTTTCCTCAAATTACACTTGTACATGTTAGTCTCAGGAATCAAACTTGAAAATGATTTATAATTATTAATAAAGGTGACAAGAAATTTTATACAATCAAATGTAAATAAACATGTTTAAAGTAAGTACCAGTAAGTTATGTAAGATTCATCAATATGAAACTTGAAAATTATAAATAAATATTAATATAGATGACAAGAAATTTTATACAGTCAAGTGTAAATAAACATGTTTAAAGTAAGTACTAGTAAGTCAATATGTGATATCCCAGCATTGAATTGATTTGTCAGATTGTATTATGATAATACCCTATTCTCTTCAGTTTCTTGCCCTTGGCACTTATGTTGAAATGAAAGTGAAGCTACTGAGTATATTCAATTGTGTTGTTTTTACTTTTGATCACTTTACATATAGATGTAAGGAAACAAACTTGTTTGCAAGACTTATTTTACTACTGAAAATCTATCAGAATTTTACTTCCTTGAGTATGGACATGAATTTTATGATCAGCATTATAATTACAGGTATCATTTACAAGCATTCCGTCACCTGTATGTCCTAGCATCAGAGTTAAGAACAATGTTACCACGAGATGTTGATACAGGATTTCCCTGCTATGTTCCTATAGAAATCAGGTTTAAAGTAAGCAAATTATAGCTAAATCAACGTTGATTTTGTGTAAAATGTGTTTGTCAAAAGTTTTGCATATTTCAGAAATCAGGTATTTAGTGCATGTATGTATTAGAAGAAATAAAATTTTAAGGTGATTAGCTTTTTAGACATTTGGTTAAGACTGTAATATTTGATAAAATTTAGATAAGATTCCTGATGAAGGTGTTTATAATAAATATCTGGTTGATAATAAAATTAGTGAAACTTATCATGGTGTTGAAGTGCTGTTCCATTTATTTATTCTTCTCCATTTATGTTTGATCAGATTTTCTTTGTTTTAAACAAATCATGAGTATTTCTAGTTATCAGTAGAATAGAAATGTTATATGTATTTGTAAGAATATTTTGATATGACATAAGTATTATATTAATATTTGTGTTGCCAGGATACAGAGCATTATTGTAATGAGTCATATAGAACATCAGCACCATGTACATTACCAGAACTTGATCTTCTACAAGAGGTGAGTTTATTCTATCATTTCATATTGCATATCCCCATTTTCTATTACATTTATTTACAGCATATACTAGGCTTTTTAGATTCTGTCTTAGTTAACCCTTAGTCTATTTTCAAGTTAACCTTAAGCCTATTGTCAGTGACTGAATCTACCCATGTCACAAGTTCAAACCATGATCAGATGACACAGACAGCACATCAGTCTGATCATGGTCTGCACTGCTTCCTAGTCAGTCAGTATATATTTTGATTTTTTTCAAAAATTAATGATTACTTTTGATTATATTGAAAGATGCACAAATCTATTTAAAATATTTAACGAGGTAAGAGTTAGTATGGAACACTTAATTCAACAATATACTGGGTAATCATAAATGTTGAAATATTACAGAGCTTTATAATTTATATTTTAAACTAAATTAGCTAAGATTAGTTGAATCATATAAGATTGTTGTGGAAGTAAAGTATTTCTTTTTGTAAATGTTTAAGAAAGAATGACAAGAAATTGTGAACAGTTAAAATTTTGATATCAGAAAACAGAGTGATATTAAATTACGACTTCCTCACTTTTTGTATTGAAGTTTCTCTTTAAAGATAATACCGGTATATATTTCAGATCAAAATACTTGGACCGAGATATTGGCCGATTGTATTTCACAAAGATAAAAACTGGAAGAGCTTAAAGTAAGTATCTCATATTGAGTTTTTTCTTGAAGCATGACACTGCAAGAGTCATCAGTCTGCTCAAAGTATTTAGACAATGTTAACTAGATATAATTTTATGTTATTATAACAATGTCACCTGTAATTTTTGGTACTGATCATTGTCAATTTTGATTGGGTCAAGCTGAACATTTGACATTAGTCAGCCAACAGTATGAAGCCTGGTCAGATTGCATGAACATGCAGAATGGTTTGTCCTGTCTTGATGGCAACAGCTGTTAGCTTATGTTTCAGTATTTTAAATGCAGATATCAAGTTTAACATAGAAAGTGGTGACAGTATAAATGTGATATTATTAATGTGTTATCTGTATTTATGTTGCAGGTTACTATTAAAACATAATGGAACATTGTATGTGAAACAGAGAGCTGGTCATCTTTCATATGTAGAAGATCCTAAGGTGATTCATTGCATGACTTTAGTGAGAAAAAATGTTATTTTAATTCTTTGATGTTGATTACAACACAGCATATATGATTTGGTTATAATACAGCATTTAAGATGATTTTAAAAAATAAGTTTTATTTCCTACATCAAAAAGTATATGGGATTATAAGACAAAATGTAGGGTTTATTTATGGCAATAAAATTTCATGAACAAAATAAGTTATATCAGTATTATTAAATTTTCGTCATACAAATGAATATTTGTAATGAAATCTGTAACTCGTGTTCTTCTGAATACATGATAACCCAAACAAAATTATTTTATTGGGGCGTCCGTGGCCGAGTGGTTAAATCACTGACTTCAAACCACTTGCCCCTCACCACTGTGGGTTCAAATCCCGACAGGGACTTGGATTCTTTCATGTGAGGAAGCTATCCAGCTAGCTTACAGAACGTCGGTGGTTCTACTCAGGTGCCCGTTTATGCCTGAAATAATGCACGGAAGGGCACCTGAGGTTTTCTTCCACCAGTTAAGCTGGAACGTCGCCAAATGACCTATACTGTGTCGGTGTGACCTAAAACCCAAAACAAACCAACAAACAAAATTATTTTATATATATCAACAGGGTTATAGAAGTATGCTTGCCAAATCTCTGACAGTGGACCAGTCATCACAAACTTGTGTTAAGGTAATACCAATGTTTTTATTCTTTCAGTTTGTAAACCTTCATCTTATTTCTAGCACTTTATATTTATATATTTATCTGAGATAAAACATTTTAGTAATGAGTATGCTGTAGGATAAGCTTTAAGATATTTCGTTATTTACAGTTTGGTAGAAATTAGCTTTGTATTAGGAGAAACTAAATAAACACAGTTGTTGTTATCCAGCTAGCTTACAGAACGCTGATGGTTATATCCAGGTGCCCGTACTTGTCTGAAGTAATGCACTAAGGGGTTCCTGAGGTCTTCCTCCACCAGTAAAGCTGGAAAGATGCCATATAACCTCTATTGTGCACACACATTTGTTCCTTGTTTCCATGTTATGTTTTTATGATGTAAAAATGACATTTGAAGGACATGTCTGACAGTATGTTTATTTTATATTTTCAGCCTGACATCATTAAAGCATTTACATCAGATAGTAAGGTTATAGCACTGACTGAGTACTTCTTTAGTAAACATGGCGATACTGTAAGTAATTGTTATATATTTCCTGACTGAACCTTTCTTATTGGTTGACATTTATAATTATACAATATTAAAGTAAATTTTTAACTTAATATTTTGTTTCTTTTCATGATGTTCTATACATTCATTAGTTTGTAGAACAGATTTTTCCATTTGAAGTTTTTAAAGTTTACTGTGGCTTGTTCAAATTTATTTTAGTTTCTCAAATGTCGTAGAATAAAAGTGTTTCATTACTTGATTATAAAACCATATATAATGAAGTGATTTCTAAGTTTTGGAAAATGCTATTATCATTTCATATATTTTTTTTTCTTTCAGCATGAAGATCTACTACAAGTGCTATCAGATATCTTATATGAATGTGTAACCCATGAGAAACCAGAGGCCATATCTACACATATAACTCTAGACCAGGTAACATTACATATCTACACATATGATTATAGACCATGTAACATTACATATGTACACATATAACTCTAGACCAGGTAACATTACATATGTACACATATAACTCTAGACCAGGTAACATTACATATGTACACATATAACTCTAGACCAGGTAACATTACATATGTACACATATAACTCTAGATTAGGTAACATTACATATGTACACATATAACTCTAGACCAGGTAACATTACATATCTACACATATAACTCTAGACCAGGTAACATTACATATGCACATATATAACTCTAGACTAGGAAACATTACATATCTACACATATAACTCTAGACAAGGTAACATTATATTTCTACACATATAACTCTAGACCAGGTAACATTACATATGCACATATATAACTCTAGACTAGGAATCATTACATATCTACACATAAAACTCTAGACAAGGTAACATTACATATCTACACATATAACTCTAGACCAGGTAACATTACATATCTACACATATAACTCTAGACCTGGTAACATTACATATCTACACATATAACTCTAGACCAGGTAACATTACATATGCACATATATAACTCTAGACTAGTAAACATTACATATCTACACATATAACTCTAGACTAGGAAACATTACATATCTACACATAAAACTCTAGACAAGGTAACATTACATATCTACACATATAACTCTAGACCAGGTAACATTACATATGCACATATATAACTCTAGACTAGGAAACATTACATATCTACACATAAAACTCTAGACAAGGTAACATTACATATCTACACATATAACTCTAGACCAGGTAACATTACATATCTACACATATAACTCTAGACCTGGTAACATTACATATCTACACATATAACTCTAGACCAGGTAACATTACATATGCACATATATATAACTCTAGACTAGTAAACATTACATATCTACACATATAACTCTAGACTAGGAAACATTTACATATCTACACATAAAACTCTAGACAAGGTAACATTACATATCTACACATATAACTCTAGACCAGGTAACATTACATATGCACATATATAACTCTAGACTAGGAAACATTACATATCTACACATAAAAACTCTAGACAAGGTCACATTACATATCTACACATATAACTCTAGACCAGGTAACATTACATATCTACACATATAACTCTAGACCTGGTAACATTACATATCTACACATATAACTCTAGACAAGGTAACATTACATATCTACACATATAACTCTAGACCAGGTAACATTACATATCTACATATATAACTCTAGACTAGGAAACATTACATATCTACACATAAAACTCTAGACAAGGTAACATTACATATCTACACATATAACTCTAGACCAGGTAACATTACATATCTACACATATAACTCTAGACCAGGTAACATTACATATGCACATATATAACTCTAGACTAGTAAACATTACATATCTACACATATAACTCTAGACTAGGAAACATTACATATCTACACATAAAACTCTAGACAAGGTCACATTACATATCTACACATATAACTCTAGACCTGGTAACATTACATATCTACACATATAACTCTAGACCAGGTAACATTACATATCTACACATAAAACTCTAGACAAGGTAACATTACATATCTACACATATAACTCTAGACCAGGTAACATTACATATCTACACATATAACTCTAGACAAGGTAACATTATATTTGTACACATATAACTCTAGACCAGGTAACATTACATATCTACACATATAACTCTAGACCAGGTAACATTATATTTGTACACATATAACTCTAGACAAGGTAACATTACATATGCACATATATAACTCTAGACTAGGAAACATTACATATCTACACATATAACTCTAGACAAGGTAACATAACATAGCTATAAATATAACTCTTTACCAGGTAACATATACTTATAATTTATTTATATTGTGTATATCTTTCTGCTTAACCCAGCTGATCTATGTAAGTCATTCAAATTTCATGTAATATGGACCTCAGTGGAGTTTTTTCATATGTAAACACTAGCTATAAGCAGAGTAGAGGATTATTTTCTGTAGTGTTTCAGCAGTTATATCCTTACTGTAAATCAGTCTGAATACCACTCATAACAAAATTGAACAACTACCATGTTATAGTAAAAGTTTGCTAAATAGAAAGGAAATATAAATCTGCCCATTTACTCTAATGGGGAAAATTTTCCAAATGAAATAAACCCAAGATGTTATAGACTTCTGTATTATATTAACAGGTAACTAGACGTTCAGAGTTTCAGTGTACATCTCTAGGTATAAGTCAGCTTAAGTTGATATTTGCCTACTATAACCTGGAACATTCATCTGTCCCCACTGGTAATGAAATGTTAGACCACTCTGGTGTCCATGAAGAATTCCAGGGGCAGCAACTCCTCAAACCTGAGTTTATACTCTCTACTAAAAACAGACTAAAAGATGTGCTGGATAAATGGTTACAAGGTATAACTATTAATTGAATTTATATCTTTATATGCAAATATAAAACAGGTTGTTGATAATAGTTTGTTAGCAATAATGTATTGTCTAAGGCAACAGTAATTCATTGAACTATATATGTAATAGTGTCTGCTTTTTCCATGAATTAAACATGTTAGAAGGATAACAATTTCTTTCTATATATCGCTCTTATCTATTGGTTAACTCTGATATGAAATTTAATGTGATTATGAAAAAGTGTATTTCAGTTAGAGCATAACTAATCTTTACAAGTGCGATAGAATACCTTCATTGGTGAAATTTTGTGAACAATCTTGTTTTTTTATGCCCCCCGTCCATCCGTACGTCCTGATATCTTGTGAACGCAACTCCTCTTAAACCGGATGGCAGATTTTGCTTAAACTTCCAGGGATGAACAACCTAAATGTGTAGATGGTAGTAAAGGAAGGAATTTTTGCTGCGACCAAATTTAACAGAGTTATGGCCCTTTGTTGATTTTTTCACTATATACTATGTAGAAATTTTGTGAACGCAACTCCTCTTAAACCGGATGGCAGATTTTGCTTAAACTTCAAAGGATGAACAACCTTAATGTGTAGATGGAAGTAAAGGAAGGAATTTTTGCTGCGACCAAATTTAACATAATTATGGCCCTTTGTTGATTTTTTCACTATATACCATATATATGTTGTCAGTGGGGGCATCCGTGTCCTTTGGACACAGTTCTAGTTTTTTACAATGTTGGTTCATAATTTCAAGAAAAATGCATCAATACCTTAACATGATACATTGTATGTACTTTTAAAAAAATCTTTTCTCTGGAATTATTACAAATGAAATTGTATGTACTGTAACTGGAGTTGTATATTTCAGAGAACTTGTCTGTACTAGTGAAGTACATGAAGGGTGAGACAGTGAAAGGATCAGCAGTAAAGAATTTGTCTGCTGTGTTAGTGTGGTACGATATACCAAGTCCTGCTGATATTGCACATATCTCCATTGATGGTATATTATATTGCTATTGTTATTCTTTAAGTCTAAAGATAGTAAAGCCCCCCAAAAATGTTCTGGTTTTTTTTGGTTTATACAGAATTTATTTTAGTTCAATTGTGTAAGAAGCTATAAGATTGTAGGCACACTCTTGAGTCTGTTCCTGGAACCAATCAGTACAAAGCAATTGTGCAGGTTTCTTGCTCAAGGAAACAATGGCTAGCCCTTGACTGGGTTTTAACCCACAGGGCTGTGTTAATCACTTGGGCATGGTGTCCTACCTGAAAAAAGGGGTAGGTAGGTTGGAATGTATTTTTTTTCCATAAATTTTTGTCAATATTTTAAAGAAAAGTTTTTGAAAAAAGCAGAAAGGAGAGTAAAAAGTTTAAAAGTCAGCAGTTGAAAAAGTGGGTAGTTCAGGTGACCAGAAACATAACTTTTCTTTTGGCCTAATTACAAGAAAAGCTAAATAATTTCTTTAAAGGAGGTCTATAATCATTCCTTTAGATTATAAAATTTAGCTAAAAGTTTGTTATTTAGAAGGCTTATTTACATGATATTTTACTGCTGGTTTAAATGATTTAGTGTACTTAAATTATATAAGTGTACTAAGTTTATATTTGTGTACTTTGTTAACAATGCTTTGAATGTGCACATAGTTTATATGATGTTTAAATGGTTATAGGTGAACCTTATTTATATACTATTGAAATAATTATAGGTGTACCAAGTTTAGATAATGTTCATATGTGTTCCAAGTTTATATTGTGTATATGATTGTACATGTATTTATTATGTTTGTAGGTGTACCTAGTTTACCAGCGTTGTATGCAGCCCTACCACAGTTACATGTGAGCACATTGATGATGTTACTGAAGGCCTGGAGAACTGACAGATGACCCACATTACCATAGAACTATATATACATCACTTACTGCTAGCATGTTACCATAGAGATTTAAATACATCATTTAGCATGTTACCATAGAAACTTAAATACATCATAAACTTATAGCATGTTACCATGGAGATTTAAATTGTACTCTGCTAGCATATTACCTTAAAGGTTAATCATTTACATTCTTTGGATATAGACTTATTATTACACTCAGTGTTGATAAAATAACTGGAACAGATGACGTGTCATGCAAATATATAGACAAGAGTTCTGTCATAACTAGCTGTAGGAAACACATGGACAATATTTGAAATGGATCTGTCATAGAGTGGAGAACTTTTCCAGTCTCACCTTTCCTGACACAGAATCATGTACAATTTAGCAAAACATTAACTTGAAAATGTGGCTTCATGCTTACAAAAAAGAACAAATAAACAATTTGAAGAAGGCATAATTATCTAAATAAAGTATAGCATATGTATAAACTAAGAAGAAATTCATTCAGTCATTCTTATAGAATGATTTATGTATTGGTTTTAGCACAGGTTTCCAAACAATGAAAATAAATATTTTCATACTTATAGTATGGTCCTGTTGTGAGTGTTTGAAAACTTACTTTGTTTCAGGCAGCATGGTTTATTATTTTTTCTCAAAAGTTAAATTTATCTATCTAGTGATATTGTTTCTATGACAACGTTGAAAATGTATTTGAAACAATGAAATTTGTGAATTGTTTTTTGTATATTTATATCCTGTTGCATATATCTTGTATAGATCATGTTAAAATGTTGACTCATTCAATGATTCATACTTATATATACATTAATAAACAAGTAAAAATATTTAATTTGTGCTTTTATATCTTTCCTTTGTGAGGATATGTACATAAGAGCAATACCTTTGTTGATGATATACATTTGTATTAATGAAAAATAACAACAAATAAAAAGAGCACTTATATGGATTGACAAAAAGCAACAACAAATGAGTATTATTGAAAGTTAAATATAATGTTGTTTTGGTGCAACAAGTTGTCTAATGGCTTACTTATATTGAAACTTTGATTATTGCTAGTTTATAAAATTATATTCATTTATGCTTGTTGCATCTAATTTTGTGTTAAATAAAATCATGCAAATTTTTTTTTAAAATAATCTAGAAAACTGTAGTACCTACAAACAATTTCATACATGTGAACTCTCCCTATTTAAGCGGGAGACTCGCCCTTTCTCTCGTCAAATTTTTAGATATTTTTCTTAGAATGAGGGGTGTTTAAACAAAAAAAAATCTCCCTCTTTTTCATTTAAAAATTTCCATCTGTGTCTATCGTCAATTAAAAAAATCTCCCTCAATTTGAAGTAAGTTCTCCCTCTTGAACATTGAAAAAAGTTCACATATTGTATGCATTTTCCTTAATTCTTCTATAAAAATTAAAGATATGATCATACTGGGACTTCCCGGGATCATAGTAATAAATTTTTAGTACTGCCACATTAGAATCAAATAGTACAATGAAGAGATTTTGCTAAATGTATATCAATATCTTATAGATCAGGAAAAAAAAAACAGTTTCAGAGAAGAGAAGATCTTGAACATATACAATCTAATATTCTGTGATATGTATAGTTCTGATACTTGAATTTAAATTTAATAGACTCTGGCCATAGATAATTTTCAACTGTGAATATTCATTGATGGCTTTATGATCATTTGAACATACTTGTTCTTAATAATTTAGTTGGCTTGCACAAAAGTTATTGTCACAAGTTATCTATTCTTACTGTTAATTGCTAATGGTGAAAATTTACTTCGACACCGTTATGATGTAAACAGCACGAAACATTGATACTCTAATGTCTACTAATGTAAGTCATTATCATGGAAACGTCCTCTCAATTTTTAAATAATGTGCAATGTATAAATGAATGGTTACAAATTTAATAGCTGTCATTATTTCCTATGTAATAGAATTGAAGTGTTGCAAAAAGTGAACGATTGTCGGATAGTTCCAATAGTCGGATACCTATGATAGATTTCATCAGTTTTGACAGGATATAGTACAGGTAAGGAGAAAATGTTATGAATTCGTTTGTTAGGCAAACTATTTCATAGTTTTGATTAAGGGTTTTAAACAGGCCCAGCTAACTCGAACCCATCTTATCTGAATCCTTCTTTATCTAAACAAAGTGGCCTCAGTGTCCCAATTTTATTTGTTCTATTGAAAACTTTTGTAATGGCTTAATTGATTGAAAATCGGCACATTCCAAATTAAAGGTTTGTTATTCTTTATTTGCAGACACATAACTATTTTTCTTTTGTAATGAATTTAATTACATGGGATAAAATAACGGCAATTAACACTGATTAAGGAAAACTGTCAATGAATTCTAATAATCACCAAGTTGGGTGAGAAAACAACAATCATTGACCAATACCGGTTGATGTTTGGAAATCACTTTGTCTCTTTTAGTGTTACAAAAAGTCATGTCTCATCCCTTCTAATCCGGAAACCTTTCAATTCCGAATTTTTGTTCTGGTCCGGACAAGTATGGATTGACAGGTTCCACTGTACTCGATGCCTATATATACCTATTTATTACATGCTTTTCGGTGGTTTATAGAAATATATCAGTGATATAAAACTGGTAATTTCACTGTTTGAATCAGTGAAATTACCACTTTGATAATTTCACTGTTTTGAATTTAAGCCCCTTTACGTTGTTTCAGTGAAATACCAGCGTGGACAGTACTGGGTACCAACTTAATGACGTGACGTCGTAAATGACGTCACGTTGTTTTATTATTTGGCGCGCTTTTCATTCAGTATTAGGTTTAATGTCTTTTTAAAACGTTTCTTTGCATATAATAAAAAGAAAATTTGTTAAGTTTAGTGTAAGATCGAAATATATTTCACCTTGTGAAGACCAAAAGTTCATATTTCACTCGTGGCTGCGCCACTCGTGAAATATACCTTTTGGTGCTCACTCGGTGAAATAAATTCCGATCTTACACTGAACTAAATAAATATCCTTTATAAGTCCAACTAATTATACTTGTCAGAGACATATTAAGCTTATGTTTAGGCAACAATTTCTTTTTCCAACAGTTGTAAAAAAAACCATCTCTATTAAATGTGTCAAACTGATCATGCCTAATTAATTAGGGTAACCTTTCTTTTAGAAATACAAATCTAACTTAATTAAGTAATTGTAAATTAAGACATGTTAGCCTCATCACCTGATACAAGGAAAAGTTTAAAACATCTCTGCATATAGTATAAGCCCTTTCAGTATGTTCCACTTAATATATTTCTACCGTGTGTGCCATATTACTGAGTTATATTCTGAAGCCGTACATAAGTTTTATGGGGCATCCATGGCCAAGTGGTTAAGGTTGTTGACTTCAAACCATTTGCCCCTCATCGCTGTAGGTTCGAATATCGCCAAGGACTTTGAATTCTTTCATTTGAGGAAGCTATCCAGCTAGCATACACAACGTCAGTGGTTCTACTCAGGGGCATATTCTTGCCCTGAAATAATGTGAATAGGGGCACCTAGGTCTTCCTCCACCAATAAAGCTGAAAAGTCACCATATGACATTAATGTTTGTGCAATGTTAAACCAGAAGAAAAAATAATAAGAACATAAGTTATATAGGCTGATGTTATGACTTACGTGTAAGTTATATAGGCTGATGTTATGACTTACGTGTAAGTTATATAGGCTGATGTTATGACTTACGTGTAAGTTATATAGGCTGATGTTATAACTTACGTGTAAGTTATATAGGCTGATGTTATGACTTACGTGTAAGTTATATAGGCTGATGTTATGACTTACGTGTAAGTTATATAGGCTGATGTTATGACTTACGTGTAAGTTATATAGGCTGATGTTATGACTTACGTGTAAGTTATATAGGCTGATGTTATGACTTACGTGTAAGTTATATAGGCTGATGTTATGACTTACGTGTAAGTTATATAGGCTGATGTTATGACTTACGTGTAAGTTATATAGGCTGATGTTGTGACTTACGTGTAAGTTATATAGGCTGATTTTATGACTTACGTGTAAGTTATATAGGCTGATTTTATGACTTACGTGTAAGTTATATAGGCTGATGTTATGACTTATGTGTAAGTTATATAGGCTGATTTTATGACTTATGTGTAAGTTATATAGGCTGATGTTATGACTTATGTGTAAGTTATATAGGCTGATGTTATGACTTATGTGTAAGTTATATAGGCTGATGTTATGACTTACGTGTAAGTTATATAGGCTGATGTGTTATGACTTACGTGTAAGTTATATAGGCTGATGTTATGACTTACGTGTAAGTTATATAGGCTGATGTTATGACTTACGTGTAAGTTATATAGGCTGATGTTATGACTTACGTGTTTTGGGTTCTGATATTTCTCTGGATAAATCTTAGGAATCAACTTGCTTTGTTTAAAGATCAAGACACAAACAAAATTTCTGTCAAAATATCAAATAGAATCATAGAAGATAATATTCTTTAGTATAGAATAGTGTAGATTTTATTTCCAATCATGGGCCTATTCAGGCATATAATTATGAAATAACAATATTATATGAGATGTGAACAGTGTCCATAATGATGAGCAATGTTTTAAGATTGAGATTTATGATTGTTTTCCAGGAGAGTTGTTTTGACTCAGTACTTTAGTACTTTTCAATGGATTCAATTAAACTTCCCAAGCAACAAACATGCTTATCACCTTATGTACATAAATTGATAATTGAAGATACATTCAGTGAAGGGAGAGATGCATGTGTCTTTGATCAGAATGGATTGCTGGATTTTGAATACATCTGCAGCAAATTACCAGGTAAATTTTGATGTCTCACAATTTTGTGTATGGGATAATGCTTTATAAATCCTTCACCCCTTGAAGGACTTTCTTTAAGCTTGTCTCAAAATTTAATGTTCACCTTGACAAAGCCATGCTCTAGGTCGTCCTTGAATGTCAATGTTAGACATTATTTCTCATCTATAAATCTTACGTCCCTTAATGAATAATCTTCAAACTTGGCTAAAATTTCCACCTCAAAACCCATGCCACCATTGTGCCAGGTCAAGGTGAAAGTCACACTTCAAGGTCAAATGTCAGTCAATATCATATCCACTCTATAAATACTTTACACCTTTAAGGACATTATTCAAACTTAACTAAAATGTTTTCTGTCAAAAATAATGATTGGATCTACATTAGATCATTTGTCATAGAGATGGCCGAAATATTTGTCACTCCTGTGACAACTGTAGTATGTACATGTGTTACTATAATCATCAATTGGGAGGTATGATACAGGTGTTTGCCTTTTAGTCTGGGGAATTGTAGAATAGAGCCTTACTCTGGTGACAATCAAGTTTCTTAGTATGTCACCGGTACTGATAAGTCCTGGAAACTGACTCAGTACGTAATGAATAAGAACTTGCTTCATAATCAATTATAAATAATAAAATCATATACAATGGGTTTAAGACAGACCATTTCTAAGAATTATGATTTATAACTGGAAAAAATAAAGAAAATTGTAGAAAAAAATAAAATAATATATCTGTATTAAAACATTAGAATTAGATGACAACTTGTATATTTTACTATATCTAGCTGAAGGATCACAAGATGACCTTGCCAGCTATTTTCAGACCTGTGTTGTAAAACTGGCTCCTATGTTACACAGTGTTGAAGATTTTATGACAGATGACAAATTATCTTTGAAAGAAAAATATTGCCATCTACTTGAGTGGACTGGCCAAGCTGATGTGAGTAGCTAATATAGAAATTTACCAAGAACTTGTTTTCTGTCAAATAGATTGAAATGTTCTGTTTGTTAATATGCATATTTAATAACAAATACAATTATATCTTTGGAAATGTCATATTCAATATATAACCAAATGCTTGATAGAGTATAGTTTATTGTATTAAAATATGTCTGTAGATATTCATGATATCTAGGGGCGTTCGTGGCCGACTTCAAACCACTTGCCCCTCACCGCTGTGGGTTCGAATCCTGACAGGGACTTTGAATTCTTTCATGTGAGAAAGCTATCCAGCTAGCTTACAGAATGTCGGTGGTTCTACTCAGGTGTCGTTCGTGCCTGAAATAATGCACAGAAGGGCACCTGAGGTCTTCCTCCACCAGTAAAGCTGGAACATCGCCAAATAACCTATACTGTGTAGGTGTGGCGTGTAGGTGTGACGTAAAACCCAAACAAACCAACAAACAAATTCATGATGTCTAAATGATAGTAATATATGGTTTTTAAAACACAAATAATATGTTTATATCAGTTTCAATTGATATGCCAACTTAATATTAGAAGAATGTGTTCTAATATTTCATTTATAGAAAACAACAGTGAATTAAACAATTACATGTATATAACATTTGCTACTTTGAAATATTCTCAGCTTTGATTATCATTAGTAAGAACAGTAACTTTGTATTGACAGCAATTGTTAGAGGTATGGGATATGATGAGGAATGAGGACAGTATAGAGGATCTTACAGTGTTAATGGTGACAACAACCTTTCTAGAGAGATCCCTGGGTAATGTATGTACATATCACAGATTTATCATGCTTTACTTTAATAACCTTACTATACTGATTGTTAGTTAGAATAGATCATGCCATAGTAATATCTTGAATATACCCTTTTAATTGTTCAACTGTGCTTCATTTAGAATATTTATTTATTTTTTTGTGCAAGCTTTTACATGCAAATCATTGACGCTGTCATCAAATATTATTTGGACAGATAAGAAAGGACGTTTTTATTCTATACACCTGATGGAACCTGTTTTTAGCTCACCTGTCACAAAGTGACAGGGTGACTGTCACAAAGTGACAGGGTGAGCTTTTGTGATCGCTTTTCGTCCGTCGTCCGTCCGTCGTCCGTAAACTTTTACTTTAAATGACATCTCCTCATTAACCACTAAGCCAATTTCATCCAAACTTCACAGGAATGTTCCTTTGGTGGTCACCTTTGAAAATTGTTCAAAGAAATTAATTCCATGCAGAACTCTGGTTGCCATGGCAACCAAAAGAAAAAACTTTAAATATCTTCTTCTATAAAACCCAAAGAGCTAGAGCTTAGATATTTGGCATGAAACATCTTCTAGTGAGTGTCTACCAAGTTTGTTCAAATAAAAGCCCTGGGGTCAAAATTGGCCCCGCCCCAGGGGGTCATTGATTTTCCCTATATGCATATAGTAAAAACTTAAAAATCTTCTTTTAAAGAACCCAAAGAGCTAGAGCTAAGATATTTAGCATGAAACATATTCTAATGGATGTCTACCAAGTTTGTTCAGATAAGAGCCCTGGGGTCAAAATTGGCCCCGCCCCGGGGGTCATTGATTTTCCTTATATGTGTATAGCAAAAACTTAAAATCTTCTTTGAAAAAAACCAAATAGCTAGAGTTTAGATACTAAGCATGAAACATCTTCTAGTGAGTGTCTACCAAGTTTGTTCAAATAAAAGCCCTGGGGTCAAAATTGTCCCCGCCCCGGGGTCATTCATTTTCCTTATATGTGTATAACAAAAACTTAAAAAATCTTTTTTGAAAAAACTCAAATAGCTAGAGTTTAGATATTAAGCACAGAGCATCTTCTAGTGAGTGTCTACAAAGTCTGTTCAAATGAAAGCCCTAGGGTCAAAATTGGCCCCGCCCCGGGGGACATTGATTTTCCTTATATGTGTATAGCAAAAACTTAAAAATCTTCTTTGAAAAAACCCGAATAGCTAGAGTTTAGATATTAAGTATGAAACATTTTCTAGTAAGTGTCTACAAAGTTTGTTCAAATAAAAGCCCTTGGGTCAAAACTGGCCCTGCCCCAGGTGTGTCATTGTTTTTAACTATATGTTTAAAGAAAAAACTTGACAAGCTAGACCTTAGATGTTAAGCATGAAGCATCTTCTAATGGGTGTCTACCAAGTTTGTTCAAATAAAAGCCCTGGGGTTTAAACTGGCCCCTCTCCGGGGGCCTATATACAGGTGAGCGACTTCAGGGCCATCATGGCCCTCTTGTTTTGTACATTCTGCAGTTGACTTTAACATTATTCTTATTGACCCGAGACAATGCTGACTGCATTAAACAGGGTCATGTAATTATACAGGGTACATTATATTTAATGAAAACAAGACTATATTATACAGGGTAAATTTAATAAAGGACAAAACTATATATACAAGGCACATATATTAAATAAGAACAAGACTATATGTATATACATATAACAAGACTTTTAATAAATAATTATTGCCAACACTAGAAGCTATATTTATATAGGTGATAAAACAGTTTTGACTACTGTGTAAATAAAGATTGGGGAATAAATCATCATATAAACAGAAATTTGAAATTGATTTTCATGAGCAATATTGTCCTCTTCACAAGAGGCTCTTATGTCTCAATTATCTCTCAATTATCTCTCAAATGTAAAAATAGAAAGCCATTGAAGTTGGATTCATTCTTTCAATTTAACATGATTAATGCTATTTCAAAATAAAATGTGATTAAAAGAATGATGACAGGTCTGTATTTTAACATTTGAATCAGTCTGATAGAGACAATCAGTATATGATCATTGATAGTGATACTTCATACTGTCTGTTTTGACCCCATTTCATTGCCTATTCAATATGTTGGAAAGGAGTTTACATATATGGATGATTGCAACATTGTTTCTTGCCCTTCGTTGAAGAGAAAGCAGGTAGCAGTTTAATGCATGTTGAGGTCTGTTTTCTTGTTCCATACATTGTCCTAAAATGTTGAGAGCTGTTTCTCTATGTTCAAGATTTCTATCTGTAACTATGGTTATTATAAGATTATTAAGTGCTTCTTTTTTATCTTGATGCCTTTGTAGATGCCTGTAGATCTTGTATTGTAGGAAGTACAAGAAAGGTAGAGAATCAACAACAGCCCAGTCCATCCAACAGTCTATAAACTCCTGTCTGTGTATCATGTCATCTTGTGTAGATCTAAACATTTCATATTGTAGTTCATGAGGAACACAGTTGATCTCTTCCTTTATAAATCTGACACAAAATGCTGTAATGTGTTTAATATAGTCCTCACTTTGTTCACCACATATCCTCTTGTATTCTGCTGTTACTGCTGGTGGAGGCTTCTTCCGGCAGTGACAGATAGGTACAACAGGATAAGAGTAATATTGTTGTTCAGTGTGTCTCAGAATTAGTTCAGCTTTTTCCATATCTCCTGTACTGTAGAACACTGAAGCCAATTTAAGTCTGCCAGATGAGTTATCTGAGTTTAAACCAGCTGATAGCCAAACCAATGATTCAGGTGACACTTGATTATTTTCTACAATGCTTGATGATGCTAGGATAGATCCATATGTGGTAAAAACAAAAGGTGCTAGAAGCTTTACTGCAGCCTGTTCTAATCTATTACCATTATCACAAAAGGACATTAGTTTACCTACATATTGCTTTATTGTTCTTATGTTTTTGTTGTGTAAATGTTCTAAATATTGCTTATGCTGTTCACATATCTCTTTTGCAATATTTATATATTGCTGGGTCAAGACATTTTCATAAATTTGAAGAGAAGACTTAAAGTAGTAAACTCCATGTGGTGCCATGTTCAGTTTGACTTGAAGTCTATGACCAAGATCATCAATATCAATACTAAGTAACTGGTGTCTATCATTCTGTAAAAGTTCACAAATATTTTTTGAAAGTTCATGCTTTGTGTCAGCTGTAAATTGCCCTGCCATCAAATTATTTTCTGGTATAATGAAATGTGAACAACAGTCATTTTGAACAAAACTGTGTAATTGCAATAAGCAGTATGTTAAACATGTAAATAAATTGTTTTCTTTCCATATCTGTGACTCTGTGTTTTCTATACAATGTAATAGAACTGTTTTACACATAAAACTTGAAATATTGATTTCCCCTTGAGGATTAAGGAAAGATTTAAGGATCATTTTCAACAACACATAGCACCTTATTTGTGTTATATTTAGATTCATCATCAGGCATCTTTCTGCCATTGATGTAGATATTCTCCATTCCAGTTCAGGATATTCACTGACCCTACTCCCAGTTGCAACAACGAAACACCCAGTACTGGCTGCATATCTTTTCATTTTTTGTGTTGGCCATCTGCCAATACCCTGTCTATCTAACCAACCTGATGCTGATTGAGGCCATGATTTACATGGTAAAGCAATAACAAGGTCTCTATCACAGAATCCAGGTTGTCCTTCTTCAGCAATAGATGGTCCATGCTGCTGACCAGCACTTGCAAACATATTATTTATGATTGTGTTTTTATACAATATTCTTCCTCTTCTATCAGTAATATAGTGTTCATTAGGACTGACAGTAAGAGGAAGAGGTACATTATCTCTGAGCTTTTGTAAGAAACAATAACCTCTTGTAGTGTTCTCATCCTGTATCATGAGGTAGTTTTTCTTGCCTTGTTCCCACTCTGACCAGTCTTGTATTATATTGTAATTATGATCAGAGTATAGTATATCAATGTCTGAATTAAGTCCTAAAGTAGTTGTACCTTCACTCTGACTCCCAAGAAGATATTCAGTCATGTTTTCATCAGCTAACCTCCACCTGATATTCCTCATAGTTTCTATCAGCATGCAATGTCTTCTCCTTCTCATCACCATTCTTTCATTGACACCAATGTCATTTAAAACCTCTGATAACATCAATGATAGGTTTTCTCTGTAGTCAGGTTCTTGAAACATTCTGTAATATATTGGTAAAATGGAAAATTGTTTAAGTCAGCCACCAAATTATTTTTATCACATACTTCTACTTGTTCCTTATTTGTCCTTTATGTCCTAGAACAGATCAGAACAAAAGAGTCAATATGGACATTATGAAACATAAGATAGTTACCTCTCTGGCGTGGGTTCGATCCCCGGGATATGCTTTGGTAGTTTAGCGCGGAGGAAGGTAGTCTAGTACTGGTGTAACTCTCCAGGAATGATTGTTAGGAAACTACCCGCGTATATGACTGAAATACTGTTGGAAAAAGGCGTAAAATGAAACAAACAAACAAACAAACGAAACATAAGATAAATAAGTTAAGGTAGTTATCAATTGATTAAGAATATTGATTTTTTTTCTTTTTGGTTGTGGTATTTTTCTTCTATTATGTAAATTAGAATATTTGTTTAAAAAAGACACTTAAATTAAACACATGTTCAAATATTCCATGTAACATTTTCTTACATGAAAATTCATTCAACATAATTTTGAAATTGTGTATATAAAATAAAGTTTTAAACTTACTTTGAATGTTGGATTTAATAGAATTTTATAGAAATAATCAAGAAAAAATAGTTCTTTTTATTTGACCAGATATGTGGAATATAACATATAACACCACAATAAATTACATGATGATATGAAATTTTATATTCTATATTTTGTAATTCATAATTTATTGAAACAAATATGTAATTTTTAGATTGAAAAAAGGGAGACACAAAAATTAAAAACACTGTCTGAAATATCACCTGAACTACTTTCCTACATAATTCATTCTATATAAATGTGAAATTGTGTATATAATTTAAAGTTTTACACTTACTTTGAATGTTGTAGTTAAAAGTGTTTCATAGAAATAATCATGAAAAACTGTTTCTTTCCTTTTGACAAGATTGGTGGAAATTTTTGCTATTTTTATTTCCTCTCATGGTTTTGAATGAAATGAAAGGGAAACAATTTACTTCCTTTTGCTTAGAGTTGTCATAAGAGTCAATTGAAAAATGTATGTTTTAGATTTTTAGCTCACCTGAGCATATGCTCAGGGTGAGCTATTAGGATCACTCTTCATCCGTCGTCTGTCGTACGTCGTCCGTTCACACTTTTAAAACGACATCTCCTCTGAAACCATAAGGCAGATCATAATGAAACTTAATAGGGATGTTCCTTTGGTGGTCACCTTTAAAAATTGTTCAAAGAATTTAATTCCATGCAGAACTCTGGTTGCCATGGCAACCGAAAGAAAAAACTTTAAATATCTTCTTCTATAAAACCCGAAGAGCTAGAGCTTAGATATTTGGCATGAAACATCTTCTAGTGAGTGTCTACCAAGTTTGTTCAAATAAAAGCCCAGGGGTCAAAATTGGCCCCGCCCAAGGGGGTCATTGATTTTCCCTATATGCATATAGTAAAAACTTAAAAAATCTTCTTTTAAAGAACCCAAAGAGCTAGAGCTAAGATATTTAGCTTGAAACATCTTCTAATGAGTGTCTACCAAGTTTGTTCAAATAAAAGCCCTGGGGTCACAATTGGCCCCGCCCCAGGGGGTCATTGATTTTCCCTATATGCATATAGTAAAAACTTTAAAAATCTTCTTTTAAAGAACCCAAAGAGCTAGAGCTAAGATATTTAGCTTGAAACATCTTCTAATGAGTGTCTACCAAGTTTGTTCAAATAAAAGCCCTGGGGTCAAAATTGGCCCCGCCCCAGGGGGTCATTGATTTTCCTTATATGTGTATGGCAAAAACTTGGAAAAAACCCAAATAGCTAGAGTTTAGATATTAAGCATGAAACATCTTCTAGTAAGTATCTACAAAGTTTGTTCAAATAAAAGCCTTGGGGTCAAAACCGGCCCGCCCCAGTGGTGTCATTGTTTTTAACTAAAAGTGTATAGTAAAAACTTAAAAAATCTTCTTTTAAAAAACCTAATGAGTTAGATGTTAGATGTTTAGCATGAAACATCTTTTTGTGGGTGTCTATCAAGTTTGTTCAAATAAAAGCCCTTGGGTTAAAATTGGCCCTGCCGCGGGTGGGGGCAGAGGTCATTGTTTTTCATTATATCTGTGTAGTAAAAACTTAACATCATGAAACATCTTCTAATTGGTGTCTTCCAAGTTTGTTCAAATAAAAGCCCTGGGGTTTAAACTGGCGCCGCTCTTGGGGCCTATATACAGGTGAGCGACCTCAGGGCCATCATGGCCCTCTTGTTTCATGATACAAGTTAGAAATATGAATAAGATTGCAACAATCAAGTTATGTTTAAGAGTCCAAGACACCTTTAAACAACTCAGTCATTCTTGTGGTTCCAAACTCTGTATAACTTTGTAGTTACTGATGTAGTAAGAAAGTAATGTTTTATTGCATGTTTACTTTTTATGAGAAAGCATCTTTTTTGGCAGTTTTGTCATTCATATAAACTATCAAATTTCATTTTCTGTTGCATTTAGAAAATCCTTACTTAATGTAATATTTTACAATATCTTGGCATTTTCAGGTGTACCTCATCAATGGACCAGAACCATGTCCATCCATGATAAAAGATTTGTTGGTGTCAGAATATCTGAAAGCCATGCTTGGTAGTCATGTAGTAAGTTTATTTTGCTTGTGTATCACCATTTAACAGTTTTCAGTTGCTTTAATCATTCACATAAATTGTAAACTGTTTTCATTGTTACTGGTACTTGTTTATATAAAGGTTTTACCTCTGAAAGAAAGTTAATATTCCTTACCAAGGTTTAGATAAAATAAAATTATTTAACTTAAGTCCAGTTTTTTGCTGGTAGTGCAATATTTCAGGTATGGTAGATTTTTAGCGGATGTTAACGCTTCATAATTTGAAGTAATGAATGTGATCATGGGAAATTATATTCATCAGTTCATTAATCATGACAACATATTTTTGTTTTATTTAGATACAGGTATTACGTGTTATTATTGGTCCACCAACATCATTGAACATCAGAAATGTTGTCTGGCATGGTTTTCCTGTTCCTGCTGAAATACCAAGAAGGTTGTCTAATTCATGATAGCTAACTTTATTTAAAATGTCCAGTTGGTTTTGCACCTCTGTTAAACTGTAGTGTTTACTTCATTTTCTGCCACATTCAAGCTTAAAAATCCAGCTAATGTACTTCATTGAAGGCTTCATATTCATTATTCTTTTACTTGATGTCTCCTTTACTTTTTATTTTAAAGTTTCTTTACTTCATCAGCTTTCTATATGGGCATCCATGGATGAGTAGTTAAGGTTGTTGACTTCAAACCACTTGCCCCTCACCGCTGTGGGTACAAATACTGTCAGGGATTTTGAATTCTTCCATGTGAGAAAGCTACCCAGCTAGCTTAAGGAAAGATGTTGGTTCTACTCATGTGCCTGTATGTGCTTGAAATAATGCACATAAGGGCATCTGAGGTCTTCCTCCACTAGCAAAGCAAAAAATGTTAGTAGTACTATTATTTTGTATATCAGCATGGCCAATGAGGACAAGAAAGTAGATAATAAGGAATGATTGATCAGTAAGAATTAACAACATGGTACTTAATGTGAAATGTCTGTTTTCATCGAAATCTAGTTTTACACATCGAGTACTTAAAAAATCTTAAGAATTAATTATATGATTAAGCTAGACTTACCTGTAAGGTGAAGGTTAATCATGATTTCATCCACATAAAACTCACTAAGGGCTCACACAGAGAAGACGCAGCTATCAGCAGCCAGTGGTCATATTTTAGAGTAAGTAATGTCGAATAATATCGCAAAAATATCAGTTTAAACGGGGAGGTAGCGGGTTGGGTGTGTGAGCCCTTAGTGAGTTTTATGTGGATGAAATCATGATTAACCTTCACCTTACAGGTAAGTCTAGCTTAATCATATAATTTCATCCTACATATAAACTCACTAATGGGCCCCACAGAGATTTTAGAGTCCTTTTTGCGATATTTTGGAAAGGACATTACGTGCCGTCCCACGCCATAGTAAATATTTATCTTTTATGTTATTATGAAGAACAACGATTTAATTTCAAGACATAAAGGTCTTTTTGTATTTTGCAATTCGGTAAAAACACATGTTTTTCATATTTTTACAGAATGTAAATGCCATGCACAACTAATTAAATATAGCTATAATTATTATTATCACTACAGTTTTTTTTTTTGTTTTTTTTTTTGTCCCATTATTATACACTCTAATTAGCAATATCTATGATAGCCTGCATAGATTTTCCATTGGTATTTGATATGGGTTTATCATAATATTTAGCGAATGTCTTTGCATTGCTCCATCCCGCCGAATCAATTATCGTCTGTAACGGGACTCCACGCATGTGTGCGATTGAAGACGCAGCAGCGCGCATGCTATGTGGTTTGAATGATTTATGTACCCCAGCTCTGTGCATAATTAGCTTAATCCAGCGACAAATTGTTTGTTTAGAAACGACCCCATGGGGCTTGACCGTTGATATCAGTAATTAATTGGTATTTCTGAGGTCTTTCGTTCTCTGTAAATACTCACTAATGACACTGACAATACACAAGCGTTTATCTGATTTAAAACTGTCAAACAAAAAGGGTGTCTGATGCCGACCAGGTTTCGATGTTTTTAATAAATGTGGAGTGTTTATTATCAATCTTTCGTCTGAAATATTAATGTCTTCCAAACAAATGAGATGGAGTGTTTGACACCGCTGAGCTGACAACAATAAAAACAACATGCTTAATTTTCCAGCCAAAAATAATAAAGTATCATTTTCTGTTTTTGATAAAAAATCTAAAACTGTTCGCACATCCCATATCTCTTTATATCTCGGAAGTGCCGGCCTTGTGTTAAATACACCTTTCATGAACCGTGATATCAGGTTATTATTGCTGAGATCTACGTTTGAAGTTATCTTAACAAACCCACAAATTGCTGATCTGGCAATACCAATCGCACTGTAGGTTATCCCTTTTGAATATAGGTGAGACAAAAATGCTATCACTGTTGCTACAAGGGGTTTAAAGGGATCGTGTTTCCCTTCACAGAAATGAAACCATTGTTTAAGATATGTTTCATACTGTTTCCTGGTTGTTCTCCGCCACGAATTAATGATAATCTGCTGAGCTTCATTTGAAATCCCTCTATCTTCAAGCGCTTTCCTGATATGGGAAAAAGCGCCAACCTCATCTTTTTTAATGGGTGTTTCTTTCCCAGTCGATGGCACAACGTAAGGATGTCCTGAGGGTGTTGAAGTAGAAGGCATGGTGCAACAATAAGTTGTATTAATGGTGCTACTAAACACAGTAGTTCTGTTTGATCTATTTCTACTTTTTGCAGGACCCTGCCTATTACACTGAAAGGTGGAAAACAATAATAACAATTATCATGCCATGAGAATGAAAAAGCGTCTATAGCAAAAGCATTTGGGTCAGGTTGTCTTGAAACATACGTGGGAAACTTGTTATTTAAGCGAGATGCAAATAAATCTATATTTAAGGACGGGAAAGACCGACAAATTGCTGTGAACATCTCAGGTGATATACTCCATTCTAAATCTTCATTTCCAGTTCGACTCAGTTTATCTGCCGTGCGTTCAATGACCCCGATACATGATGTGCTGACAACAAAATGTTTCTTTGAATACACCAATGCCAGATATCGCGCGCAATTTTATTCAATGAATCTATTCTTCCCCCGTAATTATTTATGTATGATACACTCGTAGTGTTGTCCATATAAATTTTTATTTAGATATTTCTGTTGTGTTTAAAAAGCGACAATAGCCCAACTTGACACGCTTTTAATTCTAACACATTGATATGTTGATTTTGTTCTTCCGCCGTCCAAAAACCATTTGTTCGTCTATTTCTGTTTTATCATACGCGCCCCACATATGTCCCGAAGAATCAGTAAACATAATGTTATTCGGGTCAGGCGATGTAATACTTTTGAAACATGAATGTATATGAGTGATCCACCATCGCAATTTTTCCAAAATATCTGGCGTGATTGTAAAATAACTATTAAAATTACCCTTATGGTTTTTCAGTTCCCTTTCCTTATGTCGTTCTAAAGGTTTTATGTACAACGGAGCATGCATAACCCCCGGTGATGCTGCCACCAGTTTTCCAATAATCTTTGAAAATTTTTGAATTGTTATTCGCCGGCATGTTATTATGTTATTGCAAAGCTCTGTGATATCATCACATTTTTCCTTTGTTAATCTTATAGTCATTGTTTTAGAGCACAGCACAAATCCCAAAAATACAATCTTTTTCGACGGAACCAGGACAGATTTACCCATTGAAATTGTAAATCCTAACGTGTCTAATAAATCAATTGTTTCGCTGATATTTCGAGCACAGGCGGAGTATGACTGACCTTGCAAACATGCGTTGTCGATGTAAATTGAACTTAAATGACCCCGCGCTCTTAAATGAGAAAAAACTGGCTTCAACAGTTTAGTGAATATCATAGGGCTTTTTGCAAATCCCATCACAAGCGCTGTAAATTGATATTTTACACCTTCGAAAAAGAAACGAAAATACCGTCTGTCCCGTTCGTATATAGGTATAGTGTAAAAAGCATCAGAAATGTCGACCTTGCCGAAATAACAATTTTTCCTCATGCTGTGGTCACTGATCCCAAAGTTTCCATTTTAAAATGTATTTTGCTGACGTAGTTGCTATTGAAAGATTTTCAATTCAAAATAATTCTAATCCGTCCGTCTGATTTTGGTCTTGTGAATATATTCGAAATGTATTCTCCGTCCAAGTTTTCGTCTGCAAGTTCTATTATTCCTTGATTTAAAAACCGTGTAATTTCAAACTGTATTGCTTGTTTTTCGTTTTCTTTAAAATGAAATGGTTTTGGAATTTTATACTGAAAAGGAGTTGCTGACAGCTGTACCCGATAACCGTCTACAGTTTCTTGTATCCATTTATCTTTGGTTATTTTTCTCCACTCATTCAACGCCATTCTGGTCTTCCCCGCCCGAAAATTGAGTGAAGTATTTATGATGGTAGAGGAATATTTCATATTACGATTACTTACTTCGGATATTAATTTTTCAGTGCTCTTGATTGGAAAGTATTCTTTTTCTGCTGTTTTGTTCTGTAATTGTGATTTTGATGTCGTCGCTGTAGATTGAAATTCATGTTGCCCTGTGAATTGAGCGCATGTTTCCGTTTGTGCTGAGGTACCAGGGTCGCCATGCCCTGGCGTTTCCCTAAAAAAGAACACCTGGAAGTACATGTAAGTTGCTGCTTATTGTCCCTTAACTTTTTAACCAGGTTTTCCGAAGGAAAAAACTGGTTATTAGATTGAGGTATGTCGGCGGGCGGGCAGGCGGATGGGCGGGCGGGCGTAAACAATTTCTTCTGTGCGCAACTCCTCCTACATTTTTCAACGGATTTTGACCAAACTTTCACAGAAGCTTTGTCATCAAGTGACCTGGCGCATATTGTCGGGGTTTTGTGATTGGATAATATTTGACCTAATTATGGCCCTTTGTTTTTTTTCCTTATATAGAATATATAGTGAATAAATTCTTCTGTGCCCAACTGTTTCTACATTTCTCAATGGATTTTGACCAAACTTTCACAGAGGCTTTGTCATCTAGCGCCCTGGTGCATAATGTCGGGGTTTTGTGATTGAATAATATTTGACCTAATTATGGCCCTTTGTTTTTTTTCCCAATATAGGATATATAGTGAACAATTTTCTGTGCGCAACTTCTCCTACATTTCTCAACGGAATTTGACCAAACTTTCACAGAGGCTTTGTCATCAAGTGCCTTAGGGCATATTGTCAGGGTTTTGTCATTGTATAATATTTGACCTAATTATGGCCCTTTGTTTTTTTTTCCTTATACAGATTATATAGTGAACAATTTTTACCATGCGCAACTTCTTCTACATTTCTCAACAGATTTTGACCAAACTTTCACAGAGGCTTCGTCATCAAGTGCCCTGGCGCACATTATGGGGGTTTTGTGATTGGATAATATTTGACCTAATTATGGCCCTTTGTTATTTTTCCTTATACAGAATATATAGTGAAAAAAATTTTCAGTGCTGAACTCCTACATTTCTCAACGGATTTTTTTCAAACTTTCACAGTAGCTTTGTCATCCAGTGCCCTGGTGCATATTGTCGGGGTTTTGTGATTGAATAATTTTTTATTTAATTATGGCCCTTTGTTTTTTTTTCCTTATACAGAATATAATTATAGTGAACACTTCCTCTGTGGCAATTCCTCCTACATTATTCATGTATTACATTGCACATAGTTACATTGTTTGTTGCTTGTATTTGTATTTCAAATACAACATATTTATCTACAATAGTGATAATTGAAAACATGGTTTCATGGCATTGCCATGTTTCTTGTTAAGTTCTTCATCTACTTTATCGCCAAACAGATGAGTGGCAGATTGGTTTGCTGAACAAATTGGCCTATAAAGCGGGAGAAGTTCTTTCTTTATCCTGTCACGTCTCATCTGAGAAGTAGTGACAAAGGCATTGGTTAACAGTTTGAAAGTATCCCCAATCAACTCTTTCATTTTTGGTCGTCCATCTGTCTTTAACTCATCCATGGTCTTCAATACCGGTACCAAAGCAGATGAAAAAATTTTTTGTGTCCTCTGCAACAGAAAATCCTGTGCTTTGACTTGAGATGGCAACTGTCGCCACAACTGCTCATTCACCAAAGGTACTTGTAGAAATTCTACATTGTTAGGCCTCTTGTGTGTGTTCAAAAGTTCCTTTATCTTTTCTTCTTTCGGTTGTACCTGCAAAGCTTTATTGCTCAAAGTGGCTAGTTTGTCACTTACAGCCGCTCCTGTTTCTGAGGCATCCTCGAAGAAATCCACCATGCAGAATTCATCACCATCATCATTTCCGTCGGTGACCCCAGATTCGGTGAAAAAATCTCCCACGCTTTCGTCATCTGAGCCTGAATCATCCCTCGTGCAAAACCGTTTCGAAGTTGATGTTTCTTCGCAGGTAACTGCAGGTCTTTTCAAAGAATTAACGTCAGACCTCATTTCAGTCAGAGAATCCGTTAAACCTTTTATTGCATTTTGGATGTCTTCTAACTGACTAGAAGATCCTGCAAGTGTCCCGAATTTTTCAAATATATTGGGAATATTGGACTGGTTGTTTCCGACCTCTTGATCGTCGGCCATGATCCTGAAAAATGTTTTTTAAACGTTTCTAGCAGCAGTCCATTTAAGCAATAAAATGAAGTAGAAACATATATAAACGATTAGAATTTTAATCGCAGTCAGGCGTAAATAACGCCGTCAAATAGATCTCTACATTAATCATTAATTCGTCCCTCTGTGGTATGCAAAACGCCTGTTTTTTTTGTTTGTTTTTTTTTTGTTTTGTTTTTTTATTATTATTATATTTATGTATGTCATTATGTCATGTTGCAAGAACACGCCCTATTGCAAACCAATATATAATTTGTCTGTAGTGTTCAGACCAGTTTAGCTTTTCCATGGTGTTTGGATAAGCATAATTACGAACAAATGTATCTTTTGTCTGTGGTGTTCAGACCAGTTTAGCTTTTCCATGGTGTTTGGATAAGCATAATTACGAACAAATGTATCTTTTGTCTGTGGTGTTCAGACAGTTTTAGCTTTTCCATGGTGTTTGGATAAGCATAATTACGAACAAATGTATCTTTTGTCTGTGGTGTTCAGACATCTTTAGCTTTTCCATGGTGTTTGGATAAGCATGATTTCATTACGAACAAATGAGTCTTTTGTCTGTGGTGTTCAGACAATTTTTGCTTTTCCATGGTGTTTGGATAAGCATTATTACGAACACTGTATCTTGTTTTGCCTGTGGTGTTCAGACATTTTTTTTTATTTTTTTTCGTATTTGGCAGCAGTGTTCAGACAAAATTGGCTAATAAATATTGTTGTTATAAAATGTATAACTACAAATGTATATATTGTCTGTGGTGTTCAGACATCAGACATATACGAGGTTTTTTGTATTTGACAAAAAAGTAAACGATTTTAAGTATAACCTTAAAATAAATATATACAAATAAATTAAACATACCTCTTATCACACTTTTCTTAACTGCTTAATTATTAATATCCACAAATGAAACACTTGTTAGTCCTAAATAATTACACTATAATAATTTAAACTTGTGAAAAATACGACAGGCTTTACTTTAATTAAGAACATTTATACGTCTGTCTTGACCGTAGCTGCTAATGCCTCGTTATGTCCACTGGCTTCTGATAGCTGCGTCTTCTCTGTGGGGCCCATTAGTGAGTTTATATGTAGGTGTAGGATGAAAACTACATTTAGATACAAACAAAATATTTTTGTGCCCTTGTATAATATATTTTGTAATTTCTATGTCGAAGTTTTATAGCCTACTGTACCTAAAATGTTGATGATGGGGAGATGTATATCTATTTTAATGATATTTTTTATCTATTTAGGTGTATATGGTTTGTTATATTACTGGTACCCAGTATTGGTCAGATTCTTAGAAACAAGAATGTTACAAGGATAACATTCAGGGAACCAGTCACTTTTCCAGATACATCATTAATTTCAGGTGTGTTGTCAGTAACTTATTTCTTATAAAGTCACATATAGAATGCCTACTGCCTCTTGTAACCCCTATTATGTACCATTTCGATTGTGCATTTTCTAACTGGTTCTGTATATACTTTATTACTAGACCTAAATTTTAACTGGAACATAAATATATAGATAAGCCACTGCTATGTGTAGATTGCATGGGAAAAAGATAATTTTGTATTGGATGAGTAACTATAGTATAGTATGATTACTTTAGACACAAAGCTGTTTATAGACGAGAACTGGTCAGAAGTTGCTGGACAATCTGACCTTGTCTGCTGGAATACACAGAAGTTCTGGGAGAAAGTGAAACAATTTTATGTCAACAAGAAGTATGTATCTGTAAATTTTTACACAGTAATTCATGTATATCGAACAAAATCAAGGAGCATTTTGAAATGAATATAGATATTGTTATTAAAATAGAAATAAATAAATTGTTTCTCTCAAACCTACAGCAGTTAATACTAGTAAAAAATCTGGAAAAAGAGTGATCACTCTGAAGCATTAATTACCACAAAATTACATAAAAATTGCAGACTTGGTTTGATCGAGTTTGTACATGAGGGATAATGAAAAAGTGCAACATCCCTCATGTCCCCAGTAAGTTTCATTAAAGTAAAATCAGTGTAATATATCTAAGGAATGTGCGTATGTATGGCGTTATATTTTATACCTTTAATGAACTTCCTGAAGACAATAATACTCCTTTACTCTTTAATTACTGAATTATATAAAACATTTATTTAATGACAAAGCAACTTTACAATCATGTATTATTACTGCAAAAGTCTTTATTGATGTACAGGTCTCCAGCCAATATCAGCCTGTGATGTCATAAAAAATACCTTTTACACACCTGATTATTTACAGGTATAGTTACTGTGCTGCTATTCTGTTGTATTATCTAGAACAAGGTTTGAGACGAGTATTTGCTACAGTCAACAAATGTCAACATAGAATTCTTACTGCAGAGGTAAACACATAAAAAAATTATGTGGGGCAACTTTTTTAAATATATGTATGTTTCCAGTTTTGTTAAAAAAGTAAAAATAATATTTTTTTAAACTTCAAGAAAAATCTAAATTACATTATACACTATAAAATCAGACACCAGATTTTGTTTTCTGTTGACATTTTGTGTTTCACTACAGTATAACTAATGATGATGGTTGTATATTACAGGCAACAACATTATATACAACATTTGATGAGGTAACTATGGCAACTTTATTCTATGTTTTTATTCTAATTTCATTATTTCTATTTAAAAGTGTCATAATTTCGTTAACTCTTTTTGCATGCCTTTCAGAAGACTGTAAAATTATAACATATAATTATAATTTCACTGTGGCCAAACCTTTTTTCCTTTAATTTGAATGAAAAGAATGTATCATGAATAAATGGAAATATTGTCATAAATACTTGCAATTATAAGTAAAAATGTACATCATAGTACAAAAATATTTTCACAGCTTATGCTAAATTGTCATAAATTCAAGGAATATTATGCCACCTTGATTTCATGACATTATTAAGAATAGAGAATGATGTTACATGGTGCCCCTTGTGGTAGGGGTCTTACCTTTTACTCCTGTAAAAAAAAATGTAAAAAGCTGCATAAATGTACATGTATGAAAATGTAATTCATTTGGTATGTATGAGAACTTGTATGTATTTCAGATACTAGATCACAGTCTGCCAGATGATACAGAAAATAAACTTTGTCAGTTTCTGTCACCTAAATTTGTTGTAAGTTCTTATTCGGTGCAGTTTTGTTCTTATAACAAATTAATGTTTATTTTCAAATTAAGTCTGTTTGCTGTTGAAATAAAATACCAAATAATAAAGGTTATGTACTACAGACTTGACATTATGCTATAGATCTTTGAAGAGAGTTTTGTCAATATTTATTACTATATAGCTATATTTTAGTAATAGTATTGCAATGTTGATATTTCAGGAGATATTATTAGATCATCTACAATACCAGAATGGTCCAAGGGTACGAGACAGACTTAGTCATGGTGATACTTGCTGGATATTGTTTCCATGGCAACTGACATGTAATCTAGCAACCATCGCTGTAGCTTTGACTGCAAAATTTATACCTGACACTTCTATTGAAGAGGTATTTTATGAATGTTTGTAATGAATTATGTATTATAAAGAAAATTTACCTCATGCAAAACATTTTATTTTAGAAGTCAAAATGGAAAGCTAAAAGGTTATCAAAAAAGTCTTAAGATATCAGTAAAACATACATTTAATTATATTTGTTTTAGCAAAAGTTTTTTAAATAGATCAGAAAAGATATTGTTCTTCTTTACTTCTCTAGTATATATATATTTTTTTTTTTAATTCAAACAGCCTTAGAAAAAATGTCATTGGTTTTATTATTTTGTAAAATTTTAAATATATCACTCTTTTAATTTTAATTTTCCACCAATATTTATTGTTGAAGCATATAGTTACATGTACCATTTTCTCTTCTGTTCATATTTATCTACCTTTATCATAGCACCTTCTATTATTGACTGGTATGATAGATTTGTGTGTGTTGGTACCTTTTGTGGAGGCACTAGGATTGACTGGATCAAGGTTACTGGTACTCAGGCTGAAAAAAAGATTTTTCTTCTTTTCCTTGAAGTGGTGTTATTTACCGGGTATATCATTATATAGAAAATAAAAGTGCTTCACATATTTTAGGTACTAAATAGAGGAATTAGCAAGGTATATAGAGATATATCCGAATATAGAGTACAGTTCCACAGAATTACTGTTCTGCAGAAAAATGTGAGTGATAACATTAAAGCAATATTTACATTTATAATATATCAGCTGTGTGGCTAAGCAATCAGCCTGTCTATTTCTGTCTGTTTGTGTATAAGAGGGCAACTTCTGTATCCCATGTGATAGGTTTTGCCTATGGTTTTATATACATTTTATTTGTGTAATAGTTTGACACTATTAAAAAAATCAGACAATTAAAACAGGTAACGGAGGTAGCAGAGCAAACAATTGTAGCTGTTAAAAGTGTTTTATTTTTTCCTTCAGAGCATGATAGCTTCTAATTGGCTTTTCTTTTGTCATACTTTTCATCTGCATGCATAGTTTGTCTAAATAAGCATAATATATAAATGATTACTGTAAAGTGTTGAATAAATGCTCTTGAAGTTTATGGGGGAAAAGGTGGTCAGAAATTTTGAAAGTCGGATGTAAAAGTAGGACATAGGCTTAACACAATTATAATTTATTTTACTCATAAAAGGGTACAACGCTTAGTGTCTTCCTCAAAATTTACTGTTAAGTTTTTTGTATCTTTGATTTGAAAAATTAAAATATTTCAGCCAGATAGGTATAATTGTATAAATGAATTGTAGGTTCATAGATTTATGAATGAATATTACAGATACAGAGATGCTGTAACCAGGCAACAAAAATAGATGATTTAATCAGATATAATCCTGATCTCTCGGAAAGGTAACACTTTTATTTCCTGATCCTGTAAATGATGTGTGAATAAATGTATATGATGACTAGGAATGGCTTATTTTAAAATCATGTTATAACAATAAACAGAAATTTTTACAAACTTTATAACATATATTTAGTTAAATTGTTTTATTGTACTTTTATTAATCACTTTTTTTCATCATAAACATAGGTATACTATACATTCACTTTTAGTATGAGTTTAACTTGCAACTTTCAAAGAGTTTGTCCTCTAGTATGTTTAAATTATATAAAAGAGATTTTTTATTAATGTAATAATAATAATTGTAGTAATAATAATGCAGTTTTTCCAATTAATCAAGTTGCAAGGATATGATTCATTGTACTTTTTTTCTGAACTGGGTTTTACATCATGCAAACACAGTATAGGTCATATGGTGACATTTTAGCTTTACTGGTGGAGGAAGACCTCAGGTTCCATTCTGTTCATCTTTTTAGACACAAATGAGCACAGTAGAACCACAAACATTCCTTAAGCTTGCTGAATAGATGTCTCACATGAAAGAATCTGAAGACTCTTGCACATTTTGAATCTACTGCTGTGAGGGGCAAGTAGTTGAATCAATGACTTTAACAACATTGCTACGGACACCCCTGATTCATTGAACAAGATAGATATCATTTTTAGCTCGACTATTCGAAGAATATGAGAGCTATTGTAGTCGCCCCGGCGTCGGCGTCAGCGTCCGCGTCGGCGTCTGCGTTGGTTAAAGTTTTTTGTAAAGTCAAATATCTCAATTATTGCTTGAGATATTCAATTGAAACTTACAATACTTATTTATAGTAACAAGGTACATCAGATTGACAAGTTGGATAACTCTACCTACAATATTGACAGAATTATGCCCCTTTTTAACTTAGAAATTTTGGTTAAAGTTTTTTGTAAAGACAAATATCTCAATTATTGTTTGAGATATTCAATTGAAACTTACAATACTTATTTATAGTAATAAGGTACATCAGATTGACAAGTAGGATAACTCTGCCTACAATATTGACAGAATTATGCCCCTTTTTAACTTAGAAATTTTGGTTAAAGTTTTTGTAAAGTCAAATATCTCAATTATTGCTTGAGATATTCAATTGAAACTTACAATACTTATTTATAGTAACAAGGTACATCAGATTGACAAGTTGGATAACTCTGCCTACAATATTGACAGAATTATGCCCCTTTGAAACTTAGAAATTTTGGTTAAAGTTTTTTTGTAAAGTCAAATATCTCAATTATTGCTTGAGATATTCAATTGAAATTTACAATACTTTTTTAAAGTAACAATGTACATCATTTTGCAAAATTGCATTTCTGTCTGCAATATTTGCAGAATTATTTGCCCCTTTGAAACTTAGAGATTTTGGTTAAAGGTTAAAGGTCTTCAAAGATGTTTACTTGAAACTTTACACATGTACTTAGGGTCATAATTTGAGGGTCATAATTGTATGTCACTGACCAAGTTCCATAACTCTATCTTGCATAAAGGCTGATTCATATCCCCTTTTCTACTTAGTCTCTTGGTTAATGTTTAAATGCAAGTTTTACATATCTGAATAACTATTAAAGATATTTATTTAAAACTTCACATATGCATTTAGGGTCAGAATTGTAGGTTACTGACAAAGATCCATAATTCTATCTTGCATTTAGGCTGATTTTTCTTCCCTTTTTCAACTTAAAAAATTCATGGTAAAGTTTTGCTTCTAAGCTGTTATCTCCATAACTACTGAAGCGTTTGTGCCTTTTTTGGGACAATTTTATATTTTATAAAAAAAAATTAGCCCTTTTGTGAACTTAGAATATTTAACATTATTAAGGCTCTTTTACTATCAAGCACTTAGAATAGTCGAGCGTGCTGTCCTACCGACAGCTCTTGTTTTTTATAAAAAAAACAAACTGCATTTTATTGAAATATACCAAACTGGTAAAGAACATATTTAAGGACTTATAATAATTTGTTCAGTCAAGATGCTGACATGTATTATTATTTTTGTCAGGTGTTTAGGACCATTGGAATTCAATAATTGTGTATTGTTTATATTTCAGGGATATAGGTACAGAATATCCCCTCTCCAGTCTACAAGTAGAGCTGAGCAATGACTTACAGAAATGTATTGTTGTTTTATATGATAAATGGACAAACAATGGAGTCTTACATAGCCCACCTGATTGGTAAATAATGTATTTCTTTAATCAGATGCAAAAGTTTTAAACCTATATGTTTTTCCATACCTTATTTTAGTTTAACCTTATCAGTGTGTATGCAATAGGCCTCTATATTTCCTAGCAATTTATGCTAGAGGAAGGAAATGTATTTGACATAATTCATTAATGTACTTATACAAAATGATGAGTATAGACACAGGTACAATTGAACATTTACAACACATATTTCAAATAGATGATGTCCCTTCAAAATGTATTGAAGTACTTAAGGTTTTTACCTGCTAGCTGTGTGTAATGGATTTAGCCTCCTTTAAATTTGCAACAATCCCTTGAAAGTTTAAGTGATATCAATAGCAAAATGCAAAAATTAAGGTACCAAAATTTTAGAGTCTGGTCAGACACAAGATATGCAGGCTGGCCTGGCTCTATCCTGGTTATAATGGCCAGTAAACACTTTCAGATCCAACAAGTTAAGGGTTATTAGTTACAATTTATTTGATATAATTATAAAGATATATGAAATTGTATGTTTAAATGTAATTTTCATTACTCAGAGAATCAATTAATGCATTAAAGCACGCTTATAAAATTTATACTATTTTATTGTTTACAACTACAATGTATTTTCTTAATTACTTTATGATATTTTGGATTGTTGACTAATTTTCTAGTTTTCTAACGTTTCAGTATGTCCTACACAAGTTGCTCCAGGTTTAGTTCAACAATTGATGATATATTGTCACATCCAATTCACACGTTATACAGAGATAAACAGTACCAGGTAATATACTGTGTTTATATCTACCCTCTTACCTCAATAGGGTTATAACATAGGGTCACTGGTTCTATCTTTGTGAGGCAGAATTTCTCTATGGCCATTGATCTTAGACATTTAGTCTTATGGTCTTTTGTTGTTCTGCTGATTCAGAAATCATGTTGGATTTACAGTTGGTCACTTGTTTAGAAAATGGTAATTACTAATAAGGTATCCAGGAAAGCCGAGACAATGAACAAACCACAGAGATCATGACCAAAAATGTGTTAAAATCAGCCTAAAAAATAGATAAACATAGTCCCTTGAATACTGTTATATTATTGTGTAATATAATAATAGTAGGTATTATGTTTGAAAGTACAATAAACAAATTATTTGCTTAAAAATGCTAAGTCAGCATGATTGATATAATTTGTTTTAATTAATCTTGATTCTAAAGTTACTAGTTAAATAAACTTCAACATTGCTTTACATGTATTTATCAAATTATCAGTTATATCTTTGTCCATTATTAATAAAGAAAGGTATAAAAATGTCTTTAGGGTCATATATATTGATAGTGCTCTATCCAAGACTCGAAACTCTAGCATAAATACCTGTCTTGTGTAGGTGAAGGATTTTCAGGTGTTGTTCCATCTGACAGCTCTAGTTGGACTATATTATTCAGGTTGTAGATGGACATAGTACAGATAGAGAAGGGGAGGTCATGTCAGTGCTGGAACATATTATATCAGAATGTCTAACAGTATTAAATAATCTACAAGATTTTGTTTCTGTCAGGCAGCAACAGTTGCTGAATAAACAGCTGAGATCACGGCAAAGAGAAAATTTTAAGAAATTCCTTACAAGGTACCTAGAATCATATTTCATTACCCTAACCATGCTAAATAACAAAAATAGACCTGTCACATGGTAGAATCTCTACTGGTTACATGGTAGAATCTCTACTGGTCACATGGTAGAATCTCTACTGGTCACATGGTAGAATCTCTACTGGTCACATGGTAGAATCTCTACTGGTCACATGGTAGAATATCTACTGGTCACATGGTAGAATAACTACTGGTCACATGGTAGAATCTCTACTGGTCACATGGTAGAATCTCTACTGGTCACATGGTAGAATCTCTACTGGTCACATGGTAGAATCTCTACTGGTCACATGGTAGAATCTCTACTGGACACATGGTAGAATCTCTACTGGACACATGGTAGAATCTCTACTGGCCACATGGTAGAATCTCTAATGGCCACATGGTAGAATCTCTACTGGTCACATGGTAGAATCAGTTGTTGCCAGCAGGCTAATGGTTAAATAACAGTATTATGGTATGCCATAACTTCATTCTTGTGATTATTGGTTGGTTATTAACATAAACAACTGTGAAAAAAACTATTCTTAAAGTTTTCCTAAGAATCAGATTTCCTGGAAAAAACTTATGTAATGATATAATGACTCTTTGACATGCTGTATGTAACAATTTATTGTAAAGCATGTATATATATGTACATGTACATATTTGTAATAGTATATGATATATGTTTTCAGTTTTCCAGCATATGTAGTCGTAAGTAACATGAGCAGTTATCTATGTTGTTGGCAGTTATATCATCTTGACTATTTAAAATGTTCGGATGGCTACACATCAAAGATAAGGTAAACTTTTAAACTTTTTATAAAGAAGAAAATTGTAATTTTAAACTTCCAACACTTTGATTCTAAAAGATGTGTTTGTTTTGTTTGGTTTTATGATGCACCAACACAATTTAGGTCATATGGGGCTGAAACAGGAAGGGTGATTTTGCCCAGGGTGTTACAAACTTAAAGCAACAGCAGGGAAAAACGACCTCACCTGCTGGAGCTAAGACATACATATACTCCATTAATTTGAACAGTTGCCTGGATAAGCAAGGGGGTTGACCCTAAAGAAAACTGTGTCTTTACTGAAGAGATTACTAAATATTAAATTTTAATACTTAAATATATCTGGATACTAATATGCACCAGCCATACTTACTTTACTAGCTTTATAGATACTAGCTTTATAGATACTTGTATTTAAGGTATTAGGACCCTAATGGGCACTATCAGAAACTAAAAAATTGACATCATAGGTCAGTTGTATACCTTAAAGTACACCTGTATGCAAAATTTAAACAAAGTTTACCATACGGAAATCAAGTTATGGCCACTTTTCTGAACTCAAGCTAGGATGTTATGAGGGCCCTTTTTTAGAAATGCGGAACCTTTGAATAATCTGCAATAACATTCTAATAAAAAATGTTTTCCCATTAATTTTTAGTAAGAAACAAATAGTACCATTCAGCTAACAATCCACATAAGCAAAATTATTGTTTCTACTTAAAATTTATTAAATCTGTATAAAAATGTTACCCTACCCCACCCATTTTTACCACGTGTCTGACCATTTTTCTACTTAGGGAGCCTAATTTAAAAAATTCTTAAAATTTACCCAAATGAGTGCCTGTTTTCAAAGTTTCCCTAAATTTTTAAAAAGGTATATTGGTTGATCTTGTAATATATGAAATACTTTTACCGTCTAGTTTTGATTATATTACACTTTGAAAATATCAGGTACCATAATTATTACTAGATTTAGCATAATTTAGCCAATAAATACCTATATAAATTAAAAAATCAAAATTAAACACTTTTTTCTTTCCAAATGGGACATGAGAGAAACATAAATAATGTTAAAAGAAAAAAAGAAAGAAAAAAAAAGTTGACCCTTCTGGGGATTGAACCCATGACCCTCATTTTCAATGTAGTTAACAGTAGTTCTAGCCTATTTGAATACTCTTCAAAGTGGAGGTAATGCATTAGGGTGCTAATACCTTAAACAATATCTAAAACTGTGATGTACCCAACATTATATGAAGAAATTTTAAGATTTTATTGTTCAGGATTATTGGATTCTTCATGAAACAGCATAATCAGAAATAATTAGCTTTCTTTTATTTTCAGATTTTGGAAAAAATGTTTACAGTTTTGTGAAAATTTAAGGACATATTCTCAATCAGACAAGAATAAATGGACAGAAGGATTGACACTTATATGTGAATACCAAAATACATTACAATCTAATCTTGTAACTCAGTTGCTGTGTATACACAAGGATAAAACATGATGGGATAAATCTACATGTTCTACATATAGCCAACACTAGATACGATAATGATCATCTGTTCATTATACTGATTAATATAGAGTCTGACATAGTGTCTATGCGCTCATAACATACAAAATATGCTAAAGGCACATTCTGCCTCAGAAACAAATAAGATTTTCTTTCTTTAGAAAAGGCAGACATAAGTTTAAATACTAATCTAATGTAACTTTTCAATGAAAAAATGAAAAGGTAAATAATTCTTACAAAAGTGAAGGCAACCAAGTATCCTTTTTAGCTCACCTGAGCATATGCTCAGGGTGAGCTATTAGGATCACACTTCGTCCGTCGTCTGTCGTCCGTCGTACGTCGTCCGTTGTCCGTTCACACTTTTCAAACGACATCTCCTCTGAAACCATAAGGCAGATCATAATGAAACTTCACAGGGATGTTCCTTGTGCGAAGCCTTAACAAAGTTGTTCAAAGAATTCCATTCCATGCAGAACTTTGGTTGCCATGGCAACCAAAAGAAAAAACTTTAAACATCTTCTAAAAAACCCAAAGAGCTAGAGCTTAGATATTTGGCATGAAACATCTTCTAGTAAGTGTCTACCAAGATTGTTCAAATAAAAGCCCTGGGGTCAAAATTGGCCCCGCCCCAGGGGGTCATTGATTTTCCCTATATGCATATAGTAAAAACTTAAAAAATCTTCTTCTAAAAAACCCAAAGAGCTAGAACTTAGATATTTGGCATGAAACATGTTCTAATGGATGTCTACCAAGTTTGTTCAAATAAAAGCCCTGGGGTCAAAATTGGCCCCGCCCCAGGGGGTCATTGATTTTCCCTATATGCATATAGTAAAAACTTAAAAAAATTTCTCTTAAAGAACCCATAGAGCTAGAGCTAAGATATTTATCATGAAACATCTTCTAATCAGTGTCTACCAAGTTTGTTCAAATAAAAGCCCTGGGGTCAAAATTGGCCCCGCCCCAGGGGGTCTTTGATTTTCCCTATATACATATAGTAAAAACTTAAAAAAATCTTCTTTTAAAGAACCCAAAGAGCTTGAGCTAAGATATTAAGCATGAAACATGTTCTAATCAGTGTCTACCAAGTTTGTTCAAATAAAAGCCCTGGGGTCAAAATTGGCCCCGCCCCAGGGGGTCAATCATTTTCCCTGCATATAGTAAAAACTTAAAAAAATTTCTTTTAAAGAACCCAAAGAGCTAGAGCTAAGATATTTAGCATGAAACATCTTCTAATGAGTGTCTACCAAGTTTGTTCAAATAAAAGCCCTTGGGTCAAAATTGGCCCAGCCCCAGGGGTCATTGATTTTCACTATATACATGTAGTAAAAACTTAAAAATCTTCTTTTAAAGAACCCAAAGAGCTAGAGCTAAGATATTAAGCATGAAACATCTTCTAATGGGTGTCTACCAAATTTGTTCAAATAAAAGCCCTGGGGTCAAAATTGGCCCCGCCCCAGGGGTCATTGATTTTCCCTATATACATAGAGTAAAAACTTAAAAATCTTCTTTTAAAGAACCCAAAGAGCTAGAGCTAAGATATTTAGCATGAAACATGTTCTAATTGATGTTTACCAAGTTTGTTCAAATAAAAGCCCTTGGGTCAAAATTGACCCCGCCCTAGGGGGTCATTGATTTTCCCTATATTGCATATAGTAATTAAAAACTTAAAAATCTTCTTTTAAAGGACATAAAGAGCTAGAGCAAAGATATTAAGCATGAAACATGTTCTAATGGGTGTCTACCAAGTTTGTTCAAATAAAAGCCCTTGGGTTAAAATTGGCCCTGCCAGGGGGAGGGGGGCAAAAGTCATTGTTTTTCATTATTTGTGTATAGTAAAAACTTAACATCATGAAACATCTTCTAATGGGTGTCTTCCAAGTTTGTTCAAATAAAAGCCCTTTGGTTTAAACTAGCCCCGCCCTGGGGGCCTATGTACAGGTGAGCGACCCCAGGGCCATCATGGCCCTCTTGTTTCAATTGTTATATGAATAATGGCTAATGCATGGACAAATATCTGGGTTTTTTGTTGTTTTTTTTGTTGTTGTTTTTTTTTTCAAAAAACATAAATATTAGCAAAAAAAGTCATTATTAGCCTATCCACATTTTGACCAACCTTCTTAGATGAGTTTTTTTAAGGTAATGAATTAAGTTTAATCCTTTTGTGAAGACTTTGACATTTTTATTGAACACTATTCAACAAATTGCTGTGAAATTTGCAATACAGTTACATTTAATTATTTAAGTTAAGCTCAGCACCAGTGGAAAATGTTTAGGCAGAATAAGTCCATTATTTTGCAGACTGTAAATATCCAGGAATCCTACACCTGTTATTATTGCTACCATGTCTTTAAAAGATAAAAAAAATCTCAAGTTCAAGCTTCAGATTTTTACTCACTCTTAACTCATAGATAAATATTTTGGGATAATGTGTCCTTAGTAAAGAAAGTCATAAATAATCTCATATAATGTAAGATAGCCAAAATACTCCGCATAACGTTATTTTAACCAGGTTTTCAACGAAAACCGGGTTATTGTAAAGCCGAAATCGGCGGGCGGGCGTCAACTTTTCGTTTCCGCTCAATAAATTTAGTTTGCTTTGGCCTATTGACACCAAACTTGGTGTATGGATACATTATATCAAGAGGCATATAGGCTGTCAAGCAGTTTATCGGTACTAGTTGCCTTCACTTCCGCAAGGAACTGAAACTTTTGTACATACCAGGGCAGAGGTACAGTGCAAATGACCTTAGAAAGGATTTCATGATCAATCACATTTCATGATCAATGACATCGACACCTGCACCATCCGGGAATCGAACCTGGGTCGCCCGATTAGTCGCTGGTGAAATTTTCAAATTTTGCAGTATTTCTAGGCTCACACATCTGGAGAAAGAGCCCATTTGTCAGTTCTCATGACGTAATTACCACGTTTTATTTTAAAAAAACTGGTTTACTGCAAAAAGGATATTTTCCACTTTTTTCTTGCATATCAGACTGGCGTTTCCGTTAGTTTTACCCATGCCGGAAATTTCATCTGGCATGGGGGGTTCCAGATGAGTCGCGTGCTGTACAATGGCACGATAAAGATGACGTCATTTTACCGTTATGAATGATTTTGTAATTCATACACTGTTGAATGAAAGTAGTTACGGTTGTAATGATATAAATTTTCATTGAAAATAAAGATAAAGAATTTAAAATATAATGGAATATGGTAGAATATGCAAGAAAAAATATCTGACATATGTTTGCGGTTCGGATCGGAATATCCGTCCCTCGGTCATCCGTCCCTCGGCAAGCCTCGTTACCGCCCAATGGGCGGGTCACCTCGGGACGGATATTCCTATCCGAACCGCAAAATATGACAGATATTATTAATATATAATATTCAAAATAATTTCAAACTAAAGCTTTACGTGTCAACTTTTGCATACGTTTGAAATTTAAGACGCTTACTTCGATAACTTCGTGATTATCGTGCAAAATACAAATTCTTTACAACTTAATAGAAATGTGTGGCATGACTTTCCTTGGTTTCTACATGTATGTTATATAGGGCTAACCATCTTAATATCACGCACGTGTAATTTAACGGCGGTTTTGTTTTATGTCAAGAATGAAAAAGTTTTAAGTAGGTCTAAAAGTACATTTAATGTGACAAAAATAATCCTGACCCAGTTCAACATCACACTCCTATAGACCAGACACCTTAAGTGTCATACTCTCGCCCCTTTTGTGTTAGATCAATGTGAACCAGAATTACTCTAAAATAAAAGTCCTCTGTTATAGAAATAAATATTGAACCGTACAATACCAAAGTGCGCAGATGCAGAAATATTACCAGACGAGGCACCAGAAACATCGGGGACCAACTTTATATGGTTAGTGTTAGAAATTTAATTTTGTTTCCGGTAAAACATTTGATGGTTAAACTCCCATATGAGGACGCATTTTCCAGGAATTTGAACGGAAAGTTTTACTGTTTTGAAACGACCAATAAATAATACGAAAGCTTTGTGCTTGTCGAATTTTTTCCCGTATTGTGAAACATTGTGAACAATTGAACATTGTGAAATATATCAAAACTATATTGAAGAAACGCAAAGTTTTCATGAGACACATCTGTAAGAGAAGTTTTCATTCGGATACCTTTCTTGTAAACAGTTGTATACTGGGCGTTACATGACATAAGACATTGTTTTGTACTGGTCGCAACCATTACAACATCCATGGAATTTCTATTTTGAATAAGTTCTATAAAGTATAGATATTATTAAATATTCTGTATTTTTATGTTTTTCATGTTTGTGCATTTAAATCCATGTTGTGGATTTTCTGAGATAATAAAAGTCTTGAGTTATTCTTCGATGTATGCAAGGAAATATAGGAACGCAGTGCACACTGATAGTTCACTATATTAGCATCCGAGTGGTGTAAGGATAAAGTTTTGAATACTGATATATATCTTTGTATTCCAGTCAGAAAACTGCATGGACTTGATCCTATTTCAATTAGAACAAAACCATTTGTCATTCTTAAAGAAAATTTCAAAATATTTACTGACTAACTAGTGAACAGTGCTATCCATTATTGATGCGGATATAAAATTAGTGTTTGATATATCTAAAATTTTGTTTTTATTAATTGAAGAAGACATGAAATGTTCGGTATGAAAACGGTGTGAACTATTTCCTTCAGCACTTTGATTTTATATCGTCTTAATGACGCATGACCGATTCTTTTTAAGTGATCGTCACTGCCATCTTTCTGAATACAACAAATAATCAAAGGGCTGCAAGCTCTGTGGTATTTTCTGATCTTTGCAATCCAAATCATACTGTATATCTGTATGTATTTTCCTGTATAAGTTTATTTTTATGTACTATAATTCATCTTGCAAGGCACCAGAGTTTGATACATACGGAATTTTGCATAACTGCAGTAGAGTTGTATCAAAAAATTATTTATGTTCATTTTTATGACAGCCACACTTTATCCTTGCATATCATGGCTACAAAGACACTTAAAAAAGACTTTAAAAAAAGTTGCCTCGTCTGGGATCTGAACTCCAGACCTCTCACACGAAACGAGCGCGTTTCCCCTGCACCACGGAGAAGTTTTATAACGATGCCTGAATAAAATCTAGTCGTTCTAAATTTAGAACTTCCATTGCATTCCGGGTTTGTAATCCTTACTAATTTCGAGGTATTTTGTTCAGGATAAACCTGTTGTTTAAGATTGAAGTAAATAATTTAGCGAAAATCTTCTCGCCGAAACAGTCTAACATGTAGAATCTATATATTCCACTACTCGGCAGTCAGATTTATTTGTGTAGTATTCAGTAATCGACATCGCTAAAAATAGCATTTTCATTGATTAAATCAAATTCATCCGCGTAATTTGTGATTGTGCATTTATTGACAATTCTATAAGACAACGCTACTTTTAAACTTTGAATGCGTTGTAATTTGTTGGATACTTGTAACAAAATAAAAATATTTCTTTCTTTTAAATCGCTAGTTTTAAGCTGTTTTGAGAACTACTTGTTGTTAGGTTTGTCGTGAAATTCTGTGTCAGAGATTGAATGTCAGCTTTGAATTTACTGACCTTCGGTCAGAAAATACAAAAAGTATTTTCAAATTTAAGCTTGCTTTCCTTTTATGTATGTAATCGTGTCAACAACTTGAGTCGAGTTTGATTAAAGTCGCCATACAATCGGAGATATTAGACCTGAAATAATTGTGTTTGTGGTACTTTTTAGTCGGGTGGTTCTTGTATGTTTTACTTAAATACTGTTTAATTACCATAAGGATGTGTTTCCTGTTTTTTAAATTTGTCTTTTGACAGTTTATCTGTGATATGCAGGCTTCATAACTTCTGACCCCCTTTCAAATATCCATTTTGTTTAGTTTCGCCTATTGTACTTTCGTTAAAGGCAAACACATTCCTGTGGACCGTACTCCGCTTTTCATTGAATGGCATTAACTGTTCAATGATAACCGCAATATGAACACAATTGCGGATGTCAATCAAACCAAGTCTGCAACATTTTAGATATTGCCTTTTTAGCCATTCTATTTCTCTTTATTTCACCTGAGACTAATAATTTATCTTTCTGTCCCTGATTTCACAAACATTGAATGTCAGGTTTAGGGTGACCATCCCCTATATGTAAGTTTTCATCTATTTTTTTTTATTTTTATAAAGAATATCGAAGCATGTAAGTCATATGTATAATTTACTTAATCATATTACTCAAATAATTCAAGTAGACTTTCATTTGACATGTTACAATTTTAAAGACGAACTTAGTAACAAATAATGTATATTTAAACATAACGTTATTCGTAAGGTAATTTATACATAGTTCTGGCTATCACTGTATGTCAAGGACAAGTGTCGTCTGATTATGGTCCGCACTTTTCGCTATTCAGTTAACATTTCCCTAAAATTATTAATGTTTTTGTACGTATTGAATGAGGGACAAGTCAACATGGTAATTATGATAATGTAATAAACGCGTGTCGGTAAATGGGAGATAACCCCTATAACAATGTGCATAACGCTCGCACTGGTTATGCCATCCTTGAAATGTTCAAGATTATCATACATGTGGTATGTGATTACTGGTATGCCAGAGAGTGCTCACGAATTTATAATGCTATACATTTGTCAGTTATAACAAATAACAAATAAAACCTTCAAACCTACTGGAACACTTATCTATAAGTGTATTTTACCACACAAATAAGAGGTGTGATGTAGGAAAACACTGCATTTATTTAAGAGTATGGCTGAATTGATTTCATAATAAATGAAAAATAAATAAATAGAAATGTTTTTTAACCATTAATTTCGGAATATTAATTGTCTGTATAAATGAATGTGAAGTTCACGGGTACTTCAACTGAACCCAGAAATATTTTGGTATTGTGTGGGAAAAATGTATTTAATTAGCATTTTCCCAGGTAAAACAGAAATTGCCGCTATTAGCAGAGACGTTAAAATACATATATTATATGAATCTATCTTACACCGAAAATATCCACATTTTCCTTCTACGTAACATTTCAGTAGCGTAAGAACTAGATTGTAGCACGGATTTATATTATTGTAATATAAATCCGTGATTGTAGTCACTGGAAACAAACAATCATAACCTATTTACTGTACAGAAAAGGACAACAAATATGATTAAAGCAATGTACGCCTACACTAGTTTAAAAAAATATTTCGAACGCTGAATAAGTGACTTATTGCATAACAAATCCATCTTAATTGTTAAAAGTTCTGATTTGACTTTTAAGAAGTTTACTTAAATAGTGGTATGTGACATTGGTAATTTAAATGATAATGATTGTTCTCATAATGTAACCGGACACTCTCCCGCCATATGTCAACTGAAGTGGAAACTGACATATGATTGAACTGTCTACATTTTTCCCTCGAGTGGTTTTTCTGAACCATGAAGCGGAAAATAAATGTTTGTAGCACGCTGTATGTACTGATTTATTCTCAACTCACTCGTTGTATAACGGGCGAAGTGGTAGGATGGCGGACAGTGTGAAAGGAGTATACGCAAATTCTGTGATTATTTGGATTTTACTGTCAATTTATTTTGTGTGTGTTTGTGAGGGTCACCCACAATGCTTAGATTCCAGACCCCCATTTTATTCTCACTCCAAACTAACATTTTGTACAAATTATGAAGATTTTGGATGCTGTACCCCAAGAGACGACCTACAGTTACTCGAAAGATACCACCGTATTTCCAGTTTAATTCCTGCTTCACAGAAAAATATGTGGGCACAATGTTCAGCTTTTGCCAAAACATTTTTATGTCAAACATGTTCACCCTATGCTGCTCACATATTTGATGCAGAGAAAAGTCATTTAGATACAGACTTTACTTTAATGCCACGGGCATTCCCTGCACTGTGTGGTCCTTACTGTAAAGACTTTTATTATTCATGCAAAGATTTAGTGAAATATTATATGGAAGAAGTTGGAGGTGCATACTTTGAGGAGGCTATGAGACTAGATGCAGCTGTTAATCAAAATGAGACTGAATTTTGCTCAAAAGTTGCAGTAATGGATAAGGATTATTGTTACCCAGAACTTCTATCTAATCCTATACTGAATGGAAATATCTCAATTGCAAAAGTCTCTAAGGAAGGGTGTATTTGTATGCAGCCTTTTGCAAAGAATCAATTCCGAAATCCAATATTTTTGAAACATGTGAAAGATGGCAGTAATAGGTTATTTGTAGGTGAACAAATCGGCCTTGTACATATTATGTATTCAAATGGTACCATTCTACCCATACCATTTATGAATATCCAAGCAGATGTGAAGACCACTAACAACCCCGGAGATGAGAGGGGGCTGCTAGGGATGGCTTTTCATCCAAATTATTTGTATAATGGAAAATTATACATATATTATTCCACACCACTTCATGATTATGAAAAGAACTATGGGAATCATAAGATAAGAATAGAAGAGTTGAAGAGAGATCCATTTGACCCAAATCAGATCGATTATTCCTATAGTAGAGTTATTCTTGAAGTTTACGAACCTTGGTGGAATCATAATGGTGGGGAGGTAGGTCCTTTTCTCCAACTAAAGAAAATGAACATTTTATAATGCTATAGATATGTAGTAAAGGTAGGTTGAAAGAAGGTGACCATACTGTCACCATCAGTCTTTCATTTCAATCAGGATTGAAATATATTGCTAAATAGTCAACCAGTATTAATTGTTCTAAAACAAAAAAGAAAATAAAACTAAGCCCTCTGTTTTAATATTTTGGAATTTTAATAGCTTTACATTAAATTATAAATTATTATAAATGAAACTTTTATCACACTCTGACTCATCTTACCGGTAATAAAAAATTAACAAGGTTGCAGTGCATAAAAAATTGGACATTTGTGATTATGTGATTTTTCAAAGAAGAAAGAATATATGACAGTATGAGTTTTGTATCAATAAACATTTGGATGATGGTGCATTGCAATAATCCTGACAGTATACTGTTGTTTTGTTGCACCATAAATAAAAAGATTATCACTGGTTTTGTATATGTTGAAATTTTCTATTGATCTGGTATGGTGCTTTACTACCTGACTTCCTTCAGTAGAGATCTATGAATGCTCTTTTTTGCCACAAAAATTCATTATTCCTCATGTACAGTCTCAATCAAACCAAGCCTGCAACTCTTATGTAATTTTGTTGTGATTAATGCTTCCGAGGGATCACTTTGTTTCCAGAATTTTGCACTTCACAACAGCAGGTGTCGAGTGCCGTGTGGAAGCCGTAAAAAGTTGCCCCGTACTTCACTTCAGTGTTGTTATATTTTCTGGTCCTTCGGGATCATTGATGCCGGTACTATTAAGTGTTTAGAATTGAGTACCGCTCAAGCCGGTGCTAGGGGGCGTGAGGGATGTTGCACTTATTCATTATTCCTCATGTACAGACTCAATCAAACCGAGTCTGCAATTCTTATGTAATTTTGTTGTGATTAATGCTTCCGAGGGATCACTTTGTTTTCAGAATTTTGGAAGTATTCTTAAAGTGAAATTTAAAAAAGAGCAAATTCATGCTATATAGCTATATTTCACAAATCTTTTTTCCTCTAAAATTACTCATCAGCTTACTAGAAAGGCCCCTTCCTTTTTTTGATGTTTTGTTTTTTTTGTTAAAAGGAAAACATGAATAAATTACTCCTGTCTTAAGTTTTCTTTGAAATAATAGTTTTAGACAAACAGATCTTGGTTCATTGAAGACAAAGATAAAAGACCAGATTATAGTAGATACTGTTTTATGATAGTTCTGCATGTTTTATAAACCAGAGACTTTACTTCAAAACATTTGATCTATATATCCGTGCATTCATCAAACTAAATATTTGGCTGAAGATTTACACAGATTATAATAGCAAACCATGTGTCCATTTATCTTGGCACAGTTGCAGTTGTTTTAAGATCAGGTTTTATAATTGGAGGTCTATGTTTGTTATTTATTGTTAGGTTAATTTTCATTGCTTTTAGAATAAAGTAGATTTTATTTCTGGAAAAAGGTGGTATATTAAAAATACCTTCAGACAGTTAAGTGAATATTAAATGATAGGAATTTTGTTATTTCTTCAGCCAAAAATGAATGTATTTTCACCAGAAAACTTATAGGTGTATAATAAAGTGTTTTATTGTTTTACCAGTACATGTAGCTACATATAACTCCTTTAAGATTCTGTTTTAAATTCATTAAGCTGAAAATTTGAAAACATTTTTGTATTATCTCATGATATATGTCCAACTTATGTAGGGACAGATTTAAAATGGTTTATAATCTCAAACATCTCTAATCATTAAAGTTATTAAATTGTCTGCCTCTAAACCAAGTGATCAAGGTTAGTCTCAGGATGTGGACCTATAAGCTTTAAGCGTAAATCATAATCAAACTAAAATTAATATATTGAATCTACACAAAACTACCGGTAACAATTGTTACAAAACATTGAATGTAATGACCAAAGTTCAGTAGAGATTTCTTTTGTACAAAATATTTTAAACTGTTGGTAAAGAAATTATGTTAATTTAAATAAATTGAATTTGTTAATCACAAATGACACATATATATCTTATTAAATTCTTAAGTCAACAATTATTATTATTATTGTAATTATTCATACATGTGAACTCTCCCACTTTTAGCGATAGACTCCCACTTTCTGCAGCCATATTTTCAAAAAAAAATCTTAAAATAAGGGGTATTTTCACAAATTAAAGAAATCTCCTGGATTCTATTCTTTGTTTATTGCAAATTCTAAAATCTCCCTCTTTTTGAAGAAAATCTCCCATTTGATCATCAAAAAAAGTTCACATTTATGATTTTTATTAAATAATTATTTTTTATAATGAAGTTTAGTTAGACTGATAAACTTGAGTTGATTCATAGGTAAATATTAAATACTTAATATCAGCTACAGTGTTAAAGAATTTGTGAGGTTAAACTGTTGTAAGCTAATGTAGCAGTTAAATAGACCAGACCAGTTCATACCTTATCTTGATTTTGTTATCATTGTCAAGATTAGAGATAATCACATTTACAATAATAATTTCTGTCTTCTTTTTATTATTTATAGATGATGTTAATTATAAACACCTGTCCTTATTGATTGTAGAATTACTAGTATTTTATTACTTGAAGTATATAAACTAATGTGGATTAGTGAATAAGCTGTTTCTTGCATTTTTTCATCACAGGGATTTCTTTTTGTGTACATCATATTAGTATATTAAATTAAGCATTAAGTATTATTTCTCCATATTTCTTATTTGTGACACTTAATTTTGCATACCGTAAATATAATAAAAAAATTTACAGTTGGATTTGTTTTTAAACATAAGATTTTTGTTATAAATTACTCCCAAGTGTTAAACTTTTAGCTGTTATTCATTAAAGCATACCAGGTTTAAAAAATGAAAAATTTCTTTAATTGATGTCATCATTTTTTATTTGCTTGAGCTGGTTTTTAATGCAACTTGCCCCAAAGTCACGTTTGTTGAATTGTATTATTTTTAGACATCTTAATAATATGAAATTACCTTTCTGATCAATAATTGATTTAGTTGTGTTATATTACAAGTTAAAGAGAACTTGTAAGAGTCTCACCGGCCATGTGGATAAGATTGCCCACTTCAAATTATTTGCCTTTCACTGCAGTGAATTTGAATGCAAGGAAGCTATCCAACTAGATTATGGATGGTGGTTGTTCCTATTCAGGCGCCCACTTCTGTTGGATGGGACATCTGAGGTGTTCAGGACTCTACCAATAATGCCAAGTAGTGTCACTAAATAAAACCTAACAAAACAAAATGTCTGATTCTACAGAAAATATATAAAAAAAACTTCTCATTTTACTTTAAAGTTACTATTATATAATTATAATATTAATGTATAAATTTTCAGTTATTGTTTGGAGATGATGGGTATTTGTATGTATTTGTTGGTGATGGTGGGAGAGCTGGAGACCCTCTACGATCTGGACAAAATCTGTAAGTCTCATTTTTGTAATCTTCTAAAAAATAGTTAACAGTATAGAAAAATTAAGGATATACAAATTTACTTTTATTGATGAATAAATATGGGAAATAAAGGGGTACAGCCTCTTGTGTTGACGGAAAAAATGGCACAGCCTGTTATTTTGAGGGGGAATTCAGACAGCCTAATGGAATGTAAAAAAAAAGCAAAAAAAAAACCCACAACCTCTTGGAATGAGGAAAAAAATTGGACAGTCTCTTGGGTTGAGAAAAATTGTGATGCAACCACTTGGGTTGGACTTTTTGTCTTATGCTTAACATTGGAAATGACTTGTCTAAGACCTATAACATTTTACTTTGTCACACATATTAAGCTGAATACCTCTACAATTAAAATGCCTTGTTCACAAAAGCACCATGGTCATGTGATTTTTAGAAGAACAGGCTTAGTTAAAATATATCAACATATAACTAAAAAATTAATGTCAATAAAACAGCTTTTATGCAATGTCTCATACTTTATGCATAATATTTCAGGAGATCAATGTTGGGTAAGGTACATCGTATAGATGTAGATAATGTAGACCTGAAGAGACAGACCGAGTACAGTATACCTCCAGATAATCCATTTGCTGACGGTAAAGAGGCGTTACCAGAAATATACGCATATGGTGTTAGAAACATCTGGAGGTGTGGCAAAGACCGTGGTGACCCTATCACAAGTATGTCATCATTATAGTATTTCTTTATGCGCATACTTGTGCCAAAAATGATGTGCATATTTGGGCATTTGATCTATCTCTATATCCAAGTCAGAAAGTCACCTTATGACATTATACCACCATATGACATTAACACTGTTCGGTGTAATTTGAAAACCTACTTACAAATATGTATAGAAAGCTCTTATTTCTGCTTGTGTTTTAATTTTTTAAGTGAAATATTACGTATTAAAGGACTTGCAATTTTAATGTCCATGTTGTTAAGTTTAAACTATATTGTATAAAAACTCTTAAAAAAACATTAAGTCATTTATCTTGGTTCAAGCAACAGCAGCTTAGCATTAATTCTTGATATTTTCTACAGAAAGAATTAATATTAAGTTATAATGTGCATGTTTATATCATTACTTAAACACTTTGATGATATATTTATGAATTTTGTCCTTTAAAAATATTTTATTAGCTTTAAAGTGTTATTATGCTAAATCTTTCGCTGTCCAGTTAAATTAGTAATATATTTTCAAGAGATTGACTATTATAATGGTGATTTAACAATAATTGATAATAAAAATGTTTAGGATAAAAAAACTGTAAAAAACTATCTAAATTATAAAAAGACAGTGCACCACTCTTTTAAAAAAATTGAAAGATTACGACGTAAAGATATGAATGGTATTGTAACACAATTTAATTAAATATATTTTATCAAAAGCTAAGTTTCCTCCTTTTTCCCTTTATGACATAATTTTCCACTTCTTGAAACCTAGCTGCCACCATTACCCAATTAGTGGAAAAAGCACTGCTCATTACAATAAAATCTTATGCTGTATATACAGGATAATATACATGTATATAATTTGTCAGATAGTCATGATTTTCTGTTACACCACTTGACCTCTGATGTCTGTAAATGATAATGAGTTTTTCATATTTAGGTTAATTCCACATTTTCTAGGAAGTATATCTTTATTCTAGTCATGCTTGAATTAACTAATATGTTTCACAGGTCAAGCTTTATTTGATGTTTGGCAGAATTATTAGTACGTTAGCACACTTCATACTACAGAATTAGGTATTAGAGTAATGTTGGATAATATATTGTCTTATACACAGAGTGAATGAGTTATCAAACTTTTAAGTGTATTATGATTATAGCAAGAGGTCCATGCTGTAAGAATATTACAATGCTATTTTACACCACCATACTGTCTGACCAGACTTTATACAATTGACTCAGTGTTAAATCAGAGTTTATTGAATAATAATGAAATCACTTAATTTAACACAGGCGCTTTGCAGATTTAGATTAGAAATTCTTTTGTAAAATTATGAAGAAAGGAGAACTTTCTATAGCCCAACGTCAAGCTGATTATGCCTGTGAAGTTTGAAGACAAAACAGACAGACTAAAAATATAGGCTACCTTCCTAGTCTATAAATTTGGTGGGCATAAATTGGTGATAATTTATTCTGGTAGATCCAATTCATAAAATATGTGCTTGATATATTGGGTAAAATATATTTATATAGAAACATTTCTTGGTTTAATACACATTTTGAACACTGTTAAATAATTTGTTTTTATTTCATTTTAACAGCAATGTCAATAAAAATTTTTTTTTCAAATTTGTAAAAAATCTGCTTCTGTAATTTTTTAAAATATAAAATTGAATTCATTTAAGACCTGGCTGCATATTGGCAGATTATTTAACTTTCATGTTCACTTTAAAGGTAATATTTGCTATAGATTCATCATTTCCTGTTTTAAAATATCTCATTTAATCAATGATATTCAAACAGGACCTGTCCATGATAAACAACTTACCCTGCCTCAATCAGTAACGGCTGTACTATGTGAAATTCTGGCTACATTATTCTCTTGTCTGATTTATAATGTGTAAAATGATGTCTGATTATCTACAAAGGACTTGAAAGGTTATAATAATGTTACTTTATGGTGTATTTCAATGAGGCTAGTAATTCTATGTTGGAACCAAACATGAATAGCCCTATTCTACTGTTACACAAGTTCAGAAGGTTAAGGGTTAAATCATTTAAAGGTTAAGTAAGTTCACATATTTGATTGAGTAGATAGCTTACTGTAGACCATACTACTGCTGTTTCCACCAGCTGACTGTTTTACTAGAAACAAGGTTATATTATATCAGATGATTGTTGAAGTGTTTATTTGTGTTCTTACCAGATAAAATCTGACCAATTTAACTTTAATTGGCTAACATGCTGTTTAATTGATACACTTTATACATTTCTTTGATATTTAAGTGATATGAAAAAATAGGTCAGTAGGAAATGAAGTACTCAATGATATACATCTTGATATTGAAATATAAAATGTTTCAATGAACAAGAATATTGTGTCAGAGAATGAATCAGACCGGGACATGTCACCATTTTAAAGCTGCAGTCAGCCAACCCAGTCCACCATCCTTCAATGTAATTTGACCAGACTAGACTCTGCCCACTGACCTGTTGAATATCTCCTTATTTCTCAAATTATCACTAAATATCTCCTTATTTCTTAAATAAACCATTAAAAGTTCAAAGATCATGACAGGACATATTCATTATCATACATAAAACATGTGGTCTTTGATTTGATTTGTTTCATAACTTGTTATATTTAGTAAAAAGATATTTACTGGAGAAAAACTTGGCAAGGAACATTAGCTAGTGTCAAAATGTAATAAGCGCAAACAAAATTATGGTACAAGGTTATAATTTTCATATCCATGAGAAAATTCCTCTGATGTTAGAAGTTGCTATAGATAATTGGCCTTTTGTGAATATAGTGTTATATAAGTAATACTGTATTATTAGAATTTTATATCCCCATATTACTGTTACAATTTACTGAGTCATAAATTTGGAAATTCTGCACTTTACTTTTCTTAAACCAAAAATCAGAATTTCTTTTCTTGTCTGATTGTATTAAAAATTGCAAGTATCTATATATAAAAAGTAATATCTTCTTTATACATGTATATAGTCCAACAGCCTAACTATATTAAATTTTGTAAATTGATATAATTGTTTTGTACGACATTAGTGAACATGTTTATCTATTCATTTTTATAGAATAATTATCAACAATTAATGAATATAAAAAATGTAATTTCAGAGAAAGGTAAAGGTCGTATACTGTGTGGTGATGTAGGACAGAGTGCTGTAGAGGAAATAGATTTGATAGAGAAAGGTGCTAACTATGGTTGGAATCTGAAGGAAGGTACCGCTGATTATTGTCCTGGCTGTAACAGAGGTATGATCTATACTGTACTAGCATGTTGATTTAATACTATAATGTTAATTACAATACTATCATGTTAATTGCAATACTATCATGTTGATTGCAAAACTATCATGTTGGATTTAATACTAATATGTTGATTGCAATACTATCATGTTGATTGCAATACTATCATGTTGATTACAATACTATCATGTCGATTGCAATAATATCATGTTGATTGCAATAATATCATGTTGATTGTAATAATATCATGTCGATTTAATTCTATCATGTTGATTGCAATGTTATTGCAATACTATCATGTTGATTTAATACTGTAATGTTGATTTTGATATTATCACGTTAATTCTAATATTATCATGTTGATTGTAACACTATCATGTTGATTGTAATACTATCATGTTGATTTTAATTTATCATGTTGATTTAATACTATTATGTTGATTTAACACTATTGACCATATAACTATCATGTTGACAGTATTACTGTCATGTTGATTGTAATACAATAACTTCGTTTCCATATTTTATAACTTTCAGATCAATATATATCCAACTTTAAGGTTAATAAATACTGGGGTTTTCTGAAACTTTGGGATGTGACTGATTATTATACATTTGTATGTGTATAATGTGTATATGTGAATGAGATTTGAATAAGTAACTATCAAATATAAATGATGCTCTTTATTAAGTTTCTTGCCTCAACCCACTTCTCGTCTGCTAAATTATTCCAGAGGGATATACTGTAAATGTTACTGCCTTTATAAAGTTAATAAGTCACATCAACATAACATTATATCAGTCTTTGAGGGACTTGAAGGGATACTCGGGCAAATTAATGACAAAAATATTAAAATGATCTTATGAACTGAAATCACGCTAAAATGACATTTTTTAAAATCCTTGTATGAATTTCTGTATAAAATGATATATATTTTAGATTTGAAGCATTAATATATCTATATATGTTGAATGAAATTTAGAAGCCGACAGAATCACCGAGTAGTTCTTAAACAAGTTTTGTGACTTAATTGCAATACTATCATGTTGATTGCAATACTATCATGTTGGATTTAATACTACAACCCTGGAAGTTACAATAACAGATATTGTGGATATTGTATGATTGAAACAAGTCTAAGTTATTCATTTGACATGTTCTTTAACGTTTCCAAAGTTTACTGTGACAACTATTGTGAAATCTTAACCCTCTAACCTGACCCAAGAGTGTCAGGTTGGAAAACCATCATTAAAACATACTTTATAATGAAAAAAGATTTGTTCCTTTCACTGTTAAGTGTATTCATTTTGAGGACATTTACAGAATAATGAAGGAAAAATTCAAAACGAAGAAATGAAAATTTTGCCTGTGTCTCCCTTTAAATCCAGATTCAATAAAGAGATAAAATGTATATTGAATCATTAAGTCCTTTAAATAAAACCTTTTGTTCAATTAACATGCTACTCAATTCCTTTTGTCTTAAGTGTTTGAATATAATTTACATATTGAATATAGTTAGCTTAAAGGCAGAACATCTGTATGCATATTATCTAGATTAACTCTTTATTATTCATTAATGTAAAATTTGAATATTTTGTCAGGATTAAAGCACATATAAGTTTGTTGAAAAGAAATTGTATGATACATTTCTATTCTTCATTCAACCATTATAGTAAAGGGTGATTTGTTGAAAAGAAATTTTATGATACATTGCTATTTTACATTCAACCATTATAGTAGAGGGCTAACCTAACAGCATGAATTTTGAATCTCAGATTTATTAAACATAGACGGTCTTTTTGTATAATTTTTATGTCACAGTCAGTATGTTAGTAATATATGCAGTTTAATCAATGTTAATGTAAGACTGAGTATATAAATCATACATATACAGAAGCTGTATAAATCATGCCTCTGGGGTAAAAATTGGCCCAGTCCAAAGTTTATGTAGCCTTGTTTATTTATTGAACAAAAATATAATTAAAGATATACATGTACATTGTACAATGCTCATCCTTTAGTAAAAAAAAATTTTCACAGAAATTTATTAAAATCTATAAAATTCTTACTGAATATGTCTAATTTGAAATAAAGAATGAATAAACTATGTATCGGAAGCTGTGTTCCCTATTAGTCAGGTCAAGCAAAGTTGGGGCTTTCTTTAAAAAAAAACTGCCAGTTTTTTTAATGACATTATAATTATGCACTATTTATTTTGTGACCACCTATAGTGTGTAGAGTTTTAAACATAACATATACTTTATGTGAAGTCAAACCATGTTTATTTTATATTTACAAAGAAACTTGTGTAGCAATTATCAATATTTTCTAATACCAAATTTGAGCATAGTATATCTTTATGGTCACATTAATAAGTATTTTATTTGTAGCAGTGCATTGAACTAGCTTAAATCTTAAAACAAACATATATTTGTAAAATAGTCACATATGACTTCCAGACTTAATGACGACAGAATGTCTTTAAACAAGAACAGTGAGTATTTTATTTAAGCCAGGAATGAAAGTGTTTTATTCCTTGTTTAGGATTTGTTATTCATTTCACTTCTGTAGACATGTGTACTAATGTGTCGGCATCAAACTTTACAACCAATGAAACACATCTTTATAATATATTCATCATGAATACATAATTCACTAGGTTTATGACAGAAAAAAAAACATGAACAAAAGAAATGTTTTATAATTGATTACCTAATTTCTGGTTAATACAGACAAACTGTTTTTTTTGTACTTATTATTGTTTTTAAGTAAATTATGATAAACATTTCGAAATGGTCAGACGTAGATTTAGTCACGTAAATGTTTGACGTGAGAAACATGAAAGTTTACGCATTAACCTATCTCATTATTTAGTCAGTGTTCAAGTTTGACATTTAATGACAGATATAAGTCATATAATCGTTAGACCATGTAGTCATTTATAATGCAAGTCAATTATGTATGCTTCATGTCGAAATGATAATATGACATCAGTCATTCTTGTTTAATTAATTAGTATTTTGTGTACATGATACGTGTAGCTATTATGCTCTTGTCTTCATTTATTCTTCTAAATGGAAATCTTATGTTTTATTGAATAAATTAACCCCTCCTATATTTGTAATATTCTGTTATTGTACTAAACTTACAGCAAAACCTGAAGTAAATTTAACGGATCCTGTAGCTGAGTACGGACATCATGTTGGCAAGTCTGTTACAGGGGGACATTTTTACAGAGGATGTGAAAGTCCAAACCTTAATGGCTACTATATTTATGGAGACTTTATGTCAGGGTAAACATGCATTGTAATTTAGCTAGATTTGTGATATACATTGTACATATTTGAATTGTTCATTGTAAATTAAGTAGGTAACAAAGAGGGCCTTCTACAATATATTACATGATATTCTGTATTTATGTAATTGATAATCTCTTTTTAACTCTCACTGAATATCAGTATTTTATACCACTCACTCCATATCACTTACTATATATCACTCACTCACTATATATCACTTACTCACTATATATCACTCACTCACTATATCACTCACTCAATATATCACTTTATATCACTCACTCAATATATATCACTCACTCACTATATCACTATATATCACTCACTCACTATATATCACTCACTTACTCACTATATCACTTACTCACTATATATCACTCAATCACTTTACATCACTCAATCACTCCAAATCTTTCACTATATATTACCTCCTATATTTTCAATGTGACAATTGATCTTAGACATTAAATCTAATGGTCATTTGTGTCTCACTGCTGATTCACAAATCATTTGGGATTAATAGCCAGTCACTTGTGGAGAAATTGGTTTTACTGGTGATTTATCTATGAAAGCTGGTTTAGTGGATCAGTCAGAGAGATAAGACGGGGGGGGGGGGGGGGGGAATGTGTTATAATCTGCATAGAAGCCAAACAAACTCCCTGTATATTATTGACTGTGCATCACTCCTATTATATCAATCACTGTATATGCTACAAATAACATCACTGTTATACTTGTATATCATTCATGTATATCTCCCATTGTATATATCATTGTTCACTTATTGTTTGTCACTTATATTGATGACTTATGGTTTTCTTGAAGTAGAATTGAATACAATAACTTGGAATTTATTTTATTTCATTCAAAGAATAAAAAAAATCATATTATTCACGCTGGTGAGAATATATAAAACTTCCTAGATCTTAATGAGATATTATCAATATTCACTGAAAAAAACTTTTCTCCTTGTATATGTAACAATTTATCTAATAACTATAAGTAACTTGGTACATGTATTTGTTATTGCAGGAAAATCTTCCGCCTTACAGAACCTAAGAATCCTAATGAGAAGAAATGGGATCACAAGGAGTTGAACATGTGTGGATCAGACTGGTGTGTGCCGCCACTAACCAATGAATATGAGACCAGTATCATCTCATTTGGTGAAGATGAATATGGTGAATATTTATTGTCTTTGAAAAAATACAACCTTTAAAAAATTTAAATAAGCAGATAAAATAAATCGGAGTAGTGGCGACATATAGGGATCTTTTCTCCATTGTCTGTCTGTCCGTCCGTCCGTCACAAAACTTGTCCAGACTACTGGTGCAATTTTATCCAAACTTTACAGGAATGATCAGTACCAAGTCTAGTTGTGCATATTGTCAGCATTTTCCGGTTCAATGATTTTTGTCAGAGTTATGGCCCTTTAATAATTTTTAATTTTAAAGTTTGTCCGAACTACTTCTCTTATACCACTAATGCAAATTCAATGAAACTTTACAGGATTGATCTGTAGCTCAAGTCCTTGCGCATATTACAGGGGTTTTCCGGTTGAATGATTTTTTGGCCGAGTTATGGCCCTTTGATAAAAAGGTGTTTTTTTAGCTCACCTGTCACAAAGTGACAGGGTGAGCTTTTGTGATCGCTTTTCGTCCAGCGTCCGTCCGTCGTCCGTCCGTCCGTCGTCCGTCCGTAAACTTTTACTTTAAATGACATCTCCTCATAAACCACTGAGCCAATTTCATCCAAACTTCACAGGAATGTTCCTTTGGTGGTCACCTTTAAAAATTGTTCAAAGAATTTAATTCCATGCAGAACTAAGAACCGAAAGAAAAAACTTTAAATATCTTCTTTTAAAAAACCATAAGAGCTAGAGCTTAGATATTTGGCATGAAACATCTTCTAGTGAGTTTCTACCAAGTTTGTTCAAATAAAAGCCCTAGGGTCAAAATTGGCCCCGCCCCAGGGGGTCATTGATTTTCCCTATATGCATATAGTAAAAACTTAAAAAAAAATCTTTTAAAGAACCCAAAGAGCTAGAGCTAAGATATTTAGCATGAAACATGTTCTAATGGGTGTCTACCAAGTTTATTCAAATAAAAGCACTGGGGTCAAAATTGGCCCCGCCCCGGGGGATCATTGATTTTCCCTATATGCATATAGTAAAAACTTAAAAAATCTTCTTTTAAAGAACCCAAAGAGCTAGAGCTAAGATATTTAGCATGAAACATGTTCTAATGGGTGTCTACCAAGTTTGTTCAAATAAAAGCCCTGGGGTCAAAATTGGCAATGCCCGGGGGGGTCATTGATTTTCCCTATATGCATATAGTAAAAACCTAAAAAAATTTCTTTTAAAGAACTCAAAGAGCTATGGCTAAGATATTGAGCATCAAACATGTTCTAATAGGTTTTTACCAAGTTTGTTCAAATAAAAGCCCTGGGGTCAAAATTGGCCCCGCCCCAGGAGGTCATTGATTTTCCCTATATGCATATAGTAAAAACTTAAAAAATCTTCTTTTAAAGAACTCAAAGAGCTATGGCTAAGATATTGAGCATCAAACATGTTCTAATAGGTGTCTACCAAGTTTGTTCAAATAAAAGCCCTGGGGTCAAAATTGGCCCCGCCCCAGGGGGTCATTGATTTTCCCTATATGCATATAGTAAAAACTTAAAAAATCTTCTGTTAAAGAACCAAAAGAGTTAGAGCTAAGATATTTAGCATGAAACATGTTCTAATAAGTGTCTACCAAGTTTGTTCAAATAAAAGCCCTGGGGTCAAAATTGGCCCCGCCCCGGGGGGTCATTGATTTTCCCTATATGCATATAGTAAAAACTTAAAAATCTTCTTTTAAAGAACTCATAGAGCTATGGCTAAGATATTTAGCATCAAACATGTTCTAATAGGTGTCTACCAAGTTTGTTCAAATAAAAGCCCTGGGGTCAAAATTGGCACTGCCCCGGGGGTCATTGATTTTCCTTATATGTGTATAGCAAATACTTAAAAAATCTTCTTTGAAAAAACCCAAATAGCTAGAGTTAAGATATTAAGCATGAAACATCTTTTAGTGAGTGTCTACAAAGTTTGTTCAAATAAAAGACCTGGGGTCAAAATTGGCCCTGCCCCGGGGGTCATTGATTTTCTTTATATTTGTATAGCAAAAACTTCAAATCTTCTTTGAAAAAAATCAAATAGCTAGAGTTTAGATATTAAGCATGAAACATCTTCTATTAAGTGTCTACAAAGTTTGTTCAAATAAAAGCCCTGGGGTCAAAACTGGCCCAGCCCCAGGGGTGTCATTGTTTTTAACTATATGTGTATAGTAAAAACTTTAAAAAAAAATCTTCTTTTGAAAAGCCCAATGAGCTAGAGCTTAGATGTTTAGCATGAAACATTTTCTTATGGGTGTCTACCAAGTTTGTTCTAATAAAAGCCCCTGGGTTAAATTGGCCCTGCAACGTTGGGGGGGGGGGGGGTTGGGGGGCCTATATACAGGTGAGCGACCTCAGGGCCATCATGGCCCTCTTGTTCTGTTAGTTGCCAGATACACAAAAGCTTGTCCGGACTACTCCTCATAAACTACTGGTGCAATTTCATCTAAACTTTACAGGAATGATCAGTACCAAGTCTAGTTGTGCATATTGTCAGCATTTTCCGGTTCAATGATTTTTGTCAGAGTAATGGCCCTTTAATAATTTTTATTTTTAAAGTTTGTCCGGACTATTTCTCTTATACCACTAATGCAATTTCAATGAAACTTTACAGGATTGATCTGTAGCTCAAGTCCTTGCGCATATTGCACTGGTTTTCCGGTTGAATGATTTTTATCCAAATTTTACTGGAATGATCAGTACCAAGTCTAGTTGTGCACTGTCCGTCTGTCTGTCCGTCTGTCACAAAATTTGTCCCAACATGAAATTGGCGATCATGAGGCGACACATGTGATCACTGATTGCTCTTGTTAATGTTTCTTCAGATAAGGCTTGTTAAGCTTTACACACAGTATAGATACTTTAAAGTATTTTTAAGTAAAATAATCAGTTAATATATTATTATCATTCACTATTGCTTAAAACATGAAGATATTTGTGGGGAGTGGGTCAGGGGGTACCAATAAGAAATATCAGATAAAGGGTACTAGCGGACCAATAAAAAATGATGTTACTTAAATGAGCATACTGTTTATTTACAGCATATATGTTATCTGTGTACATTATATATTTTAGGAGAAGTATATATGTTATCAACTAAATTAGCTAGCACATCATCATATCAGGGAACTGTCTACAAGATTGTTGATCCTATGAGGTAAGTAAATTAAATAATTCTAGAATACAAACTTGTTTGTACTTATAGGTATCCTCCTGCCATTTTATGCTCCTGCATTGTTCCAAACTGTTGAGATTGTCAATTTTTGCCTTGGTTTTGCTTAAATTTGTTATGCAGAGCATAATTATTAAAACAATATATTTTAATAGTCAGTCATTTTGTCTGTTTATACAGATACTGTGGCTATGGGGTCCAAGGGTGTTTTAACAGTAATTTACTTTTATGCTATTCATTGCATTCATTTTTATGTGGCTATTATTTCTCTAAGGTGGCTTAGGGAAACATGAACCAAACTTTTAGAAGTTTTCCTCTGTTTGGGCCAGCATCAAATGGTTTTTAAGCGTAATTCCTTTCATAATCTTTGTTAAAAAAGAGAGAACCTCATCAACCTTCTGTTAAAGAGGAAACTATCATAGATTTTTATGAGAAAATGCCACATAATGATCAAAGAAAAACCCTATGAGCCTGAAATGATAGTACATGCGGACATTCCAACATTTTTTGTTGTTTTTCGTTAATTTTTTGTGGAAGTTTATGTTAGAACATATCTTTGGTTGTCATCTAATTTTAGGTTTGAAAATAATCACTTGGGTAAAAGTAACTGGTGCTAAGAATAGATTTTTACACTAGGTTATACAGCTTTTATTTATTGACTTGTGTCTCATATTTGGTATGTAGATACCTTGGATGGTACTCTTAAACTTTGGGTATAGTCAAGGTCGCTGTTGCCAGAAAAATATTCTACTCTTTGTCATACAGCCTTTTATTTATATTATAGACTGATGTGCATTGAAATACATTGACAGCTGATGTGCAGGTTTGCAAAGCACCCATCACTTATTGTAATATTTTTGTTTATGAAAACTTGTAAGAAATACCGTTGCAATGAATTATCAAATCATATTATTTTTACAGGAGAGGACATCCAGAGTTTTGTGAATCTTTAAGAAAACCAACAAGTCCTGGTACCAACAGGCCAACAACAGGTACCAGTCAAAAAACAAAGAAAACCAGTCCATATAAAATAGCACCAACTACTACACCAGTCTATGCTGGTTCCACTGTTAGTGAGGCTGTGTTGACTGGTTCCAGCGGTATGTTACTAACTTTACTGTTACTGGTGGCAAAGTATGGGAGCATGCAGAACTAGCTTGAAGAACAAGAATGAATGAAAAGTACTGAAATCCAGTAATTGTCTTGTTGCTATGGTGACAGTGTAAAATACATGCTTGAACTAATCATATACTGACAGGTGAATCTTGATACAAGCAGCATGGAACACATCTATATTAGAAATATTGTTTGTTTTTGAAACAAAAAATGTTTGTATAAGGAAATATTATACATGTATAGCAATGTGTTTAGTAAGCAATGTGTTTAGTAGGATAGTACAAACACAAATGAACCATGTAAGAAAGAAAGCAACTATCTTATAATTGATGGGTAATTTTCTTAAAATTTTTTCTTTAAGTGATTATAAATAATAGCAATTTTAGATGAAAGCTTAGTGGTTAAACAAGTCGGCAGTTAATATAAGTACTGAATCTTGACTTTCATTAAATAACTTGTAAATAGTATCATCTGATGATCCTTATAATCATTGATCATATAAAGGGGGGAGGGGCTTATTATCTGGGAGGTTAATCTCAGGTTGCCAGTTGTTGGAATAGTGAAAGTTAATCCTATCAGTGTTTGTCAGACCAGTCTGATCATCCATGCAGCTTTATTATACTATATAATGATGGTTGTTTAAGTTAAGTGTCTCAAGTTTGAAATCCTTTTTAATAGCAATTTAAAGTGAAAATTCATAACTGTATATTTCAATTACACAAGTACAATGAAATAAACTCACAGGACATATCGGTATGTCATCCATATATAAATCTGCGAAAACACAGGTTAATAACTCCTAATGTGATAAAGTGACAAAAAAGAAATGTTTCAAGGTTTTTCCTACAAAACTTTATGTAACAAATCCAGTGAATCCTGAGATTGTAATTTCTTATATATGAATGATCATATGACATTATATAATGTCAAAATGATATTTTAATGTCATCACATCTCAAAATAATGCGCTGATATTTAAATTTAATAGTGTTAAAATCATCAAACTTAGGCATACAATTTTCACATAGTAATAATCTGGAGACTTTCAAGTTTTGTTTGATATATAACATACCATACTTTATAAGGGAGGCATCATATCTGAGATACATTATACTGAGTAGCATCTATCATGTTCAAAGAATTGGCTTGTTGTTGCTTGTTGTTGTCTTATCATGCATAATGTGCAATTAATAACAATATGTTTGTCTACCAACTGTCAGTGCTATTTGCATGATATATGTGAAAATTTGCTTGGATTTTGTGCAATTTGTTAAATTTTAAAAAAGAATCTGCAGTATTTAAGTGCCATTACATGTATGTCTTTATTTTACTTTATACATAAAGTTGATATTTCTATACAAGTTTTGCAGATTTTTTTTATCACAACGGTCCAAATGTTTTGTAATTTCTTTTGTATTTAAAGAATTTGTTGTTGTTGTTATTGTTGTTGTTTTTCAATTGATGTTTTACCTCACTTTTATCAGTATGATGTGTGTATATATTGTTATATGACATGTTTTAAGTAAATGAAGGGTAGTACAAATAGTTACCACTGTAATTAGAATATTTATGCACAATTTTTTAATGACTATAAATGAATGTACACTAGTATAAGAACCTTTTTGTCTGGCAACATAAGGCCAACACAATTGATGTAAAGCATAATTTGCTGATATCCACTGCAAAGTGATTTTAAGTTTAACACCACCCACATAAGTCAGCTTTTTTCCTAAAATGTATGTAATAAAATCTTTAGAAAATGTCATGTATTCAAAATTGCATGACCTATTTAATATATAACATATACATTAAATGGAAGTTTAGATTGTTTAATGTTTAAAGATCAAGGCCTTTGGGTGAATTAATCAACAAGCCCAGGTGGTGACTGCTTCAATATAAACTTGCACAGTGAAAATCTTTAACCATTTTCTTTGCTTCAGGGTCACTTATTTCTTCATAGAAATTATGACTTTATCTTGCAATAATTTTCAGGTGAGTGATCTAGGGCCATTATGGCCCTCTTGTTCTGTTCCTTAATTTATGTTAAAGTTAAGAAATATGACAGATAGACATTTTCTTACTTAGAGTGGTCATTTACACTGGCTTGGTTCTGGGTTACTAAATTTTCATACCAAATTATCTTGCTGTATTATAATGTAGGCAGTGATCATTATTTGCCATTAACACTAAATATATTATACAGCACTGGGCATGGATATATTTTATTAAAAAGAAGAGAGCTTTCCTGGTAGAATTATTTTATTTATATGGTCATATTTTACATTGATAATTTAAGTAGTTGGATTAACTTTTTGCAGTTTAACCTAATAAATGTCCACATGTTGACTATGAATTGACGTTATTTACTTTATTTGTATCTAAACCAGAAGTCAAGAAACTTATTTTATTTGTGACATATTTTTCAAAAAGTCAAAGTTGCTGGTGGGGGTATTAATCACCTTTAGTGATAGCTTTAGTTTTACTTGTACACTTACGATGCATAAACAAACTATTGAAAATACTATTCAAAATGCTTCTGGCAATTAACAAGAATATGGAGTAGTGACAATTTATTTTTGTATATATAGTTTGTGGTTGTCGGGGCATAGGTTTGCCTGCAGGTTTAGACAACAGTAACATATGTATTACTAGAAATCCATTTATTATCCCTTTTAAGTTTTAAATGTAATCCCTCTATGTTTTAAATGTTTCATTTTACATACATGTAGTTCAATTCAATTGTTTTCTAAAAGCATTAATGTTTATTACTGCTTTACTTAAGCTTCTTCAGTATAAGATAAGAACATGTATAGTTTATTTGTATTACAACTGATGTTTTAAAGGAGCTACACTGAGGTCAAAAAGCCTAAAAACATAAAATTTGAAATTTTTACATAGATCAAGTGAAGCTTTTAATATGGAAAAATCTGCAAAGGATAATAAATATGTTTACTCAGAATTAAATTGAAAATATATAGCTAGTGCAATACTAATTAATTTTGAGAGCAACACTTTTCATTTTGGGGGCATTTTGCACAATCAAAATCATTATTTGGAAAAACAGGGTGAGGGAATGATCTGAAAATATGCACACTAGTTATTCTTTCAGACTTGCATCAAATGGTACACAAATCTCGTAAAATTATTCACAGTCCTGTCATATAAAAACCCTCAGTGGAGTCCCTTTAAGGTAAGATTCTGAATTCGTTATTTCTGAAATAAGCAACTTATTTTTTCTTCCTATTGTAAAAGTAATATATGCTGCTATCGTCTCTCTATATTTTCATCAGCATTAGACTTAGTTGCTTAGTGACTAATTTATTCTATTTCTATTTACTCTATTTCTTTTACTTCCTTACAGTCACTGACCAGCAAGGTGCTAAAGGGACATCGTCTTCTTTTGATAACAATATTTTAAAGCTTATCCAACAGTGGCTACGAGCTACAGCTATGTAAAATACACGGCAGATATTCATTGTGTAGTGTTTCCATATCTCACTACACATACAACATTTGGGATTAGATTATGAAATTAGCAGTAAATTCCTTAATTGATTTTCATAGACCTTTACTTACTCTATTTCAGGTACGTATATTAATGTTAATATACGTACCTGCTTTATTTATGTAAATTCGATACACTGTCTAATGAACCATTGTGTGTATATCATAGAGCTTGTCTGATACATGTATTAAATAAAATTGTTGAAGTTTTACAGCATCTAGGTATAGTGTTAACAATATCACAACGTTCATCAATCTTAGGTTAGTATAGCTAATAAAACTAATATGAAATTTGAAGTTTTTATACCAATTACAACAAGAACATGTTATGATACCATCTATTTGTGCATATTTCATAGGCTTTAAATTGTCTTTGTGATACATTCAACTTAATTTTCCTAAAAAAGAAATTAAGTAATTTGACATTGTTTGTTTGGCAAGGGCATGTGTTGATGTTGTGTGGTCATATTTTTGCATGTAATCAAGTTTTCTTCATTTTTTTTATCTAAGTCAGTCACTTTGAATATTTTGGAGGCTAATATAATTAAAAACATAAACTTGTAGACAAAATCTTTGGAGTAACGTAGCCAAATTTTGAAAGTTTTTTTTTGTAATTAATACATCAATATACATTTATCCAGGCTATAAAGAGAAGGTATAATGAATCATTCAACAGCTAGTGGCTATTTTACCACCTAACTTCAGCTAGTTTTTATGTACTTCTTTAGGCTGAATTACAACATCCTGAATGTGATTTCAATGCAAATATATATGATAGATAAGCTAATATTTTAAATGTTTTGTTTTACTTTTAGATTGATTGTTAATGGCTACCCTAAAAATCACAAGTTGTTAGTATCATAGACTATTAATTTATTTACATATTTTGTAATTTTCCAAGAATTAAGTTGTCTGACATTCTGTTACTTTAGCTCAGTTATTCTAGCTACTTAATATGTATAATCATTTACATTCAAATAAAAAAAATGGTTGTGTTATTACAAGACTTGATTATTTTGTTGATATCTTGAATTCTTGATAATACATGCATGTAGGCATGTGTGATGTTTTTCTAATACAATGTATATATGTTAAAGATTTTGTTCTGTACAAAACAAGCATGGTGGCATGATCTGGATCAAATTAAATGTTTTCACATGTGTTGTTTTTATACAGGTGTTTTTCATTACAAAGATTGTTTTTTATTATAAAATGGACAAGGTTTGTTAAAGATCAAAATAAAGCAATATTATTTTACAACACTTTCTAGTCTGTTTTATGCCTGTAACTACTTAATGCACGGCAGACATGTTATTTATGGAATAAACCAGTTATCCTTATCTTGCAAAAAATCTTAAATGGACTTAGCCATCAATCTGGACAAAACCATCCATTTTTATGTGAAAATTACAAAATATTTACTGCCTAAAAATCAGCAGTGCAGACTATGATGTGTATATTTTACAGGTTATGTATGAAACTTTTTAAATTATAGAATACAATTGGGATAAATCTTTTTCTTAAATTATTTCCATGAAACTTTTTAACTCAATAAAGTTTTTAACTACTATTTAATTGATGTATGCAGAGTCCTGTTTTGTGCAAAAATCACTTTTCAGAATGCTCTGAATAACTGTTATGCTCCGGACATCCTCGTTTAACAATGGGCCGTCTTGTGTGAAAACCATAAAACATCCTCACATTAAGTCATGTATGACAGCTACGGTTATCGCCACGGTTATCAATGCGCTGGTCTCTCTTTGTCGTGTACGGCAGCAATGTTTATCAATGCGCGGGTTCTTTGCCTTGTACAACAGTCGCGTTCACCAATACCTTGGTTCTTCATCTTGTATAACAGTTTCGCGTTGACTAATGCGCTGGTTCTTTGTCTTGTACGACATCCACATTTGTGAATGCGCTGGTTCTTCGTCTTTTACGACAGTTGCGTTCACCAATGCCCTGGTTCTTCGTCTTGTATAACAGTTTCGCGTTGAATAATGCGCTGGTTCTTTGTCTTGTACGACATCCACATTTGTGAATGCGCTGGTTCTTTGTACGACAGTTGCGTTCACCAATGCCCTGGTTCTTTGTCTTGTATGACAGTCGAGTTTACCAATGCGCTGGTTCTTTGTCTTGTACGACAGTCGCGTTCACCAATGCCCTGGTTCTTTGTCCTGTACGACAGTCTCGTTCAAGAATGCGCTGGTTCTTTGTCTTGTATGACAGCCGCGTTACCATTGCGCTGGTTCATTGTCTTGTATTACAGCCGCGTTTAGCACTGCGCTGGTTCTTTGTATTGTACGTTTGTCATTTTTTCTGGCTGTTTTTATGTGAAAGTTAAGTTTTTCAGTGCGATGGCGCTGGTTAATTTGGTTGTGCCTCGGACATCTTCGTTCAACATTGGGCAGTCTTCGCAGATCATTAGTTAAGTAACAGTGCGCTTTTTCCTAACCTCCTGTCACGAAAAGCCACATTTGACAGTGCGCAAGCTCTTTATCGTTTACTACATAAAGCCAAGTCTAACTGTGCGCTGGTTCGTTGATTTGTTTCGTAGAAAGCCACATCTGATTCTTTGTCATGCACCACTTTGTTAATTCGCTGATAAGTTGTCTTGTGTCATGGAAAATCACGTTTGATGGTGTGCTTGTGATAAAATATCTATACAGCTTCACATTTTAATATACTGGTTGTCCTTTATAGTACAAATATTTTTGTATTAGAACTACAACGACATGCATAATCATTCTCGATACCTTAATTTATATTCTTTCATTTAGCCAATTTTCAAACTGAATCTCTCTGCTTGTTTGAAATTAAAAGTGAATTTAAGGAGATAGACAAAGACACCAATTTGATAATGATTATCCTTTTTTATTACCCTTTTTTGTTTATTTGTAATATGATATGATTCCCAAAAGAGATTTTATTGCTTTTGTATTACTTGATCCTAATGAATTCCCTGAAATATTGAAGGCGTCCGCTAATCTGTCTTTTTATCATTGTTATGTGCAAAATATAAACTAAACACTTGAAGTTTGAAAACTTTTTCCATTCTAAAAATTGTTTTGATCCCATTCTAAATAAAGTTTTACAGCAAATTAGGACATTTTTCTGCTATGGAAACTTCCGGGGGCCAACACCATGCCCACAAAAAATTCTTTAGTAAATTACGTGTATGAAAACAGATTTAAGTGATTACGTAACTAACATTCTAAGCAAATTTTGTTGGCAGTAAAATGCCGTTATCTAAAAATGACTGAAAGTAACATTTTCCATTCTAATAAAAATTTAACATACAGGGAAAATTATTTCCACATATACACATGTATTTGTTACCGAAATACAATACGAATAATGAACAATATTTAAGCATAATCCTGCTTCAAAGAACTATTATTTTACTCATTATTTACTCATGTCAAGACGGATAGTGCATGGATAGTCATTACTCCTGAAATGCGACACGCAACTTTAAACTCCCATGTCCACAATTGCATATGATGAAGCCATCCAATATTTAACGATACAAACGCTGTGACATTTTTTTTTTTTGTAAAGATACATATGTAAAAGAATATTCAGCTGTGAAATACATGATATATCGTCGTTGGGGGGTCAAAATCTCGTATAACAGTTTTTGCTACTTTTCAGGAGGAACATTTTTTTGATTTCTTTCTTTCTAAAAGAACCTTCTGTGGAAACAATTCCTGTATAGTGGTAACATGAATAGTACGTTTTAATATATAATTGATTTTTATGAGTTGGTTTTGATCATTTTGACATATAGAGTGTACGACAATTTTGACCTTAAAAAATAGCATATACGACATTTTTGACCATAAGGGATAATCAAAGAAGTGCATTTATTTAGAAGTAGAATAACAATATAATATCATTTTTCATGAACATTGTTTTATTTTTAACAACTTGAAACCTTGAAGTATTGATATTTAACTTGAACAAATTAAAACAGAGTTGGTTAATAAACTGTTAACTTTTGACATAACAATTGAATTAAACATCAACTTTCCTCAGTCTTTTTATGCATTCACACACACACACACACACACACACACACGCACATACGCACGCACGCACGCACACGTACGCACGCACACTCGCGACGCGCACACGCACAGACGCACACGCACTCACTCACTCAAATCTTTAAAACTTTGAAATTCAACTTGAACAAATAAAACAAACAAAATTAATTAACTTCATTATTGACTGAAACATCAATCTTTCTCAGTCTTTAAATTCACTATTTATGAATTTAGTACTTTTTACTTCAAATGAATAAAATGGCACTTTCATATTACTGTCAAGAGAAAATTATAGTTTAACTAAGGTCCCATAACGAAACACCTGTATACATTTCGTTTTCATGTTTTTAAGAATCATGTTTCAGGTGGTCATAAAACCCATGATAATCCATTGGAAGAACACTTTTAAGTGCCTGTAAATGGTCGAACTTCGTTTTCTTTATCTTCAAAGGACCACCGTGCAACTTTGGTATTATCTCTGTATGTTTAACATAAGATTTTCTAGATTTTCTTGGAAGTTCCTTAAATGAGTCTCTATAATTCAATTTATAGCGTACAGAACCATCTGCTTCGTAGTGAAGAACTCTAATGTCACTAACCACTGGGTCTCCAACCCTAGTCCCAGGTCTAATTGAAACATAGTAGCCCAACTCCGAGTATGCTTTTGAAAAAATCGTAGCCAACGTATTCAACGATATATGGGTTAGAGGGACAGGCTTCCTTGATGAAGTCAACATACTGTTGTGGCACATAAACATTCTTGTTCTTTATTTTCCTCTCCACTACGCTGTGTACTGAATCCACCTCCATTTGAGTATGGCCTTTTTCGAAGGATCTTTTGTGTGATTTCAAGGTCAAGAGTCATAGCCAAGTGACATAAAGTGTTTGACATTACCAAGTTCCTATTTTGATAGGTACATCCATCACTATATATAATGATGTGTTTGATTTTCTTCATCTTTGGAAATCATTTTTTCAATGTAGTCAGCCAAGCAAGAAGCAAAGGAATTAGCCGAAAGATCCCCATTCCTTCATGCCAAAAGTAGCAGGTCGCCTGCTTCGTTATAAGGTCATACAAAGTGAAATTTATGGCATGCTAATTTGGTTTTATAATACAATGCGCTTGCATTCATTTTTGGCGAAAGTAGAACTGCTTGTACGTCCATTGTAAGAACTTTCACTGAGTGGTTTGTTTTGACAAAATAACTTGTCACGGTTTTTCTCCTCTCGTGAATTTATTTTTCTATTCTGATGTTCGTTGTAAATATCAGCGGATATATTACCTGCATCAAAACCTACACAGATATCACACTGGTCCTTTTTTGGCACAAATAGACCAATATTTAGGCTCTCGAAAACTTCGGTAAATACTCTACGACTCGCACATACCCTTTCATTACAATGTTTCACGTATTCTTTATACAAGCAGGTCAGAGAAGTTAAATACAGGTTCAAGGTAGGTCTTCGAAGTCGATGAACGGCAATAATGAGATTCCATTCTAGGGATGCTTTCAAGAAATTGCTTTGACACTCATACGTAGCTGGCCGTGTCTTTCTTCTTGAGCTTTCTTTCTTGTATCTGAAAAAGAAAGGCATCAAATATCTTTTATAAAGTGCTAACAACACATTTAATATTTCAGTCAATCACTCATTCACTTAAACTGATACTCATTCATATTGTAATTCACTCACTAACACACACACCAACTCACGCACTCTTACGCACGCACGCACTAATTTATTCATTCACACTCCCACAAATTTATTCATTCACTAATTTAAAACTCACTTTTTTATATAGAGAAGAAATTGGGATTTAGAAATTGTATTAAACATTTAAATGGCATGTTACTACCTGACTGCTTCTGCTTTTTCTCAGCTGATCTATCTGGTACACCCGATATTGACTGTTCTATCCATTGATATACTGTCTGCTCCCCTAGTCCAAGAGTTGACAAAAATAGTTGTTTACATACGACAATACGCTCTTTCATTAATTCTTAGATGGTATGTGAGGGTTCGAGTTTCTTCTACTTGGTTTTCCATTTTCAAGTGTAGGTTCCTCCACTGCTTTAGCATTTATAAGCGAGTTTACATATACACGCCTTTCATCCCATGTTGTCATGTTTGTCCAAAAATTAGTAAATATCTCTCTCCTATCTGCTTTCTGTTACGGTTTTGCAATTTTTTATATTAGAGGTTTGGCAGCGTGATGAACACCTTTTTTCAGACAACGTCCTTGCGGACTTTTCAACATGGAATCCCCACTTCCCATCCACTTTTTTCATTCCTTTGTATGCATTCCCTGACATACGCAACTGTTTATTACGATGTCTCTGCCTTTCTCCTTTTCCATTTTTTGTTTATCATTTGCCTTTACAGATTCATTTTCTACGGTTTTCTTCATGATCAATATCGTCTTCCGATGGTGACGCGTATTCACCCTCTTCACTAGGATTATAATCTGGGTCATTTGCATCTTTGTCATTATTTATATCTTCATATTCTTCATTTTCTCCTAGATCCAAACATGTTTCATTTTCAACATTTGTTGTAATATCTTTTACACTATTTTTGTCTCTATTGTTTCCAATGAAAGAACTTTCACCTATGACAGAATATGCTTGTTGAAAGTATTCGTCAATCTCAGTTTCTTTACCACCAATCGATTTCATCATTAACACCTGCTACAAACACTGCCATTAAATTCATCCAATATAGTAACATTTGACTCTTTGCAATTCAGAGAAATATCTAATTCACTATTTTGATCAGTTGCTGCATTGGAACGATCATCAAACACATTTACACTGTTATCAGCGTTTACAATTCCAACGATCTTTTCAAATCTCAATGTCAGTCTCAGCATCTCCACTTTGAACAAATATTTCAAGTTCTATAAAATCTTTATATATTTCAGTGTTTGACACCGGTTCACTGTTATCTAAATTGGCGCATGACTCATTGTTTTCTGTTTTCATTGTTGATTCACTGTTTTCAGCACAGATAATCGAATCAATTTTGTTATAGATTACAGATTCACTGTTTTCTAAAGTAGATATTTGCTCACTATTTCCACCATTTATAACTTGTTCAGTCCTTTCTGTATTAATATCTTGTGCCTTATAACACACAGATTCACTGTCTTCCACACACGTAGACCCGACTTCCATTGATTCATTATTATATTCTGTTTCTGAAAAATTTGGTTTATTACAAATATTTGAAGGTGTCAACTCATTGTAGTTTTTGTTGTTATTATTTATGTCATGGTTAATACTCGTATCAGTCACTTGTTCTTGTTCCATAACCTTTATGAGTTTTAAAAGAGAATTCTGAACCACCATTTTCTTAGCTAACACACGGCTTTCCTTTTGATTGCTTTGAGCAAAAGTTACCATTGTTTTTGCCCAGTGGTAACATATTTGAAAAATAGTTAATAATTTACAATTTTTATCCCTGGCTCACAGACTGGACAGTGTATCCCACTTTCTTTCAATGTATCTAAATGTGAATAATTTAATGCTTCATCTGGAAAATGTTGGATGAATACATAATAGATGAAAATACCGTTCACAGTCAGCGAACTGACATCGAACATAAAACTGCCCATTTCTAAGAGAAATTAGATAAGGCCCAATGTCAACTACTTTTTCAAGAATATGAATTAACTCATTAATATCTGGTACAAACTGACAAATGTGACACTTATATTGTAAATATTCAGTTTCTCCCGTTGACTCGGTATCACTTTCTCCAGAATACTGTGACATTCCGCTTAACCGTATCTGAAAAATAAAATTAAATCGCCATTATGATTCTAGATGAATTAAAACACCTATTTTTAAGCTATTTCAAAACATCGTATTTCGATATAAAACGGGAAGAAAATGAAATACCAAATAATCGTATCTCGTAAAATCTCGTATCTTGATTGCTAGTATCTGAAAAATGAAATGACAAATTCTCGTATCTCGAAAAATTACATCAAACGTCAGAAATCGAACAAAAATTATCTTTAGCGAAAATTAATATCTTTATTTACGTTTAATTATTTCAAACATTAGTAACGATTGAAAGAATTATATACAGATAAGCAATGAAAATTAATGTATTTTCTCTATCAGCCGCAATAGGACACTTCTTTGAACAGATATGACTAAGCATATTTATTAAAACCTTAAAAAGTAGGTAATTTAGAAAGTACAAAAAATAGAATCTACTTAACTTACCGATTTGAATGTAAAAAACAATTTATCCAACGTTCTCCGTCAACATATTGTGAAATTTAAAAGATACGAGGTTTTGACAAAAACAACAAAATCATCCAATCGACACACGAGATTTTGTCACGTGACAATTTTCGCCTTTTCCATTGGTGTAGAGCTACACTATTTTGGGAGACGGTGCGCTGGTATGTTTAAATTTTCGCGGCATCAAAAACCCATTTTGCTAAAAAACCGAGTTACGATATTTTGACCCCCCACCGACGATATATTTATAATATATATATTTGTGTTGAACAATGTTTCACCAGCTAGTTACTTTTTCAAGTTGATATGTCACTTTATGTAACAGCATTGCGTGGTAAATTCTCTAAGAAGACAGACAAATGTAAGAGGATAAAAAAGATTAACTTTTTGTGTAGATCCTTCAATAAACTAAACTTCTTCAAACTTCTTTAAACTCTAAATGACGTTAATCAATGTAGGCGATGAAAATTATTTTTCACAAATACCTCATCAATTTTCACTACAGATTCAAGAAGGGTACTGAATTACTTAGAATACTTCAAAAGACAATCGCTTCGGAACCGGCGCCGAAAAATGCAGAGACAATTCAAGAAAGAGCGAGAGGATAAAAGACGTAATTTGTCAACACACCGAGGCACACCGCCACAACAACAACAACAGCAACAACAACAGCAGCCTGGACTGGTTTTTCACGGGATTAATGTTCACAGATGCACCAACAGTCCAAACTTTTGGTGTTCTTTAAGAAGACTTGTTCCTTCTTCATAAGTGTAAAAAGACAGTAATAGTACGATCTCAGGCAATTTTCTCATTTATAAATGCATACAATTTTTTTATACTGACATGATTCTTCTCTCTTTTTTGTTGTAAATAAGGTAAAATATATATTATATTAAAATATTCCCTGTATATAAAGTGTTTAAGAAAATCCTTTTCATAAGTTCATGTTCTGCTCAATGAAACGCCTAAACATGTCTCCATTTTAACAAAAGGCCAATCCCGAGTAGCAATTTAGGCCGACCATACGGCATACTATTTCAGCTTACGTCCTTGACATGAATTATCAAGTAGTGTGGGAAATGTAAGTGACTTTAATGAAGGACCACAGTGATATGTAATGTTTGTGGTTTGTCGGATTGTTGGGGTGCTTCCTCATTCTTAATAATTCAAACGTATGTGTCAGAGGTTGTTTTTTCTTTAACCAATTTGTAAAACAAATATGAATATTTTGCTAATTTTGTGTTTGACTTTGTTGATTATAAACACTGCTAGGATAAATGGACAGCAGTGTATGGATTTAATGCCCCCATTCGTGCCTTCAACACCATTGTTGTTTTGTGAAGAGTACTCCAAATATGGATGTTGTTCATCAACTGACGACCAACAATTAAGGCGGTTGTTTAACGACATCAGGTTACAGAATCGACAGAATAACGCGAGACGAACCAGTTCAACATGTTTACAGAACGTGAAATCATTCTTATGTGCACGGTGCTCCCCATTTTCTGCTGAAATTTTTCAAAGAACAATAATCCAGCCTGGGTCTGGACACATGCTCGGTTTGTTTCCGAGTCTATGTGGCGGATTATGTAAGCAGTTCGTCAGGATGTGCTCTAATATTTTGTTAGATTATTTCGCCATTGTTGGCACAAATGGAAATAGGATGGAAGAAGCATTATTCTCTCAACCATTGACAAACTCGACTGCCACTGACAACTTTTGTAACATTGTAAAAATACCATCTCACAAACGCCAATATTGTTATCCCACGGTAGATTCTACTCACGGTGAAAGTTCTAAATTTACGGAAGACAGGACGAACATTACCGATTGTGTCTGTCTTCAGCCTTTAAGAAAATCTCTTAGGAGTCCTATAGTTATTACAAATGCAAATGACGATAGCGGCCGACTTTTCATCGTTGAACAAATCGGCACCGTTAAAGTCATTCTACCAGACGGAAGTAGTCCTAATAACGATTTTCTAAATATTAAGTCAACTGTTTACGTAGGAAACAAATTGTCCCAATCAGGCCTCCTTGGTCTCACCTTCCATCCAAACTTTAAAGAAAATCATAAATTGTATATATTCTATACGTTAAAGAAAGACAATGATAGCGATTTAGTATCACGTGTAGAAGAATTTCGCGTGAATGATACAGATATAAACAGTGTAGACACCAGCACGAGTAGAGTGATACTCGAAATATCAAAATATAGCAGCAATCATGCAGGTGGACAGGTAACAATCACTTTCTTCGATACTTTTCTGATTTTATTTTCATTATTAAATACATGTAATAATCTGATATTTTCTAATCTGACAACTCAGTTTAGTTACTTGTCTCGTTTGTTTTGCAAAATCAAGTTACAAAATTTACAACCTTGTAAACATGTTAACGACTTTGTAACTTCTGTCCATCCGATGTTTTGAAAACCGGACCAAGGTACTGGTACTGGTTGTATTTGGAATGTTATGACATGAATAGTCAGTTACACGTCTGAACAATTACTTGTTGCGGTTATAAAATTGAATTAATGTTAGTACATTTTTCTGTATATTAATAACCACAGCGTATCTTTGCCTTGCAGCTCTTATTTGGTAAAGATGGATATTTGTATATTTTTACCGGCGACGACGGGGGAGATGGTGACGACATGGAGATCGCACAAGATTTGTACAATACTTTATAATATATAAACGTGTAATTATATGCAATCATTAATGCTCGATAAAATTGAAATATACATTTCATAATTTCATTACATGTACATGTAATGGTTTGGTAGTTCTTGACACCAGATCACTTACAACGTGTCAATTAACCAAATTTGTTTCTGGAAAAAAGAAAAGAAAAGAAAAAACCAAGCAAACCTTCAATCAGCTTAATATGTATTTAGAATTAAATATTAAGCCAACTCTTGTAAAGAAACCAACGAACAAACATTTATGAAAGTTTGATGACTTCTTATATACTCACTTGTGCATTGCATTGTATGATAAAGATCATCGATTGATTCAGAATTGTTATATTAAAATGACCCCGTATATTTAATATTTATATTTGTTTCCATTCACTAGAAACATTATTATCATCTGTACATACAGGTTTATGCTGTCAGGAAAAGTTCTACGTATAAATGTTGACGTGACAGATTTTATAGCTGGCAAAGAATACAGTATACCTAGTGATAACCCATTCGCTGCTGATGAAAGTTTGGGACTACCTGAGATATATGCATGGGGACTTCGTTACCCGTCAAAGTGTAGTATAGACAGAGGTTAGCATGTTTTTTGCACAGGTTCTATATAAAATGAGCTTAGAGTGGCCATGTGGAATAGGAAAATCGCTTGATTCAGTTTAATTCCCAGAAACAAAATCTAACGTTACTGAAAAGCAGCTTCCTTTAAAATGCACATTCTAGACGTCAGAGTCTGTGCAAAATGTTTATCATGAAACATATTGAATAAATTAAACCATTTTCCATTCTTGAGTTCAGCTTAATGATCTTACAGAGCGGTTTTATCACTTACCATTTTAGCTTTGTCCGACAATCGTATATTTTGTGGGGACGTAGGTGCAGACACGTTTGAGGAAGTTAATATAATCAGAAAGAAAGCCAATTATGGATGGAACATCAAAGAAGGGACAATGGATTTCTGTCCGGAATGTTTGCGAGGTATCCAATTCTCTTCTTAATTAATCTAAGTTTCTATATCAAATAGTTTATAATAGTTCTTTAAACACCATGCAATTGTTACATTGCAGTTATTTGGCAGTATTGTCTCTCCGCCAAAACAAAACAGCTTTAGTGGAAAGCACGATTTGAAACTACTTTACATTTGCAATGTTATCGTTTTTATTTTTGCCTAAAAGCATACAAAGTTAACATTCAGATTTCACAATACTAACGTTTAAATAATGTTAATGATCGTACTTACAGGATTACCAGAAGTCAAAATAACATACCCAATATTTGAGTATCGTCACACTATAGGGGTATCTGTAGTAGGAGGACATATATACCGGGGGTGCGCTAGTCCAAACCTATATGGTCAATATATATTCGGAGATTTAAAGAATGGGTAAGAATGATGTGTCCTTGAAATGTCAAGAGCAGTCAAAATCTGTGCTTTCATTTTTCGTCCTGTTCGGGCTACATCGCCATTCGTACTATTTCTCACAAAATGTTTACATAATTATGTTCAATACCATGGAAGATTTCACCAAAGACACTCAACCTTAGTGAAACAGAGATCTCTATATATAGATGAGTTCCGATTTTACTGAAGGTGCCATGATAAGATGTAAAATAATGATAACGTTTAATGTTTAAATTTCCTAGTTTTACCGCAACTCGCATAGAAACATAATGTATTATATATTTATGGTAATTTTATTGTCAACATTGCAGATTGTTACGTCTTAAAGAGGACAATTTGAAACAGACTTGGAAAGGTGAGCGTCTACAGATGTGTACAGCGTCTCAATGCGTGGGAACATTAACGAATAAAATCGAACCATACATCCTGTCATTCGGAGAGAGTGAGGAAGGTAAGTTTGAAAGAACATTGATTAAATCAAAACATTATATTCCAATTACTTTTTGGGGATTTAATTCGCAGGTCATTTGACGGCCCAACTTTAAAGGTAGAGAAAGGCGCTGGATATCTTACATTAAATTAAAAACAAAAGGCTACTTCATTTAAGTATGTTGTCGTAACCACTCAGTCGCAGACTCGCCTCATAATTCCAGTGGGGAGTGAAAACCCCAATTCATATTGCTCACCTGTACAGTATAGATCGTTAGACATATTTTATATAATATTCGAAACTGTAAGAAAACTTTGCTAGCATTACCCAGTTTCTTGAGAATAAAAACTGTGCTTTGACATGTACAATTATTTTTTTTAGGCGAGATTTATGTGTTAACAACATCGTCACTTAGTTTAACCTCATCCTACGGCCACGCCTATAAAATTGTGGATCCTCTCAGGTAATTTAGCGTTGATTTGTCCAACTATATGACTAGATATATTTTACACAGCCAAGATAAGCATTGTTTTATTGAAGTTGTCGTTGCTTTAGCTTATATTTCTAATGACCTAACATAATCGTAATACAAAAAAGTATATAATGGTAAGATGATGGGTCAAATTTCTGTAAGGACTGTACGACATTGAATTTGACCAGTTTTATTCAAATTTTTAATAGATTTTGATTTCTGCACTTGATAATTTCTGTCTGGTTCTAAGATTTCTTTTTTTTTGTTTTGTTATCGAGGATTATTAAGAGATATATAGCAATGACATTGTTACTTTTAGGAGAGGTAATCCAGACGAGTGTAAATCAGCGAGACCGGTATCTGGTATCTCTTTAACAGGAGGCGTTTACCCTACCGTTACACCTCGTCAAAGAGAAATAACAGTGCCGACCCATGTAACGTCACAGACTACAGTTACACCTAGGATAGCAACACGTAGACGACAACAGAGACCAACATCTGAAACGCGGAGGAGGAATCGGCAACAAAACACTAGAAGGAGAAATAGAGGACCAGAGAGAGGTAACCAAAGACCAAGGTCAAGGTTGAGTTTCATTCAAAGACTGTTTGGTCGGAGAGGCAACAATAGAAACCAATCACCGGCACACACAGGAAATAATCAACGACGTACAAATAATCCGGCTAGCAATAGAACATCGGGCAACCAGCAGACCAGGAATGGGATACGAACTATCGGTGGTGGAGCAGTTGTTGTCAGTAACCAGGGAGCAACAGTTGTAAGGGTGAATGGGAAAAGATGACACTTTAAAACCCGACATAAAGTTATGAACTAGCAAGTTTTGACTTAAACTGAATGAACTTCAGATTCATGTACATACTTTACATTGTGTGAGGCAATGAAACTTACATACTAGTGAAACTTTTTTCTGCAACCATTAAAATTAGAAAATCAATACATGTATTATTGGGGAGTGAAAAACTCATCCTGTCCTGAGCCTCGCTTATAACACTAACACGGATATAAATTTATTCTCCTAAAATCTCTAACATCGAGGTACTGGCTAGACATGTTATTGAGCATGCGCAATGTGCATATATTATAAACTAGCTAATCAGCTGGTATTACTACAATACAGACGTTTAAATGTTTCTACACTGACCAAAAACAATGAATTAAATAAAAGAGTCTACATGACCCATAATATATATCATGACATAATTCGTACAGTAAATTTCCTCAAGACATGCAGTGCAATGTTTTGGCTAACAAAATTCAATGTTCCTGAATCTAGGTTTTTTTAATCTTTATTTATCTCAAGCTAATGTTTAATAATGTTTTACTATTTATGTCCCTTTATGCTTGAAGAAAAAAGATCATTAGGCCAGGAGGTACAGATTTTTTTTAAAGATTCAATATACACATGCCCATCCAACTGGGAAATTTTCTTCAAAGAAACAAGCACTCTGTCCCGTATTGCTCTAGTTCATGAAGTGTTCATTTTTATTCTCGATATTTTGTTTTTGAGTTATAGATTTACACGCATACATTTCCCTTCTTTGCACGTTATGCTTTCACGTAATATCAAATTGAAAGTAAAATATCAAAACATCGATTATAATTAAAAGCACAAAACACCACAAAACGACAACATTGCAAATGATAAATATGGAAGCCTTGGAGGGTCACTTTTGAGTTTCGACTTACGGATGTTTTACTTTTGACTTTTGATTTGTGACTTACGTCTTATGACTTTTGGCTAACCCATTTTACACGTGCTTTAGAAGCTGAAAGCAGCAACTTTGGTTTCAGGTATGTTTTTTAAACGTTTTAAATAATTTCATTGAGATTTGTCATGGAAGAGAGGATGTGTTAAGGTTATTTGATATAATCCCATAGTGGCAATATATCACAGACTTTAATTCCACAAGTGTGACTGTGTTCTGTGCAATCTGCTGTGTTCTAAATATGTTCATTATAGTAGTGCTTATACATTTTTTGTCCTCATCACAAAATCTGTCCATGAGTAAGTGCCCGTCTACACCTATCCAAGTCTTGAATGCAAGTATCATATTCTCTTGTATTGGATAGTGTAGACACCCTACTTGAATGAGTTTTAAAGAGAAATTATGTGACATCCAAGAAGATAATTCCTTGCAAGAAAGTTAGAACATGTTCTATTTTTCTACAAGTTTTTGGCTGTCAAGACACTGATAACACCGGTTTGACACAAAACATGTGCCCGAAGGTTTGATAGTGCTGTTATTTTTATTATTTTCTGACTTTTTGTTGTGATTCAGTGTACATGTCCTTTGAATTTCAGTCAATGATTACAATGTCTTGGTCAAAGGAACAAATCAATACGCTGATACACAGAAGAGCAAAAAAAAAATAAATAAATAAAAATAAATACATTGTAAAAAAATAAACAAGAGCTCTTTTTCAAGTAGAGTCAAAATGGATTTGAAATGATCTTGTTCATTTAGTGAATAAGTTTCATCAAACAAAATAAATTTTTGTCACATTTTTTCAATTTTAAAAAAGAATGAACGCATTTACTCCATTCTGTTTTAGCTAATTGCATCATTTTCCCGCTTTTTTTCACATATTTTACAGAAACATGATAGTCTTGCAAAGACAAAGGTATATCCTGGGCTATCTTAATGAGACATTTCAGTAAAACTTGTGCCTGAAAAAATGTTGAAAGGGCCGTTTATTTAGCTTATCTAAATGTGACATGTAAGAAACTTGAATAGGTGTAGACACGGCCTAACAAACAAATCTTTACAAGTAGGCAGGGAATACAAGTTTTACGTCTTAAAATGGCATGGTGCACAGTATTAAACATGTATCGCAGTTCAGCATTTTATTGAGCTAACACAGACTCAGTATTTCTCTAAAGTACTTAGATAGTGTTGACCAATTTCATGAAGAAAGGCAAGTGCTATGTTCATACACACAAGTACAAAGTTAACTGAGCACCATTTGCATTTAGCATCAATGTCTAATTTTGTTGTATATTTTAACAATTGAGAAAAGAACACTAAAGAGCAAACATAGATATAGGACCAGTTAGAACAAAATATCCTACTAGCATTTCAAATGTTATATTTTCTCGCACCTATCAATCTTTAAAAGACGGAGCTAAGAGATTTACCCATTTTATATACTATGAATGTATAAATAATTAGATAAAAGATAAACTCTTATTTCAGACACAACTACTGGACAAAAGGTAACGAGGATGAAAACCTTGATGTTGATCTGTGTCTTCATCATTATACTGTTCGGCATTACCAAAGCTACCATGCCAAGATACCTACCCTCAACATCTATAACAAACAAAACTCTGATAATAGAGTACTTTCTGGCATGGCATTACGACGTCATTTAGTACAGTGAATAGACTCCTTTTGAGACTGTGTCTGATGTTATAAACAGAGAAATACAAAAAAGTGGGCAATACATGTGGTAAACCTGAAACAATGTTTTATACCAGGTCTGTATGAAACTCACGACTTCGGCAATGCAGTTAACTTGAGACGTATATATTTGCAAAGAACATGTATTCACGCCCAAAAAGACAATGTGGGGAATTCGTAGAATTAGCACCCCTTCTGAAGCCAGAGCTATTGATGCCATTGAACCGTGATTTAGCACTACAACTGTGTACCGAGTTGAACGATTTAATTTTGAGAATAGATTTAATATAAATACGCTTTAAAACGACTAATACTGATTTTTTCGTGTTATTGATATATACTAGGTTACTATAGGTTAAGTTTCAAAAAAATGTTTTTTTAAAATCATAAAGACGATAGTTAACGATTTCACTTCATTATATGGTTGTTTTAAGATATTAGTTTGTAAATATTTAGCAAAATGTTACAATTTATTTGTGAGTTATCGTTTAAGTTACAACCACTCTAATTTGCATTATAAGGCATTGTAAAATTGACAACATTGTTGAGTGGTACACCTAAAGGACACCTGTATGCAAAATTTTAGCAAAATTTACCGTACAGATTTGGAGTTGTAGGCATTATTATGAGTCAGAACATATACATTAAAAAGGCTTTTTAAAAGAAATACATGTATTGAAAAAAAATATCCGTTGTCATCTAATCATTATCATGTTTTGATAATATATCTATATTATATATTATATCTATATATCTAATATATAAAGTAATATCATGTTTTGCAAGTGATGCTTGTTTAGATGCAAATAATAACATTCTAGTAATGAAATGCATGACTATTCTCAACACGATAGAAATATGCATGGAAATGTTTCTTTACCCCACACATTTGAACATTTTCTATCATATCATTCTAAATTAAAAAAATCACTAAAATTACATTTAGTCAAAGGGCTTGTATCAAAGTTTGCTAAAATCTTTCTAGAAGTATACTGATTCATTCTGTGAAATATGTAAGGCTTTTACCGGCTATTTTGTAATATATAAAGCATTGAAAATGTTATATGTCGAATTTGCTCTTAGACTTAGCATTAATTAGGCAATGAATATCTGTAAAAAATGATAATAATAGAAAACGAGCATATTTTTCCATCTAAATATAGCTAGAAAAATACAAAAATACTGAAGAAAAAAAATGAAGAAAAAAAAGTTGGCTCCTATGGGATTCGAACCCACAACCATCTGATTTCATGCAACTAATGTAAATACTCTTGAAATGGAGGTAGTGCATTACAATGGTCATACCTTAACGGATCATTTCTTAAACTGTCTTTGTATGTAATTTTTCACGAAAAGCATACGTGTAGTGGGAATCTTTCTAAAGTTATTTAAAAAATCAAATCTAAACACATTTATTGTACAAGTTAATGGTCCTTTCCAACTCAGCAGCCTGTAAATCTTAATTTGTAAAGTTTTTACATCACAATATAGGTATGTGCAAATTTGTGACTTTTTACGTAAAATACATGCTGTATTTCTTTTTGTTTTTGGCATACGTATTACGAGATTAACTGCACTGTATGAATCGACTTCTGGTTGTATCTCTTCTATCAAGCCCTGGTTACAAAAAGGCTGCCCGACTAGGAATAGAACCTCGACCTCCCGCGTGACTGGCAGGGACACTTTCCACTATGCCAAATGTCACAGGGGGAGAAAGATATGCAGCCACATCGGGATTCGAACCCGGACGCCTTACAGGGCTAGTTCTGTCCCGACCGAGATCGCACATCATCTACTGAATATATTCGTACCGTGACATATAAGTTATACGTGTAATTTCAAGTATGTGTAATTAGATTCATTGGCAACAAATAGCAACCATACTTTATAAGTGTATTATGGTATTTAAAAGGAATATATATGATTATTATTTCAAAATAATAATTGATCTTTGTTATAAATGCTGACATATTTTCTCGTTTTTTTAGGTTTTGCCTTGTGACTTTTCACTTATAATTTATCACTTATGACTTTTGACTTATAACTTTTGCTATTTTCTGTTACTCTTTGCCTTGGTATAAACATTAGTTTTACTTGATTTTAGATTAATGCAAAATAAGCAAATGTGTGATACAATCACCAAACGCAAGGGAGCACATCAGCCGAGAGTGGTGTTGAAATCATATAATGTTTCAAGTACATTTAGCCACCAGTCTAATTTTTGCATTAGAATCCTCATTTGTTGACAATCTCTTATTGTGTTATTGTAACTTTATTATAACCAAAATAAATCTGTAATTTACCACCTGAATAAACAGTATATAAATGTTACAGAGAATTTTTTTTATCTATGTAGAGATAGTGTTCCATTAAAATTATAAGTAAGAGGTTGAAATGAGCAAAGTAGAAATAGAATAGCAATCACTATAGAAGTAAACTGTGTGGAACCAGCCAACTCCCTCAACATACTACCTAAATATACCTCTACCGAGAGACCACACTACCAAAGGTTTTTACCCCACAGTCTAGACCGTGACAGGTTGGCAGAGCTATCAAATAAATAGCGTTTAAACAGATAACAACAAACATTGTTTATTCTACACAAGTGCTTTATTTTTTTAACAAAATTGTTGTCTTATAAGATAAGCTTAAAAAAACAGATAAGAAATACAGAGGTATGCATTTTGTTTCTAAAATAGCACATATGCCTTACTTAAAAGCTAAAAATAAACACTACCATCAACAAAAACTTCAAGTATTTACGTCACAGAAGACATATATACATGCAATATTTCTACAAAACAACACATTGTTGATACGTTACTGATGAAAAACTAAGAAATCATGAGTGTTCTAACGAAGCTTTTGAAAAGATAAGATAAATTAGGTAAACTAGCAACGTTAGAGTGTCTGTATAATTATTGAAGTCATGATTTTTAAAATCATTGTCAGAGCGTTATTTCTTCATTTCTAAATGTTCAAAAGAGAGAAAAAGAAAACACAAACACAGTCTCTAGCTAAACATTTCCTTCATTGTATAATGTATATATTAAATAACTTCCACAAGTTTTTTTTTTCGAAGAATGACCGACTTTATATGTAATGGAAATCTCATAGTCTTTCGTAATGAGCATACCCCCAACCCACAGCATGTCGAAAAAGGGAATGTGTAGCTTAGGAGAACGATTAAATGTTATAATCAAAAGTTTTTTAACAACACAATGCTCTCTCGCCGAGACATATCTGCCAGTAAATTCAAGTTGATGCCTTCAACAGTTTTTGGGATAATTTTGAGTTTAACAAAATCTAAGTATGAAAAAACAACAACAAAAAACAAAAAAAAAAACACACACACACACAACAAAGGGGAGTTTCTAAAATGTATGATAGCTATGATAGCAAGAAGTATGTTTCTTTCTGCCTCGCCAAGCTATATGAACATACAAAGTTTGATTTCGGTACCTTTCATATAAGTTTTAAAATTTACAATGGCCAAATACTGAAAATTATGAAAGCCAGAATTATGAATTCATGATTTTTCACACTTTTCTCTGTCTCACCATGACCTGTCTATCGATACAAGTTTTATACCATATTGGAGATATGGACAGGATAAAATAAACGTGGCGGGACGTGACATTGCGTGTTTCCAAAAAAGCGTCCACAATAAGTGGTGGGGTTAAAACTTGAAAATTATCGAGCGTCTGAAACAAGTGTGAAAAAGTAACACTCGTATTCTGAAAATGACTGAATAATTCCATAGACAATAACGAATAAAACCAAATCACCAGTGTTTGGACATTTTGCATTTGCTAAACTGCACTACTTTCCACTCGGAAGGAACGCTGTTTTGCAATGAAACCTCTTAGTCTTCTAAACTGGCTCCGAAAACTTGACAAATATTTTTTTGTGATGCTCTTGCAACTGCTTTGTAGATGAAACCATTCGACAGCACGTCCTTATTTCCTACAGGTAGCTTTACTAGAATTAAAATTGAAAACATTGAAAGTATGTGTTATCTCAATTAAAATGAAATACATATATATACAAAATGAAATACAAAAAATCCCTTAATACATAACTGTATAAAAAAGTTTATATACAAATAACATGTACTTTGTACTTGGTAGGTGTCCTAAGTTATTGATACTGAACAAGTGTATAAAGTTTCAATATTATATCATAACTGGTTTATGGGGCCATATCTCATAAACCTTCTGACAAAACATTTTAACTTTAAAAATGGGCATAAGTATGTCAAATTGTGAGCCACTCATACGAAACTTGGTCATTGACCTTAGATGTCAATACTTAATATGTGTTTTAAGTTTCAAAGGAATCGCTAAAATAGTTTTAGAGAAACCATTTTTCATGAAAATTCTAAACAATAAATTCAAAGTCGAAAATGAGGCATAATTTGATAACAATGAAATTCAAAGATTTCTAACTAAGAGCGTGTTCTAAACAAGTGTTTGAAGTTTCAAAGCTGTATGATTGATTGTTTTTGAAATACCATTTTTCATGAAACGTCTTAACTATAAATTTCTTTGTAAAAATATGGCCTATAATTTGGTCTATATTCAATATAAGATGGACGAAGAATGAACTACGGGTGAAAACCGATTGAAACAGCAGCAAACAACAATGCGAGGCTTATTTGGATTTAAAACTGGAACCCATATAAAAAATAAAGCGTTTGATTCATACGCTGTATGTCAATTTGAGATTATATATGCCTGTTCCGGAAATCAAAATAGAAAAAAATGGATACCCAATGCAATGCAATGCAAGCAAAGTATTTTCTTTTCCTAATCAATTAAAAAGGCTTATATAAGAATAACAGTTTGTTCTTGCATATGAGCCCACATATTTTGTTTTTTTAAATAAGTCTCCAGGAGACTTAGGTAAATGAACTTACCTCGTCTGAATCGTTGTCATATTCTGCCATCTTTTCCTTGAAAATTATGAGGCAAGCACGTGGGACAATAACAAAATCAATAAGTCAAAAATCAAAAGTCATAAATCAAAAGTCACAAATCAAAAGTCACAAATCAAAAGTCATAAGAAAATAGTAAAATAAATCTATAAATCGAAACTCAAAAGTGACCCTCCAAGGCTTCCATAGATAAAGGTTTAGTTTGATTGAGTTTGTTCATGGTTACCTACAAGCTATCTTCCACGCTCGCAGCATCGGTTTAAGCATTTAGAAACATTCACAAAACTCTTCGTTCATGCATATCAGTAAGATATATACATTAATTTTACTACTTATAAAATGTATAAAAAACAACTTCGAGAATAAAAAAAAACATAACAATTATATAGGATTTATTTGGTCAAATAAAAAAACAACATAACAATTATTTAGGATTTACTTGGTCCAGTCATGTTTTTATTGTTTTAACAGTTTATGTATGACAGTGCATATATGGATCTTTGCTGCGTTTAATTCAAGTTTTATTTTATGAGACGCTAGAAAGAAGAGCAAGGCTTTAAATAGTTTTCCTTTCTCGACCATAATTTGTCCAACTAAATTCAATCCAGTTTCTCTGTGACCTAAATTTGGCTCGAATCGTATTGCCCTGATGAGAGCTTGTAAAGCTTGAATCTGCTCCTTGTGTATTCCTAAACGACCAGAAATCTTATATTTTAAAAATAATAGGAATGTTAGGGAATCAATAAATGCCAGATCTAACCATCGGTTATTTGAATGTCGCAAGATGTCTTCAGCTTTTGTCGTCCTGTACATTTCCAACAGCAACTCTTTTGGCATACATTTATTTTCACTGCGAAGAAAATGTACGCAATATGCAGCGACATATTTTAGACCATTTTCGTTGTTACATTCGGCTGCTTTGATGAACTCTTCTCTTGGTAAATGGCTTGGTTGTGTTGTACAACGGCAAACTGGTTCCACTTGATGAATATTATAACGCCTGTCAACATCTTTTATAATTGTAAACGCAGCTTCAATTTCACCAGAACAGTAATAGACCGACGCTAGTTTTAATCTGCTAGATGAAACGTTGGAATCAAGACTTGCATCAAACCACTCTAATGAAGCTTTCGAAACAGGCATGCATGTCATTATGTTATAAGATGCCAAAAGTGATCCTATAGTAGAACTTAGTTCTCCTGCAAGTAATTTACATGCTAAACGTTCCAATCGGCTACCTAACTTGTGAAACCGTATTAATTCAGACAAGGAAGAATATAAATGACGTAATGCTTTTTGTACATTGAAATGTCTTGCCTTAAATATGATAATTTGAGAATAATCTTGAACATGCTTTCCAGTATTAAGAAGGAGACATCCAATATAATAACTGTTTGATGGTGGTGGTCTTCCTTCCATCTTTACGTTTTGAACACGTCTCAGTACTTCTTGCCCGCGTGAAAGCACTATTTTACTTATTTTTTCAATAACATTTGTTTTTATTTGAGTTGTTAATCGCCTGAACAATAAATTGTTATCATGTATAATAAAATGTGGACAGTTTTCAGTTAGAACACAATATTGTAAGGACGACAAACTAAGCGTTAAACAGTCCAACAATCTAATTTCTTTCCATAAACATGAAGGCGTGTGTTTTATACAATGAAAAAGGACATTCTTACATATATAGCTTGAGATCACATTTTCTCCCAATTTTTTCGTGATCATTTTCAAAAAGATATAACATCTAAGTTGTGTGATATTTAAACTAAACATCAGAGCTCTTTCCGCCAATGATGTAGATATTCTGAATTCGTATTTTTCCATTTCACTTCCTTTACTACCAACCGGGACAAGAAAACATCCATTTTGTTTAGCAAACGATTTAATTTCCTTTGTTGGCCATTTTCCAGCACCATCATCCGTAAGCCATTTTCTGGCAGCTTTTGGCCAACTTAAACACAACAAAGCAATTGTATAGTCCTGATCGTTATATGAATTCTTTCCTTTAGCATTAATGGCAGGTCCATGATAATCATATATCTCACCGTCATTTGCTTCCCAGACATGATGAGGTATGAAATTGCTATTCAATTCATAATTTGAATGGCCATATTTACGGAGAAGATAATAACCCGGGGATGTCGAATCGTCTTTGGTAATTAGAAAGTACTCTTTATCTCCTTGGCAGTCATTTCGATTAGCAACAACTTCGGACATGTCATAAAACCGCAAAAAATCTACATCCGATTTCGAACAAAGCGTTCTAGACCCCTCTGTAAAACTACCAAATATATATTCTGTCTTTAGTTCCCCGATAGATCTGAAACTTATAGTTATCAGTGATTCTGCCAAGAGCGTAGCCCGCCTTCTTCTTATCAGCATATCCTCGTTATAACTGATGTCCCTCAGAACTTCCGATAGACGAAGAGACAAATTAGCAAGTGACATTCTGAAACATTGAATGCATATAAGGTTGATTATATGATGTTTTTAACTGATTACAGATTTAAAAAAATATGCTACACGAATGCAAAAACAAAATATCTTATCAAAAGGAAATGTATTGTAAAATGTATATTGAACAAAAACAATCACTGAAGTTAATTCATACCCCACCCACGACCAGAGCTGCATTACTGGTACTGGTACTGCAGTACGTACTGCAGCAATTTTGCAAGTACTGGTACTGATACTGAATTACTCTTACAAAATTTTGCTACTACTGGTACTGGTACTGCATTACTGTCTTAAAAAGTGGTACTGCTACTGCATTACCCAGTACTTTTGGTTTTGATAAAAATTAAAAATAGCATCAATTTTTCTCATAAAATAAAGCTGTAAATTACATTAACTATATTTTATTTTTTGTGAAAAAGTAAGTTATCAAATCTAAATATAATTTGCTGCAATATTCCTTCAAATGTTAACATATTCAACATAAAAAGCACCAAAGACTTTAAGTAAAAATTAAACTAAGATAAACAGACTCAATAACTCTTTACCCTAAAATATCCTTATTAAAATCTTTTATTACTTTGTATTTACTAGTAAAAGAGCAAAATAAACACTAATTAATTTCTTCTATTCTAAATAAGCCCATTTCAAGTGAAAAAAGTGATATTGTTAGCACCATAAAAAGTTGTTATTTACTTTGGTATAAATTGAACAGAGGTGTGAAGGTGTGAAAGGCAACAAAAGACTGTTGTGTTTTAAATGAAAGATGTTTGCATTGTATTTATACAGTTGACTGGTTACTAAACAATTAGATATGACATGAATATATGTTGTAAATATTGTTTGTAAAAAGTATGTTAAAACTATAAAGTTGTAAATATGTTATGTTAACTTTAAAGTAAATTATGATTTTATTTCTTTGCTGAATAATATTTGCAATTATTTGTTTGACACTGTATTTATTCAAACTTTGATGAATATATAAAAGTAATGGTACTGATACTTAATTACTTCACCAAAAAAAGTACTGGTACTGCAGTATCAAGCTAAAATCTAGTACTGGTACTGGTAATGGTACTGCATAATTTGCCAAGTACTGGTACTGGTACTTAAGTACTACACCCTTAGTACTGATGCAGCTCTGTCCACCACCTTAACTATTTGACTGAAGTCAAATATATTCAAAGATGCTTCATACGTATACCAATAATGATAAAAATTAATTGCCTTGCTAACAGATTTATCTACTAACAATTATCATGTGGTAAAAAATAAGAAAACGGAGGTAATTACTAATTAGTCTTCTGAAGCCATTTTGAACAAGAAGTATCTTTAAAAAAGATACTCGGCGGTAGTAAAACTGGTATTAGTTCTTAGTTTTCCATGCAAAGTCATACAGAAATGTTAGCATAGCTTGCATAAAAATGACATAATAATTTGATATTGAAAAATGGAACACTTTAAGATGTAAACAAACCTGTCGTGTTTCGGTAAGTGAACTCAATTTCTATCACCAACAGCTAGCAGTCAGTAAGGCAATTATTTTTATAAAAACTTGATTAACATGCAAAAATATATAAAATAAAATATAAACATAACATTTATGTCAATTGAACACATCGACAATCATATAGTATATTAGCCACTTATTTAACATCATAAACTAAGGGTAACTGATTTGTTCTGATATTATTTTCGTTATTTTGGACAAAATTAAAAACACAGTTCTTGTGTAAAATAAACTCAGTATCAAAGTTTTTACGTAAATGAACTGTTCACTAGAAAATGTAATGATACTGAATGCAAGAAGTATTCTTAAACATACACTTAAAATCTGAGTAATTTAACTAGAAAGTTAAAGAAGTATCCTGTAAATTTTATTTTAGAACTATCCTTTACATTTTTTATAATGGCATGAACTATCCTTTACATTTTAGTTTAGAACTATCTTAGAATGACAAGAACTATCCTTTACATTTTATTATAAAATGGCCAAAGATATTCCCAGATTTCATTTTGTAATTTTAAAATGACGAATGAAACTCTTCTTATATTCAGTTCTTCCCAGTACATTTTACAGGAAGTCAAACTGAACAACGACAACATTGTCACAAAATACGCCCATCACAAAAACTTTTGACAGAGATGTGGGAATTATAGATATAGGAGATATGCTGTAAGCAATATCCGGAAAAAAAGAATATTTTATCATCTCTATTGACATTGACCTTGCAAATATTAACTTAAATTACATATGTGTCACATTTGTAGTCATGGTAGTTACCATTTGTGTTACAATCCATCAATAAATGATAACTAAATGGTCCCTATACACAAACTTTGACCTCTATGTGACCTTGAATTTGGTAGCAGGGACCTGGATTATGTGCAATATGCCTCACACTGGTGAACATTAAAATTTCGTGCCAAGTCACATTAAAATCCTCCGATGAATGTAGAAGTTCGGCTCCGAAAAGCATTTTTCAATGACCTCTAAGTGTGACCATAACCTTTAACCTACATACCTGGTTCATGCACATGCCACTGCTTGTCATAGTGGTGAAACTTTCTATGAATTTTCATTAGAATCCCACCATGCGTGGAGAAGATATGCTCTGGACAAAATTTCTATATCTTATCATCTATAGTGACCTTGGCCTTGCATATATTAACCTTAAGTCCATGTTTCACAACAGTTGTTATGATAATGACCATTTGTGTTTCAATTCCTCAATAAATGATGACTAAATGGTCTGAATACACATTTTCATATTTTCACCTGAGTTTTGACCCCTATTTGTGAACTTGACCTTGGTCGCAGGGGCTTAAAATTTGGCACGCAACACCCCACCTAACAGTGGTAAACATGTGTGCCAAGTTATATTGAAATCCATCAATGCATCCGGACAAGTGTTTTTCAATGACCTCTAACTGTGACCTTGACCTTTAACATAACAAGTTCATGCGCATGACACTGCTTCTCACAGTGGTGAACATTTCTATGAAGTTTCATTTTAATTCCTCCATTCAAGTGGGAGATATGCTCTGGACAAAAAGTGGACGACTTTAATACGAATATATAATAAAAGTCATGAGCGGAAAATTATACATAGAAAAGCCACACGAAAAATAGGCATATATATAGCAATTTTTATATAAATTCATTTATGTAAAATCTTTTTCAATTGTTATATGTCTAGTATATCTAAAGAGTGTACCTTAAAATGTTGTTTTTTGTGTTCTGGATTTGTGAACTGTTGTTTCCAGTGAACGTTCCCTTGCCTGTTGACTTTTGCCCTTATATTTTATTTGAATTCAAAATCCGTTAAGAAACACTACAACCAAGAATATCATAAAAAGTCAATCGATTTAGCGCAAAATGTATATAATCTTTTGCATTGCACTGTCAAAATGTTTACCATTAACTATATCTTTTCCGAACAATTATCTTTTCACTAATAGCACATCAAGATACCGTTTCCATTCGCATAGATCCATAATTTAAACCCACTTTGAGGTTTTATTGATAATGAAAATAATTGCACTACGTTTTAAATAATTCAGATATAAGGGTGGTTTGTTAATATTAAATTTTCCTTTTACTAACCCTGAAAAACTAGACAAATATATCAACACTCAAAAGAAATATGAGACGATTTCTAGTCATTGAGTATAAAAGGTTTTTGAAATTTGAGATGAGCCTCTTTATTTAGAATAAACATGCATAAAATCTGAAACAAGCTTTTATATTTAGAATAAACTTGTACAAAATAGAATTTTGAAATCTAAGACGAGCTTTTCTATTAAGAATATATACGTACAAAACAGGCTTTTGAAATTATAGTGTTCAATACACGTATGAACAGAGTAACATTTTTATAAATATTATAAGATAACAGACTGTACTGTTTTCCTTAAAGTAGGCCATAAATGTTGTTTTCGTAGATTTTAAAGTTATATAGACCTTATAAACTGAGACATACAAGATACGTAATTCAAGAGCTATTCAATAAGTGGCAAATAAACAAGTGTCAAGTGTATTTGATGAAAACAATCCGACCTAACATAAAAGCTGACCAAAAACATTTAGAAATCAAAACTATTAACAACAAGTTCAAATGTTGCTGCAATGTAGCAATTGAGAAGCTTAACGCAAAATATGCGCTCATTACAAATATCTTTGTAACACCGCACTTTGGGGTCAAACGCACTTTGGTGTCCGACCCCAAAGTGCGTTACGTACTTTGGGGTCCGAACCCAGAGTGCGTTACGCACTTTGGGGTCCAATTTCGACCCCAAAGTGCGTTAAACAGGTACATATGCATTTTTTAACATCAGGCAAACGACCGCACTTTGGGGTCATAGAAAATTAATGTTCATTATGTTTTAAATAATATATTGTAGTCAAAGCCAATGGTAAACAAAAAATCAAGGTATTAAATAGACGCAAAACATGTGCTCTGAATTATAGTAGAATCAATATGGATTAAAATGTTCTTGATTAGTAAGTGAAGAACTTTCACCAAATAAATCACTAAATAAAGAATTTGTATAAATTCTTAAGCTTAAAATACTTTTTTTTCTCAAATTTTCCATTTATTTTAAAAGAATGTATACCTTTCATTAACTCCATTTTTTTAGCTAAATGCATTATTTTTCCGTTTTTTATTTACACATTTTATGGAAATATGATAGTCTTAGCATAGACAAAGGTATAAATTCTCGGTAATCTTAGTAAGACATTTCAGTGATAATATGTTGAAAGAGCCATTTATATAGCTAAAGGTGACATATAAGAAACTTGACTAGGTGCAGATGCGGCTAAAAGTAGTAGTCCGTACAGGCAGTACTAAAAATATCAACTATTAAAGTAGTCGCACATTAAGTGTGGAGCTTCACAATAATGTAAAATTCTCACTACGGGTATAGAGGGGAATTGTGGGGTATCAATCCCCCCGAGAGTTAAAAATAACGTTTTAAAGGCCAATTATGCTTTTATTTGTTTTTCTTAAACGCTTTTTTATTTTGATGTCCTTCTATATTATCCAAAAAATACACATTAGCCAATTACCTGAACCATCTTTTTCAACTGTTGCTTTTTGGCAATGATGAGTACAGTTATAGTGAATTAGAATTTTATATTGAAGTCAAATACTACATTGTTTTGACTACTTTTATGACAAATAATTTCACATTTTTCGCTACTTTATTCAAGTAACAAGCATCTTACATTTCTCTGATACCATTATTTTAACATTATAAATTCATGTTTGCTCTTTCTAAAGAAGTATGTAAGATTTCCCATAAAAAGCCTCTGGCGAACGGTTTGTTACGGAGCTTACAAAAACCCTTAAGTCTGTTCATAAGCTTAATAATGTATTTGTAAAAATCACAATTTATAGACTGATCGAAAAACTTGATGTTTTACCAGAACATTGCAATACAGTATATTTATAGTTCTTCGGAAAAAAATATTAACAGCATTTTATTTCATTCCCAACATATTTAAAATGGGGCTCAATATGGCACCAAAAGTTATCAAGTAAATGACTGACAGAACAGGATACTTTCCGCAGCATCTTTTAATTTTAGGAATACACAATATCTGTACTAGAGTATTTTGAACGGTGGCTTGAAAGTGACATTTGCATTTTTTTAATTATTTTTTTGTTTGTCGTACAATTATTTTTTTTTAGTTTTGAATACATACTTTTTTTAGTTTTGCATACGTATTCTATTTTAGTTTGCATACATATTTTATTATAGTTTTGCATACATATTTTATTTTAGTTTTTTGTACATATTTTTTTTTTCGTACATATTTTTACATGGCGCCATTTGCAAAGTACAGGTTTGGATAATTACGCCATTTGTAAAACACCATTTTCAAACACTTCGCCATCTGTAAATTACAGTTCCCCATTTGCAAATGCCATTTTTCAAATACCAACATTTTCATTTTTGGAGGCATCAAAAAAATAACAACAATATATATATAGTCCGAAAAACCCCAAGAAAGTGTCTGCATATGGTCTCGATGTGGTTAACATTTGACACAAGGTGCCTTAAAATCCTTCATAGGGTTTAGGAGATAAGGAGCGGACATGAAACCCAAGTCACAATTCTTTGACCTGTATGTGTGACCCCGACCTTGAGCCGGCACACCTGGCATATAAGTTCTGCACATTATCTGGATGTGCTAAACAATTGATCCAAGTTTCATAAAAAGCCTTCAAAGCTTTAAGCATTTTTTTCTAAACCAGTGGGATTATAAGGACCTATTTAGATCTTTTATTGTGCATTATTGCTATACACCAGTCATTTGTAACCACCTCCCTTGCCCCCGGGGGAGTGCGGTTAAAAAAGATTCGTGTTTTGATGTTTGTGCTGTTCCGGAGCATAAGGCAGGAATGTTATTATCTGAGTATCCCCCGCAGGGCGAATATTGTACCAGAGGTCGGCTTGGTTAAAAGTCAATGCCCCTTGCCCCCCCCCCCGCTAATCTCAGGGTGTGGGGTCGAGTGGTGCATACTCATGGAATAATAACTGATTACCAATCAACAGCCCTTTCCAAGTAGACACTAATATAATAGTACATTGTATATAATAATAAAACAAGAACGTGTTTGTTAAACACAAATGCCCTCCGCTCAGATTCTTGTCAGTAACAATATTTAAAATAAAGGCTGCATGGGCAAAAGTGTAAAAAAATCTATTTTTAGCACTGGTGACCTTGACCCAACTGACCCCTAACTCAATCCAAAGGAAGAATATCATGCAACTTATTTTCCTACCAAATATGAAAATATAAAGGCTGTATGGGCAAAAGTGTAAAAATCTATTTTTAGCACTGTTGACATTGACCCAACTGACCCCTCACTCCATCCAAAGGAAGAATACCTCATTTTTATGTTCCTACAAAATATACAAGACATCTGTCGATAGAATAAGGTTAATACACCTGTAAAAGTGTAAAACATATATTTTTGACATTGGTGACCTTGACCCAAATGACCCCTTACTAAAGGAAAAGGAAGAGGACCTCCCTTGGTATGACTATTATAAACATGAAAGACATTAACTTAAAAATAAAGGCTGTATGAGCAGAAATGTTTAGATTTATTTTTTTACACAAGTGACCTTGACCTTGACCTAGAGACGCCTAACGCCACAAAAAATTAGAGGACCGTTAAAGGTATCAACCTACCAAATATGAAAGATATCATTAAATAAATTAAGTAATTAGGTGAAATTTTTTAATAAATCCATTTTGGCGGAATAGGTTAACCATACTAGGCCATATTTTCAAAGTGATAAAAAGGGAAATTACTGGGAAAATGGATGGCACATTTATATAACTTGGCAATATCATGTACATTGTATTGTTAAGTAAGTGTGAAAATTATTAAGCCATTGGTTCAGATAGAACATAAGATATTTCCAACTTGCCGGTTTAGGTTAAGTAAATAACCATTATTCATTTTCTAAGTGCTGAAAAGGGCCATAACTTGGTGCAAATGGAAGCCATAGTTATGTAACTTGCCCAGATCATATACTTTGTATGGATTAGTAAGTGTGTAAATTATGAAGTCATTGGTACAGGTAGAACTTAAGAAAATCCAACTTGCCGTTCTAGGTTAACCTCGTACGGACGTCCCAACATTTTGGGTTTAGGGGCTATTTTCTTTGTTATTTTCTTTGTTTTCATAAGGGCTACTAGCCCCTGAACCCTTTGATCACGGAATGAACCTATTGTTCTCTTTTGTTCTCTTTACTGTTATATAGCCCCTAAACCCAAAATGTTTGCTCGGACGGACGGACGGTTCAATTACTATATACCCGGGGGCATGAAAACAATAATTATGTAAAAGAGAGATGTATGCATACTGCATAACTAATCAAGGGCCATAAATCTGAGTTATAAGTGTCTGACAAGGCGACTATATGCACATCTGCTCTTCGTATCCCATAAAGTTTCATTGAATTCCAGCCAGTACAGTTACTGAGAAGTAGCACGGAAACGATTATTGCTCTGGTTGTATACTGCATAAGTTATCAAGGGCCATAACTTAAAGTTAAAATGTCTGACCCGAACAAGGTGACGATATGCGCATCTCCTCTTGGTATTGAAGGTTCCAATAAAGTTTCATTGAATTCAAGCCAGTAGTTGCAGAGAAGTAGCGCGGAAACGATTTTTACTCTATATGCATACTGCATAACTAATCAAGAGCCATAACTCTGAGTTAAAGTGTCTGACCCGAACAAGGTGACGATATGCGCATCTCCTCTTGGTATTGAAGGTTCCCATACAGTTTAGTTGAATTCCAGCCAGTAGTTGCAGAGAAGTAGCGCGGAAATGATTTTTGCTCTATATGCCTACTGCATAACTAACGAAGGGCCATAACTCTGAGTTAAATTGTCGGCCCGGAACAAGCTGACGATATGCATATCTCCTCTTGATATTGATGATTCCCATAAAGTTTCGTTGAATTCCAGCCAGTAGTTGCAGAGAACTAGTCCGGAAACGAAATTCGGACGGACGGACGGACAACGCCAAAACTATATCCCCCTCCCGATTCCATCGGCGGGGGATAACAAACAAAACAATTGGACAAGTACAACACAGAACAGTGACCAGTGTTCGCGATATTGCACGGGTGAGATCGACAATGTACACCAGTGACGGAAATTTCCGACTTTCACTGATTCAATACCGGAAGTTACAAATATACGGTAAAAAAACTAAACGCAACCGAATAAAAACGCGCGTGCACGATGTTTCCGCTTAAATAAAACTATGGAAAGCCACTGCTGCCATTAACATATAATTTCATCTTAATATATCTTAGTATATCATCTTAATATACATATCAACTCATGAAAATATTCTGTACTCTTTATTTTTACATTTGCTTCCTTTCTCGACAACCGGAACAAGAAAACATTTTGTTGTTTTTTTTTTCGGCCGAAGTCCGTCTAAAGTTTAACCACGGACTTATATTGTAATATAAATCCATACATCCGTGGTTTAACTTGCTTTAAAATTAACAGGGAAGAACTAAAAATATATTGAACTTTCAATTACAAACTGGAATCTGTGTCTCATTAAATTGGCTGAAATAAATTGAATGACATAAAAGATCTAAATTGGTTTATGCTTCTAAAGGAGTACCGAAATGAACTTGAATCTTTAGTGTCTCAGATTCTCAAGATCTCTCAATTTTCTAGTATAGTTTTTTAAGTAAGTTCAACTGCATTTTGTTTTGGGTCCGAATACCTCTTCTACCACGGATTTATATTACGGATGTAATATAAATCAGTGCTTCTACGTTGTAGGGAAAATTGCCCATACATAAAATAGTATAATACATCAACATGTATTTTGTTCGACCCATTCTACTGAAAGTCCTGCAAAACTGTTTGCAATCACAACTTTGAGTTTGCACAAGTAATAACTGTCATTATAAAATCATTACACAAGCACTGCTTACACTTCTGAGTGCTCCATTGATGCAAAAATCTGTAATGATTTTTGCAAGTAAAAGCAGATTTACCTCAGTCAAAAATCTTTTGCTACTTGTGAAAATATTGCATCTGGTGTTTGCTCAGTAAAATATATTTCAATCTTACATGCAAAACAAACAAATATCCTCTATTTCTTAATTGTAACAATGATACTTGTACATGAAACAACAACTTACAAAAATACATTTACTATTTCATAAGTTTATTTTTTTTAATAATGTATACAACAAAAGCTTTTCAAAAACCGCAATAAAAAACTAAAAAGCAAGAATTAAATAAATGTCGGCAGAGTATAAGTTGGCAATACTGTACAACAAAATTGGTCAGGATTTTTTAAAATAAAATTTTATGTTTCTTTTGGAAAGACATAATTATAAATGAATTTCTGCGTATTTCTGGTAGAAAGAGTAAACCATCATATTATTAAAAGAAGGTAAACTTCAAGATAAAATCAGTTTTGTTTCAAAATATTTTCAATTGTAAATGAAGTTTGGTTATGAATGTCAACCTTTTTATTTAGTGAATGTATAAATTACCCCCAAAGTTCTACTGATATAATTGCAACATAAAGCTAACATTCAAGGAACCAAAAATAAACATATTTTCCCAATTGAAGAGAAATGGCAGTGAAAATACTAGTAATAAAATGAACTTATTTAATTGACAATTCAACTACTTTGGTTTAAGGTTTGCACAAATTTTTTAAAATAAGTATGGCCAATAGTGGAGGAAGACATACCATATCTCATTATTTAGATTTTATCTTGGAAGGTAGGATCACTGACACCCCATGTAATCTCCTGAAGTTTTATTTAAAATATGTTTTGATATCAGGTTTTACATATGTTACAGATAATACTTAAAGCAAAACAAACAAATAAATAAATACTTGATATAAAAAATACATTAAAATAATAACTTTGTAGTAGAGTTTAAAGATTTCAGAAAAACAACTGGATTATGGTCTCATTTAAATAAAGTTCTAACAATTTCTATGATGTAACTTTTTTGTACCTTATATTTTCAAAACTAAAAATTAAAACAAAGTATAAAACTCACAGATAATGCACTGTGTATAATAGTTTGATCTTCAACATTTATAAAAAACAACAAAATAATTTTTTGGTCAATACTGTGGATGATATGAATACAAAAATACAATTTAAATATATAATAAAAAACATTGAATGCTCAGTTAGACAAAAAAGCACAATGATGTAACAAACAATAATAATAAAATGCTGAAAGTCAAAAACACAGGAAAACCAGGCTCATGTTTTAAATTTCATTTTTTATTTTTAAATCCTCCATTCTATCAGAGTGTAATTGAACACTGTTTACTGTACTGTCTCAGAACTGGATGTTTATGCTTTAAAATACATTTGAAATTTGTGATGTAATAATTTTTCAACATAACCCGATTTCCCTGCTGGTCCAAAATCTTGTTTTTAAGTGATTTTTCTAATAAATAGTTGATCTTAAGTTTGTGTCATTTTTGCAAGATATTACAGCTACTGTAAGCACTAAATAAAATAAATTAATTAACAAAGTTGATATAAAATATGCGCCAATCTCTCAATAGTGGCTTTCCAACAATCTATATGAGTTCAATCTTGTTATAAAACTTGTAATATCTGCTGATTTCTCACATAATTTTGTCAGTTCTTAGATTGGTCCTTGTTCAGTGATCACCTCATACTTCACATTGTGTTTGTTCAATCTGTCAATCAAACTTGTATCCCGAAATATGGCGGCTGTTGTATATACTCCACCACTGAAATATATTGCAATGTTCAGCTTATAAATTTTGGTGGTAGATCAGTTAAATTTGATTGCAAACCTGATCAGTCTTTATTTGTTGATAGCTTGATTTCATTTCAGCATATTTTTGCATATCCATATAGGTGAACCTAATGTGTATTAAAAAGCTTTCATATGGTAATTTCAGTTTATAGGCAAATACAATGTATTAATTATGACTTGGAAACTATTGAAAACTAACACCAATCAAAAAGCCTAATACTGCTAGTGTTTTTCTAGAAATATCTTCATAGCTTAACTTATGTTAAAATATGACTACCGATTTCCCCATGTTGCAATTGACGGTAAATAGAAAGAGATGTTCATGTAGTGATATTGTTCAAAACAAACTACATCATAATGCCATTAAAACTGGCACACTAAAATTAACTGTCTTTTAATAGAAAACCAGTCGTTAATGGCTTTACAGTATATAGAATATAAAGGGACTTCAAACTTTCAAAAATTACCAAATGCAGAATTCTAATTTGGTCATATAATAAAACAGTTTTTGTATGAAGATGTCAGTGAATATCTAAGTCTATTGACCTGGCTAATGCAATATTCACCTCAGCCTTTGGTCTTGGTAAATATCACATTAACCAGGTCCATTGACTTGGATATTTACCTCATCATCATACAATAATTGTACAATATCTTGCTTAATGATTTAAAACCATCATTTCTGATGACAGACATTGTTTTGAATAGGAAAACTATATTACCACATCTTATCTTTAGAGACTTCTTTCAGCAAGGTTAGGGCACATTGAACCATACAGATTGGTGTAGTAACATAGCCAGCCTCTGGTCCCGAAACTCGAACAACTATCTTACTGTCTGGTGGGGTGTCATGCTGGGCATCAACATCTGTAAGCTTGTCCTTCCAGCCTTTACCAATCAATGTTATACTGAAACTTGATGTCTCTATCTGTAGATACAATGTAACATATTTCATATAAACAGTTTATGACCATTTCGTTAATTTTGAACAAAATGTCTCATATCACAGTGTTCTCGTCAATTTTCAATACTTGACAGTAAGAAAAGGGGCATAACACAGTAAAAAGGTAACTCAAGTTAAGGATGTAAGATAACCCAAAAAAACAGATGTATGAAGTTTCCACCTATTCCTTTGGTTGTTTTTGAGATACCAACTTGCACTAAAAACTTAACCTAAGTGTGATGCTGACGAAGGGGTAAATACAACAGCTCTCCTTATTCTACAATTCGTCCAGCTAATTACTAAAATCTGTACACAAAGAGAGCAAACATCACTGCCTATATCTGACAAACCATAAAACAAGAGCACCGCTAGGCGTAGCATTATATGCCCGAAAGTGTTTTTTTTTAAGGATGAAGCATTTGTAAGACATGGGAATTAGCTGTTCATCCTATAAAATTTTACAGGTTGATTAATACTAAAGTTATTAATAATGACCTTAACCTTTGACCTTGTGACCCCAAAACCAATAGGGGTCTTCTACCCAATATGGACAATCATCCTATGAAGTTTGAATATAGTGGGCCAAATGGAACTTACGTTATGCTCTGGAAACTATTTTCAATTTTAAGGTAATAGTGACCTTGACCTTTGACCTTGTGACCCCAAAATCAATAGGGGTCTTCTATCCAATATGCACAATCATACTATGAAGTTTGAACATTGTGGGCCAAATGGAACTTAAGTTATGCTCTAGAAACTGTTTTCAGTATTAAGGTAAAAGTGACTTTGACCTTGTGACCCCAAAATCAATAGGGGTCTTCAACCCAATATGGACAATCATCCTATGAAGTTTGAATATAGTGGGCCAAATGGAACTTACGTTATGCTCCGGAAATTGTTTTTGGTCTTAAGGTAATGGTGACCTTGACCTTTGACCTAGTGACCCCAAAATCAACAGGGGTCTTTTGCCCAATATGGACAATCATCCTATGAAGTTTGAATATTGTGGGCTAAATGGAACTTAAGTTATGCTTCGGAAACTGTTTTCAGTATTAAGGTAATAGTGACCTTGACCTTTGACCTTGTGACCCATAAATCAATATGGGTCTCCCACCCAATATTGACAATCATCCTATGAAGTTTGAATATTGTGGGTCAAATAAAACATTAGTTATGCTCCGGAAACTGTTTCCAATTTTAAGGTCATAGTGACCTTGACCTTTGACCTTGTGACCCCAAAATCAATAGGGGTCTTCTACCCAATATGGACAAGAATCCTATGAAGTTTGAATATTGTGGACCAAATGGAACTTAAGTTATGCTCTGGAAACTATTTTCAATATTAAGGTTATAGTGACCTTGACCTTTGACCTTGTGACCCCAAAATCAATAGGGGTCTTCTATTCAATATGCACAATCATACTATGAAGTTTGAACATTGTGGGCCAAATGGAACTTAAGTTATGCTCTAGAAACTGTTTTCAGTATTAAGGTAAAAGTGACTTTGACCTTTGACCTTGTGACCCCAAAATCAATAGGGGTCTTCAACCCAATACGGACAATCATCCTATGAAGTTTGAATATAGTGGGCCAAATGGAACTTACGTTATGCTCCAGAAATTGTTTTTGGTCTTAAGGTAATGGTGACCTTGACCTTTGACCTAGTGACCCCAAATTCATCAGGGGTCTTTTGCCCAATATGGACAATCATCCGACGAAGTTTGAATATTGTGGGCAAAATGGAACTTAAGTTATGCTTCGGAAACTGTTTTCAGTATTAAGGTAATAGTGACCTTGACCTTTGACCTTGTGACCCATAAATCAATATGGGTCTCCTTCCCAATATGGACAATCATCCTATGAAGTTAGAATAGTGTGGGTCAAATAAAACTTTAGTTATGCTTCGGAAACTGTTTCCAATTTTAAGGTAATTGTGACCTTTGACCTTGTGACCTCAAATCAAAAGAGGTCTTCTACCAAATATGGACAATAATCCTATGAAGTTTGAATATTGTGGGCCAAATGGAACTTAAGTTATGCTCCAGAAACTGTTTTCAGTATCAAGGTTAAAGTGACCTTGACCTTTTGACCCCAAAATCAATAGGGGTCTTCTACCCAATATGGACAATCATCCTATGAAGTTTGAACATTGTGGGTCAAATGGAATTTAAGTTATGCTCTGGAAACTGTTTTCAGTTTTAAGGAAATAGTGACCTTTGACCTTTTGACCCCAAAATCAATGGGGGTCTTCTACCCAATATGGACAATCATCCTATGAAGTTTGAACATTGTGGGCCAAATTGAACTTAAGTTATGCTCCGGAAACCAAATTGCTAACGGACGGACGTTCCAACATTTTGGATTTAGGGGCTATTTTCTTTGTTATTTTCTTTGTTTTCTTAAGGGCTACTAGCCCATAAACCCTTTGATCACGGAATGAACCTATTGTTCTCTTTTGTTCTCTTTACTGTTATATAGCCCCTAAACCCAAAATGTTTGCTTGGACGGACAGAAAGATAGACGCCAGGGGGTATAACATAATATGCCCCTTCGGGCATATAATAATGTAATAGATATAGTCAAATAAATGTCTCAAAAGTTCCAGAGAGATGAACAAGGATCAATCGCTATATTACCTGTTTTTTTGATGGTCCTCCATGTTTGAATACCCCAAAGGTAAATATCTGTGGATACTGAAAAATGATGTTCGCAATAATTATGAAAACAATAATAAAAGACAAAATGTAGATAACAACTGCAATTACATAAAGATTAAAAGTTGTGAGAAGATCAATCTATCAACATGTATTGGTATTAGAAATGAGATGATAATTTTGACAAAGATTAAAATTATAGCCTTCATGATAGTAACCCAAGTTTCATGCAGGAATTTAAAGCTCACAAAATTCCACCAAGATAGATGTGTGAAGCCCTGAGGTCGCTCACCTGTATATAGCACCCCCCCCCATACTATACACATATAGTTAAAAACAATGACACCCCTGGGGCGGGGCCAGTTTTGACCCCAGGGCTTTTATTTGAACAAATTTTGTAGACACTTACTAGAAGATGTTTCATGCTTAATATCTAAACTCTAGCTATTTGGGTTTTTTCAAAGAAGATTTAAGTTTTTGCTATACACATATAAGGAAAATCAATGACCCCCTGGGCGGGTCCAATTTTGACCCCAGCGCTTTTATTTGAACAAACTTTGTAGACACTCACTAGAAGATGTTTCATGCTTAATATCTAAACTCTAGCTATTTGGGTTTTTTCAAAGAAGTTTTTAAGTTTTTGCTATACACATAAAAGGAAAATCAATGACCCCCGGGGCGGGGCAAATTTTGACCCCAGGGCTTTTATTTGAACAAACTTGGTAGACACCTATTAGAACATGTTTGATGCTAAATTTCTTCGCCTAGCTCTTTGAGTTCTTTAAAAGAAGATTTTTTAAGTTTTAACTATATGCATATAGGGAAAATCAATGACCCCCTGGGGCTGGGCCAATTTTGACCCCAGGGCTGTTATTTGAACAAACTTGGTAGACACCCATAAGAAGATGTTTCATGCTAATTATCTAAGCTCTAGCTCATTGGGCTTTTTAAAAGAAGATTTTTTTAAGTTTTTACTATACACATATAGTTAAAAACAATGACACCCCTGGGGCGGGGCCAGTTTTGACCCCAGGGCTTTTATTTGAACAAATTTTGTAGACACTTACTAGAAGATGTTTCATGCTTAATATCTAAACTCTAGCTATTTGGGTTTTTTCAAAGAAGATTTTAAGTTTTTGCTATACACATATAAGGAAAATCAATGACCCCCGGGGCGGGGCCAATTTTGACCCCAGGTCTTTTATTTGAACAAACTTTGTAGACACTCACTAGAAGATGTTTCATGCTTAATATCTAAACTCTAGCTATTTGGGTTTTTTCAAAGAAGATTTTTTAAGTTTTTGCTATACACATATAAGGAAAATCAATGACCCCCGGGGCGGGGCCAATTTTGACCCCAGGGCTTTTATTTGAACAAACTTGGTAGACACCTATTAGAACATGTTTGATGCTAAATATCTTAGCTCTAGCTCTTTGAGTTCTTTAAAAGAAGATTTTTTTAAGTTTTTACTATATGCATATAGGGAAAATCAATGACCCCCTGGGCGGGTCCAATTTTGACCCAAGGGCTTTTATTTGAACAAACTTGGTAGACACTCATTAGAACATGTTTCATGCTAAATATCTTAGCTCTAGCTCTTTGGGTTCTTTAAAAGAAGATTTTTTAAGTTTTTACTATATGCATATAGGGAAAATCAATGACCCCCTGGGGCGGGGCCAATTTTGACCCCAGGGCTTTTATTTGAACAAACTTGGTAGACACTCACTCAAAGATGTTTCATGCCAAATATCTAAGCTCTAGCTCTTAGGGTTTTGTAAAAGAAGATATTTAAAGTTTTTTCTTTCGGTTGCCATGGCAACCAGAGTTCTGCATGGAATTAAATTCTTTGAACAATTTAAGGTGACCACCAAAGGAACATTCCTGTGAAGTTTGGATGAAATTGGCCTAGTGGTTTATGAGGAGATGTCATTTAAAGTAAAAGTTTACGGACGATGGACGGATGCCGGACGAAAAGCGATCACAAAAGCTCACCCTGTCACTTTGTGACAGGTGAGCTAAAAAGCACAAAAACTTATCCAAGAATTGTGTCAACAGGAAACACTACAGAAAGGAGAGTATGATAACTCCCCTTATGTAAAAACACAAAAAATACCTTCAAGATAAGTGATCTCCCTATGCTGAATTTAGCAAGAATTCCAACAAGGAAGCCTATAATGACAGTCAGCATCATGTAGATAAAACTTGGTAGCTGAATATACGCACCAACTTGAAACTGGAAAAATAAATTTACAATTAATAATATACAACTAAAATATATAGGTAATTAGTTTCTTTAAAACATTAAACATTAATTTGTATATATAAAATATAAGTGTAGTTCAAGAAAATTAAGGCCATTAAATATATTATATACATGTTAATAAATAAGAAACTTTTATTTAACATATGTATATAATCCAATTTGCTGGCTTTCCTTGTACTTACTGGTCTTTTTTGGTTGACTTCATAATCAAATCTGACACTTCTATTTACTATAGCTCTATCACTGCCTGGAAAGTTTAAGCACCAATGATCAATATCCTTGTTGAAACCAGCTGACCTGTAAAATAACCAGTCATTTACTTAGTATTAGATGGTTCAACTTTTTACTTAGTATTAGATTTTCAACTTGATATGTAGAAGTTTATGTATAAAACTCCTTTAATTCTAGTAGTAGAGAAATCAGTGTATAGACATTTCAACAAATCATGGGATATAATATAAACAAAGACAACTTCTTTACTTATTCATAAACTCAATTCAACTTTGATAATGATATGAAATGGTTAAAATCTCTCTCAATTCCCTTTTTATTGGACTAACTGTTTCTGGCTCTATAAGAAGGTTGTGACCAAAGTTGCAATCAAATAAATGATTACAGGGATAAAAAAGAAGCACATGAAAAGGTTTAAACAATATACATCATAATATAATATATAACAACTTCATCGAGGATATTAAATCACAAGAGAGAAACACTAGAAAGGGTTAAGACAAATAAGAATGGAGAACAACACAGTAATTTATAATTAGGAAGGTCGTATTCAAAAGAAATGCTTAAATTGCTGATAAGCCTGTAGATACTGTGTATAAACAAGTGTCATGCAGTATTTTTAAAATTTCAATAAAATTATTCAATAGAAATCCAAGTCGGTAATTTTCTTAATTCGAGAAAGATGAATAAGTAAATAAATAAGAATACAGCTTATGTTAAGTTAATGAGCTACAATAATGATCCCAAAGATAAAAGATTAAATAAGTACAATCAACACTTGCTGCAAAAAAACTTGCATGGAAAACCATAACAAAAGGAATTCTCCAAGTTCACATTGAGATATAATAACAAATCCATGCTTAGTTATGAAGGGGCATAATTTCGAATAAATCCATGCTAGGTTATGGGTCTTGGTTTGTTATGTATTAAATTAAGAACACAAAGACATTATGTGAATTATCATGTGAATGTTTTCATTGGTTGTGGGAAAAGATATATAGATATTTTTCTTTACAAACATTTCTAATTCATAATAGAAAGATTCAAATGTATCAGAAAAAAATCCTGCTCGGCTGGAATTCAAACTAGGCACCACAACCTAACCAAGTAACAATGTGCTTGACCTGGTCACCATTAAACAAAACAATTGATTCCCTGAAAAAATTAACAGGGGTTGCACTTATATTTATAAAGTAAGAGGTGCACTCAACTATTAAAATATAACCTTACCCAGGTTTTTTAATGTTTACAATGATAAAACTTTGTGAAAATCAACGAAGAAGAGCTGATTCCTTGATAGTGACCCACATATTCCATCCAACAGTCATGTGTGAAAAGTTTCAAGTGAATATCTTCAGTTCAGACATGTGAAAATTTTTAAAACATGTACAACTGCTTACTTTGGTACAATCTTATACTGACTTCTAGGAAGTGGTGTTGGGAACAATGTTTTCCTCAATGGCTTTAATTCTCCAGCTTTAGCAAATCCATGTAGAGCACTTTCTAATGTTGTTATATTCCCAGACAGGCCCTAAAACATATAGTCATTATGTAGTGATATATAACACGTATTTGATACTCAATATAAAGATTAAACTTGTATCAGTTGACATGCCATTATCTTGACCCCAGTGCCATGTCATAAACTTATTAGAAAACCACTAAATCATGTTAGAAAATCAAAAATTACCAAAACTGGAAGACTTAAAAATTTTCATTTATTTTGGCATGTTATGATCTATTTTGGCCATTTTAAGGGGCTGCAATTTTGTAATGTATGACACCAAGAGTTAATATTCTTTTTTAAGTTAAGTTCAAATGTACCGTAAAAGACTATTACTTAGCAATAAAAGTCCCCTACAATAAAGGAACATGTCATTCAAAGATTCTCCATATTGCAATCTTTCCAGGTTTCACTTTTCATGCAAATATTTAAAGTACTTTTAGAATTATTCCAGGATCTACCTTTTGCTGATGGACATATGACCAAAATTGGATAAGGGGTCATTTATCTTGTTATCTTCTTTTGCTTTAACAGAGGGCAATGACCCCTTATTCTATTGTTATGGAGAAAAGTCTATTTTTCTTTTTTGTTCAATTAGATTATCTCCCCCTTTAATAACATTGCTTAGTATCATGCAGAAAAAAGCAAAATATGCCTTTTTTGACATTTTAAGTACAAAATTCTACAATGTATGAAGAAATGAAGGGATCAGGCAATTTTCCTATGTGAACTTAAGATCTACTAGTAATAGAAGTAATGTGTCGAAGTTTAATTCTGATGAAAAAAAACCAACAAATTGCTACCATGCAAACAATGCAAAATCAACATCTTTAAAATTCAATTGGAGTTAACCAGCTACTATAACAAGAGCTGTCCGTAAGACAGCGCGCTCGACTTTTTTATTGCTTGCCAATAAAAAAAGTTTTTGCAGTAAAAGGCAATACAAGAATCTCTGTATTTTTAAAGTGAACAATGGCCATGAGCATTAAGATATTTAGTGAAGAATTATTTTACTGAATTGTGTGACACCCTTGAACACTGCAGCAAAGTTTGAAATGTTTAAGTCAAAAGAGGGCTGGTAAGAAAGAAAAAAAAACTAGTTGTTTGATACCCTTGAATATTACAGCAATGTTTATATGACATAATTTATGGTAAAGTGAACAAGTGGATAGGAATGAATTTTTTTAGATTTTTTAAGTTTTTTAGTGCTTGCCTATAATACAAAACATTGACAGTTAAGGGCCATAATTCAAATAAAATCTTTGACAGAATTACCTTCTCCTGGACATGTTTGGGAATCATGATTGTAAACAAGTATTCCAACTTTCAAATTAATATCTCAAACAGTTCAGTCAAAAAGTGGACTGGTACTAAAAACTTAACCAAGATTCTAAGTCGATAAAAGGCCTTAATTTTTAAAAACAAATCCTTGACAGAGTTACCTTCTCTTGCGTACAGATGGGGGTAATGATGTGAAATAGCATTAAAAGTTTCAAAGCAATATCTCAAAGGGTTAAGGCAATAAGTGGATTTTACCCATATTCAATGTATTTTCTAAGTCAAAAAGGGGCATAATTCTGTCAAAAACCTTGACAGAGTTATGTCCTCTTGTCTGTTGATGAAGGTCGTGATGGTAAACAAGTATGGTCAGTTTCAAAGCAATACCTCCAATGGTTTTGAAATAAAGTGAGGTGGTACAAAAAACTTAACCAAGCTCAATACACTTTCTAAGTCAAAAAAGGGCCATAATTCTGTCAAAAACCTTGACAGAGTTATGTACTCTTGTCTGTAGATGGAGGTTATGATGGTGAACAAGTATGGTAAGTTTCAAAGCCATACTTGTAATACTTCTGAAATAAAGTGGGGTGGTACGAAAAACTTAACCAAGGTGTGACGCCGACGCCGACGCCGGGGCGAGTAGGATAGCTCCCCTTTTCATAGAAAAGTCGAGCTAAAAAGGTGACAAAACATGCTCTTTAAGTCTTTTAAGGGGCCATAACTCTGTAATTCATGATGAGACATTGCCACTTACAGAAACTGAGATCTATTGGTTATACAAAATGTGCAGAAGGCTGGAGGTTTCCCCCTTATTTCTGTGCATGGTGGTCTTGGATCAAAGATCTACTGTTTATAAAAGTTCTGTGCAAGTAAAATTCAAAATAATCAAAAACGAAGCTTCTATCGTGGAACAAAAATGAATGGAGTACAGACAGCCATTGTTCCAGTTCATCTTTGTTTAAGTCTGCTGTTGATATACTGATTTAATGATTTGCAGCAAAGTGAAAATATAAAGACTTACATCAGCTCCTGGATGTAATGTTACAAAAAATTCCACTGAATTCAAATCACCTGAAATCAATAAAAATACAAATAGTCTGAAATTAAACATAATGCCAATGGGCAGTTCCAATTATCAATATCTTGACAAAAAAACTTTCAAATAGATAATAATTGCTCAAGGCTTACATATACATGTACATACATGCATATGTTGTACATATGTTATTATTAAGAAATTCAATGTTGAAAACACTAAGAAATGTACATGTAATTTATTCTTATAGATTGTATGTTTGCAAATTGTATGCACTTTAATGTATTAACAGAATTTATATAAAACACCTGCCATGCATACAATATTGCAGGTTAACTAGCAATGTACTTCAGAATAACTCTGCAAAATAAAAAAAAATCCTGTTCTGTTCTTGATCTTAGCATTAACTGGAGGACAAAGTTCTGCTCAACCCAATGTTCTGAAAGGAACTATTTTGTGTGATAATTTATGTTTAGATTCAATCTCAATCTTTCAATATTGTATACATTTTCTTTTTCAAGATTTTTTTAAACTTAAAAGTCAGTATAGATAATTTATGACTGCCTTCCTCAATATCTACAGGAACAGTTATAACTCATAAATGTAAACATATCAACACAAACATTTCACCACCTGTGGGATTTACATTTGTAATAAAACACTGAAATAACAATAGTGTCTAGACATTCTTATTATTTAACAAATATGCTATAATTACCATATTACTCATAAATATCTCCTAGCAACAGTTTCCATAATTCTGAGATACAAGAAAACTTAGACACTATAGACTCACAAAAATTGTTATAATTATACATTTGATCATAAAAAGGAGCCTGTAACATACCATCAAATTTTTGTGTGAGAAAGGCCACACCCAAGTCACTGGGAACACTGTCAAAACCACATGCACCAATTACATATACATCCTGCTCTCTCGCTTTACCACTGTACATAAGCTGCATCTTTTCCAAGTACTAAAACCAGAAACAAGATCTTATAATATTCATGTACTGAACAATTATTGATTAAATTTAAGAGTAGCATCATCGATTCTGTTTTTGTCAGTAGTCAAAAATTAAAAAGAACAACATACATGTATATGTAAATATGTAAGTGCTGATTTTAATAATTATAAAAACAATATCATAAAGACTCATTGTACTTAGTTTATTTGAGCACACTTCTATAACAAAGCTTTAAGAAGAATCTTTCAACAGTAATCAAAATATGAATAATAATTTATGTACAGGCTTGACTGACCTGTGGTTCTCCACTTATATCAATGTGATGAGCACTATTCTCAATACAGGCTTTCACAACTTGCTCACCATAAAACCTATACTATAAAATAAATTAAAATAAATAGTTAAAATTTTGCTCATACAAATGTTGTACACAATGGAATATTTTTACATGAATTCCTGCAGGCAAGGAAAGAAATCATCAACAGCATATGAAATTATATACCTGTAGCTGTGGCACAAGTAAACTGTGCTTATATAAAGTTTTAAAACTATTTTAAAATGTTGTTTGATATATTTCACAGGTATATTTTAATAAATGTAAATATATACAACTGGTCTAAGGTTTAATATGATTATAAATATATAAATGAGCATATAAATGCTATACAATATAATTATCAATACCTGCCAGGGCATGTCAATTTTGCATGAGTATTTGTTATATACCAGTTCAAATAAAGGACAGGGTTGAGTTTTCTATATAAAAACAACTTGTGCTGTGAATATTGGGGTATATTTCTTATGTTACTGTTGTTAAGTAAAGGCAAATAAAACATGTATATTTACTAACTGGACCAACACAGTTGAGAACAACTTTTGCTTGTTTACACATTTCGCCAAGTGACTCCTGACTGGATACATCACAAATAATTATAGGTGTTTCTTCCAATGTCAGCCCTTCAAGTAAATAAGCCATTTCAAATTTAACATCAAAACAACACACTTTTTAATGATCATACACAAAATCTTACCTAAAAAGTCTTTAAGTTTAAACACACTATGTAAAACTACACTTTAAAATATATTTTATAAATTTTAGGATGCTGTAAGTCCATGCTCTGGATGCAAGACTTTGAAAAAATCTTATTGCCCTAATTGAGGACTAGTAGATGGTGTTAGACAGATATGAGCACTTGACAGCAATCCTCGGACCTGTCCAATGCTTTTGGCTCCTTACTGCATGATCTCAGTCAGCAAGCTAGGGCAAAATATCTGACTATCTGTTGTAAAAACCCCTGTGATCTAGTCTTTAAATATTATTTTTATAGACAGAAAACAGTGAAACATCATGTCCTCTCAATTTTACATGCAAATGTACAAGTACCACTGGTGGGGACATTTCAGTATTTGGGATACACTGTAGATCAAACATGATTTTATTCCTTACATATGTATATTAACTAATTTTATGTAATTTAGAACAAACTTTTTGTTGGAAAAAAATCCTCATATAATTTATTTTAAAACTGTTTATTCACTATCATTGACACTGGCACAGACTAATCAGAAAAAAAAACAGTATTACAGTAGACAAACTAAATGAGTGATAATCTTCTGTTCAGTTGCACTGAAATTTTGTAAATCCACATTATATACATTTATTTCAAAAACTGATTATTAATATTTTCAATTCAAATGGCATTGAAATTAATTACAAATTAAATGATATGAAAATAAAGTGATAAACTTCCTGATGAATTAAAGAAACTCAAACAACTTTTCCGGCAGTTGTTACATTTACTTATATCTGATATATTTTTCTTACAACAGTTCATGTGATGTCAAGGTGTGGCTAAAAACTTAACTTTAAGCCGAGCTAGAGATGATATTTCAGCAGCTGAATTGCTGTTTAGACAGAGTTAAGGCTACCAACTTTCCCTACCAATTTGCAGATGAAAATGGCATTTAGCAAATATGCAATTACAACCATTCCCAAATATTCATTAAAATTTGACAGTTACTCTCTCCCATGACTGAAATATTTGTGAATGTAAAATTGTGATTTTCAAGTTATTTGCATTAAATTGCACTGTGAAATAAGTACCGGTGTATACCTGTTCTTTGGGAAGATTCCTTTAGAACTTTCTGCAATTTTTCCATAGATCTGCCTGCAATTGCCATCTTCAAATTTCCACCTTCCTCTTCAATAACTCTGGCAACTTCATCCACCACAAACTGACCAGTAAATCCACTGGCACCGAACACAACAAAGTCATACCGTTCCTCAGACATTTTATCTTTACAATTTTAACAAGGACAGCTGAAGAGAATTGCGCATAAATTAACCTGGGCTACCTATAAATAATGAGTCAGAAATACAGACGTGTAAACTGCTGAGACGTTTGACAGATACGGTACCACTAAAATACGCAACGGAGATTTTTTGGCGCAACGGACGCAACGGGCGCAACGGAGATATTATTTTTAGAAAAACCGGCACAACGCATTTTTTAAAAGTCAATGTGCTATATTTAAGCATCTAAAATGATTGTTTATAACTATTTAGTAAGTAAGTTTTAAAATATTTCATAAATTGTATATGTTTAATTGCACTGAAGGGTCATATGCCTGGCTAAATGGAAATTTCATGGCGCAACGGAGATATTTTTTTTCAGAAAAACCGACACAACGCCTTTTTTTAAAGTCAATATGCTGTATTTGAGCATCTAAAATGATTGTTTAGCACTATAAAGTAAGAATGATTTCAAATGTTTCATAAATTGTATAAGTATACACTGAAGGATTATAATAAATTTCATGGCGCAACGGAGATAATTTGGGAAAATCGGCACAACGTTTGTACTATTGTACTATTATATGAAATTAATTAACACCAATGGTTATTTGAATAAATAAATTAAAAAAAAAAAAAAGATTTAAAAACCTTAATCGTATATCAAATAATCAAAGAGCTGCAATGTTGATGTTGTAAAGGATTGTGTGCCGCCGAAATGGAAATTTTGTCTGCGCAACGGAGATTTTTTTTTTTTTGGGGGGGGGGGGGGGGGGGGGGGGGGGGGGGGGGCTCAACGGAATCATGTTAGTAGTCCGAAATAAGTAGTTATATGAAGAAGTAAATCATTAAAGATATTAACTGAATTACTGAAGTGGTGTAATAAATGTCTGTTTTATTAATTTAGAAATGGAATTAAATACGGTTTTTATCGTTATGGCTGACACTGAAAGACATGTATGGATTTTACAATCTGTTTCATTTTTCCCGTTCAATTCGTTATTTTTACGAAAAGTACCGTAATAGCTTTTTCTATACATAATTTTGAGAATTTTACTTGAAGAATACGAAAAGTCCGTGAAGCATACGCTGTTGACTTTCTAATGTAATCTTAACAATAAATTACCAAATTTCAACAAAACGTTAATTAATGGCTTTATTGCTGCACAAAGAAATACGATATTTTTTCCGTCATGGCTGATATTCGAATGATTGTAATATTTTATGCATTTTTAAAATTAAAATAGTAACTATACGTATGTACAACATATTTATTGTTTGATGTAATTATTAAAATAGTAAAAACGACATGCCTGTAGAATTTGCTTAGACTTTCCATTTAAAAACATAAAATAATTAACTTGAACGTTACTTATAACAATTCCTTCCCAATCAGAAAACCCCGTTTAATCAAATGCAGCTACTGTTTATTTAGCGAAACAACAGCAATTTGGTGATTGGCAGAATGTTTATCACGGGTGTTAAGTACCGATAATTAAATTACCAATGACACGTGGTTGATGTTTATTGGACAAGCGTTTTCACACCATTTAGATAATGTGATTAAGAGGAACATGTATTGACTTTAAGGTATTACATATTTTTTATAACTTATTATTGTCGAAAATATTGCTTTTGAAGCTTATTATGCCAATATTTCACTCAAACTATGAGAAAAATTGTGTATATGAAATGTGAGACGTAATAAAACAGTTTGGAGCCTGAATCCGCCACTGATAACGGTCAAATTTTCTTTTACAAGTGTTAAAATTATTAAACACCCGTGCCATACTCGTGCACGATACGTTGATTTAGATAATGTGATTAAGAAGAACATGTATTGACTTTAAGGTATTACATATTTTTTATAACTTATTATTGTCGAAAATATTGCTTTTGAAGCTTATTATGCCAATATTTCACTCAAACTATGAGAAAAATTGTGTATATGAAATGTGAGACGTAATAAAACAAACAATTATTGAAAAGGTACACAATGATTAATGAAAGATAATAAATTAATCAAATAATATAATATGATAAAACTGTTATGATAATCCCCGTTGTGCCGAAATGTGTCCATTTCGCCGTAATTTAAATGTCTTTTACAATATCCTATTTTCAACATTTTCTTAAATAAAGGAAAGTAAATCATTTTTAAAAGACTGTTACTTATTATTCTCAAATTCTTAAGTTATGTTCAAACATAACAACTACCCGTTATGCAAATCTTCATTTTCCATTGCGCCGAAATTATGTCCATTTCGCCGTCTATTTAGAATCTGATATATTCAGTATTCTACCTAATAAAATCAAACTTATACAGTATATGTAAAAAATATGTATAAAATATCAACAATACCAACTTATATGATTATTTTATGTTTTAGACATAAAAAACAGTACACAAAAATACAATGAATGTTTATAATAAAAAAAATACTGAACATTGATTCTGTAATATCAACATATTCCTTTATTTAGTTAACTAATGCAAATTCAATTAAAAATTATGTATAGAAAAGCTATTACAGTACTTTTCGTAAAAATAACGAATTGAACGGGGAAAAAATGAAACAGATAGTAAAATCTATACTTGTCTTCCAGTGTAAGCCATAACGATAAAAACGTATTTCATTCTATTTTTAAATGAATAAAACAGACATTTATAACACCACTTCAGTAATTCAGTTAATATCTTTAATGATTTACTTCTTCATATTACTACTTAACTCTGACAAACATTGTTTTCTTTTTAAATTTCGTTGCGGCAAAAAAAAAATAAAAAAATCTCCGTTGCGCAGACAAAATGTTCATTTCGCCTGCATACAATCCTTTACAACATCAACATTGCAGCTCTTTGATTATTTGATATGATTAAGGTTTTTAAATCTTTTTTTTAAATTTATTTATTCAAATAACATTGGTGTTAATTAATTTCATATAATAGTACAATAGTACAAACGTTGTGCCGATTTTCCCAAATTATCTCCGTTGCGCCATGAAATTTCCATTTCGCCAGGCATATTATAATCCTTCAGTGTAAACATATACAATTTATGAAACATTTGAAATCATACTTACTTTATAGTGCTAAACAATCATTTTAGATGCTCAAATACAGCATATTGACTTTAAAAAAAGGCGTTGTGTCGGTTTTTCTGAAAAAAATATCTCCGTTGCGCCATGAAATTTCCATTTCGCCAGGCATATGACCCTTCAGTGCAATTAAACATATACAATTTATGAAATATTTTAAAACTTACTTTTTAAATAGTTATAAACAATCATTTTAGATGCTTAAATAGCACATTGACTTTAAAAAAAAATGCGTTGTGCTGGTTTTTCTAAAAAAAAATATCTCCGTTGCGCCCGTTGCGTCCGTTGCGCCAAAAAATCTCCGTTGCGTATTTTAGTGGTACCCGACAGATATATCGCTTATGTGGCGGATTAAAAGGAAATCATACAAAATAGCGTCTGGAAATATTAGTATACAGTACAGTACGCTTTCCACGTAGCGTTTTGTAATCATTTATAAAATTTATCTATTTTAAGCAATACAAAAATTCGTATATAAATTTAATCATATGTACTTGTTCCAAATATATAATTGTTACAAGCGACATAAAGCTCTTGTGAAATTTTGACAAACAGTGACGTGAGTTTATTAAAAATTTATAAACAATATGGAGTTGTATGACCAACATGATGATGGACCTGGATTTGTAGGAATAAAATTCTGTAAAGAATGGTACGTATACAAGTTCAGAATGATCAGATAAAATAATAATGGAGATAATGTTTAATCATCATTAGTTTTCGCGAGCACTTTAAATGTTGACAATAATTTGAAGTCCTCCAAAGACTCTTATCCTTATATAATGTTCATTTTCACGTTTAAACTTTCTTCAATACCCTTTGCTTATATTTCCAAATTGCTCAATTCACTGATCTATAAACAGTTTCTAAACTAGCAAAAGACGAGCTATTCTTATCAGTAGTTTTTTGAGTAAAGATAATCGGTTGGGTATCTCTGATGACAGGGCTCAAGATAAGATGCGTATATGTGTAAATCACAGGTTCACACATACAATTAAAATTTCAAGCATCAAAAAAAAGGCCCAAGAAATTGTGAATGGTACGTATACAAGTTCAGAACGATCAGATAAAATAGTAATGGAGATAATGTTTAATAGTCATTAGTTTTCGCGAGCACTTTAAATGTTGACAATAATTTGAAGTCCTCCAAAGACTCTTATCCTTATATAATGTTCATTTTCACGTTTAAACTTTCTTCAATACCATTTGCTTATATTTCCAAATTGCTCAATTCACTGATCTATAAACAGTTTCTAAACTAGCAAAAGACGAGCTATTCTTATCAGTAGTTTTTTGAGTAAAGATAATCGGTTGGGTATCTCTGATGACAGGGCTCAAGATAAGATGCGTATATGTGTAAATCACAGGTTCACACATACAATTAAAATTTCAAGCATCAAAAAAAAGGCCCAAGAAATTGTGATTACGCGATGAACAACATTTCTCCCACATAGTGATTACGCGATGAACAACATTCCTCCCATGTAACCAAAACATAATATTGCTGATCACAAATGTGTCAAAATGTGTTATTGAGTTCCTTTTTTTTCGCTCTTTCAAAACATCAAAGTGAAGTCAATTTTGGGGAAAATACTAAATATTAAACTTTGAAAATGACAAATTTGATTTACTCACTTATGCAAAGAGGACATGTTGAATGATTCATGACCTTAAAATGACCTCAAGTGACGTTTGAAGGACAATTTTTTTTTTCAAAAGTCATAATTTTGTTATCAAAAGGCATATTTGATTTAGTAATTTATACTTGGACAAAACATTTCTTTAGAGAAAAACAAACATGTTGAGTATTTCAAGTATGAACTTACGGGGGTCTTACGCATAATCTTTTGTGCATTTTATGTTGTAAATAATAACCAGTGCATAACAGTACCAGAATGAAATTAAGTATTGTTTATATAAGATGTAATAAAGAAAACCAAGCCAGAATATTTAATTAGGTTAATAAATGATCACGAATTATCACTAGATAACTGCAGATTGGTCATTATTAATAAACTATAGAATGGTAGACTAATCAATCCACAAAAAAGTATTAATCATTATAAATATTTACAAAAACACAGTACTAATATTACTTAATGCAATAGAACTTATTGCAAAACCAAATGGGCCAGGGTGGATGGGCAAAAAAAGACTTGAAACATGATCACGACTACAAGATAAACTGATAAAACCATAGGTCAACTTGATTAAAATAAATAATTTATCACTTACAAGACTTAATGGATTTTAACAAGTGTACTAAAATAAGCTAAATAAAAAAATGTTAGTTGTTCTGTAATTTTCACATTGTGTTTCAGCAACAACATGTTGTATCCAAAAGAAGACAAAGAGAGCCGGAATCTTTTATATGCGGTAAATTTTCATTTTGAATCTTCAGTTGCAAAAACATAAACATGTTGTTCAATATTCAAAAAGCTTATATTTCTCATTTGTTGATTTTGATATATTTTCTAAAAGGATTGTTTTGAATGTAATTAATGATAAATTTTCTTAAAGGATTTTATTGAATGTGATTAATATTGCATATTTTATAAAAAGAAAAATAACTTTTTACAGTGCAGAAATTGTGACTACCAGCAGATTGCAGACAATCCTTGTATTTATGTGAACAAGATCACTCATGAAGTTGAGTAAGTTGAACCAAGCTTATGTTATCCTGTCATTGACTTTAAAAGCTGTTAATCATTGTCCGCCTAATTATCTTAAATGAATTTGTCCATCTTTCAAATCTGGACAAAACCATGAATCATTATTAGGGAGTGTTTCAAAAGTAGTACTGACTGAAGTGTACAGTGAGGACCTTAATCAGATGACACGGAAGTGCTGGCTGATCTAAGTCTTTACTGGTTACATCCGTTGATTCAGACTTCATCTTTGAATTTCTGATGATCTTACTCTATGGAGGTGGAATGTAAGTGCTGGCTGATCTTAGTCAGTCTTCGCTAGTCACCTTCAAAGATTCAGTTGCTGCCAGCAGACTTTATCTTTGAATTCCTGAAAGTCTTACGCTATTATAAATATAACTTTCCTCTGTTTATGATCAATCAGACCAGTCCCTTGACTGTTTACTATTTAATTCTAGCATTTTGATTTCCAAATACATCACATTATTGACTAACAAATTATCAATAGATAGTTTCTTAATTTCAATTCAAAGCAGGGCAGTCTTTTTACAAAGTTGATATGACAAGGGTTAAAGTTACCACTTTGTATTGCATTTTAATGTACTATCTTGGAAAAGCTTTCTATTTTTACTGCTGAAGTGATAATTTTTCAGTGCATTATTTCATACATGTATGATGTTATTGATAATCATGTTGATAATTAATGTAGCACATGCTTAATCATTATGATGTAAATTCAACATTATAATTTTAGTGAGTTGACCCAGATAATTGGTGATGTTATAGCTGATCCAACTTTGCCACGCACAGAGCAACATCCCTGTCCAAGATGCAGTCATAAAGAATCTGTGTTTTTCCAGTCACATAGTACAAGAGCACTGGTCAGTTTTGCTTTCATTTGTTACATGTATATATCTTTTTACTTTTAGTGATGATATTTGTAAATTGTGGCAAATTTTAATAATATACATGTACTATATCACTGGAGAACTAACAATAGTAACATAGTAATTGCTAAATGAAAAGTTTAGAATGTCTTACCAACTGTTACTTATACTTTTGTCTACCTGTAAGGTTAATGTTAAATGTAAATGTGTAATTAATTAATGATGTAGAATGCAGACATAGCCGTAATCAAGCTACAAACTATTTTGGCTGAATGTTTAAGTTATCTTTATTCTTGAATGTTTGTTGAATGAATCATTAATAAATAGTAAAGGTATTTTGATACAACAACTTTGTGTTGGTAATTAAGAGATTTGTAAATGTTTGAATATACAGGAAAAATGTAAGAAGATCCTTTTAAAGTAATAGACACAAGTTTTCATCAGAATTTTCTTTTCTTTGTTGTTTCAGGAGGGAATGAGACTTTACTATGTATGCACCAATCCACAGTGTGTTCATAGATGGACTGAGTAAATGTGTGAGCTAATGAAAACATTTTGGAATGTATTAACATTCATAAATGATTCTTTGTGACATTTTACAACAGTAAATGTGTATCAGCAACAATGCTCTTTTTCTTAAAGTGTAATATAACTTTAGTTGTGTTTATCATCAGAGATTTTCAAATACAAGGGCTGTATTTTAGAGAAAAAATCCAGATTGTATTGAAAGCATAACTTTTTACTATAAAATTGTTTTTAATTTTATTTCAGCTATTAGACAAATGGATATGAATCGTGTTTAGATATGTTGTTTTTCCTAAGAGAGCAATTATCAAACATAAATTGGTCAACATGTTTCTGTTAATTGAACATGTAGCAGTATGACAAATCTTTTTTATGATACTATATTATAAACAAGTGTAATGGATAATTATGTTCAAGTATGTAAATTTGTCTGTAAATAAATCATTCATCATAAAACATCTTGTTGTCAGCTCAAGGCCCACTGAAAACTGTGTGTTTAAATTACATTTTTATGCCCCCACAAAGTGTGAGCATATAGCGTTGCACTTGTCCGTACGTCTGTCCGTCCGTACGTCCCGAAATCTTGTGAACGCAACTCCTCTTAAACCGGAAGGCAGATTTTGCTTAAACTTTCAGGGATGAACAACCTTAATGTGTAGATGGTAGTAAAGGAAGGAATTTTTGCTGCGACCAAATTTAACAGAATTATGGCCCTTTGTTGATTTTTTCACTATATACTATGTAGAAATTTTGTGAACGCAACTCCTCTTAAACCGGATGGCAGATTTTGCTTAAACTTCCAGGGATGAACAACCTTAATGTGTAGATGGCAGTAAAGGAAGGAATTTTTGCTGCGACCAAATTTAACAGAATTATGGCCCTTTGTTGATTTTTTCACTATTTACTATGTAGAAATTTTGTGAACGCAACTCCTCTTAAACCGGATGGCAGATTTTGCTTAAACTTCCAGGGATGAACAACCTTAATGTGTAGATGGTAGTAAAGGAAGGAATTTTTGCTGCGACCAAATTTAACAGAATTATGGCCCTTTGTTGATTTTTTCACTATATACCATATAGAAATTTTGTGAACGCAACTCCTCTTAAACCGGATGGCAGATTTTGCTTAAACTTCCAGGGATGAACAACCTTAATGTGTAGATGGAAGTAAAGGAAGGAATTTTTGCTGCGACCAAATTTAACAGAATTATGGCCCTTTGTTGATTTTTTCACTATATACCATATATATGTTGTCAGTGGGGGCATCCGTGTCCTTTGGACACAGTTCTAGTTATCCTTCTGTTAAACTTTTATATTTTTGACATATTTGTTTTCATGTGAGGAAATGACCATTGCTTGATACCAAAGTTTGTACTGCTTTGGTATCATCCCGCGTGTAAGTAAAATATTGAGAACAAAAAACCCATCAACAACAAAACAACCTGAAATGACAGTAACTCATAAGAGTAACAGAAATGAACTTTTAAATGATTTATCAGAAAGAGATGGAGAGTTATTTTATGCCCCAAGGATTTAGATATTATCATGTAAGACAGCTATCCACTTTGCTTACCTCTACACTACACTCAGAGGCACTTATAACCCAACACTGACATTTTTCTGTATAAATAGATTATTTGTGAACAGATTTTGATCAAATTTGGACTTTACAAAATTCAACATATCATACTTACTACTTGGAATTATATTTACAATTCATTAATGAGAAAATAGATAAAATAGCAAAACAAATGGGCAACTGTAAAATGGAAAAAGCGCAAAATGACTGTAAAAATTGTAACACAATGAACAGTCTCTGAATCCCATTAAATCTGTATGTTTACCAGTTCTAACACTTTGTATGTCCTTCCAATTGGCTATAACGAAGTAAACACCTCTGCATCACAGTTCTCTATTCCTAAATAAGGGCTTGCTCTTGTTCCAGCAAATTACGAGGAGCTTTTGGCAGCTTTCTCACACACCTGTTCAATTCAGCCGACAAGTGTGATGTTTAGATCTATGACTTGGAATGCAGAAGTTGCTCGAACTCGAGGAAGCCCTTATTCCGGAATGGAGAAATATTCCCAAAGCCTTCACTATGTCATAACCATGAGAAAGGTGTTTACACTTTGTTAAAGCCATGGGATGACACAGAAAGTATTAGAACTGGTTATTATACAGAATCAGTTGGATTTAGAGACTTTTCATTGTGTTACGATATTTACAGTCATTTTGTGATTTTTCATTTTGCAGTAACATATTTATTTTGTTATTTTCTCTATTTTCTTGTTAATGAATTGAAAGTAAAATTATAGCAAATAAGTATGATATGTTGAGTTTTGTATGTTCAAAGACTGAACAAAATCTGTTTACAAATAACCAAGTTATACCGGAAAATGTAAGTGTCGGGTTATAAGTGCCTCTGAGTGTAGTGTCAACTTGAGCCTGAAATAATGTGCAAAAGGGGCACTTGAGGTTTTCCTTTATCAGTGAAAAAAATTCCCATATAATATTTATAATGTCAATGCAACAACAATTCTCTTAAGCTAAAAATATTTTTACATTTCAATAAATAATGGCAGTAAGAGCGATCAAATGTAAAAAAAGCCATTTTAAACAGCAAAGACCTTGACCTCTATAAACCAGTTAGAAGACTAACCAAATATGGGACAACTAACAATAGCTTTATGAGCAAAAGTGTAACATACTGTTTTAAGCACCAGTGACTTTGATCTCTATATCTCAAGTTGAAAGACAACTTAGGTTAATTATGAATATAGTGTTACGTATTGTAAAAAAAAATTCAAGTAAGATAGCAATTTAGTTTTTTGTGTCGCCTTGAAAAGGCAACATATAGGGTTTACTTGTGTCGGCTTCAGCGGGGGTGTCCCCCTAAGGCTTGGCCAGAGCATAACTTAATTTTTCAGTTATTGCCCTTTGTTAATTTTCATACTTTATTTTTGTCTGGGCCATTTCTACTTAACTATAAAGATTTTGACTTGAAACTTCATAGGATGATAGATATCATTAATAAGAAGTGCAGTGCAGTGCACAAGAACAGCACTCTGCACTTCTTATTTTTGAGTTATTGCCCTTTGTTAATTTTCATACTTTATTTTTGTCCGGGCCATTTCTCCTTAACTATGAAAGCTATGGACTTGAAACTTCATATGATAATAGATCTCGTTAAGAAGAAGAAGTGCCCAAAAACCAGTACTCTGCACTTCTTATTTTTTGAGTTATTGCCCTTTGTTAATTTTCATACTTTATTTTCTGGGCCATTTCTGCTAAACTATAAAAGCTATGGACTTGAAACTTCATGGGATGATAGATCTCATTGAGATACAGTGCAATGATTTAAAAACCGGTACTCTGTACTTGATGATTTTTTAGTTATTGCCCTTTGTTAATTTTCTTACTTTATTTTTGTCTGGGCCATTTCTACTTAACTGTAAAGATTTTGACTTGAAACTTCAAAGGATGATAGATCTTATTTGCAAAAAAAACCAGCACTCTGTACTCCATGATTTTAGAGTTATTGCCCTTTGTTGATTACAATGCTTTATTTTTGTCCCAGCCATTTCACCTAAACTATAAAAGCTATGGACTTGAAACTTCATAGGATGATAGATCTTATTGAGAAGAAAAGCAGTACACAAGAACCGGTATTCTTTACTTCATGATTTTATAGTTATTGCCATTTGTTAATTATTATACTTTATTTTTGTCCGGGCCAATTCTCCTACACAGTAAAAGCAATTCAAGCTACATCAATCCTGATGTAACATTGTTATTATCAGTTCAAATGCCACTTAAGTTCAAGGTACAGTAATGTTTATAAATAACCTATATTTAAGAAGAATATGCCTAAGTGACAGCTATACTGTTCACAAGGTGACACATCCAACTCGCGGAGTTCTAGTTTGGTACTGCACTTTCTCAGGAATCCATCACTGAGATTTTTTAAGGAATTTCTGCCAATACTTTTCAAGTAATTCCCAGGACAAACATTATTATGCATCAATAAAGGTAGATAATTAATAACTTTATTGTACTTTACATTGCACTTCTTCTCATTAGTCACTGTAACTCTGTACTACATAATTGACAGATTAGACACTTCAGGCAAGCATTATTAAATACTTTAAAGTATGTGTATCACATAGGGAGAGAATTAAAAATTAAACAATGTAGAATTGTGGTTTTTGTACCGTGCATTTTCTCTTATCTATTTCAAAAGTAAAGGTTAAATTCCTTTCATATTGTTAAAGTTATTCTCTGGACAAGCATAGAACACTGCACTTCTTACTAGTCTTCAAAAATGTGTGAAGCTTCAATAATATATCATTGATAGACAAGAAGTTATGTACCATATTTAATATTTTTAAGTGTTATAAAAGGAGACAATTAAAAAATTCAGTGATTCTTGATGACTACACTTCCTCTCACTTATCATTAGTGTTATAAAGGGAGATAATTGCAAAACTGAGCAGTGTAGGGTTAGGTTTGTTTATGTTCGACACTGCACTACCTTTTAATCGTCTCCATCACTGTGTGAAGTTTTAAATTCATTCAATCTTGTCATGTTATTTTCTTCAGTGTGTCAGAATTGCGGCCAAAATGGAATAATGGCCCATTTCTTTTGTCATTTGTCTTCGGAGGCCTTTACAGGAAGAACTGTTTGTTTTTGTTCATTTTACAGTTAGATGGCCCCTTATTTATATTTGGTAATGCGTACAGACAAAAGGACAGTAACTGTATGCTCATAACAAGAGCTGTCAGTAGGACAGCAACGCTCGACTATTCTTTGTGCTTGATAGTAAAAGAGCCTTGATAATGTAAAATTTTCAGAGTTAATAACAAAAGGACAAAATTTTTCTTTAAATCCATGTTAAAGTTATAGGCCTTGGACAGAGTCCTATTATGTTCTCAAAGTATAAAATATCAACTTGTTTCAATAGAATATGAAAATATCTGAGGTGGAATGCAAACCTAAAAGTAAATTCTAAGTTGACAAAGGGGTATAATTCTGTCAAAATGCTTGATACAGTTACCTCCTCCTGTCTACAGGTTGGGGTTATAATGGTGAACAAGTGTGCAAAGTTTCAAAGCCATACGTCAATGGACTTTGAAAATATTTGAGGTATTACAAAAACTTAAAACATAAATTCTAAGTCGAAAAAGGGGCATTATTCTGTCAAAATGTTGGATACAGTTACCTCCTCCTGTCTACAGGTTGGGGTCATGATGGTGAACATGTGTGCAAAGTTTCAAAGCCATATGTCAATGGACTTTGAAAATATTTGAGATATTACAAAAACTTAAACATAAATTCTAAGACAAAAAGGGGCATAATTCTGTCAATATTGTAGGCAGAGTTATCCAACTTGTCAATCTGATGTACCTTGTTACTATAAATAAGTATTGTAAGTTTCAATTGAATATCTCAAGCAATAATTGAGATAATTGACTTTACAAAAAACTTTAACCAAAATTTCTAAGTTAAAAAGGGGCATAATTCTGTCAACATTGTAGGTAGAGTTATCCAACTTGTCAATCTGATGTACCTAGTTACTATAAATAAGTATTGTAAGTTTCAATTGAATATCTCAAGCAATAATTGAGATATTTGACTTTACAAAAAACTTTAACCAACGCAGACGCCGACGCGGACGCTGACACTGACGCCGGGGCGACTACAATAGCTCTCATATTCTTCGAATAGTCGAGCTAAAAATGACATTTTTTTATTGCCTCTAGCGATATATAGGGATCACTTCTCCATTGCCTGTCTGTTGGTCACAATACAGTGTCCAGACTACTCCTCAAATTTCATCCAAACTTTACAGGAATGATCAGTACCAAGTCTAGTTGTACATTTTGTCAGCATTCCTGTTCAATGATTTTTGTCAGAGTTATGGCCCTTTAATAATATTTATTTTTAGTTGGGCATATTATCGGCTATTTATGGGTCAATGAATTTTGTCAGATTTATTTCCCTTTATTTTTAAGTTTGTCCAGACAACTCTTATACCACTAATGCAGTTTCAATGAAACTTTACAGGATTGATTGGTAGGTCAAAAAGTTGCACAAATTAACATTTTTCAGTTCATTGATTTTTGTTAATAGTTTTGGCCATTTCACGATTTTAATTTTGAAATTTGTCCAGACTACTCCTGTTATACCACTAATGCAATTTCAATGAAACTTTACAGGATCAGACCATAGCTCAAATTATTGTGCATATATCACATGTTTTGTTAGGTTGAATGATTTTTTGCCGAGGTATGGATATCGCGAGGTGACACGTCATCACTTATGGCCCTTGTTACTGTCTGTATGCATCTTGCATGGACTAGTGGTCAAAATGAGAGAGGCAAAAAACAGATTTTTCTACCTTTTGTTCTAGTATTATGCACCCACTAAGACGAATGTATTACAGTAATAAGTATGGCACACCTATTGCAATAGCCCCAAGGTTTCACTTTGTGAGTGTGCATTTCCTTATATTCTCAATTTAATTTTCTGAATATAATTACATGTATATGTTAATTCCTCAGTATGTTCATTCCTCAGCATGTTCATTCCTCAGCAAAGATGCACAGGCTGTAACTCATCAATATAACTTATTAAAAGGTTAAGCAGAAATACTCCAGGCTTGTTGTGTTTATTTGCAGCTGATCTATGAGAAAGGTATTGGTACATGAAGTTAAAATACATGGCATTTTTTTGTATGTCTTTCAAAATAACAAATATGACTGGAAGTAACAACACAAGTGACAAGATATGAGAGATTATTATTTATTTTGTCAATAAAGAAGCAAAGAAATGGTACATACACATGAAAAAGCTGACCTCAATGGTATATAATAATATGTCTGTTCTTCAGACACAAATTATCTCCCTTATATACAATGTATACATATATCTATATATGCACATTGCTAGCTGTTAAAACAGACATTTCTCTAAAAAAACAAAATAAAACAAAGCTCTAATAGATTCTTAACTGTAAGTTAAGAAAAAATAATTTTGTGACGAACAGTATATCATGTCATTCTGCTTTTACACTTCAGTAATCAAGATGATAAAGCTTTTAAAAACGCTTGCAATCAATTCAACTGTGAATTTCCAACAAATCCCCCTTTTGTGAACTTCAAAATTAATTTAATTAATAATTATTATGTGATTTTGTTTATTCCGACATCTAACTTGTGTTCAATCAATGAAAACAACTACATTTGTACTTCAAATATGTCCTTTTTACCGTACCCCTTTGTCATTTTATATATTCATACTGTACAATACTACCCAAAACCTTTGGCATGTTTAAGCAATTATAAAATTACTTCTCCTATATTTTTATAATAACTATTTCTATCTAAATCTAAATAAAGTCAACTACAAAAGTAATCACAGTTTTATGTATATGGGACATTCCAGTTAAAATGTTTAATTATAAATACTACAATTAATCTTTATTAAATATGAATTATATAATAAATATTAGATCATTGTAACCTTGGGCTCAAATTTAATTTATTCAACAGTGTAATTATAATGAATTACATATTAACATTTCATGCTAAACTTCTGAAATTTTTAGTTTAAAAAATACATTATAAGATACAGCAATAACTTACAAGAGAAATATTAACGGAAGGTGCCTTAAGAATGAAATTGCTAGTTACAAAATGTTGACAATATTGCGGTAAACTAATATATTTAGCATACAATAAACAGAAATATATTGGTATATCACAATACTTGTACACAATGTAATTGTTGTCATGGTTTTTATGAATACAGTAACACTTGAGCCGCGTCATGACAAAACCAACATAGTGCATTTGCGACCAGCATGGATCCAGACCAGCCTGCGCATCCGCGCAGTCTGATCAGGATCCATGCTGTTCGCTTACCAATTCTATTACAAGTAGAGAAACTGATAGCTAACTGCATGGATCCTAATCAGACTGCGCGGATGCGCAGGCTGGTCTGGATCCATGCTGGTCGCAAACCAATGATGTTAGTTTTGTCATGGCGAGGCTCATTTTATGATAAAATTAGACCACAAAAATGAGAAATAGCAACAAAAGGCAAGATATTTTCAACTAACATCTGATTTGTATGGTATAAACTTGTACAACAAGATCATTAAAGTAAAAGTGTAAAAAGCTAACCTTGTGAAGTAGAGAAAATATATCATAATGACAGACATAAATGTACCTGAAAAAAATGTTTTATCTTTTATAAATATTTTGTAATTTTAAAACATGCATTACAAAGCTTCCATGCAACACTGTCAACACTTGACTAAAGTGAGAGAACAATAGACAATAGTCTTCAATAGTAGCTTTAATCATATGTTTATTAAAACAAAGTTTGGTTGAATATCAGTGTCCTTATAAAAGCTTCAATCATACATGTACACTTACAACTAACACAATCTTACTGTTCATATTGTGTGAACTTTATCTTTTTGCTAAAGAAAAAAAAAACACAAACAAAACAATAATAACTTGACTTATTGCACATATAAGTAAAATAACTAGCCAATATCTAACAAAGAACACATCAAATCTATGTCAATCAAATCCAAATACATTTACATATAGTTCATTAATATCTTTATTTAAATTTCTCGAAAAGGAATAAATCAAGTCTAGATCATCAATTCTGTATGTTGTCATTGCCCAAGACTGGGACATAAAATTCCATATAAACCAAGTGAGAGAAAAGAACAGCTATGGTTTACCCTTCAATACAAACAGAAAAACATTCTTTAACAAATATTCACAATAAACAAACATGTCATTTTAAAAACCTTATCTACAGGTACATATCTTGAATAACATACAAAGCAACAAAGAAAACATACATAAAACATTAAGACATGTTGATATATTTCAATCTTTGGTAAATAGTGACATATGAGCACCATCACCATAAAGTACAGGATATAACAATTAAACATCAGTCTCTCAATACACAAACAAGCTAATAGAACAATAAGAATGGCACACAGACCATATAGAACACATGATTCTTACAATTTTGCTTGTTAATTATTTCAAAGCCATGTGAAAGTTAAACAAAAGATTTGCTATCAAGTGGATTGAGCGTTTCTAGAGTAAGCAAACTGATGTGATATTTGAATCAGAGTCCATACCTATAATAGTTTACACATGTTCATCTGAATTAAGCTGACTTCTATAGTTATGTTACAGTATAAAGTTCAATGCCCATATTTACAGCGCCATGTTATTAGTTAGGATAAAAGATAAAATGTGCTTTCATATCAACATTATAAAGAGGGTAGAGCAAAAAATCAATGAACAATGATCTATGATATATTTCATATTATAATATAACACTGTGGGTAGGCAAGATCTTGTTAGTATATGACATACATGAATTGTTTTATCACAGTTTGTTGCTTTCATTAAACAAGCCTAGAAAATAACTATCATCATCATTTTAAATACATGTCACATTGAGGGTTCCAGACTTATTTAAAATTGATAAGTGCAATTAACCAAATCTCTGCAAAGAAAGATTTAAGGCTATATTATGACTAATAATTCCGACATTCACCAACATACCCTGTCCAGAAATACAAACCGTAATAATGATAAAACTTACTGTATTATAGTAAAATACATATTAAGACTATCAAAGCAATGAAAATGACAATAAAATTTTGTGATTAAAACACAACCTAAACAATGACAACATAAATTAATTCAATGTACATGTTATAATGTACACAAAATATTCTTTGTTAGCCAGTCTGTATTATAATGCAACATTCACTTTGTTCTCTCAATAACTATGTCTGCATCTATCAATCATTTGTTAATTGAGACCATGATGGTTGTTTTATAAAAAAAATCAAAGTAATGACTCCTCCATATCTATTCTCTGTGGTAGTACTGAATATATGCCAGGTTTTATTGAAGCAAGGATAGCAACATCATACTTACAGATAAAGCGGTACTGGATATCACTGCTCAGTCTCCACAATATATAATACATAATGTCACAGTCAAATATTATCATTTAATTATAACTTAATAAACTCAGATGAGCTTTATTGCAAAAGAAAACCAACAAATAAAAACCCAACCCCTTTCATAATGATTTATCAGAGCAAGAAAATTCGAACCAGTAATATTGCTGTCAATCTAAGTGAAAAATAAGCTTGCTTGAGCTATCAACCTCTCACATATATATATATATTCTCATCTTAACAATGTAATGTCAAATATAATCTACATATTCTTTCTATGTTTATATAAAGGTAGATCAATACGACACCCAGGAACAGATACATGTACACTGTATACGTTTCAGTAAAAGCAGTGCCAATATCTAGGCTATATATATATTCCTATATTACTACTTTACTACAACCTTCAATAAAAATATAGTACATCATATCGAAACTGCCAAACAAAATCCAACAACAAAATATATGTCCATGCTTAAAATATGTTTTCCGAAAAACTTCATCAAAATATTATTTATTCAAGCTTACTAAAACCTTTCTTAACAGAGCTATAAACAAGTTAGAATTTAAAACACACTACATATTATCATAATTTCTTTCTTGTGAAAAATAAAACTAAACTGAGGCATAAAATAAAAATAAAATAAACAAAAAAATAATAAAATGAAGACTTTCCCTTGGTCCCAAAATTCTTAACGAGGTTTGTACGTCACTTAAATAAAATTAACACATTTTCATGAAATTATTGCATAGCATTTGGAGTCAACAATATTCAGATTAAAATCTTCAAGCGTGCAAACTTCTTGTCAGTTGACACTGTAGAATAAAATATCTAATAGCTGAGACTAGCTTCTTCTGGTGTAACCATATCAATGCTGTCACCATGGTGATGTCACACAGATGTTCCTGCTTCATTCAAACTGCTCTGTGATGACGCCTGAAAAATAAGAAATAAACTTTTAAAACAAGTCAAACAAATATCAAAACTTTATTAATCTATAAATAGATGTTAAAACTGACTTGGAACAATTCTAAAAATCTACCATTTGCATTGAATCCATGATAAATGATAAAATGTCTGCAGATAAACAAAACAAAATTGTTAACATATCAAACAATGATAAACATGTGTAGTTGAAAATGATAAATGCTCCCTTATTGATTCCACAATATTGAAACAAAAGTAAACAGAAATATTTTTTTCTGATGAAAATCTCTGTAGCATGTTGAACCCTACATAGATAGAACAGGTAATGGGAGGTTACATGACCATCAATCACAAATTATCCTGTCAAAGATCTTTTATAAAAAATCTATAAAATTTTACCCTGAAGGTAAAGATAATTCATGAGTCAAGGCCATCTTTAAATATGTTAACCAGAGTTATGTTTTGACCAGTATAAAGGCATCAGCTTACAGAATAAATATGTCCTGGTCAAGGTTAAACAGTATTCTCAATAAAAATGCAAGAGTAAAAAAAAATTATTGACAGATACAACAAACATAATCTTCATCTCAAATTGTACATTCTAGGCCTTTTTGATGAATTCTTGTTGATAGTTGCTGGAAGATAATGTAGGCAAGAGTAACATTAAAGGACAACAATAATCTGCGATACATCAATGAAATTGAGCATGCTCTTGACATGCACAGCTTCTTTTGGCAGTATAGCTTTTTTCTGAAGTCTTGATAAATTTTAGTCACAGGTTTCTTAGAAATATCTCTGATGTTCAAGCTGTAAGGGAGATGTACAAAGCTAAATTTAAATGTATCTGCACAGGGAAACTCAATAAAGAAAATCACTTTCTATAGGAAATATTTCAAATGGAGACATTAATCAAAAAATGTATCTGAAAAATAATGTCATCCATATAATCACAGAATATTTACTACATAATCATAAATAAAAATTACATTATATATCTGCATTAAAAAGTTACAAGATCTTAAATTACAAAATTAAGTCAAAATGAAAATAAGAACATTTTTTTCTCTCTTCTGCTGTATTTAATCATTTGAAGCAAAGTCCTATATGAAAAATGTTCACTCAACTTTTTTGTTACTTTCAGACCACATGCAAATCAACCGAAATACAAATGTATAACAGTCAGATATAGCTTGAAAGTGTAAAATGATGTACAACACAATAACAACATCAAATGGACAACATTATCACATATAAAATCATAAAAACAACATCAATAATTAATATCCCAGAACCTTAATCATTCTAGAATACTTATAACCACTTTGAACAGACAGTCTGAATCATTTTGATTCTTTAAAAATATATAATAATCAAATTCTTTAAGATTGATTATCCAAATTTCTACAGCAAATGGGACGGACATTCCAATAATAAACAAATGATCAACAGAAACAACAAGCTGCACCCTCTATATCATGCACTTTCACCATGTCAAATATCGTCTCTATAATTTCAAGTTATTAGCTTCTTTCCTGTTTATATTAATCATGTTTTCTAGATATAACATTAAATCAAAGCTTCTTGATAAAATATTTGTGAGTTGCTGCCCATGGTTTGGAAGCATTAAAGATCAAAGTTTTAAACTGCATGTGCATGAAAGCATTAAGTGACCAGGGACAAACTCAGAATTACCTTATCTCATTACAGTCTACAATAATACAAGCAAAATTTATACTGATCACATACTACTTCAATGCTTTCATTTTCCTTTACATTATATTTTCAAATCAGGGAAAATCTTAACTTTAAATGAAAAAATACCTGTAAGAATTAAGATGAACAAAAAGATAAATTTATCTTATTTTCTGTGAACTCGTTAGTTATGGTGAATTTCAATAATTTTTTATTTGTTTCGGGGATAAATTATTCCATTTTATAGAAATATTCAAAGTTATCACCTTATAAGGTCAGTTTTCTAGTGTGCAATACAACTGTGTGAAATATAGATGGGAGTAAGTGAAAATCTCCATTAGTTATCTCTTAATACTGACTGTTGTGAGGATGGATGGGTGTGGTTTCAATGTGCAATACTGTATATGTAATGAGTGCTTTGGATGGAAACTAATGATGACCACAATTATCTTATATCCCATCAGCTAAGTATGGTCATATTACCTATATTCCTACTTTATTGCTTTTTCTATTTATAAAATAATGAATAGCAAAGTTACATAAAGTTGTACAGCTCTTATATCAAGTTTAATAATTATGAACATTATAAATATGCTTTTCTAATATACTAAGATGTGTATGAATTATATAATTGTGTTTTTGTTCTTCTTTAAATTTGCTAAATGGTATAAAAAAAGCTCCCCCCACAATATATATACTGACCAATTTATATACAATACTCACCATAACACCTAATTGGGCCTGACCAAAGATAAACAGTAACAATATCAATAAATATACCATACAGTTTCCTACATGTCGTTTATAAATACACCGTTTTAAATACTTTTTCAAATGCCAAATTAAGAAAAAATGTAGTTTTGAAATGAAAAAAAAAAATGAAGTTACATTTTTTTAGTCATATTTAAATAATAAATGTAAATCATAAATTCGCCATAATTACTTTTTATTTTTATGTGATGCAAGAGTTAACAGATAATATTGAAAGCAATGAGAAAAGGTTAGGGTCATTTTGAAAAACGTAACCTACCAATCGCTGACTAAGAAGTTTATTAGCACTAATTTCTTTTTCTAGCTGTTTTTCCTTATCATGTAATTTTGTTCTCAGCTGTAAACGGCAGTAAATGGTACATTTGTTAGTTGATACAATATAAATGATGAAAATATGTAAGAAATGATGGGAGGAATAAACAGCAAACTGAAAATTGGTTTTACAACAGAAATACAAATCAACTACACTTCCCACAGAAAGTAAGTTTACACACTAGTAGTTCTATTTCAATGATGTATATTTATGTTGCTTTAGAGGTAAATGGAGAATAAATTTTCACCAATCAATCAATGTCATAGAGAATTAGAGGGTCAGTTAAACTATTCCACAGCAAACATTGTTAACTTAAAACTTTCAATGCAAGGATCTAATGATATACATGTAATTAGTAAACTTTTCTTTCTAATGATCCTATAACCAGTATTTTTCTCCTAAGCCTTTTCAGTCCAAAATTATCCATCTAAATCTATTTGAAGCACAAAAGCACATTAACTAGCAACTTAGAGTATGCAGGTTTTCTTTAAGTGGGACAATGTTGAAAGCAAAAGAGGAAAATACTTATCCCATAGGTATAAAATTAGGCAAGAGCTTGAATAATCATATTTTAATCAGTATTTACAACACAGATTTATGAATTGCATATACTCAGCATCCAAAATTACTTAAGTATATACAAATCATATGTGGTAAACTAATTTTGAAATGATTATGGCAACAGACACACATAGGAACTAAGTTTGTTCTAAATATTTTAAGCATTTTGTGCAAATTGAAAAAAACAGTTCTATTTTATCTCATCTGAAATCATAGTACATGTACGGGCAGTCATTTATTAAAGAACTCAATATGCCTAATTTTACACCTATTATGTATACATATGTCAAATATGAACAGCATAAAATTTCAGGAGGAGTAAATCCAAGCACACAAACAAACCAAGAATTTTGTTTACAATCCATTCATGTTTTGTTTTTTTTCACAACAAACTGTGCATACTTACTTCTGTGTGGAAAGTGTAGCAATAAAACAACCAAGTTTTAATTCGCATTCTGTGAAACAAGTTAACATACACAGATGCTTAGCAATTTGTTAAACATGATAAACAGATTTCATGTACACTAAGGTTAATTAATACCAGTTATAACTAGATTATAACAAGTATTTGCTCTATAAAAAACAACTTTACAATCCTATCCAAAGAAAAGCACAGGTCATCAGTTGTTAGAGAGAAATATACCTTTTTAAAATATATATAAAGGTGATTTTCCACCTGAAACTTGGCACTAAAGACTGTAAGTTTGAAGATTTAGTATGTATAAAACATGCATAATTTTGATGATACCTAGAAAGGCACAGGGCATGCACTTAGTATGGCTGCTAATATTTCTAGTGTACATGAACAAAATATGACTGTCCAATAGTAACTATAATATCACACTCACCACTTACAGTTACTTCTAAAACACGCAATTTGTAAACTTAATATCAAACTTTTACTATTTAAAATATTGAACTTCCAATCACAATTCTTTTTTACTTTCTTTTTTCATCAAAACCAACAAATCAAATGGCCAACTTTTTTCATTGGCAATTATGTTATGATTGAATTTCTGATGTCAAGATTTTATCGATCTGCCAATAGTAGTTTGTTGGTAATTATCAACCCTTTTAAACACATACTCATATTTTAGGAGATATGGAAAGTAAAAGTAAACAATCATGTATTAGCACTCAATACTATGATAATAAGAATGATACTTTTATGTTCTTTACTACACAAGAATATTGTTTTTATACGAAGTTCTAAAATCACACATTAATATAAGAACAATCATAGAATTATCATACCTGATTCATTTCTGCAGTTGAGTCATTTGGCACACTTTTTGAATTCTAAAAAAAGCAGAAAAAAGACAGTGAATATCTCATCTGTATAATGCCTTTGAGTTTACAGCGACAACATTAAATCTCAGAAGCTTAAATTTTAATGACAGACCTATTGTTTAAAGTCTAACACTTGTTTGCTAAACATATAATAAGTCAGCAATCACTTAAATTGACCATTCTTGCTCTCAGTTCTGTGCTTCATGTGTCCAAGTTATTCACAATAATTACTGGAATAGCTTTACATAAAATTCTGCATCAACAACACATATCTTGTAATAGGTTACATTAATCTATAACATGTCTATTATTGTGTTATTTAGTTGTTTTTAAATGTTATTTAAACACAAATGCTTCTGGTAAAGTAAATGTTTCATTTAATGTCCGAGCTGTTTCATCAACAAAACCAACATAGTGCGTTTGTGACCAGCATGGATCCAGACCAGCCTGTGCATCCGCGCAGTCTGATCAGGATCCATGCCATTCGCTATCAGTTTCTCTACTTGTAATAGGGTTAGTAAGCGAACAGCATGGATCCTGATCAGACTGCGCGGATGCGCAGGCTGGTCTGGATCCATGCTGGGCGCAATCCCATTATGTTGGTTTTGTCATAACACGGCTCATTATTATACCTGCTGTACATCACCAGATGAGAGCTGCTCCTGGAGCTTCTTTGTGAGGTTCTGTTCCTGGGTTAATGCATCATGTCCTGTCTTTATAATGCCATTCAACTTTACAATCTGAGATGCTAGGTCTTTATTCTTCTTCTTTTCTGCCTCTAACTGTTTCCGTAAGTCTTCTAAATCCTAAATAAAACAAAAATATAACCATTCAATGAGAAAAAGTCAATCATATGGATATAGCAAAAATATATTTTGAAACAAATTATTCATCTTGCACTTTAAATTTTAGCAGTCATGAATAAATGAATCTGAAATATCAAACCAATAACGGTTAAAATTTAGGGTTAAATAAACAGAATCTGATGTCTTTAATGATCAAATAAAATAATAAACAAGTTAATGGCATTCTCATTTTTGTAAGTATATTTATAATATATTCCAACACTACCAGAGATCTTCCTCTATGAACAAAAAATCTCCTGTAAACAAAGAAGGCCAGAAGCATGTTTTATTATCTTCTTGTATACTATGCATTTATGTATGAATTTGCACGCTTCTTGATTTGTACCTTAATCTCAGCAATTAGGATTTTACTTGTGTAATTTACACAATAAATTACAGTAATTTACACAATAAATTACAGAATAAGATAATGTAAATCAATATGTTTCAGTATTGTAATATTTTTGTGAATGGTAAACTTATCCACAGTTTTTACAGCATATTGGTGGAATAGCACGAGTCCATATTGTGTTATTACAACGAAGTGAGATTACTGACTATAGCACATGAGTGCTTGGTGTAAAAGATAAAGGAAGGAAACATGCATTTAAAAAGTTTTTTTTATAAAAGCAATATACAATGTTACTTACATTTGTTATAACAGTAATATTGGCACTAGATTTTTTCAATTCTATTATCTGGATATTATACTCTTCTAATTTAGTCTCTGCCTGAAATATAAATAAGATAGTAACATCAAATCTGATATTTATGTTTATTTGTATTTATAAATCAATAGCAACACTATACAAACAAGATATGTTTGTAAAACATGTATGCCCCCTATCAGCAGCCAATTAGTCATGTGATAAGGTTATTATGCATGACTTCTGACCCAGTGATCAAACAATTAATAAGGGTTATCAAGTATCTACTGGTCATGACCTTAACCTTTGACCCCTTGACCCAAAACTCAATAGGGGTCATCTGCTGGTCATGACCAATCATCAGACAAAGTTTGAAGTTCCTAGGCCTAAGCGTTTTTAGTTAATTGATCAGAAACCGTTTTTACCTACAAGGTCAATGTGACCTTAACCTTTGACCCCTTGACCCCAAAATCAATAGGTCATCTGCTGGTCATGACCAATCACCATACCAAGTTTGAAGTTCCTAGGCCTAAGGGTTCTTAAGTTATTGATTGGAAAGCATTTTTACCTACAAGGTCAATGTGACCTTGCCCTTTGACCCCTTAACCCCAATATCAATAGGGGTCATCTGCTGGTCATGACCAATCACCATACCAAGTTTGAAGTTCCTAGGTCTAAGGGTTCTTTCGTTATTGATCGGAAACCGTTTTTACCTAAGAGGTCAATGTGACCTTGACCTTTGACCCCTTGACCCCAAAATCAATAGGGGTCATCTACTGATCATGACCAATCACCATATCAAGTTTGAAGTCCCTAGGCCTAAGGGTTCTTTCGTTATTGATCGGAAACCGTTTTTACCCAAGAGGTCAATGTGACCTTGACCTTTGACCCCTTGACCCCAAAATCAATAGGGGTCATCTACTGATCATGACCAATCACCATACCAAGTTTGAAGTTCCTAGGCCTTAAAGTTCTTTAGTTATTGATCGGAAACCGTTTTTGCTTACAAGGTCAATGTGACCTTGACCTTTGACCCCAAAATCAATAGGGGTCATCTACTGATCATGACCAATCGCCATACCAAGTTTGAAGTTCCTAGGCCTTAAAGTTCTTTAGTTATTGATCGGAAACTGTTTTTGCTTACAAGGTCAATGTGACCTTGACCTTTGACCCCTTGACCCCAAAATCAATAGGGTTCATCTACTGGTCATGACCAATCACCATACCAAGTTTGAAGTTCCTAGGCCTAAGGGTTCTTTAGTTATCACTCGGAAACCATTTGGTCTACGGACCGACGGACCGACAAGTGCAAAGCAATATACCCCCTTTTCTTCGAAATGGGGGCATAATCAAGTTGGCATGTGTCTATAGGATACTGATGTGCCTGCAACATGGGATTAAAGTTCACAAATATTAGTGATGTCTTTTTTTCATGGTGTTTTATAGCAATGCTATCATGCATTTCTGAATCTGGACTATTACTATATTATAAAAGTTAATTACCAAACGTATGTTGCCAAAATTTGTACTTGATAGATGAACTGCTTGAGGGCTAAGTGCTTTCAATAAAATCAAATTTAAGTAATCAATTAGACCCAAATCAACATTGTTCTATTCATTTTCAAGATTCATCTCTACATTTACAATACTTATTAATTCTGTGTATTGAAATAAGAAACAGATTACACCATTATTATAAAATTCTGTTGTCATTATTGTAATTCTTCAGGTTCCACAGAAATGGGTGACAGATCATACACTTAAAGTGCTAAAAAATCATTAAAGTAACTAGATACTTAGTCAGAGGAATTAATGAGTATTCAAGTACTGAAATTACTGAAATTGGTACTAGTTGCCATCCATAACAAATATAATGCTATAGTAACACTGAATACGAGTACATGTATAGCCTAACCTACACATACAAATCTTAGATACAGTATAGTTTCTCTTATTAAAGCAATAAATTGTGTATTTATAGAAATAGATAAGTATAACAATGTACCTGTTTGACTTGAGACTGTAATTGTGAACACCTATCTTGTGATGAACTCAACTCTCCTTCTAATTCAGCCACTCTCTCTTTCATCTGTGTAAACAATATATAACTTTATACATAACAGTAACTACAATATAGTAACATTAATAATTGAATCATCCAGTGTAATATCTTGCTGTATCATCCACATTATATTATACCCATCAGCAAACACCTCCTACATAATGTGAAATCATTTACTTTTATTTACATGCAGGAACAATTTACAGAATGAAAATTCATATAAAAGAACTATTACAGATTGCAAAATATTTTTGGTTTGGAGCTAAAAAATAAGCTGTTTTTTTTTATGGAAGTGCACATGCATAAAATTTCACTAGTTTAAATTTTAAGTATACTTCTTCATATAAAGTCATGTAAAAACAAATGATTTCATTCATAATAAGTAACAGACGACACATTATTTAACCTAGATATATTCACATGTACTATATTTACAACAACTTATTTAAGACATCAACAATTTTTCTAACATTATTCTATTTAAAAGACCATTTTTTTCTATTGAAATGCTTTCTGCAACAAACAAGTTTTTCCATAAAGGTTGTAGGACAATATATAAGCTGTTAAACATGCAAAATAGTATAAAATGTTTGGCCATGATGATATTTAGAAACAATATGTCACCATAAAAATGTTTAGGGAAAGATGACAAAAGTAGGATATAATGATATCTGACAATGTACACATGGCATTATTGTATATACTGTATAACATATATAGCATGATACTAATGTGAAGATCCATGTTAGTAATTTCACATCAAACGATTATTCATTACACACTCTATCACTATTCCAGTAACAATACAACTTCCTTTACCTATACACAAGACACACTGTGAATTAATGGTCTACCACATAACAGGCATCATGCTGTATGGTATAACTTTAGTTCAGGCTAGGAAACCATAATTTTTTCTATGCCGATAATTAAATTTTCTTACGTAAATTTAGCCATTGTTAAATATTCAGTCACTACAGAAACACAGAGTTTACATCCTTATATTACAGAAACTCAGGTGTTTCAAATCAGCCAGGGCAATGCCATGTTGTGAGAGGAAAGGCTAACTCAATCCAATTATCACTTGCCTATACTTTCCCAAAACTAATTCTATTTGAAATCATGCATCTACAAGGTGAAACTAGAACTCCGCGAGTTGGATGTGTCGCCTTGTGAACAATGTAGTTTAGGGGAAATGGCCAGGAGAAAAATGAAATATGAAAAATAACAAAGGGCAATAACTAAAAAAATAATAAGTGCAGAGCAGCAGTTTCTGTACACTGCGCTTCTTATCAATAAGATCTATCATTCTATGATGTTTCAAGTCCATAGCTTTCATACTTGAGGAAAAATGACCAGGACAAAAATAAAGTAAGAAAAGCAACAAAGGGCAATAACTCAAAAATAAGAAATGCTGAGTATCAGTTCTTATGCACTGCACTTCTTTTTAATGAGATCTATCATCCTATGAAGTTTCAAGTCCATAATTTTTATACTTTCAGAGAAATGGCCTGGACAAAAATTAAGTATGAAAATAAACAAAAGGCAATAACTAAAAAAAAAAAGAAATGCAGAGTACCAGTTCTTGTGCACTGCACTTCTTCTTAATGAGACCTATCATCCTATGAAGTTTCAAGTCCATGGCTTTTATACATTAGGAGAAATGGCCCGGACAAAAATAAAGTATGAAAATTAACAAAGGGCAATAACTCAAAAATTAGGAAGTGCAGAGTACTGGTTCTTGTGCACTGCATTTCTTCTTAATGAGATCTATCATCCTATGAAGTTTCAAGTCCATAGCTTTTTTAGTTGAAGAGAAATGGCCCGGACAAAATTAAAGTATGAAAATTAACAAAGGGCAATAACTCAAAAAATAAGAACTGCAGAGTACCGGTCCTTGTGCACTGCACTTCGGGTTATTGAAAGAAGCATGCATACCAAGTTTGAAGTCAATCAGACTTATAGTGACTGAGTTATGCTCCGGACAAGCTTTAGCGGACGCCGACGCCGACACAGACGCCGCCGCCGCCGACACCGCCGACAAAAGTAACCCCTATATGTCACCTTTTCAAGGCGACACAAAAATACAGCAGCCAGTCATGCTTAGAAACTATTAAACTCATGCTTAAATATCATGCCTAAATATGAAATATAAAACAGGACAGTAATAAAAGAAAGTAACTTGATATTTTGCATTTCAAGGCAAACTGAATCTGTGCAATATTTTACAAAGCCTCAAAAAAAATAAGCCCACAATAAATACAAACATAAATGTCCTATAATGTTAGCCATCTGTCGATCCAAGTTTTGTTAATTACAGAAAATATCTTGCTTTCACATGTACACTTGATACAAATACATGTACCTGCAATACTTTTACAGAAACATGCTTACACTATCATAATTATCATCCTTAAGGATTTAAATCTAAACATTAACTAAGAAATATAAACACTGATGCAAATTTTTCTGCAGCTAAAATCTACACTCAAATTATGAAGTGTAAGCAATAGTCTGTAACACATAAACAGCAAAACTGGTAAGTGTTAAATGTTCATCCTTGGAAATGCAACATGAAGCAGAGTCAAAGTTTCAAGACAAAATTAATTTTGACACTAATTTTCTATAAATTAGATAATAGATGTAAGCTACTTATGTTCTGATCATTTATTCACTTAAAAAAGCCTTATTCATTGCAATAATATTCTTACCGTGATAGACTTAAATGGCTAGGATGAAAATTTAAAACTTACTACAAAATAGTGACATGTGAATTTTATCAAGACTGGTACATGTGAAGATACAGACAGATGGACAGACAGACAAAGAAAAGAGTGACTGCTCCCTATAAAAGTCAAGGTTGAAGTGATGCATACCTCGTCAACTATAGTGGACAAACTTTTCTCTACACAGCGATATGCAAAACCAATATCACTTATATCCTAGAAAAATCCAGTGCAGAAATGATAAGAATATTAAGCTTTAAAAAACAGAATGAGACAAAAATGCTTGATATAATTTCATGTGAAATATCAGTGTAGATATAAATATAGGAACAGAATTTGTGTACACTGTTTACAATGGTATTTGTTCATGTTTAACATATATGGGCAGCATTCCTTGTCAAACAGAAAGGATCTAGAATAATATACATGACTTTAAAAGGCGGGAAATGTTTTTATATACGTGATAGTCGCATCAAAACTGTTCAAATTTCAAGCACTTTATAAAAACAACTAAAACAACAGTGAACAACATGCAACAGACTGCAAATAGCCACTCATATCTAAATTTTGTAATAATATATTGTTATTCTGTAAGTCTTACTAAAGACTGGAAAATGTCACAAATCAACAGGCTAAACCTGGCTACTTTTATTTTGTAAAAATCATTAGCAAACAACTAATTTTGAAAATATTATCTACATGTGAAAGAAACTACTCCGAGTTTAAACATATTTTATATCATAAGAAGCTATATTATGTTTTATGATGAAGGAAAAATCTTAACATTTAATCAAGAGAATGACATACACAAAATATCTATAAAGCTCTGAAATCACATAACAACATTAAAATTTTAACTTGAAATATTTTTTAAGTAAATTCAAAGAATAAAATGAAATTGAAGCTGTAAAGTTGTTAACAATGCATCAAAGGAACAAAAAGTAGCCAACACCTATAAGGCAATGATCTAAACAGGCAAGATAATGTATATAATGTAATACATAAATTACCTCCTGACTTCCAGCTGCTTTTATTACTTCCTCTTTACTGTGTGATACTTCCTGCTTTGCCTACAATTATAAATATATATATATGTAAATAATGTCATTTCTACATCGCCTCTAAAAATAAAATGAAAAACTAAATTTCATCTCAATCTTAATTTAATATACGTTTCTTTAAAAGATTTCTTCAAAAATTAAAGTAGCATACATCTGTGATTTATAAGGTAACTTACTTGCTGTAATTCTAATTCTTTTGCTTGCAATCTTTCTTGCCATTTCTTTTCTTCTGCTTCTACGCTGTTTTCTAGCTGTGTCAATTTGTTTTCCTACAATAGGAATTAAGAAATAAATATAAAATTGAAGAAACAATGTGCTGGATATCTGAACAGTCAACTATATTTGCTGTTCATAAATTTGCAAAAATGTAGAGCTGAGCATGTACCCACACTCTTTTTTTCATCAGTCATAGTTTTAAACACAGTTCAGATAATTCAGTGCATAAACAATCATTGTGGTGTATTGGTTTCCCTAAGTGGACAAGATAAAGTAAAAGGCACTGTTTTTGATAATCAAAATGAAGTGTTGTGTGTATGCATGTGTTTTTTTGTAAGTAAGTAACAACTTTATTTAATGACGCTAGCACATTTGGTTTCCCGATCTTCCATGTGGGCCTCAAATTTTATGCATTTGTGTTAACTAAAATGCAGATCTGTATATAGTTATACATTAAATCTAATTGTAGAAATATAAATCTTAACTTTGTAAGTCATTTAATTTCATTTACCTAACCTTAGGGCAATACAATGGAGAATGCTATATCTATTCAGTCAACTCTAAAGGGTAATGTAATGGAGGAAAATAGATCAACTCTCCAAGTGAAATGCATAAGAGGACTCTACAATCCCTTCTTATTCATTATACACAAGAAAATGTTATGAATAAACATTAAATATATCTTACTGTTTCCCCTAAAACATTTCTATATTGTGCTACTTGTGTCTGTAATCTAGAACATGAGTTCTCCGACTCGTGTAAGTTGGATGCCAGACTGTCTCGTTTTGTCTCGGCCTCTCTTACCCTATCCTCTAGTTCCTTTATCTTGCTTTCATTTTTGGCACTCTGAATTACAATATAGAAATTGATCATTTCCAACACATTGAAAGTAAAAGAAAAATAGTGTTTTTAGGAAAATGCTATCAAATTTACATCACAAGTTAAAATACATGAAGCCCAAATAAATTAATCATTTACAATAAGCTGATTATACTTAGTGGGTTATTTAATTATCCATATAATGTTAACTAAAATCAAATTAATTGATATCTTTGCCTTCAAGCAGCCTATGTTGAAAACTTGTTAATATTAAAATTATGATGATAATAAACTTACATTATCACTGGATGCTGATTGCTGTTTTAAAGTTTTAAGATGACTTCCAATCTGTTTTTCAAAGTCTGTCATCCAGTCTTTGTGATTCTAGAAAATAAACCCAGAACAATTTTAACAAATAAAAACCTAAATCAAAATGAAATACACTATGAACTTATTAAATAAAAGGTCATAGGAAAAAGAAGGTATAAAACATGTATATAAAACATCCTAGATTCATTTATTATAATCAATAGGTAATTCTGCACAATGTTGTCTATGCTATTTCAACCTTGTAATTTTGTGTCACTATTTTTACAGTTAGAAGAGGTGAGAGTATTTTATGTTCAAATGTACTAACTAAATCTTGTTAAAATCCTGTTAACATTTTATATTTCAGATCAAGTTTTAGAACAAACCTTTTGTTTGACAGAGATATCAGGGAACAACCTTTGCATCACAGATTTATCGAAAGTTTCCACTTCATTAAGACTAGCAGTTATATCACTCTGAAATACACATATGTTATAACATATAATAACCTCATGAAATCATGTTAATGTATGGTTTAAATAAAGTGTCTCCTCTATACCGGGTACTTTCAACACCAGATGAGATATGCTAATTTACTAATTAATCTTTATAACATTTTAAAAATTCAAGTTAAACAATCCAAGTTAAACATAATATTAGCATCAAATTATTTGCTTATATCAGAATTCTATCAGTAAATCAACACATACGATTTTGTCTCGATCAAAGGCAATACCATACAGCTTCTGTACCAACAACATGATGTGCAACATGTGATGAGTACAATTAAATTACAGTTATCACTTGTAATAACGTTATTAAAGGATGAGTAGAAACAAAATAATTAAACCTATCAATAACCACTTAATAATATTAAATCTTTGCTGGTTTACCTAAAGGAAGATAATTTTATACCTGTTTCTTCAGAAAGCTATTATAAAGGTCACCACTACATACATTTATGCATCATTAAAACATTTTTGAAGAATGTTCACCATTTTATAAGAGTTTACTAAAGCTTTAGTATATTTACAAGTAAACATGCATTTTTTTGTAACATTTGACAATGTCAACACTGTGAAAATATTGACATATAAACAGCATGATGCAGGTGTTAAAATTGTGTCAAGGTAATTGGTTTGTAATGGATGGTTTCGGATGAAAGAAAATTTGATATTGGCTACATTCCAAGTTTCAAGAAGGAATTACTTTCAAACAACATTTTATACAACACAAAATCAATCATTTTCATTAAATTAATTTTTTTATAAAATGATTATCAAGTTTTTAATCAGCCAAAATCAAGAAGCTTACTTCCTTCCTGAACTCTTTTTAAAAAAATGTAACCAAACCTAGATATAAGCCTAACAAACAACGCAAACAAGCACAACTAGAAATGTGTCCATAGGACACGGGTGCCCCCACCGCGCCACTGTTCTGTCAATCTTTTTACTAAGTCAAGGGAAATTACTCTACAAATACTGGATAAATCCACAAGCAAAACCCCAGGTGCAAATCTAAAATATGCTGAGCAACCTGCCTATAGGTTAAATGACTATGTCAAATCCTTTTTGAGAAACTTGCGACACAAGTTGAAAATTGCAAAAATTTTCTAAGTGAAGGGCAATAACTCTAAAAATACTAAATAAATCCAGACGAAAATACCTGGTGCACAACTGCACATGCTAATCAATATTCCTGTAAAGTAACATGACTCTAGGTCAAATACTTTTTGAGTTACCTGCGACACATGTTGAAAATTGCAAAATTTTACTAAGTCAAGGGCAATAACTCTGAAAATAATGAAAATTTTCAAACAAAAATACCCTGGTGCACAACTTCACATGCTGATCAACATTCCTGTAAAGTTTAATGACTCTAGGTCAAATACTTTTTGAGTTACATGCGACACAAGTTGAAAATTGCAAAATTTTACTAAGTCAAGGGCAATAACTCTGAAAATACTTAAAATATCCAAACGAAAATACCCAGGTGCACAACTACACATGCTGATCAACATTCCTGTAAAGTTTTATGACTCTAGGTCAAATACTTTTTGAGTTACCTGCGACACATGTTGAAAATTGCAAAATTTTACTAAGTCAAGGGCAATAACTCTGAAAATAATGAAAATTTCCAAACAAAAATACCCTGGTGCACAACTACACATGCTGATCAACATTCCTGTAAAGTTTAATGACTCTAGGTCAAATACTTTTTGAGTTACATGCGACACAAGTTGAAAATTGCAAAATTTTACTAAGTCAAGGGCAATAACTCTGAAAATACTTAAAATATCCAAACGAAAATACCCAGGTGCACAACTACACATGCTGATCAACATTCCTGTAAAGTTTCATGACTCTAGGTCAAATACTTTTTGAGTTACATGCGACACAAGTTGAAAATTGCAAAATTTAACTAAGTCAAGGGCAATAACTCTGAAAATACTAAAAATATCCAGACGAAAATACCCAGGTGCACAACTACACATGCTGATCAACATTCCTGTAAAGTTTCATGACTCTAGGTCAAATACTTTTTGAGTTACGTGCGACACAAAAGTGAACGGACGGACGGAAGGACGGACGGAAGGACAGATGGACGGACAGACGGACGGACGGACAAGGGTAAATCTAAATGCCCGCCACTAACGTGGGGGCACAATAATTTTAAACATGATTAAGTATTAACTTGAAGTTATGTTTATTTCTTTTTGAACATACCAGTGCAAAGCCATTGGAGAGGGTAAAACTGTGGCATATTGAGGGACATAGAACTAAAAATTAGCACTAAAATTCACTGCGAACAGACAAAAAATAGATATTTATTAATTTACACGTCATTAGCATAGTTTCAATGTGGCAAGATAAACTCTATTGAATGTTTGATTTTACGCTGTTCTTATATTCCAGAAAATGATCATATTATCAAATAATCTATAATGGACCAATCATTTTATTATTTTTCATAAATAATATTTATACTGACAGTGGCAGTTGCAATCTGTGTAACAGCAAGTCTCAACACTACTCAGAGGAATTTTAATATAAGAAATACTGCTATTATAGATTTGCTACATGCTGTAAGTAATCAATAATTCATACATTACAGGAATTACATTTTCCAATCAATGAATCCTAGTGGGTGTTAAAACATATAACTTAACATTAAGAGGAAAATGTAGCAATTGATTGAAATGTTATTTTTCAATGTGTGAACAAGCTAGACAGGAGTTGGTAATATGATTATACGATGACAATATAAATTTACTTTCAGTCCTTTAACATAAATTTCTGTTTATCATAATTTTGAACATAAAAATAATGTAAACTTAAAAAGATGGAAGACTAAAGCAGTAGAATGCAGTATGAGACACAATATTGATGGTGATTGATAATTACCCCTCGCTCTTTAATTGCACTTTGAACTTTTTCTGAGACAGATTTTTCAGATTTTTCTAAAGCATCCATAGCCTTCCAATTCTTTTCTCGTAATTCCTAAAACCAAAAATACAGTCTCGGTCATTTCTGATTTAACAAGTCAGTATTTTTTGTTTTCCTTATTTTTTGTAATGGTTAATAAGTTGGGGATTTCATGCAAAACTTTAAACCATGCTGATAACTTCATTCACATTAAAGCTGTATACAGTAAATATATTCACTGTAATTTCTTAATACCACCCTTCATGTTGTATTGATTTTGTTGCTTCAACTACACTGCACTGTGTTATAAGCATAAATAATGCTGTTTGTCATCTTAATGACTACAATATTAAATACCAACCAAGAAATCAACTAACAACTAATGTTATATTCATACTTTCTGCAGAGACAAAATCAGATCTGTACACCTGTTCATTCATTTATACATCAACTGAAATTTTTACTTACATTATTTTTCTTCTTTTGCTTTTCTAATTCTTCCTTTAATGAAGACAATTCTTTATTTCTGTTGTCTATATCAACTGATAATGTTCTCAATTCTGTTTCTCTAGCAGCTAGCCTGAAATAAAGTTGTGTCATTGATAGTAATGTATTAAACAGACAACATACTCAAGTGAGTATACATGAACTAATATCTAAATTGCTTAAAAACTTAAAATACCTTTACAAATACAAATGGTTATTCTCTATGGTATATCTTAACTGCAAAATAAACTATAATATAAGATACCTGGCCCGAGCGAAATCATCATCATTTCCAAGTAATTAATAGGGAACAGTATAAGAATTACATTCAAACATCATGTGAAAATTAACTATTTAGTAAGCATTTTATTCCCAAGAAATGAGTAAATTTTTTCTTCTTTATAAAAGACAAACATGATTTTTTTTATTGTTTAAGTAATGGATTTAGAGAATATTAGATGCTAGTTACCAGAGAAATGTAGTGCTAAATGTTAAATTGTTTGTCATAAAATAGGCAAATGTAAACAAAGAAGTATTTTGACTTCCATACGAACTACCAAATGCCAAAACGCAACAGAAAAAAAAGATGGTTCTGGTAATTGGACAATGAGTAACTTTTTGGAAACTATAAAAGTACACCAAAAGTAAAAACAAATTGTGAAATAAAAATTAAATATTTTCTAGGGTATAATGAGCATTTAAGAATAAATTTTATTTGTTACTGGTTATTTTTCTGTCACTCCTTTGGACCATTACACCAGTCATCAGTATTTGAAATTTAAGTAACACTCACTGTTTTTCATGTTCATCTTTTGGTATCATTTGAGAAATATCAGCATGGAGATCTCCATTCTGTTGTTTTGTTACTGTTTCTTGAGCTGCTGTCTGTTTACTATCTTTTGTTGTTTTTAGTTCAGTTGATAGGTTATTGTTTTCTTGTTTCAGATGCTAAAATGTAAATTGATCACAGTGCTATACCAAATTAATACATATAAATGTTACACCTTTCAAAACTCCCAGCACATAAAAAACAACATTTGCCAAAAGAATCCTGTTTGTTATTTTTTATATGAAAAATAGAAAAAACCTGACAATATTTTTTTATTAAATAATTTTGAAATCAAATTTACAATTCCAATTAGTCAATAGACCAGTTCATAACCTAATCTTTACTAAGAACAGACAGTGTACTTATACATTGTTCCATTTCACATATAACATTTCACACAAAAAATATCTATGAGCAAGAAGAGTATTATTCTGAATATATTATCTTGTACTGTATGAAGTTAAAAGGAAAATTATGAAATAAATGAGTTTTTATTTTAATTACAACTCAAGTGTTGACAATTGAAATGTGCATGTTATAAAAGTGTGAGAATTCTATCAAATGATACAGTTTAAAGTTAAAGAAACATTGTTTCTGTAAGAACAAAAAGTGCATCACATACATGTGGTGACAGTCATTAAACAAGAGCTGTATGAAGAGCAAATGCTCCACTTTTCTCAGCAGGGAACTAGATCTTTTGATTGGTGGGTTGGAGTTAACAAGATGATACTACATACAAAGTTTTAAGTTCCTAGGCAAATGCCATTTGATTTAAAGACCAATAGGAAAATGCAGTTGGATTTAATGGCCAACAATTATAAGTTTTGCAATTACAAGTACCATTGACCTTTGATCTAAAAATGAGTGTGATCAATGTGCATCCTCATATTTATTTTCTATGTAGTCTAGTAGTGTTGTTAGTATTGATATCAATGACCATATATAAAATGAAAATTTAAGAAGGTTAATCACCACCGACACTTAGTGAGTTGTGACAACAGCTTTGCTTTTTCTTTGAAAAGTGGAACTAATAAAAACTAGAACTCCGCGAGTCGGATGTGTCGCCTTGTGAACAATGTAGTTTAGGAGAAATGGCAAGGACAAAAATGAAATATGAAAAATAACAAAGGGCAATAACTAAAAAATAATAAGTGCAGAGCAGCAGTTTCTGTGCACTGCACTTCTTATCAATAAGATCTATCATTCTATGATGTTTCAAGTCCATAGCTTTCATACATGAGGAGAAATGACCAGGACAAAAATTAAGTAAGAAAATCAACAAAGGGCAATAACTCAAAAAATAAGAAATGCAGAGTATCAGTTCTTATGCACTGCACTTTCTCTTAATGAGATCTATCATCCTATGAAGTTTCAAGTCCACAACTTTTATACTTTCGGAGAAATGGCCTGGACAAAAATTAAGTATGAAAATTAACAAAGGGCCATAACTCAAAAATTTAGAAATGCAGAGTACCGATTCTTGTGCATTGCACTTCTTCTTAATGAGATCTATCATCCTATGAAGTTTCAAGTCCATAGCTTTTATACTTAAGGAGAAATGGCCCGGACAAAATTAAAGTATGAAAATAAACAAAGGGCAATAACTCAAAAAATAAGAAATGCAGAGTACCTGTTCTTGTGCACTGCACTTCTTCTTAATGAGACCTATCATCCTATGAAGTTTCAAGTCCATGGCTTTTATACATTAGGAGAAATGGCCCGGACAAAAATAAAGTATGAAAATTAACAAAGGGCAATAACTCAAAAATTAGGAAGTGCAGAGTACCGGTTCTTGTGCACTGCACTTCTTCTTAATGAGATCTATCATCCTATGAAGTTTCAAGTCCATAGCTTTTTTAGTTGAAGAGAAATGGCTCGGACAAAATTAAAGTATGAAAATTAACAAAGGGCAATAACTCAAAAAATAAGAACTGCAGAGTACCAGTCCTTGTGCACTGCACTTCGGGTTATTAAAAGAAGCATGCATACCAAGTTTGAAGTCAATCAGACTTATAGTGACTGAGTTATGCTCCTGACAAGCTTTAGGGGACGCCGACAACGACGCCGCCGACACAGACGCCGCCGACACAGACGCCGCCGACGCCGCCGACAAAAGTAACCCCTATATGTCACCTTTTCAAGGCGACACAAAAACATGTTTATTAAAACTTCTTATTTTACAAACTTGAAATTACCTTCATTTCAGAAAACTAAAATATCGTTTTTAAACATGATTAATGTAACAACTCTCCAATTTTATCATAAATGGAAACATTTTTCAAAATTCAAAAGAAAGATCACATGAGTTAAATCATATGAAATGGGAAATAAAATAAAATCCCAAACTATGACACCAATTAGAACTAGGGTTTACTTTAATGATAAAGGACAAAGTAAATATAGCAGTGTCATGCTGAACAAAAATAACTATCTGGTTTTCCTACAAAGTAACAAACTGTATTTTACTATACCAAGTTCAAACAGAAATCTATGAACTAAATTCAAGCACTTTTCTGGACTTGCTGAAGTCAATAATGCATTTTCAAGGTCAATGCAATTTAAAGGTCAAGTACAATATTGTACTTTCCTGCATTCAAGCACACTGTAGTCTACAAACTTTTGTGTGACGGTCATTATCCTGCATTTTCCTTGTAACTGTCCCCTCTTTTATTGTTTTCAATAGAACTCCCCCCTCCCTCATATACCAACTATTTCAATTTTATTCATGTATAAAGCATATCCTCCATTAATGGGCAATGGATCTTTTGTACATTGCTTGTCTTTAACCTAACAATAATATTGAAGCCACTTTAACTGGAATCAATATTTACCCATTCTTTAGGCTTTTTCTTACTTATACATGTGAAAAGCAGTAATGTTTAAAGTGATGATGTGCACACAAGGATATAAATATCATATGAGCTGTATTTCATATATGTTAATATTTGTAACTTATTTGCATAAGGGAAAATAAAAACCATGCATATTGGTTCAGTGAAAATTTCCTCTCCTTTTTTTTTTATAAAGAATGTTTAAATTTCTTATTTAATCCATAACACTACCTGTCAGAAATACTGTATTAAGCTATACACTACCTGTATTTCAGTTAAATATGATGACTTTTCCTGATCAAAACTTTCAATCCTCTTTTGAAGATTTTTTAAATTTCCTTCTATGTCAATTTTTTGTCTATCAGAAACCTGCAAAGCATAAAAAATGTTATAAACAACACATCCTTATAAAAATTGATAACTATAAATGAGTAAAAAAAAATAATTTAAGCTAATGTAGAATTAAGACTTAGTTTTTGACAACACTTAAATTTATAAAATAAGTGGTACAGTATGTCATTATCTAGCTGCACTGTAAATCATTTAGCTTCATACCAGTCTAATAATATCTTATTGCAAATTTCATACATTCATCAAACATACACAAACATTTCTTACAGCTCAAGGATAGGTTGAGCCAAAAGTTATCTGAAGGTAACCAGGGACACTTCAATTTGTACTTGAAGGGCAATTGAAAGAAATCATTGTCTAAATTCTTACTCATCTAATTGATTTATATGCATTTTCATTTTGTTTTTGTTCAAATTGTTTTAACTAGAACTCAAGAAAACTGTAAAATTTCTGAGAGATAAAACATATTTTATTGTTGGGTTGATAGAAAATAGAGTAGTGAAACAGCTGTTTGAAGAAATATGTCATATCACATCTATGATAAAATGTTTTCAAATATCATTCAATACAATTAACTTTAATTGTTGAAATTACATTAAAGCTATACATTGACACATAAGAACAAGTGATAACAATTTGTTACCTTTAATCTTTCCACCATATCTTTTGTTGATTGGTCACTTTCTGTCAAAGATCTCTCTAACTCTTGTAGTTTGGTTTTCAGATATTTACATTCCTTCTGGGCTGTCTCAACTGCCTGCTCTTTAGCCTGAAGATCTTTGTTTAATGTTCCAATTTTAGCTTCTGATTTTCTCAATTCCTGTCCAATTTCATCAACTCTCTTCTCCATAACATTCTCATTGCTTGACTGTATGCAGACAAATATAAATAAACATCTTATATAAACTATTTTACATTATTATACAATAACAAAAATACATAGCAAACTTTACCTATATTCACACAAAAACCACAAGTCTCTATAATTGTATGTAGTATTACAGTTCTTCAAAATACTCAACATTATAATCTATATCTAAAAGTACATCCTTATAACAAAACCCTTATAACAAAACTTACCTGTTGTGACTCGTATTTGTTTAATTCTGCTTCCAACTTAGCTAGTTTCTGTTCCAATGTTTTCTTTGTGTTTTCACTTGCATTCAGTTTCAAAGCATTGCTTGATATTTCTTTCTCAAGTATCGAAACTTTCTGTTTGAGACTGTTCAGTTCTGCGGGAGAAAGAGTCTCAGACCTGAAATTTTAATATAGAACATGTTTAATATACTAATGTTAGAGTATATTTATATATCTGGAATCTAACATGAGCCATTACTTCAAAGACTTAAAATAGTTAGTCTAAAAAATGTTTAAAAGCAAGACTGTGGTTATACAAAGGGTTGATGATACACATATGGTCTATATTACATGTGTGTAATATAAAGATATACACAGTGGTTATATTACTTTGAAAAACAAGCAATGTGATAAAGTAGTGTATTTCTTAGAAATATATCGTTCACACTGATTTTAACAATTACATTATCAACAAGGCTTCACTAATATGTTTACAAATTTACATAAAAAATCAAATCTAAAACAGATGATCTAAGCACTACTCACTGTGTTTTATTCAGTAAGTCTTTCAGTTTATTGTTTTCATCAACAATCCTTTGCATCCTAGACTGATCCCCAACTTGAGCCTCAAGTTTCTGTACAACAGCCCTTAATTGACTTGTCTCCACCGTATGTTGATCATGTGTGTGCTGGATACGTGCATGCAAAGCTTGTACCTCACGCCCCTACAATGTCATAAAAAGAAATATTTAAATTCATTCTATTTATAATGATACATAAAAAATTATGATTTTTTCCTTTATCTTTAAAATGAGTGTCATATGTTTGTATTAAAGAAGTATACAAGCAAAAAAAACAAAAAACAGTAAACAACTAAGATGGTACAGAATTAAGTCCAACAACAACTGGCTGCAAAGACTGATGGACTTCTATCTCAGTGAACTATCTGCTATTCTATGCTGAGAAACTGCAGGATGAGGACCATTCATTGAAAATGTGTTACCCATTCTTCAAGTACCTGATATTCCATTTTGTCTTTATAACTTTTTTCCAATGCTTGATATTTCATCTTCTCTTGATTCAATTCTTGTCTTATCTCTTTAATCTTTGTATTACCAGCCATCACCATTTGTTGTTCTGAAAGCAGGAAAATACTGAGTTGCATTAATCCAAACAAATTTTTAAACTTTTGAATGAAAGCCATATTTTAGGTGTCATTAGATCTAACACAACAACAAATACATATATGACTAAAAGAAAATAAAAACTGCTAATTTGATTTTATAAAAATTGGCCATAAATTTGCTTACTTTATAAAGTATTGGCTACTATTTCCAAAAGCCAATGTAAGTCCTACTTATAACAATACCCCCTAATTAATTCTACTGTAAAGCGGTTTTGTAATTATTTTAGAATGACCCCAATTTTTTTTTTTTAAACTTTTAACCTGAATAAAATATGCTACAGTTTTACCTTCTTGTAATGCTCTTTCCTTTTCTTCCAACTGTTTCCTCAACAGGGCGACTGGATCTCCTTTTTGGGATTTCTGGTATAAAAAAAAAATCATACACTTTTTTACAATTAAATATAAAATGTCAATAAAATTTGTGTAACTTAATTTTTGTTCAAATTCAGTTTGTGTGGATAAAAAAAATTTCTAGACCATGTCAAAACTGCAGAAACAAGAAATGTGTCCATAGGACACGGGTGCCCCCACCGCGCCACTGTTCTGTCAATCTTATGACTCTAGGTCAAATATTTTTTTTAAACTAAAATCTTTTACAAAGTAAAGGGCAAGAACTTTACAAACACTGAATAAATCCACAAGCAAACCCCAAGGTGCATATGTACACATGCTGACCAACATTCTTGTAAACTTTCAGGCCTACAAGTGAAATACTTTTTGAGCTATGCATGAACAAGTTGAAAATTGCAAATTTATACTACTGTAAGTCAAGGGCAATTACTCTACAAATACTGGATAAATCCACAAGCGAAACCCCAGGTGCAAAACTAAATATGTTGAGCAACCTTCCTGTAAGGTTTAATGACTCTATCTCAAATCCTTTTTGAGTTACATGTGACACAAGTTGAAAATTGCAAAAATTTCTAAGTCCAGGGACTGCGTTCAGGGCGAAGTCAGGCGAAAACTTCGCCGTAAATATTCTTACTTCGCCCTATATGATCAGAAAAGCGAAATTTTAGTCGCCCTAAAATCTCTATGAAATGTCTGACATGTACATGTATATTTCTCCATTCAATAACACTGCCTGGAGGCAGATTTAATTGTGTAATCTGACGTAATTAGCACACGCGCTGAAGCGTGGCCATAGCGACATTTGGAATTCACACTGTCTTGGAAACCCAAATCGCTAAAAATAGCGCATTGATTATACGGTAAATTAAAGCTGATATGAATTCAGCAGATGATAAAAACATGAAAAAGCAAGCTAATTGATAATTAAGTTACCTCAAACGTATATTTGTGTCTTATTTATGATATTCCCTAAACGTTTTGTTTGATTTACAATTTCCACTATATGTCCTGTTTGATTTACTAGTTCCCCTACATGTCCTGTTTGATTTACTAGTTCTAGTATATGTCCTGTTTGATTTACAATATCCCATATACGTTTGTTATCACCATTACATTTATGATAGTAATATTCATCATTAAAACTGATGTTAATTGATAGAATTTGGATAATTATTATGAATTTAAGAACTTTTCTTCTTAATAAATTGCATTTAAAAGTTAGAGTCAGAAACTGTTGAACCTAAAAAAAAATTAAAAAATGTTGTGTTGTCAGATGTAAATGAAATGCTTAAATAAACTTTATTGAGCAACTAATACTTCATTAAATATCATCATAGCGATTTTCAAATACACATTTGTTTATTTTCCATGCCATATACATGTATATTTTATATGCATGTACATATAAAGGTGTACATGTATATTTTGTGAAATAAAATTAGAAAAAAAATCCAATGATATAACTCGATTTGATGATCACTTCTCCCTAAATTTCAAAACTTCTCCCTATTTTTTCTGAAGGGAGAAGTCACTTCTCCCTAAATTTTCAGTCCAAGGTAGTCCCTGTAAGTCAAGGGCAAAAACTCTAAAAATACTAAATAAATCCAGACAAAAATACCCAGGTGCAAATCTACATATGCTGATCAACATTCCTGTAAAGTTTCATGACTCTAGGTCAAATACTTTTCAGTTACATGTGACACAAATTGAAAATTGCAAAATATTACTAAGTCAAGGGCAATAACTCTAAAAATATTAAAACTATCCATACGAAAATACCCAGGTGCACAACTACATATGCTGATCAACATTCCTGTAAAGTTTGATGACTCTAGATCAAATACTTTTTGAGTTACATGCGACACAAGTTGAAAATTGCAAAATTTTACTAAGTCAAGGGCAATAACTCTAAAAATATTAAAAATATCCATACGAAAATACCGAGGTGCACAACTACATATGCTGATCAACATTCCTGTAAAGTTTGATGACTCTAGGTCAAATACTTTTTGAGTTACATGCGACACAAAAGAGAACGGATGGACGGACAAGGGTAAATCTAAATGCCCGCCACTAAAGTGGGGGCACAAAAATGTAGAGACAATTTAAGTACTGCAAAAATTTTTTTGATAAAGTGTATCAATTATTTCAATTACATTTAAAACAAACATTAAACTAAAATGTAATCACATAATTCAAAATCACACATATCTCACCTTATTCCAATCAGCAGACAGTGTAGCTGGGGATCCACCTTGTTTGATAAGTAAAATGTCAATGAGTGATTGAGCATCTTGGTCACTTAATGTTGCTGATTTTACCGATGCAATCAATTTGCTATTTCCTGTTTCTGAAAAGATTATACATATTTTGCACTTGAAAAAGTTCATAAAATAAACTGTCATCAAATCTTTTCTAAATATAATCAATAAACTATTGTTAAAATGGAAGCGCCAAAAGGTCATTTCTTGCATAGCAGACTGGCGTTTCCGTGAGTTTTACCCATGCCGGAAATTTCATCTGGCATGGGGGTGCCAGATGAGTCGCGTGCCATACAACAACGTCATTTTAGCGCATTTTATGAATGAACTGCGTTAAAATGACGTCATTTTAGAAGGGAATGATTTGCCTAGGATGACGTCATTTCGCCGTTGTTATTAAAGTTGTAAATATATATGCCATTGTAAGAAAATAGTTATGGATGAAATGACATTAATTTCCATGAACAAATATCTTATTGAGGTAAACCATTTTAAATATGAAATAATATGGCAGAATATGCAAGAAAAATATCCGACATATTTTTGCGGTTCGGATCGGATTATCCGTCCCTCGGGAACCCGCCCATGGGCGGGTCCCCTCGGGACGGATATTCCGGTCCGAACCGCAACATATGACAGATATTATTATTCTAAAAACATTACCTTTCTTATCACAGAAGGAAGTACAATATACAAACCTGCCAACTAAATACTTCAAAAAAAAAAAAGAGTTTCATACAACACAATTATCACATTTTGAAACTACCTAAAATTGGGTCGTATCAATTATTGTATTTAAAACATGAAACTGCTTGTTGTAGGTCAGAACATTTGATCTATTCTCAGTGCTTGATAGTTAATAATGTAGGATTTAATAACAATTAAAAGAGAATTATGTCTTTAAAAACACATGATATATTAACAACTCTTGAAAAATGACCAACAAATCCAAAACTCATTTGTAATTTTCAAGTGAATACTTTTCAAAGTTTTGATCAGTAAAAATATTTACAAGAATTATAGGTCTTGGGAAGGTGGTTTTAAATTAAAATATCAAGATACAAAGGCAGCTTCAAGTGAATAGATTTAGTAGTTTTGACAGCATAACTTTAACCAGGATTTTATCAAGTTCACATAGTCCATTATTCACACAAAATCCATCCTAGAGTTATGGGCTTTGGATTGTCAGCTCCAATTATCAATGAATGTGTGAAGTTTCAAGCAAATATCTTCAGTGGTTGGTTGAGATATGAACTTATAAAAAGTTGCATACTTATTAGCTTAATATATATATTTGCCATTTGTCTGCAATGGCTAGTCACCTTCTTTAAAAAAATAAAGTTAGTATTCATTTTTCCAAAGAAAAGAAACATTAAAAATAATAATCGTTTTAGCATAGTTGTCAAGAATCATTGGGAAAAATAACTTGAAACTGGTTTTAAGTTTGTTTTTGAATTCACAATGTATGACTAATTATATTTTATAAAAAAACCTATCAAAATCAAACTTTGAAGTTTGATTGATTAAGATTGTTTAAACTTTCATTGATTAACTATTACCTTTAAAACCTAATTTTCCATCCCCCATAGTAGGGGCAGCTGCCTGAACACTGGATGCTGAGGTTCTCATGATTTCTTCAACTACAGGCTTTTGTTCTTCATGTTTCTTTTTTGACTCTTTCTTTGGTTTATCTTTCTTATTGTCTTGAATATGCTTTAACTCAACATCATCCTTTGGAGCAGGTCCTCTGTGAATAATTTCCTCCACAAATTCCTCTGAGACTACAGGTGTTTTCTCATCTTTGTTATGTAGAATTGGTTTGGTTGGTTTCTCTTTTTTCTTATTCATCTTCAATGGCTTTTCAATCTCCACCGGCTCAATAATAACTGGATCAAGTTCAAGGTTGACCATCTTGTGTTCCTTCTCTGTTTCAGAAAATGACACCTTTGGTGACGCATCTCTGACTACTTTCGGTGATTGATCACCTTTAACTTTCCCTTTAGGCTTGAACCTTTTCCTTGCATCTTTTTCTGCTTTCTTCTCTTGTTTCACCTTTAACAATTTTTCTTCATTTTCTCTCTTTTGCTCTGCTATTACTTCTTCAAATGTCTTTTCTTTCATTGTAAAAGCCGATATTAAATAAATCAGCACAGCTGAGATAACAAAGACAACAGCACCAATCAGCACAACTTGCAGCTCCATGACTGTTTCTTTTTTATTTGTTTCAATGCAATTCCAAACTTTCTTCGGGCCGCACGTGCTAGTTGGTTTAACGCCCCTCTTACCTCTTTCAACTGGAAATTAGTCCAGCGTCCGTTGCAAACTGTAAAAAATTAACGTCAGTCAACAAAAAGTATTCATTCTATATCTTAATATCTAAACAAAATAACTCAATTCAATGTGAGGATGCCCCCGAGAAAATCGTGCTTTTCTTGGTAAAATTACATTTATTAAACGTCCACGTCAACAGGTTTCTGACGGGATGAAACTGACAGTTGCAAAACATCGATGAAAAACACAGATTTTAACACATATTTTAATTGCAACCATGACAGCTTAGTAAACACATAAAAAATCAACATAAAGCGACAAAAATATATACTTACTTCAACAAATAACCTTTTCTTTAAGTTAAATTCACTTTTACACCTCTGACCGGCTGTCCACTCAGCAATGGAGGATCCTTTAATTTACAGACACTAAATGTAACAAGCATTTTCATTGGACGAATTATGACAGGCATATTCTACGTTATAAAATTACTCCCTGCAAATATATTTCACCAATTCAGTATTCTTATATTAAATGAATACTAAGATAAAAACTGGTCGATTACAAAACAATACTATAATATTGTCCTGCTAGTAAGTAAACTTTTTAAACATGACATCGCGATTTGTATAAAAAAAATATCCAGTAAATTTTTTTTACCACTAGTTCATCTTGAACAAAGGAACAGCAGACACAACTAAAAATAGCGCCATCTGCTGTTCAAATTTTACGCACCTGTCAGAAGCCATTCTTTTGTTAGTGGAGCCGGTTTCTTTGAAGTTTTCTTTGCCGTATCTCTCAACGCAGAAAATGGCACCACAGACTAAACGGACATTAGAAGAGGGTGAATCACTCTTAGAGGGTGTTAAAGCACTTGTTCTAGATATTGAGGGCACAATCACACCAATATCGTTTGTAAAGGTAAACAAATTTTATGCGAAGCGTTTGGCATCATTTACACATGTGATCAGTTTCCGCGTGGGGGACCCTTTGTGAAAATAAAAAAAATGATAATTTTGAATCTGATTTACTTTATACTGATACCATCTTATTTGAAATATCGGTCTAAAAGTAATAATTGTTGGATATGCCAATCATTGTTTAGTTTAAATGGAATGACAGCTTCCTCAACTTTAGGGGGTCATCTCAAAACTATCTTTGTTTACTTTAATAATGACATACATGTATCAATTGTCATGTATTTGTTTAAGATCGAAGTATAGCAGAACTATTTACACTTTCAAGCATTGCACATGTTTTGCTTTTGATATTTAAAAAAAAAAATTTGAACCTTGGCCTGTCAGTTTTAGCGGGAACAACACACTAACAAAGTTTGCACTCTTACCCTATGCCACGACCGGATGTAAACAATACGTTCGCACAGGGAATGCGCGGTGGTTGAATCCCACCCATTTTATTCGATTAAATTCTAGAACAACCACTACTTTCGGTTTCAATTTTGCTGACAAGGAACAGTTTGAATCAATGTAAGCGTTAATTTTAATTGCAATGTCGAAAACTTTGCACTACATGGCGTAATTTTCTTTAAATATCCGGTATTATCACCGTCATAATAGTTTTTATTCCAGTCGGTCAAAATGACGGTACACACTTACATGTAAACAAACAGATTTAACTTCTTAGACAATTTAAATAAGGAATGGACACACGGTAAGGCCACTCTTAAAAAATTATCTGTTTGCTATTGCCGGCCGACCCAGCGAAAATGCCCCGACTCAAAAGTTTTTTTCAGCTTAAAAAAATCAGATTTTTTTTTATTTCCACCAAATCAGCCAGGGCATTCCACCTAAAAAATTCCGTCGAAAACAAAAATAAAATCGGAGGAAAATCACACATGTAAAGTAACGAGTGATCATTCATGAGGGCATTCTGTGCGTTACTATTTAAAGTATTTACATAAATAGCGACCAACCAGGGAAGGATATTTTCCTTACGTCAAGCAGTACTGCATGCGCGCGGCAATTAAGTTGAATTAACTAATAATAGAACGTATCAAATTAAGGTGTGGAAACGGGATTAAAAATAATGTTTGTTCAATTAATGAATATTTGTAAAGCATTTATATGGTCACTAGTTTACCATGTGGTAATTTTAATGTGCTTTGGAGTACATGTTCGTTTGTTTATGACTGCCGACACAGATTAAATACTTAGCCCATGCAATAAAACATTTCTGGTTGCAGCGGGGATTCTGTCATAAAATTGACCAAAAAATAAATTTTTGGAAGCTGTGGTCATTTCATATGCATTATTGTTTTGATAGCAGACAAAAGTATTGCAAAATATCTTCAAGATCATAAAAATGTAAATAAAATATCACAATCAAAATCACAGATTTACATACGTCTAATTAAACTCCATGTCAAAATGCACTTACGATGAATAATATGTCAATAATTGACACGATAAATATCCAACATTTTTTACTTGAGCAATAATTAAACATGTGTAATCATTCCTTGACAAAAAGAAATGACAGTTTTTTTCTGATATATAAAAAAGAGGTGGAAGTCAATTGAGTGTCGGCATTTCTTTGATGATTCGGCAACAACTACAGGTGTGTAAACATCAAAGATTCACAGATTCTTCAGAAGAGCCGACCAGTCATTTGTCAGAGGTCATTTCGTGTGTAAATTTTGTATTTATATTTAACAATGGAAACATTATATTCCTTTTATTTATGGATGCTACTTTTTGCGCGAGTGTTTTTGTGTCTTTTAGCGCTATGGAATTTCAACAATCTGCGATAATTTTCGGTAACTAACAATGAAATATTTTAACAGTTTTAAAACAGGGGTGCATATATCCGCCATTCAGAAATTATAGGAGACAAATCTTGCGTGTGTTATTTTATACAGACGTGTAATAAATTGAGTAATGATCATGCATCCGTGAGAACGAAATGACTTGGTGATCCACTATAATTTTTCCAGTTCGTACGGGAATATTTACGCAGGATTAGTTTATCACATCGGTAATTTGACCATGCTTGAATTTATGTCCACATAGCTAGTCTTTTCTTTTTTATTTCATGTTATGATTACTTAGTAGTGAACATGTTTGTTATTGTTATTGTCTTTTACATGTCAGTTTTGCCGATGATGATAGTGTAGCCCAAATTTCCACAATCTGTTACAACGTACTAAGCGTATTAACTTACGTTCAGTAAAAATTATATATCAAAAAAAAAAAAAAAAGCCTACCTACCGACCCACTCCTTATAACTCTGGGTCGGCAATAGCAAACATATATATTATTGAGGATGGCCTAAACTCTGTTGCAACGTAAAGTATATTCATAAACCTGTTTGAGAAAAATTGTCTCCGTGTTCAAATAAATTTCAAAAGCGGGGAAAAAAGCAGTCTTTTACCGATACCCTGCAACAGAATCTTATTATTCTGACGAATTAAATTGACTTTATAACGCTCGTATACAATTATTGATTGATCGATTTTCATTATATTTATTTTGTAATACCCATCATTCAGTATGCAATCAAACAAAACCGAGTTTTCCTACATTCAATGAAACTGTAAGTTAGGACGAGCTTTCAAAAGGAACAGGTAGCAATTTCCAACACGCTTACCGAAACTCCAACATGGCGGCTCAACGTGGCTCATTTGCATAATTTATTCATAAACGCAGGAGCATAGAACTTTGTTAGTGCAACAGAGCAACAGATAAGCTTTAAAGGTGAATTGGTATTACTCCATCATTTCCTTTGGAATTGGGTATTTGTTCCATTTAATTGGGTATTCCAAAACTCGATATCCTATGATTTCAAGATCAATTGGGTATGCAATTATGAAGATATGAATTTTATGGTTTCTATCAATAAAATTTAAACTGTTTTAAAAAGAAAATAGTATTAACAATTTACTAGAACTTTTCACAATTGTTTTATATTTTAAAAAAAAGGCTCATGTTATATTTCATAATTTTTTTAATAAGTCCATTTTCTGACTGATTTTTTATTATTTACGACTGTTTTATTTCAAATCATTTTCCCTTTTATACGACGCCATATTGCTTTCAAAGCGTCTATTGATACAGCTGAGACCTACTTATTGTCAGTCTCCGCAAAATCAACGGTCTCTGCCGGTCTGTAAAGACCGTCAACCTGAGTAGACAAATTGAGGGTCTCATGCTTTATTGATATGGCTTAGTCAGTCTTTTGAGACCGGGGACAGTCGAAGACCGGAGACCGTTGATTAGTTAATCTGGTTCCCTGTCCTATTATGGTTCCCATCCAAGATGTTAAGTACTTTTTAGAATAGACCAGTCTATTGATTAGTAAGCAATAAATTCGGGAATATTCGGATAGCATGCATATCAATATAATTTGTCCAAAACTACGAGCGTATGGCAGATTAATTTTGCGGTGATGAAAATGACAATACACACAGGTTTTTAAGACAATTGCGTAGTTTATTTTTTTAATGGGTTTTTGATAAGCATTCTTAAAAAATCAATTGTGTATTTTATAAAATTAATTGCCTAAATACGCACCTTATCTGTTGCTCTGGAACAAGACACTTCACTTCACAAGACATTTAGCCCCTTGTCCCTTATTATTTTCTTGAGTAAATATTCAATAACAGATATACATGATATTTGTTTATTTAATTTACTTTTAGTACTTTTGATTAAATATTTAACCTGAGGCAACTTAAACACATTAAAACATTTAAAAAATCATGAAATACAATTTACAAACACTTACAGTGAGCATACAAAATGAAACTTTTCAATTTATTTCAACATTTGATAATAACATGAAAGACAATTTAAAGATCACATATGTCACGGTTCTGAACTGTTCACTATTTAGGGAAGATGATGTATAAGCAGCCGGATAGCTCAATCAGTACAGCTGCGGTACGATATTCCAATGGTCCCGGGTTTGAGTCACAGTCAGGCTGCACATTTTTATCGAAACCAGCTTGGCACTTTACACATTTATAAATTATATTGATCAACCATTTTCACAATCATGTTCATTCATATTATTTTACACATAAGGAGTTTAATTTACATGTTTCTTTATTGATGAATGTATGCATGTTTGAATTTTGGGGAAGATCTATCTATAAAAAGTTGTTTGTTTCATATCTTTTCTGTATAACAATATTTTTTCATGAATTTAGCGTCACCCAGAACTATATGAGTTTGCATATCTGTTCTTATTATTATGCTGATTCTGTTTCTAAGTAAAATTGGTCGAGCGTTATAACTTTTTCATGTTAGGTAAGGCATTTGAAGTCTATGACTGCTTCTTGTTGTATTTTGAAGAATATGTATTGTTTCCTATATAATATGTTGAAATGAATAAAGTTGGTCCATAGCCTAAACAAGAAATACCTTAATTTTGGGGGAGCTATTCAGGGCCTTAATAAATGCCCTTCTAGTTTCAGTTTTTTCAGCAAGTAAATTAATGTTGTTAATGTGTATCATCTTTTAATTTTAAGGATAAACTGTTTCCATATGTGAGTGAGAATTTAGAGTCTTACTTGTCTACAAGATATGATGAAGATGAATGTCAAGCTGATATTGAAGCATTGAGAGCACTGGTAATTACAAACTTATATTTTTCACCCTTGTAATTAAAAAGACTTTTTAGTGTTTTAGTTAACTGTGATAACTGTGGTTCACTTGGGATTTGTACTGTTTTATTTTAATTTTTGTAAACATGAAATAAGATTCAATATGGGGTTCCTTTAGCTTACACATCTAAAGGAATGTAAATATAAACACTGAAGAAACTGTTAAATTTCCTAAACTCTTATATTTCATTACATATTATGATATTTCTTTAGGCAACAAAAGATAAAGGGGAAGGTAAAGATGTTGTTGAGATACCTGCAAAAGAAGAAGGCAATAAAGATGATGTTATAAAAGCAGTTGTTAGTAATGTCAAGGCACAAATGGATGCTGACAGGAAATCAACAGAATTAAAAGATTTACAAGGTCATGTTTGGAGGGATGCCTATAAACAAAAAAAGATTGAGGGAGAGTAAGTAAAAACACACCATGCATCTTTTTAATTCAATTTTGTAAAATTTGTTATATAAAATCAAATCCATAGATTAAATCTTATCAGATTTTCTTTTTGTGATACAATAAGAATGTCTTTTCAGAAAGAAAGAAAACAGAGGGTGTCTTCATATGTTATATTATTCTTGTCTTTTAGGGAACATGTGTATATAAATATTGCGCTCCTCTATTTATTTCTTTGCTTAAAAATAATTGTATTTCCATTTGTTTCAAATACTTACCAATATCTTAAATTTGCGAAGAGTCCTATATTGTACTAGTTATTAAGATAAGCAAATAGTTATGCTGAATAGTCTGGAAATGACTATACCAGGAACATTTTAATCATTTAAGAAAATCTAACAAAGCAAGTTTTTTTGCACTTCGGTACATATATAGATAAACTATTACAAGCATTAGTTATTTTGTTCTCCAGGATAAAGTAGTTATATAATACATTTATGTTTCAGATTATTTGAAGATGTTGCCCCGGTATTACAGCAGATAGCAGAGGAAGATTTTATGTTGTTTATTTATTCATCAGGAAGTATAGAAGCTCAAAAATTACTCTTAGCTCACACAGCTGATGGTGATATCACAGATGTAAGATTTTACATTGTCTTTGTTACAAAATATTTTATTATTGTAACTTGCCTGTAGATTTACTTGCCTGTAGATTGAGTTTAGTCAGGTATCTATCAAGAAAAATTTATGTTATGATTTCCATACAAAGTATTAATTTGTTGACAGTTATGATGAAAAGCACTTATCTAAACGAAATGTTGTTTATTGATTGGAGCCTTCACTACATAGTTTCATGTTATTAAAAAATGATATACATACTAAACAGTGCTCTGGATAAGCAGTTTTATGAAAAGCAAAAAATAAAATAAAATGCAGACTACAATGAATTTTTAAACTGAAAAGGAATTGTACAAATATTGTCGTCTTTTGTATGAGGTAAAATTTGTTCGATTCTGCAGATATGTAGGCAATCAAAATGAAATACCATATAAGGTTGACATATTTTCATGATGCAAACTGATTTCCTCTTACTAGTCTTAGTCCCATTAAATACACATTTGTACAATAAGTTGAAACCAGAAAGAAAGTTGGTTTATCAAGATAAAAGCAGTTAAAAATAATAAATTGTACAGCTATCTATGTGAAAAAAACTATTTGTATTATTGAAAAAAAATGTTGATGAAGAAGATGATAAAAGGAAAAACAATAAGTTAAAAGAAATTGAAATGAAACCAAATTGACCCAAAATCTTATCTAGGGCACTGTTAATGTTTATAAATATATATTTATAGAGATAATTTTTTACTTGCCCTACATTATTAAACTTGGGATATAGCTAAGAAGAACTATGTCTTTGAATATTGAACCTTATATATGTAATTAAATTCCAGTTGCAACATGGTGACATTCTATTGATTCTAATTAGGGAATATTAATTGGTTTTCTCCATACTCTGATGCCTTCTGTGAAACTTGTGGAGCTAGAGCTGTTTCTGAATTGACACTGTTGTGGCTGCCATCTTAAGAAAAGTAATTCATTGTATTACATAAATTTATTGAAACCTATTATGGAACTTGTTATTGTAATTACAGATGTTTATGGGTTTCTTTGATACAACACAAGGATCTAAAACAGAAAGTGATAGTTATAAGAAAATACAGAAACTTATCTCGGAGGAACAGGAAGTGCAAGCAGAAGAAATTTTATTTCTTACAGATAGTCCTGCAGGTTAGTTTTATAGTGCTCAACATATAATTGTGTATTCAGTACTGTCCTATATTTATCTAAGATAATGATGAAATTTATTTTTGCTAACTATATATAACTTATCAACATTAATGAACATTTTGTTGCTGTATATGTGATCTTTGATTTTATTGATAAGTCTTTAGGCCTCCGTCCCATAAAAATTTACACCATATTATATATGATATAGACAGTGAGTGATACAGACATGTATACATACATTATTAACAAAAACAGTACCGGTATTTTTTGGTATTCATCCAGATAATGTTGCCTTTTATCTAATGTATAGAACAGGTACATTGCAGTGTATAGTAAGATTGGTATTATTGTGTTGTTATAGAGGCTAAGGCAGCATGTGTAGCAGGTTGGCAGGCAGTGTTGGTGGACAGATCTATGGAACAAGAAGATGGTATAGAACTTACAGCAGAAGATAAACAGAACTTTATGGTGATAGATAATCTTAATGATTTGTTTGGTGAGGACGATGATGATGAGGAAGCATATGCTCAGGTATATACTTGCAGGTTAACTTACACTTTGATGGCACACTGGACATTGTAAATCATTCAATTTGTAGAGCAAGTTATAGCAGCATGACACATACATTTTAAAATTGCTGCAGTTTGTGTTCTTCGAAAATTTAGTTTGTATATAAGCATGATGTGATCTGTAATTAAAATGATGTAATTTGACACAGCTTAATCGGTTTAAATTGTAATTTGACACAGCTTAATCGGTTTAAATTGTAATTTGACACAGCTTAATCGGTTTAAATTGTAATTTGACACAGCTTAATCGGTTTAAATTGTAATTTGACACAGCTTAATCGGTTTAAATTGTAATTTGACACAGCTTAATCGGTTTAAATTGTAATTTGACACAGCTTAATCGGTTTAAATTGTAATTTGACACAGCTTAATCGGTTTAAATTGTAATTTGACACAGCTTAATCGGTTTAAATTGTAATTTGACACAGCTTAATCGGTTTAAATTTGCCTGTTGTTGGTTATTAGTTCATGATTAATTGAAGTAATATTATTTCATTTATCTGCTGTTGAGTTGAATTTGTAATATATCTCAAAAGATTGACTTTGGTGATTGACCCATAACTGGTAATGAAAAATGTTTCGGGTAAAATAAAAAAATCTACCCATATAAAAAGATTGCACTACTCTTTTTAAAAATTGAACACTTCTGATACATTCCGAACAATATTTATAGAAATTTCAGTGGGCCTTGTAGATTATTGATTACTTTTGCATAGTAAAATATAAAATTGATCACAATTTAGATACTTTGACATACCTGTGCACTCATCATTAAATACACAGATGGGCAAGTAGAAAGAACAATTTACAGTCGTCATATAAATGAAAAGTGATCTGTTTTTGTTTGATTGTAGCAAGTTAAGCGTGCACGTATGGAAGGAAATGGAGAGTTTGATGGTGAAGATGATGATGATGACGACGACGACGAGGGATTAGATGGTGAGGATGACGAGGCAGCACCGGCAGATTTTGGCGAGGAGGAAGACGACGGAGGCGAGGATGATGAAGAAGAGGAAGCATGAAACCGCAGCTAAAACTTTCAAGATTAAAATGGCATATTTAACATGGCAAAGTCAAGGAGTGTGTAAAGTAACCACATATCTTTTCAATATGTGTGATCAATGATATTAGCGGAAATAATCTGTATTCTTAAGGGTGTTAGCCATTTAATATGTGAAAGAGATTTTAGCATTTGTTCTTTATTTCTATACATTACTTACATAGTCATTTTACAAACCATTTCAAAACCTAGATTGTGACTTTAAATTTTGTAGTCATAAATTTTGCGATGTCTCACATCGTTTAATTGTAATTTTATAGTGATCTCGGTAAACTTTGGAATTTTTTTCCGTCAAATTTTGTACTGTTACATCTACAACAAATCATAAATACAGCGTTCTTGAAAGTGTATGATTAAACAATGTTAATGCACTTAAGTTTTGGTCCTGTTTGTTGTTTTTCTGTTCATGTATTATTAAACATTGTTATTGCCAGCAAATCAAGTTATTGAACACATGTTTGTGACACTAGTGTCGTTATAAGTTCATGTATTGTTGTAATTATGTGGAGAATCAGGGAGATATCATCACCTAACATTGTATACATCCAGCTACCACACATACATCACCAAAACCTAGTTTTAAACTATATGTCATATTTGTCAACATTTAAAGGATAGTTTCAGCTCTTTGGTCATCTTCAAGTGATCAAATTTCCAGTTTTCTTGGCTATATTAGTCCCAAATGAAGATATTTTAAGCTTCAATTATGTCTACTCCCTTATTTTATATCAATTTGATATCAAATAAATAGCATTTTTTTCTATTTGAAAGTACAATATATAAGAAACTTACGTTCTTGTTTATATTTTGTTAAGGTTGTTGATCTTATATACATATTAACAATATAATTATTAGCGTCCACTGTTGAATGTTACAGCTTTTTATTTTTTTCTATTTTATTGGTGCTGTCTTTAAATAATTAAGTATAGGATTTTTTTTATTCACTATTATCTTTTACATCAGCTCTGCAAATAATATTCTTCTTAAGTGTTATTTATTAACAATCATGTCTTATTTATAAGTTTATGAAATAATTTCCTTAAATTTTGACCTGAATTGTAAATAAAGGTTTTATATGTTGACATATAAATACTGATTTTTTTATGAAGTGTCTTTATAACATCACAGCATTCTTTTTTTTTTACATGTGATGTAAGTTGTTTTTTTGTGTATTCATGTATTTTAAATTATTTTTTGATTTTTATTGTCATTTTGGTGTAAAAGCTTCACCTTGTTTACACATAACAAATCATGAATAGTACAATATGAATTGTGATGATATTAACTCTTCCTACTATGTTTGTATAATGAACCCCACTTGCTTTAACATTGAAACTGTCCATGATTGATATCGGGCAATTCAGGTTCAATATATAAAATCACTAGTGTTCACTAGCCTGGCTATATTCACTGACAGCACAGCTCAGTGATGTGGCATCATCGCTTGAAACATTATTTCTGTACTATTGAAGACTTGTGTCTTGTTATAATATGGTTGTCAAGTTTTACACCCAGATGACATGTATTTTGTAATAAACCAAGCACATAAAGTACCAATTTATCATCATGTTGAAATGTTTCTGTATCACATAATTCTGTGAGGGGGCATCTCACATGTAAGATTTTGTAAATACCTTGTTGTTGTATGTATGCACAGTGTGAATGTTATGTGATTTATGTATATATATATTTTGGAGGTGTGTCTCATGTTTTAAGTAGAAAAATTAATTTTTATAGAAGTGTTTTATACTTGTTCATTTGTCTGTCTGGGACATTAAAAAAAAGGAAGTTTTGATGATTGATAATCAGAAAACACACAACTTATGTCAAACAGTTATTTCAGTAGCTTGTTTTATTGTGGTTGTCTTCAGTGGACAGTGTCTGTATCACAGTTTTATGACATTTGATACATTTTCTATTGGCCAATTTGTTTATTAAAAATCAACACATTTTTTAGGGGAGCGGTGGCCTAGTGGTTAGGCTGTCTGCCTCTCAACCCTTGGATCATGGGTTCGAGCCCTAATTGGGTCACGACCATGTATCTTCATATGACACCTGTCACTAGTACTGGTTGGTTCCAGGAAACAGACTCGAAAGTGATTAATATAAGTTCTAAGAACTTGTTTCACAATCAAGCTTAAATAAATCTGTTTAAACTAACAAATTTGTTTAAAAGATTGTAAGATGTTTACTTCTTTTCTGGCTAATATAAAATTTATGTGCTTATTTTTACATTTTATATGAAGTCTTAATTTCATATTTTGTTTAATGGCATTTTATATGTTTTTAACTTCAGTTTTTAGAAGAATATTGAAACAATGGCAGCAATATTGATACCCTATTTTCTAATGAACATGTTTTAAAATAACATAATTTTTCTATAGAATTTTACTTTTCTTTATTGAGAAAAATCCGAAATGTTGTCCTGAATAAAGAGATACTTTAATATCTAATATGTATGTGAATGTTTTTGATGTTATCTTATAACTGAGTGTTTTTGTACAGAAAACTTACCCATGTCTGTATTAGACTGTGTTCAAACCTGGGATATGTGTAATTAGTCATGTGACATAAGATGTGTCAAATAAAATGTAGATCTTTTCCATTTGTTTCTGTCACTTATTTCTAATCCATTACCGGGTATGTTAATATAGTAAAATGATGAGTAGCATGCCATACATATTATTACAGACATGTTCCCAGTCTGCAAGTAGCTTTGTCTCCAGAAGAGCCAACTTAATATGCAGTTTGGTCAAAATCTACCAAGGGGTTTAGGGAGAGATTTTCAAATTGCTATCACAATAGCTCCCCTCCGAGTACATTTTGCCTATTAAAGTGACCTAAAATATTTTACTGCACAAAATCTGAACATCAATGCTGGGGACAGATCTCGATTTACATATAAATTCATACAATCGAGCTAAAAAGGCACTTGCAGTTCCCTTTCTTGACGTTCAGCATACTGGCCAGTCCACAGAAGTAGTTTTATAGTTCGCAGTGTCAAAGAACCGTAACTATTTTTTTTTTTGCACCCTTTTTGAATTATCTCCCCTTTCAGAAAAATCTTTTCTGGAGCATAACTATAAGAGATATCAACATGAAACTTTGTAGGTAGATAGACCTAAATGAGTAGATGTGTAAGAACCGTAACTGCTTTGCCTAATTTTGGAGTTATTGCCCTTTTTTTATTATGCTCCCCGAAAAAATTTCGGGGGAGCATATAGTCGCCGCCTTGTCCGTCCGTCCGTCCGGCCGTCCGTCCGTCCGTCCGTCCGTCCGTCCCCTTTTCTTGTCCGGGACATAACTTTGAAACAACAAGAGGTATCAACATGAAACTTTGTAGGTAGATAGATCTCATTAAGTAGGTGTGCAGTGCACAAGAACCGTAACTCTGCCTTGCCTAATTTTTGAATTATTCCCCTTTGTTTATTTTTACACTTTGAACTTTGTCCGGGACATAACTCTAAAAGTATAAGAGGTATCAACATGAAACTTTGTAGGTAGATAGATCTCATTGAGTAGAAGTGCAGTGCACAAGAACCGTAACTCTGCCTTGCCTAATTTTTGAATTATTCCCCTTTGTTTATTTTACACTTTGAACTTTGTCCGGGACATAACTCTAAAAGTATAAGAGGTATCAACATGAAACTTTGTAGGTAGATAGATCTCATTGAGTAGAAGTGCAGTGCACAAGAACCGTAACTCTGCCTTGCCTAATTTTTGAATTACCCCCTTTGTTTATTTTACACTTTGAAATTTGTCCGGGACATAACTCTAAAAGTATAAGAGGTATTAACATGAAACTTTGTAGGTAGATAGATCTCATTGAGTAGAAGTGCAGTGCACAAGAACCGTAACTCTGCCTTGCCTATTTTTTTAATTATCCCCCTTTGTTTATTTTACACTTTGAACTTTGTCCGGGACATAACTCTAAAAGTATAAGAGATATCAACATGAAACTTTGTAGGTAGATAGATCTCATTGAGTAGGTGTGCAGTGCACAAGAACCGTAACTCTGCCTTGCCTAATTTTTGAATTATCCCCCTTTGTTTATTTTACACTTTGAAATTTGTCCGGGACATAACTCTAAAAGTATAAGAGGTATCAACATGAAACTTTGTAGGTAGATAGATCTCATTGAGTAGGTGTGCAGTGCACAAGAACCGTAACTCTGCCTTGTCTAATTTTTGAATTATCCCCCTTTGTTTATTTTACACTTTGAACTTTGTCCGGGACATAACTCTAAAAGTATAAGAGGTATCAACATGAAACTTTGTAGGTAGATAGATCTCATTGAGTAGGTGTGCAGTGAACAAGAACCTTAACTCTGCCTTGCCTAATTTTTGAATTATCCCCCTTTGTTTATTTTTACACTTTGAACTTTGTCCGGGACATATTTCTTAATGTATAAGAGATATCAACATGAAACTTTGTAGGTAGATAGATCTCATTGAGTAAGTTTGCAGTGCACAAGAACTGTAAAAATGTCTTGCCTACTTTTGGAGTTATTGCCCTTTGTTCATTTTGACACTTTGAACTTTGTCTGGGACATTACTCTAAAATTATAAGAGATATTAACATGAAACTTTGTAGATAGATAGGTCTCATTGGGTGGAAGTGCAGTGCTTAAGAATCATTACTCTGCCTTGCCTTATTTTGAAGTAATTGCCCTTTGTTTATTTTTACTTTTTGACTTTTGTCCTGGACATTACTTTAAAACTATTAGAGATATCAACATGAAACTTTGTAGGTAGCTAGATGTAATTGGATAGAACTGCAACGCTTCAAGAACCTAAACAAAGCCTGGTCTAATTTTGGAGTTATTGCCCTTTGTTCATTTTTTTTATACTTTCCTGTGTCCAGAACCTTCTCGGGGAGCATCACCCGGTTCAACCGGTTCTTGTTTTTACACTTAGAACTTTGTCCGGAACCTAACTCCTAAGATTATAAGAGATATCAGCATGAAACTTTGTAGGTTAATAGATCTCATTGGGGAGAAGTGCAGTGCAAAAGATTCATAACTGTTTTGCCCCATTTGGGAATTATGTCCCCTTTTAGAAAAAACTTGTGCGGGACATAACTAAAACTATAGGAGATATCAACATGAAACTATGTAGGTAGATAGATCTTACTGGGTAGATGTGCATTGCACAAGAAACATAACTGCCTTGGCTTATTTGGGAGTTATTGCCCTTTGTTCATTCTTACTGATTTTTAGTCATCTCTGATACTTATAATATTAAAAAGAATCATAACACTATGTAGGAATAAACCTAAGGTGGTCGTACTTAGTGTAGTAAGAATCGATGGGTAGGTACATACCTTGGACGGTCCCGTACCTTTGGGTGGGTTGGTGGACACCAAGATCAAAATCACAGGTACTAAAAACAGATTTATTTTACTTTTGCTTCTACTGCCTTTTTTCGTTGATCAATGTCTTTCATATTTGATAGTTAAATATCATGAGTGGTCCAACAATTTTGGTTGGACGAAGTGATTATATTAATGTCAAGGTTAGGAGACTATTTAAAATAGATTTTTATACTTTTGCTTGCACAGCCTTCACTAATTGACTGATGTATCTCATTTCTGGTACGTACTTTCCTGGATGATCTACTAACTGTGGGTGGAGTAAGAGGACAACTGATGCTGAAATTTATTTTTATGCCCCCCTTCAAAGAAGAGAGCGTATATTGTTTTGCAAATGTCGGTCAGTCTGTTTTTCGTGTCAGTGGGTCTCCCCTCTGTAGACCACATGGTTTCCACTGATTATCTTGAAAACTATATATCACAAAGTCTTCATATTTCGCACACTGATTGGTCATAACTAGTAGATGACCCCTATTGATTTTGAGGTCACTAGGTCAAGGTCACAGTGTCCTTAAATGTCAGAATGGTTTCCGCTAATTATCTTGAAATCTATTCATCACAAAGTCTTTATATTTCACATATTGATTGGTCATAATTAGTAGATGACACCTATTGATTTTGGGGTCACTATGACAAAGGTCAAGGTCACAATGGCCTTAAATGTCAGAATGGTTTCTGCTGATTATCCTATAAACTATTCATCACAGTCTTCATATTTCACATACTGATTAGTCATAACTAGTAGATGGCCCCTATTGATATTAGGTCACTAGGTCAAAGTTCAAGGTCACAGGGGCCTTAAATGTCAGAATGGTTTGTGCTGATTATCTTGAAAACTACTCATCACAAAGTCTTTATATTTCACATACTGATTGGTCATAACTGTGGATTTAAATGTCAGAATGGGTACATTTCTATGATAATATATATTTTATTCCAGCTACCCTCCAACTTGTATAACTTATTAATGATAGCTTTCATTCAGTTTCAGGTCATATATTGGTCATTTTTTTTCCATAACTGAACACTTACATATACCCATTCATAGCATGTTTCTATAACAAAATTTGGCATTTATAATAAAAAGATAACACATTACACACATTTGCCTTCAGTAATTGACAACAACACAACAGCTGTTAATAAAATTCATTAACTGAATTTCAATATTTACCAATAATTAAATCAATATGTTTTGTTTAATAAAATTCATTGACAAATGTTTTAATACATATATTTTTTTCATAACTGAAATGTTTGTAACTGAATGTTCAGGTAAATATATGTAAGTTCTAAAGTTTCAAATAATAAAGACATACTTTATGAATACAATGTACAATCATATTCATTATTGAATATCTTTATATTAAACCATTGCCGTAATTACTTGCTCATAAGATGGGTGCACTAGTTTTGTCTTAATTTTGGCCATATTTGCATTTACCCTCTTGAGACTAGTGAATGTCTTTTTAAAAAAAGAATGACTATGAGTATGACAAAATGAGCCTGGCCAATCTGTACATCTGTACAATCTCACATACTCCACTGTAAATCCTACCATCAGTTACAACGATCAGTTGTAAAGTTGTCTACACAATAATCAGTTGTAAAATTGTCTCAATACATAAATTCAGCTGGAATTTCTTTCATGATAATATCTAAAAGTACAAGATACTCTATGTAAAGGCACTCTTTAAAACAAGTGTAAACATAACTTCAGGCACAATTAAATTTGTCCACTCTCTGAGAATTTGTTTGTCTATTTTTTGTCATCACATTCTTTGTATCAAGTTTTCTGCTGCTTCAATGGTGGCTCATTTATATCTTCATCATCATCTCCTTCCTCATCATCATCCTCATCATCTATAAAAAAAAACAGTTGTCTTTATTGTCACAATTTGTGGGTCATAATAAATCACCTACATGAGAGGCCAGTTTGGCTCAATCAAATAAAAAACAAACAGCATTAATATTCCTATAAAACTAATGATAAATAAAAATAATTGAAATAAAGTGCAATAAAAAATGTTTCATTTCTAAACAATAATAAACATGTCAATATTTGGTGTTGCTGCTATATGATACCTACCATCGTCCAGTTTTGAGTTAACTTCAATATTTGTTTGCTGAGTTGTCTCCCTTTCCTGTTCTACCAACTCTGTGAGAAACGTGTTCACCTTGGACTGCATTGACAGTAGTTTCTCCGACAATAATTTTATGTCAACGCTGTCTCCAGAACCATTACATACACTCTCTGAAAATTCTTTTGCAGTTTTGTTTTGTAAGTGAATAGTTACACGTAAAGAATTGTCTGTAATCATTTTTCGTGTATTTTTGGTTGAAACCCGGAAGTATACTTAACTGGACTTCAATTGAAGATTAGATTTGCAGCACACAAAATGGAATCTTTCAGCAACAGTAGAGTTTATCTTAAATCTAGACCAGGTAAGTTTTTGACCTGTATGACATATGGATGATATAATATTTTAAGAATTAATTTGCATTAATTCTAGCAGTTGTCAAGTTCTTGATTTTATATTTACTGCTGCAAGATAACATTGGTGTAAAGGTCAATATGTAGGACGACCTAAATGATAGCATTACAATTAAATATTTGGGTTTATAGCTTAAACATAATGTTGTTTTTTCTCTTCCCTTTTCCATTTATGACTATTCTGATGTGTTACATTGTTGAATGATATACCAGCAGTACCCCTATATACATTTGTTGTATACATGACTTTTTTTTGTACTTCTCTATAGTTTATTATAAACATTTTTAATCATGTTACCTTTTCTCTATAAGTAATAAATAGAACTATTTACAACTACATCATTTAAAGTGATTAAGATTCTTTCATTTACTGCTACTATCAGTTTGTTGCATTCATTCTATGATTTTGTAATTCAGTAAATAGCTTAATTGTGACTAATGTTCTTACAAATTATATTACCAATTACTTTGATAGAGTCACTAGTCCAAATATCACTATAGCCTTTATTGTTATAGTTTATAAATGTTGGGCAAGTCAAAAAGTAGAAATATCACAAATCAATGTCTTATTTATATTCTGTAGGATTTATAGTGTCACATGATCAACATTTGTCTCATTGCCTGTTTACTTTTGTTACAATATGCAGAATCTTTCAACATCTGAGGCAGTTTTTTTAACATTTTATTCAACAATTTAACAATTAAAACATAATTTGCTATTCCTGATTTTTACGATGCAGAATGTTCAGTAAGACTTGAATCTTCAAATAATGTTTACTTTCAGTATTTTTATGAAAACAGTTTATGAGTGTTTTTGACAAATTAAGCTGAGCAATTGACCTTTGTTGCTTGCTCTGACATATTTTCATATGAACTGTTTTGCATTTGTTATAAATAGTTTTTTATGTTAATTTAATTTTAACTTTTTGTGTGTACAACCAATATTGAAATATATAGCATATTTTCATTAAAAACTAGAGTCAGCTTATGTCAACACTGTGATATTGTGATATGCAGGAAGGAAGTAATACTGTTAAATACTATTAGATTATGAAGCCAAAAGTAAATAATTTAGAATGAAGTAAATTGTATTTCTAATATATAGTTTAATATTTTGGATGATTTTACTCACTGTTTTTCTAGGAGCAGACCATGAACCATCAATGGAAAACTTCGGTCATGAAACTTGCCCTTTACCACCAGCTTTATCATCAGGAGAAGTTACCATTAAAACTTTATACATCTCTATAGATCCTGCAATGGTATGACAATAAATCTATCTGAAATTAGCTAATTATAAAGCGCTTAGTTTTGAGAAATCACTGGTAGCAAAAGGTGCATTAACTTAATAAGTGGCATAAATTAAAATGTAAATACTCAAAACTTTATTAAATCCCTCTCCACATAGAGGTTTCAAATAGAAAAAAATATACAAGTAACTACTTTTTTATGCATTTGCATTTTATTATCCCTCGTCAACCATCATAATTATGTTTACTTTCATTGAAAGACTATATTTTAAACAAATAGAGCTTTTTCAATTGCATAAACATACTCTATGGATAAATGTAACTGTATGAATAGAATTGAATAATATTTATATACTATGATATCTAAAGATTTTATCATTTTATATGAAGAAAACAATCTTTTATCAAATCACAAGTTATAATTATAGAGATGTCGTATGAATGATGAAACTGGTGTAGATTATATAAATGCCTGGCAGCTGGGAGAAACCATTCAGGGACTAGGAGGGGTTGGAGAGGTCATAGAATCTAAAGATACAGCATTTTCTAAGGGAGATCAAGTTCAAGGAGTAATGAACTGGCCCTGGATAAAATTCTTCAATACAAAAACTGATGACAAGCTATTACCTCTAACAAAAGTAGGTATTTTTTTGTGGTATATAAATAATTTTTAAATACTATATTATTTTTTTTTGGAAGTGTATCAGTAACAAAGAATTTATTACAAACAAGATTGCTTCAAATTTACTGATATGCTGTCAAATATTTTTCAGGTTGATGCTGCATTGAAATCAAATCCCCAAGTTGTATTGTCATTGTTTGGGGTAACAGGTTTAACCTCATATTTAGGGGTCAAAGAGAGAGGTAACTTGAGTCCTGGGAAGAATCAAACATTTGTTGTCAGTGGTGCAGCAGGAGCATGTGGAAATCTTGCTGGACAGGTAAACTTTAAGTTAATTTTGAGAGTTTTTTTCTCTGATGATACAACAGTGGTTCAGCTGGATGCACCCTATGTAGGGAATTTGTTTTTAGCTTGTCTGCTTTGGGAAAAAAAGTAGAGCTGTTATGATCACTGAGGCATAATTTTAATAAGCTATATTTTTCGAAATTTTTACCCCTGTTTAACTTGGATATGTTGTGAAATTGCCTATTAAGTACACATAGAAGGGTTTCAAAATAACGAAACTGGGAATACTTGTCAAGGCACAATTGTTAGACAAGGAGCATTTTTCTGAAAACTAAATGTTTGGAGTTATGCTGCTTTTTAACTTAGAAGTACTGTCAAAATTGCTTATAATGTACTATGTTTTAAGTTACATCAACATAAAACTTGGGGATACTTGTTTATCATGACAAGGCACAGGTGTAAGACAAGGGACATTATCCCGAAAACAATGTTTTTAGGAGTTATGCCACTTTTGAACTTAATTTGTTTATTAAAATTGGTTATTGAGATTGCTTTATCTGTCAGTATATTCATTTGAATATTCTGACTCTTTTGCTTGAGAATAATTTTTATAATTTTTAGACATAATTGTGGATGGTTTAGTAGTGATTGAAAGGCTCCTGAATAATACTCTGTTGTTATCCTAGGACAAGGCTTGAAAATGGGAGTCAATAATATTACCTCATCTGCATATTAGTTATTGGCAATAAGAACTGAAGAATATAGAGAATCATAGCTTTTATTGGTCTAAGAAAAACCCTCTCCTTTTGTTTTATTACTTTATATATTATATATTATTATTTCTGGAAAAAACTCATTTGTCATGTAGATATTTTCATGGAAATCACTCATTATGCACTATAATTTGTTAACTTTCTCTGTCTCTCAGATTCATATTGTAAAATAACGATGATTTTAGTATTGTTAGTATTGTATTTGTAGATAGGGAAGCTCCTGGGTGCTCATAGAGTCGTTGGTATATGTGGATCTGATTCTAAATGTTCCTTCCTCACAACACAGCTTGGCTTTGATACAGCTTTAAATTATAAAACTGAAAATAGTCCACAACGCTTGAAAGAAACTTGTCCTGAAGGGATAGATGCTTATTTTGATAATGTTGGAGGAACTCTTAGTGAAGAAGTCATAAAACAGGTTTATTTTATACACACTTTATTGAACAGTGACAATATTAAACATTACATCTTTGATGAGCTATAACAGAAGCTTGGTTTTATATATGTTCAATATTATAGTAGATTAAGAAGATCAAGTTTTAAATTTTCATGATTTTATTTAAAATATACATTGTATGTCAAACTTAAGTATTCTAATCTCATGATGAGAAAAAATGAGAAGCCTAATCTGATGGGAGAAGGGCAAAGTGGTTTAGGTGTCTGCCTAGCAACCTAGGGATTATGGATTTGAGCCATACTTTAATCACAACCATAATTTCTCACATGACACCAATACCAGATAGTTCTGGGTAGCATACTCACAAGTAATTAATGGAAGCTGCAAGAACTTGGTTCACAGTCGAGCTTAAATAAATTTGATTATACTTAACTGAAGTGTAGATAAGAATTAGCAATGTTTAGTATAACCAATTTTCAGATACATGTATATGTATCCATGACTGACTCTACTGCCCTTTCTCCATGAAATGTTTGGAATCCACAAATTGTAAATGATTATTAATTTTGGATTTTTTTAATAAGAAGTTGATATTTTCATCCTTCATCCTAGTATGTTTGAAGCAGTGTAGATTGTATTTTTGATGAAATGTTTCATGTATGAATGTAGATGAATGAAGGTTCTCATGTTATACTGTGTGGTCAGATAGCTGTATACAACAAAGATGTTCCTTATCCTCCACCAATATCTCAACAAATGCAGGACATCATCTCTGATAGAAATATTACAAGGTAAATATATACAGTAAGACTTCTAAATGGCCATATGTGTTATTAAAAAAAATGTTTCGGGATTTAAACCAGAGATGCTCTATTTAATATTAAGCAGTTCTACCAGCTAACATACATAGCTGCTTATTCACTATCTCCCCAATAAGTGAATAGTGTACACCATTTCATACTGACTCACTATATTGAAACTTGTCCTTAAATTTCTAATGGGTACATAAAGATAATTATGTTTATATTGACTCCAAACTGTTTAATCATAAAAAGCCTACATTAGCTGCCAAATTTCATAGGGTGAGCCATATGTGCAACTTGACCAGGACTCAAACAAGGAACCCTCAGAATCCTGATCTGCAGTGCTTATAACTTAGCTACTTGGCTGCTTACAGATAAATGCCCAATGTGTGAACAGTTCTATAACATTACATGCAATAACCCAATGCCATTAAGCATGCACTCAAAATTTTTTGTTTCTGCCTAATATTTTGACATGCACAATGGAATTTTGTAATTATTTGGCACAAAAATGTAATTTCTTACAAAATGTATAACACCAAATCTAGTTTATAATCAAGATTACAACGAACTGTAGAAACATGTATTTATTCCAGATATAAATAGAGATTATATCCGTTTTAAGTCATAACTACCAAATCTGTTGCAGGATACATGTATTATTAATATGTAAGACAATGGAGAGTTTCACAAGCATTTTACCTGTAAATGAAATGAAAGAAGTAATTTTGATATAAAAAATTAAAAAAAAATGAAAAGTTGCTAATAAATGCTGTCTTAATTTGTAGGGAAAGGTTTTTAGTTTTGCATTTTCAAGACCAATTTGGGGATGGAATAAAGATATTACAAGAGTGGTACATAAATGGAAAATTGAAGGTAGGTAAAAGCTGGTAAAAACAACAACAACAGTTGAATTCTATGTTTCTTGAATTATATTGGTTATTTAGTAAAAATGTGATTTTAGTTAATAAAATAAAAATGCACCATCAAGTCAAAAAGGTAATGAAATTGGAAATCCAACATTGATAATATTGTTAAGTGTTTGTAACAGAAATATATATATGCATTGCGTTTAATTTCAATTATCACTATTGTTTTATCAGTTTAATCATAATAGTTTTGTTTTTAAGGTTCCAGAATACATACATGAAGGCCTAGGACATGCAGGCGAAGCATTTGTTAACATGATGACCAGTGTAAAACAAGAAAAAGTTGGTAAACAAATGGTTAATGTGGATTCATGAAAACGTAAACTGTTTAGACCTTGATAATGAAAACATGCCGTGCATAGCTGACAGTGAAAACACATGCAGTGCATACTTTGACAGTAATACACCACATGCAGTACATACAAAATGCAGTACAAACCTTGATAGTGAAAACACATCTAGTGCATATATTGACAGTGAAAACACATCTAGTGCATATATTGACAGTGAAAACACATGCTGTGCATGCCTTGATAGTAAAAGCATGTGACAGTGGAAATCATGAAACAGCATTTACATAGATGATAAAGAATTGTAGGTAGGCAATGTTTATGTAATAAACTATGGACTACCTCATACAGTATATAACTGTCCTGTCTCTATTCAGTATTTGTTTTATTTTGCTAGTAATAAATTCTGATGTATTTATTATCATTTTTAGTCTCTCTGTTGCAGTTATCCTTGTCTGTTCATAAAAAACAACAACAAGAGCTGTCATTAGGATAGCATGCTCGACTATTTTCAGTATTTGATAATTAAACAAGATCCTGGGAAATGTAGGAATTTATAAAAGACAAAGCTTTCATTCTAAATGCATGTCATAGTTAGGAGTCTAGGATAATGACAAAGTTCATGGAATGCTGTATTTCATTCAAAGTCTATGGCAGAGTTATGGGCCTTGGAAAGTGACTTTCTCTAGCTGGCTGCATATAATATGAATGTCAAACATAACAAAAAGTATCATTATGCATTATAATATTATACTATGCAAAGATTTAAAGTGGGTGTTGAAATAATGACAAAAGATTCACTATTGGAAAATATTTGTTTTATTTCGTGAATTTCATAAATATACATGTACTCATAAAATACTTGATAAATGATACTGTAACCCAATGTAACATATGTGAAGTTAGTTGCTGTTTCGCTAAGAAAAAGGTAATTGCAATAACTTTTGAGTTAAAAAAACAATTCCTTTTCAGAATTAAGAGTTGTATTAGATCCAAATGTAAGAAATATACTTTTGGCTAAAAATAGAAATTATTATTAATATAAATGAGATGTTAAATGACAGTGTTACACCTGGTCCAGTAGTAAGGCTAAAAGGCACGCTTGCAATAAATATTTACAAATCCAATTCAAACAATATACACACGGCAGGAAAAATCCATAAAAATGGATAAAATAAATATTTGTGTTTAAACATCTATAAGATTTCTTCTAAAGATTGATAAATAAAACAATAACAGAAACCTTTCAAAATGTATGTTTATAGATACATCAGTTTGTTAATTGTGTAAAATATGACACAATCCTAAAGCTGAATGCTACTACACTGGAAACATTGCTTCATGAAAAGTTTAAAAAACTTAAAAAAGCTTCCTATATTTTCAGTGATTGCCGAAATTTTACTTGCATTAAAAAATTGCACAAAAAACTTGTGTGAATATTGCATACAGCACCATAACATGTACTGATAATTAAAATCATAGTCACTAATCAAAAACTTATACAATGTATAAACAAAATGTTTTTTAAAATGAAAAAAATAATATGCTAGTCAAGAATTTAGCAGAAATCAATGCCTCATTAAAACTTCTATCCTATTATGCATACAATTTATATCATTAACAAATATAGTAAACATTAAAATTACAAACAAGATACATAATAATATGTTCTAAGGAATTTGTTTAAGGTTTTATATACATATTATTTACAGAATGTCTGAACATACTTAACTGAAATAAGTCTCATTTTCTCTGTATTTATATAGAATACTTGATCAATTGAGTATTATGTCTGGAACCTGATAATAAACCCAAAACCTGCTGATATTCTATAATGGATCTGTCCATCTTTGCAATCTGGAACAGTCTATTCAAAGTTTAAGGGATTTCAAAATCAAAATACAAAAATTAAGCTACCAACAGTATAGAGCCTGGTGAGACTGCACACATATGCATGCTGAACTGGTTTTATATGGATGACAAAGGGTAAACACTTTAAGTACCAGCCAGTTAAGGTTTAAACCTTACACACTTGCTAGAAATTATTTAATTCAACCAGTTCAACAGATTCAATACATGTCACATATCAAATATCCTATATTTTGGCCAAGCCATATTAAGTATTTATTTCATACCTTATAAAATATAACAAATGCAGTTTCAGCATTTGCACCACTGGATGTCCCAATAGAAATCATTACTGAATCCAATCTTATCAATTAAACCTCTTTTCATTTCAAAGAATCCAAAAGGTTCACAGTCCATATAGCCTCAATTTCATTTTCAGAGTCAAAAAGGTTAATAAATCATTCATATTGCACCCCATTTAGCCTCATTTTCGAGAGTCCAAAATCCATTTAAAATCCTTACAGTAACTGAAGTAACGAAGTTCTGTCAAAAAATGGTGATGTGAAATATGGAGATCATTAAACATGATTGAGAACAATACTGATTATTGGACTCGTACACAGCTGCAAAACCTATATCAGACTCGGCTAGCACCAGTCCAATATAGGTTTGACAGCTGTGAATTTGTCTAATTGTTATCAACAATGTACAGTAAACTCATAATATCACAGTTATATTTTCTATACTATGTTCACTAGCTGCTATATACATTAACCTTAATAAAACATAACTCACCCATAATGCATCACTTAAATAAATGTCATGTGAAAATGTACAATTAATAAATATCTCAAATATTAGAAAGCTTTTTTCTAACATTTCAGATAATTATTATCTTCCTTAGAAAGTAAAAATTAGTTACAAGAAGCTTCCAAATATCATTCCTAATTGTGAATGATAAAAATTATATTTAAATAGATTGTCTTTAATTTGACAATAGTATTTTGATATAAACTTTTTAAAAATGAGAAAATAAAAACAAACACCTTCTTTATTATTTTAGTGTTAAATTTACATTGTAAATATTCCATTCAGCAACTTGTTTATGGTCTGTTTAATAAATATCCAAATATACTTCAACAACATACATTCACTTACAGGTAATTTATCAAATTTGCATAGCTGTTTACACAAGTTTTATAATTGGGTAAATTATAAAATATGAGTAACATTTGTTAACTAGAATCAATCATTTGTGATTTGAAAAAAAAAGAAAAACAACATCTGCATGTATAAATAACTTTATACAAATTGTACTGTAATGAGTTTTTTTACCCACAAAACCAGTCACAAGGCGCATATATCAGTAAAGGAAACAAATGAACACAAGAATTATGAGACTTTAATTACCATATTGGCACGACAACAAGCCATGATAATAGATGTAAGCTTATCCTAGGAGCCATATAGTTGATGTAAGTCTTTCTATGATAAGTGAATGATAAAATGAATTCAGGCTAATTTGACTTACTTTTTTTCCTGTATGATACTGAATGTTTGAAACTATGATTGTCATTGGATATTTATGTTAATATAACATTGTATATAAACAGCTGTTTACAAATTTAAGAATCATTTTCCTATTTAACCAAAGTCCAATATTGTGCAGTATTGGTTATAAGACATTTGATATGTTATATGACCATGTATAAACATCTGTTTGTTATATAACCCTCACCTGATGACTTGGGTCATATAAACATGTTTGCTTTATAACCATCACACAATGACTGGTCACATAAACATATGTTTGTTATATAACCTTCACCTGATGACTAAGGTCATATAAACATGTTTGCTTTATAACCATCACACAATGACTGGTCACATAAACATATGCTTGTTATATAACCCTCACCTGATGACTTGGGTCATATTAACATGTTTGCTTTATAACCATCACATGATGACTTGGGTCACATAAACATCTGTTTGTTATATAACCCTCACCTGATGACTTGGGTCATATAAACATGTTTGCTTTATAACCATCACATGATGACTTCGGCCATTTAAATATCTGTTTGCTTTATAACCCTAACCTGATGATTTGGGTCATATATGCATAAAAATTGGGTCATATTACCTGTCAAAATGGTCTGTATAACTAAAAATGTGGCTCTAATGCAGATGTAAGCATTTAGTCAAATGTTATGTCTGAATATCTTACTTACTACTCATTCTCGTACTACCATATACATTTTTTAAACCTTAACAACTGTATCCAATCAGTGATAGTATTTTTATTTCATATTATTTTAATCTGTTTCTCTAATCCTGTTGTGATGATATAAGACACAAAATATACAGGAATGGCAATGATTTAAATATTTATGACACTGATTATGTTTGAAACAAAAACTAAACATTTATATGATCAAACAATCCGTTTTCATCAGCTTTTTCCAACAGACCACAAAATAATGGAGATTCAACCTGAAATATAAACAACATTAAAATCATTATAAATGGCATTGAAGTTAATAAAAAAGGCATAACATACCATAATATCATTCAGATGTTATACAAGTTTGTCAATTTATACAGACTAATATTAAATCTACGATAGTATTATATAGCAAGCCTTTGACAAGTTTTGTGTAATTCTAAAATGTCAATGATTGTAAAAGATTTTTTTGACAAGATATAATTAAGCTAAAATTTAAATTCATAAAAAAACCACCTAAATAACTTTTTGACAGCTACATTAAAATAACACCACCAAGTGACTACACAGAGATGATGACATAATGATCTCTTATTTAAGAAATATGTAATGGTTATATAACCTGGTACATTGAACATAAATATCTTCATGTTATATAACCTGTTACATTGAACATAAATATATTCATGTTATATGACCTGGTACATTGAAAATAAATATCTTCATGTTATATAACCTGTTACATTGAACATAAATATCTTCATGTTATATGACCTGTTACATTGAACATAAATATCTTCATGTTATATAACCTGTTACATTGAACATAAATATCTTCATGTTATATAACCTGTTACATTGAACATAAATATCTTTATGTTATATAACCTGGTACATTGAACATAAATATCTTCATGTTATATAACCTGTTACATTGAACATAAATATCTTCATGTCATATGACCTGGTACATTGAGCATAAATATCTTCATGTTATATAACCTGGTACATCGAACATAAATATCTTCATGTTATATGACCTGGTACATTGAACATAAATATCTTCATGTTATATAACCTGTTACATTGAACATAAATATCTTCATGTTATATGACCTGGTACATTGAAAATAAATATCTTCATGTTATATAACCTGGTACATTGAATATAAATATCTTCATCTGATGGATTTATTATATCATTCTCTGATTGAATACAGATAAAGAAACAGAATCATTTGAGATGATAAATGACATATTCATTGCAACATATTTTACATTTTATATAATTAACAAATAACCAAAATATCGTCAGACTCCCAATTCCTTATAGCCCTGCATATAACAATGTTTGTCATTCATAACTTTTCATACTTCTACAAAAAGGAAAAATTGTTTAAACTTACACCAAGAACATATTCGCACGAGGCTGGCTCTACTAGATATATGGCTACAGCATGAGGCTGCTGTGCATTATTTAAACATCTGAAACAAAACAATGCTGATTAAAATTACTTGGTTTTAATATATACAGAATGGGGTATCGCAATTTAAAGTCTTTAGTTTCATGCACATGGCTCATCATTAGGCTACTACAATAATTTTATCAACCTCCCCCTGGGCCTGGGCAGTCTTTCATTATGCTTATGGCAGCCCGCATTAAGGCACAATGCAATAACCACCCTGTAAGGTACCTATTTACACTTGGGAGAAGAGTAGCAATGAAGCGATTTTTTTGCTCGAGGAAATTAGCAGCGGCACTGGGCTCAAACCCTGGACTGCTTTATCCTAAAATGCAGGTCCTACCACTGGCCACTACTCCCATAGTTGCATAGTGCTGTATTTGGTCTTTGACCTTTAATTTTATCTTTAGCCTTGGAGCTTGTGCTTTAGACACACATCTACATCAATGTACATCTACAGTCTCATTAAGCTGATTATTGAACACACAAAACTTGTTTAAACCTTTAATAAGTCCTGTCTTCGTTACCTTAATGAACTATAAGCTATGTCAAGCTTACCACAAACAGACTTAATATCATTTTACTTGTGAAATAAAATAACAATGGAAATCTTGAAACAAAAGATAGCAGAATTTACTTAATTAAAGTTTAATGTTTATTATCAAAATAGAGTTGACCCTCGGTAACTTAAATTTCATATACTTACTTTAACTTGACTTCAACAAATCTTTGTTTGTTGGTTAAATCACAGACATCACCTCCACTGTAGTAAAGTGAAATTAATCTGTAAATATATCATAGCATTTGTACATATAAGAACTGTTTGATTTAACTATCTCACATTTTATTTAACCTATAAATAACTTTTTCTTGGTAGGGAACCTGTTTCAAACTAGAGCTATCACCCATACCCCCATCAGCAACCTTAACATTTTGAAAAATAAGTGGTTTGAAGCAAAATTTGAACTCTACCTATAATTTATGATGTTCATATACCAGTATGTACCAGTAATTATTACAATTAATTGCCTATCTACCATAAACCATTTTTCTATTTTAAGTAATGGTGACCTTGACCTTGATTCTAAGGGGTCTAACAACAATTTAAAGCTAGGTCTCTCATTACGCTTGCTAAATGCCAAGTTTTGTTACAATATCTTATTCCAAACTCTAGTTATTGTCTAGAAGACATTTTTCTATTTTTTTGTAACATTAACATTGACCTTGACCTAAGGAGGTCCAAATGTAATCCCATCTCGAGGTCTTCATATAAGCTTCCTATATACAAAGTTTCATTATAATATGTCTTTCTTAACCACCAGGGTCTTCATATAAGCATACTATATACCAAGTTGGATTACAATTTCTCATTCTTAACTTTTTTTATTCCCTGAAAACCATTTTTTTATTTTTAGTAACAGTTATCTTGACCCCAGGGGTCCAACAATAAATCCCAACTGGAGTTTCAACATAAAGTTGCTATATACCAAGTTTGATTACAATAACTCGTTCCTAACTCTTGTTATTGGCCGGTGACCATGTTTCTATTTTAAGACGTTTCTATTTTAAGACCTCAGGGGGTTAACCAGGACCTTCATATAAGTTTGCTATATACCAATATACCAAGCTTGATTCCATTTTTTCCATAATCATTCCATTGAAGTTACACACATTTTCATATTTATACCTGACCTTTGACCTCTATATGGGACCTTGAGTTTGGCCACAAAGGCCTGAATTTTGTGTTTAACACTGACTTATACACAGAAATGTATGCTCTGGAAAAAGCCACCTTACACATTCACTCCCATTAAATGTCCTGTTTTGTTTTTCTTGTTTTTATAAACAGGCATATTAAAACAGTCTAAGATAAACAAATAGGGTGTGATGAATGGGAATACAATATCATAATTATAAACTCTTCTACTGAAATCTATTTACACTTCTCAAAATACACTCCATCAATATCCTCTACGTATATTAACATACTTTCTATTTTCAGGTTGTTTTGGCTTTTTGGCAGGATTTCTTTGTAGCCAATCTAGATGTTTCTGTTTATCCCAATGCCCTAGATATATAGTTGTAACACTGCTACTACTTTCCTGAATCAGATAACAACAATTTATACAGATTTTTTATTCTAAAATATAATAAATTTTTCACTAAGAGCATATCACTAATCATTCACTAAGAGCATATCACTAATCACAGACATAAATTTAGCCAAATAGAATGTTTTCTGTGTCTAACCATAAAGTCAAGCTGCATATACATGTATATGACTGTTCAATGGAGATAACCATGTAATAGTAATTAATTTACCATTAAATGAACAATATTTATAGATGAAGGAAAACAAGCAATTATCATAGTATTGCAAGCAATCCATAAGTCCCCTACCGGTTTGAACCCCAGCAACATTCTGATGGGCTATTGGCCATTCAATTTTACCAGTGAATGAATGACATGAATGAACTTATATCTTTGGAGTTCTAAGTTTGTCTATATCACAGTAATGTGTTAAGTTTCCCTGCCTAGTAAAGAAATTGTTTATACAACCTTGTCATATTATTACAATGTGGGATTTTAAAGTAAATCCTATAAGGAATGAAGAAGGTGGAGTGAAAAATACCAATTTCTCCAAAAAAATCTAAGTTCAAGGGGGACATAATTCTGGAAATAGTCTTGCTAGAGTATTTAACCTTCTCAAAAATGTTGAGTGATAATAAGAAACATGTATATGAAGTATGAAGTAGATACATTAGGAAATAGAGAAGTTATTTAAAAAAGACAACATTTTTTTTTCATAAAAATTCTAAGTTCAAGGGAGGTAATACTGATAAGTTTTGTGCTAGAGTTGTAAACCTTGTTACATATGATGTGGTTGATGACCAGAAACTTATATTTAAAGTTTGAAGTAAACACCTTAAGAAATAAGGAACTTATAGTGAAAAAGCTGAACAATTTAAATCAGAAATCTTGAAATTCAGGCTATTTGTTGCCATAGCAACCAGAATTTTCAACATAGGAAGAAAAGAAAAAGATGTGCATAATCTCCAGACTGCTATCTACCCATATTTTAAGTTTCATAAAAATATTTTCAGTACTTTTTAAGTTATCACTGGATCCAGTTTATGTGTTAAATTTGCCATATTTTCAGACTATTTGTTGCCATAGCAACCAGAATTTTCAACATAGGAAGAAAAAAAAAAAGACGTGCATAATCTCCATACTGCCATCTATCCATATCTAAAGTTTCATAAAAATATTTTCAGTACTTTTTGCGTTATCGCGGGATCCAGTTTTGTGGACGGACGGACTGACGGACTGACAGACAGATGGACAGACAGACAGACGGACGGAGGGTAAACCTAAAGTCCCCTCCGGTTTAACCGGTAGGGGACTAATAATACTGTATTTAACAGCTTTTTCCTAAGGATGAGTTATTCCTTTGAAACAAAAAAAGAATTTTTTCTAAATAAATATTACACTTCAATTTAAAGCCATCTAATTTTATTTTTCAATATTTTTTCCTGTAATTTTAACCCTTAGTCTGCTAGAAGCAAGTTTTAATCTTGCTGTATTAAGAAAGCAAAACACTGCAACACCTACAAAAGTGTGAATGACCTAGGTTTTAAATTAATTTTTTCTTTCAAACAAAATATGAACATCCATCCAATTTTTGTTTTATGAAAATCATCAAAAATACGAAGTAGGAATATATCCTTAATATTCTGACCTTACACATAAAATAGAAATATACATTTATCTAGTAAATACTGATTCTTCAGTAAAACACATTACAAACCTCATGATATTGTTTAGCATGTTTGTTGTAGCAAAATTCATGTTTCCACCAACCACCTCCCTGTAAATATAACCATTGAATTATACACTGAGATACTGTACAACACACATAATCAACAATTGAGCCGCGTCATGACAAAACCAACATAGTGCGTTTGCGACCAGCATGGATCCAGACCAGCCTGCGCATCCGTGCAGTCTAATCAGGATCCATGCTGTTCACTATCAGTTTCTCTACTTGTAATAAGGTTTGTAAGCGAATAAAAAGAAAAAATATGACAATACAAAATGGGGTGATTTGATTACGAAATATGGTTTGAAACAACTTATCACAGATCCTACTAGGATAACAAAACGTACCCAAAAAATTATAGATCATGTTTATACAAACAGTAGCAGATATATTATTGAATCATTTGTTTCTGATACCTCATTAAGTGATCATTATCCGATAGGTATTTCAAGATCAACGAAAGCATGTACCCGATTGATTAATGAACATAATTCGATTAAATATAGATGTTTTAAAACTTTCAATGAAATTGATTTTCAGGTAGACCTTGCTTTATCCGATCTTGAATTAGTCGAGCACATAATTAATCCGAATGAATCCCTTAGCTTATTTTACTCCATTTTAAATACTATCTTGAAAAAACATGCACCAATAAAAGAAAAACGTATCAAACGTGAACACCGCCCGGAATGGTTTACTGATGAGATAAAATATCCTATACATGAACGTGATTACTATCATAAAGTAGGGAAACATGAACAATACAAATTGCTCAGAAATAAAATAACATCAATGATTAAAACAAGTAAAAGAGATTTCTTTAACAATGCTATTAAAAATAACAAAGACCCGGCATTTTTATGGAAAAATTTAAAGGATGTTTCAAATCTAAATAAAAAAGGTTGTATTACAATGCCAGACAGACTAGTGACAGGTAATAAAGAAATTTACGGAACTGTAAATATTATAAATGAATTAAACAAGTATTTTGTCAATATCTCGAATGTCATACATAAAACAAAGTTTTCAAATACAAATTTTTCCAAATTAAAAGAAACTTTAGACCAAAAGCTAATATATCATGGATTTAATATTGAGTTAATTACACCGTTTGAAGTAAAACTTATCATTGAAAACTGAATATTAAAAAATCTACAGGATTAGATGGAATTGGACCAAACATCATCAAATATTGTGGAGATTATATTACACCAATTATTGCATCAATTATCAATAATAGTATTAAATCTAATATTTTCCCAGATGATTTAAAAAGAGCTCGAGTTATACCTATTTTTAAATCGGGGGATAAGAATGAAGCAAATAACTATCGACCGATATCAATTTTGTCAACTATATCCAAAATATTTGAGCGCCATATTGCCAAACAAATACACTCATTCTTTGAAAAAACGAACATAATTCATAATAAACAATCAGGATTTCGTAAAAATCATTCATGTAATACTGCACTCATTAGTTTAATAGATACTTGGTTAAAAGATGTTGACAGTGGAAAAATTATCGGGACTGTATTCTTAGACTTAAAGAAAGCCTTTGATTTGGTTGACCATGAAATACTTTTGCAAAAACTTAAACTTATCATTTTTCTGAAAATGCCGTTAAGTTTTTTAAGTCATATCTTTCTAACAGAATACAACTGGTTAAGATAGGTAATCTTCAATCTCAGCCAATGAAAATAATTTCCGGTGTTCCACAAGGCTCAATATTAGGACCTTTATTATTTCTAATATACATAAATGACATAGCTTTCATAGGTAATGATATAAAAATTGATTTATACGCAGATGATTCTACTCTTTATGAGTCCGGAGAAAATATATCAAAAGTAGAAATAAAACTTCAAGATCATTTAAATAACATTGACAAATGGTGCAAAATAAATAATATGGCCTTAAATCCAGATAAATCAAAATGTATGGTAATAGGAACAAGACAAAAAGTAAATATTATGAGAAAATTAATTCTTAAGATAAATGAAATAGCTCTTGAAAATGTAACTGATCAAAAAGTCTTGGGTATTTGCATAGATAACAACTTAAAATGGCACTTGCAAATTGACAATGTTTGTAAAAAACTTAACGGAAAAATTGCCTTATTGAAAAAAATATCGTATTTTTTGCACTTTGATATGAAATTATTGTTTTACAATGCATATATATTGCCCATTATGGACTATTGTTGTATTATATGGGGTAAAGGAAACACAAACTACATAAATAATGTTTGTAAGTTACAAAAACGAATTGCTAAAATCATTTTACAGCAACCTCAAAGATCTCCGTCAATAAATCTATTCGAAACTCTTAATTGGTTACCGTTCCTTGACAGATGTAAATACCACACGGCGGTGCTTGTTTTTAAAACTTTAAATAACATGGCACCGGCTTATATGACAGAACTGATGACTTTATCCGACAACAAAATATATAACTTAAGATCTAGGTCACGAAAAGATATTGTATTATGGACTAGACCTAAAACAAATTATATTAAAGACACATTTTCTTATTATGGCATGAACATTTTGAACAATATACCTTTAAATATTCGTAATGTTAATAACCTTAAATGTTTTAAAGAAAAATACAAAGCATATCTTGATGTTCATATGAGTGAATGAATGAGTGAATGAATGAATGAATAAATATATGAACGAATGATGCAATATATGTATATGTTTAAACAAATTGTTGAGTGTCTGTCGAAAGTATATGAGTTGTATTATTGTAAAAATTACATATTATACATTCATTTTTCTACCTATGCATATCCTGTTGTTGTTGTTGTTGTTTTTGTTGTTGTTTTCTTTTTCAGAAGGCCACATTGGAAATAAGATATATATGATTGTTATTGTATGTTCTTAATGTGTAACCTTCTTTAAATAAAGATATTATTATTATTATTATTATTATTATCCTGATCAGACTGCATGGATGCGCAGTAAGGCTTCCACGTTTACATTTTTTTGTAAACGTTTACACGATTGCTAAGAACCGAAACGATACCGTTTAAACGGTGGTACTTCTTTGAATTACTAGTATACTACACAATGTATAAGAGTAGCTAAATGATGACTAACTTTCGAGTTTAAATACATGTACAAGTAAATTATATTCAGGGCTCATCACGATTGAGTCGGCAACTTTTTTCTGCAATATATCCCCCTTTTACTATTTGAAAGATAAAAGGAAATCATTTTTACCAAAATGTATTATGTCACGAGCGATTATTGCACGGCGATGCTGTGTGGGGGGTTGTAAACACCAATTTTCCATTTTTTTTACTTTGGAATCAACCAATTAGAATAGATAGAACCCATGATTACAGGTAATGATTAAGATAATTTAAGACAATATGGTTATTTCGATTAAACGGTAAAAAATATCGTAACCGTTTACGAATGAAAATCGAAACGAATCCGTTTAAACGTGTAACCGTGGGTGCCTTAATGCGCAGGCTGGTCTGGATCCATGCTGGTCGCAAACCATTTATGTTGGTTTTGTCGTGACACAGCTCAATTTGTTGATTTATATAGCAGTAAAGATTTCACATTATACAGCAATTCATAATAGGTTCTGTAGTACAAAATCAACCAGAAAAGGGAAACTGGCAGTCAAACAGATTGATGTATTTATTAAATAAAGTTAAGTATTGTGGATAATGATAAGTTTAGATTGGCTATACAGTCAATGAAAGTACATATGTACATATATCAGTTGAGAATTAATGAAATGTACACTGTATATCACACTCTGTGAATGATGAAATTAACAATGCAATATAATAAAATTAACAATGCAATATGATGAATTAACAATGCAATATAATAAAATTAACATGCAATTTGATGAATTAACAATGCAATATAATAAAATTAACAATGCAATATGATGAATTAACAATGCAATATTATAAAATTAACAATGCAATATGATGAATTAACAATGCAATATAATAAAATTAACAATGCAATATGATAAATTAAGACCTTACCCCATGAATACAATAATCTCCATTTATAAAATCTCTCAGTAATTGTTTATCTGCTTCTTTTCCAATATTTGTTTCAACTTTGACTGGTTTCTGTGATTCATAGATATGTTCTTGTTTGAAACCAGTCTGTTTTTTAGGTGGCTGTTGAACTTCCTCTTCCTCTTCATCTTCCTCATCTACCTGTCATATACATAATGAATTCAACATACTATAGTCTGTCCTGCCAAATTTGAATATTCCATTTTTTGTTAAATATAATAGTAAAATCATTTAAATTTATGTCATGTTAACCCTGACGTCAATATCTCTAGGCATGTTTTTCCTTTTTTCTCAAAAAGTCGGTTATATGGTCAAAATGTTAAAATTATATTTTTTCTCGTTGACTTACATTGTAACCTGATGTGACATCCATTTCAAAATAGCGGCGCCCATATTGACGTCATTTAGGGTATAAATCTTTCTCCTCCCTCAATTTCCAATATGCTCCATTTAACAAGAGAGACATCATGATTTATTTAACAAGCTTATTAAATCAATATTTTATTATATAATTACCAATAACTTATGGCTTAAGGTAAAAAGCCTGGAGTTAGATTGTATGATTTACAGTCTATATACAGGTACTGTTTTATACAAATTTTTCCATTTGCTTCATTTGTTGGAAAATATATAGAACATTGAAGAATGACTTAAAGATCATTCTACTAACCATGAATAGTATCTCATTAAACAAACACGAACAATCAACTTTTCTTTTTGTTGGGTTTTACACTGCACCAACACTACAAAGGTCATAAGGCAACTTTCCAGATTTGTTTCGGGAACCACATATACTCTGTAAGCAAGCTAGATAGCTTCCTTACATGAAAGAACCCTAAGTCCCTTGGTGGAGGAGATTTGAACCTACAGTGGTTAGGGGCAATTAAAGACAAACTTTACTACTCAGCCACTCAAACATAAGGTAATTCTTGTAGTTCTTGTCTATTTTTACAATGTTTTTGTAATTGTAACCTAAATCCTGTCACCTTCATACTCCAATGTCACTCATGCCAAAAACAAAGTAAAATTAGTCATTGTAAAATATAACTTACAGGTTCAAGCCTTATCCCCTGTTCTCTCTGTAGTTTGGTCAACCTAAGTGGTTGTCTTGGTGATGTACCAACAGAGTGACAGTTTATCTTACTAACTGGGGGATCCTTGGGTCTGAAATAACGTAACATAAGTTGATAAAATACATGAAGAACTCCTATGTAGCATAAAATATCAACTTTAGATATTCCTAAATGACAGATAAATAACTCACAATTATGAACTTCAGTGAGTAAATAAGTAATTTAAATGTTGAAATATTAGTTATGAATAATATTTTAGATTTCATTTTTGTTCCAAAAAATTAAAACATAAAACATGTTAACAGAATTCAAGTTAAAATTCACACATTGTTGTTGGGATATTTACATTTAAATATTGTTCTACAAGAAAACAGGTAGACCTACTTGAATGCAGGGTGCTGGCATAGAACTGCTGTTAGAACAATTATGTCATATTCACAACTTGATGTTTCTTTAAGCTGATATATCTCCCCACGTCCATTTGGCTGACATATATACTTGATGTGACTCTGTCGAGGTTTCCCGGTCAAATCACACACTGTACCATCTGTCATGTTGACAGAGAAAAAAGGAAGATCCAAACCATCTATCTTCACACTACGAATTTCCTGAAGTCATCAAAACATGACAGCCCTAGATCACTTGGCAAAGATCTATTGCTAGAAAAGGTCATAATTACTTCAATGTTTAGTCATTAGGTCACATTCAGTGGTGTACAATGGGTCCAAATTGAATCTTTAGTCATCATTGTGATTATAAAGGTCAACGCACATTATTATTTACAAACCAGTACAAAATTTTTTATGGGATCTAAATTTGAAGGCCATAAGTTAAGAAATGCAAAAGTACACCAGGCATATAAAGGTGCGTTTTTTAGTTTTAGCTAATTAAACAATTCTACATAACAATAATTACTCTAGAACATGGTTATTTTGAGACTAGGAAGATATTTTTATATTTTTTATAGAAAACCAATAAGCAGTGCTTTATAACAAATGTCTATACTCTAGATCTAGTAGTTCCTTATGACAAAATAGAAATCTTTTTCTTATTCTAGCCAATATAACACAGGAGCATAACCATTTTGACCCTAATGGAAAGATTTATATTACTTTAGAAAGGTCAATGAGGGTATGGTACATGTTAAATAACTAGACCATGTAGTTGAGAAATAAGATTTTCTGTTTGTCTGTTCATTATATAAGTGACCCAGGGTAAACCTAATTTTGACCACAGGGTCATGATTTATATAACTTATGTGAAGGATTACAAGGTTATATGCTTCATACCAAATATCAGATCTTTTAGCATTGTCAATTCATTTTCAATTTGTCAATTTAAAGTATATTTTCAGCTTCCACGAGACAGACATGTGCATCAGACTAGAATCTTTTATACAATGTATAATTTTTGTACAGTGCTACTTTAGAGTCTCCCATATGGTTTAGGAGGAGATATTAATAAACACCCCAATATCGCAAAAGCTCATTACTGAGCACTGCCAAAACAACAATAACAATTAAATTTTATGTTATCAGTAATCTAAAGGATAATATATATCTACCGAAATAAACAGAAAGGGACTTATCCATTAATAGTCAATCTAAATTAAGCCAAACTCTCTAACTTGCTATGCATAATATTTCTTTGAATACAAGTGATTACAATAACTTATGTTGATCTACAACCACAAATTATACCTGCTGTTTCTTCTCTGTAGTTCTGGTGTTGTCATCTTTCCCAGCAACTTCTTCTGTTCCTTTCCCTGTCTCACCTCCCACTTCATCTTTCTCCATTCCCATACGAGGTGACCCATCTCCTTTATTTACTGTTCCACTTTTATCTACCCCAGTCTTTTTATTATCTAAAGAAAGCATCATTTGTGTTTTAAAAAAAAAATGTTTAAAAGAGTTACAAAGAATTATCTCATTTCATATTTCACAGAAGATTAATACTTGTTTTACATGTTTTTCCTTGATTAATAAAGAACAAACATTTGTAACAACAGCATAAAATTTTTCATATCAGTCATAACAGTATTTATTTACTATCATTTACCTTTTTTCTCCGTTTTAATTCTTCAGTGTATCTATGTAAGAAATTCAAATTTTATGTTTTGAGGCTGTCTGACCACAGTAACAATGTAACAAACTATCATTTATCTTGTTTAGTGAAACTGTATAGAAAAGTTTGTAGCAAACTTTAAAAGGAAACACATAAATAAAGTAGTTAGGTGATGAATAGCAAGTGTAATTTACCTTCTGTGACAGTTTTAGATATCTGACCTAAATAATATTCCTGTAATTTTGGCTTTTGCTGAAAATATATAAGCATCAATATCACTCACTACCATTATCTCTGCAGTAAACACCCCATAAAACTTGTTATACATCTACCAAATCTTTCATTACAAGAATAAGGAAATTGGTTGAACTGATACCATAGTAATATTGTACACTTACATGATGGAAACTTCTTAATATTGTGTACCTCAGAATATGAGCAAAAACTAGCATGGATATCTTTACTAATTATGATTCAAAACCTAATCAATTTATAGACCATTCTTTTGAGATAAAGATTATTACATGACAGCATTTACATAATGTTATGTTATTTGTTCATTCATTTAAAGTATGTTACAATAATAAGTACAGTTTTAGGACTCAGGTGTTTTTAAGGCATATAGACTATATAACTGGATTCAATAAAAGTCTGCAGTAATTATGCGGAGATTGGCATATACTTTATAAACATATGAGCCGCGTCACAACAAAACCAACATAGTGGGTTTGCGACCAGCATTGATCCAGACCAGCCTGCACATCCACGAAGTGTGATGAGGATCCATGCTGTTCGCTTACAAACTGTATAACAAGTAGAGAAACTGAAACAGCATGGATCCTGATCAGACTGCGCGGATGTGCAGGCTGGTCTGGATCCATGCTGGTCAAACCCGCTATGTTGGTTTTGTCGTGACACGGCTCAATTATTATTACTTGCTACAAATGTTTTGGTTAATTAGACTTACTAATCCTAGTTCCTTGTTATCATGGTACTGTTTAATGTGTTTCCCGTGACAAAGTTCATATGTCCAGTAGCTCTCTATCTATAACATCATATATCAATATCATTAAAACACATTCAATTCATTAAATTATATACAAAAATAAAGTCCAGTCATTACAGATAAGTTGAATACATTGAAAAAATAACAATATCATTCTGAAACTGTTTAAAATCAATATGTGTATACAGATTTATTAGATAGGTTATTGGCATAAAAAATCAATACATGCATTTTTGTTATCATTGAAACTGAAGAAGTTTTCTTGAGGACATATTATAATAGTGTAGAAGTTAAACATCATTCTTCACAATATGTTACATACAGCAACATATGTTACATGAAATACCACACTGTTGCATCAATTTCATCATTTTAATGAAAATCTAACCATTTAAACATTATAAATTAACTTATTGAAAAATACAGAAAATAACTTACTCTATATGAACAAGAAGATTGCAGGAATAAAGCCTCCATCAATTCCTCAGGTGTAGCGCCATTGTATGTTGCCTTACGATTCTGTTATATATCATAAAACAATGCTAAAACAACCTACCCACAACATCAGTATAAATATCAAGAATTGGTTTCTGGACTTATCATGAATGGTCATTTTGGAAAACAACATTGTCTTTATTCAGTTGACTAAAAATGAAGTTTTGAAAGTATTTCTACGAAGCCTCCAAATGAGTACATATTAATTCTACATTTATTAACTGTAGCTGTATGATTGAAAAGGTAAATTCAGTTTAAAAATAAAAAATCTACAGTACAGTCTGTCTTCATATTAGTGCCAGATGAAATTAAATAAACAGACAGAAGAGAACAGAAGAGAAAGTTGTTATTTTGCAGTATTTCATGCTCTGTTAACAGATGTTCATATAAAAACAATCTTACAGCATCAATTGTAGCTTGAGACTCTGGTATAACACACTGGTATTTCTCGTCCTCCTCTGTCTGTACTGATACTATCTCAACATCACTGTTTTCCTAAAATAATAACACATTATCCTGTATATTAATGAGCCGCGTCATGACAAAACCAACATAGTGCGTTTGCGACCAGCATGGATCCAGATCAGCCTGCGCATTCTCACAGTCTGATCAGGATCCATGCTGTTCGCTATCAGTTTCTCTACTTGTTATACAATTTGTAAGCGAACAGCATGGATCCTGATCAGACTGCGCGGATGCGCAGGCTGGTCTGGATCCATGCTGGTCGCAAACCCATTGTGTTTGTTTTGTCATGGCACGGCTAAAATAATAACACATTATCCTGTATATTTATGTAATATTTTGTTTCAGCTCCATTGCAAAAGAAAACCTGAAGGTTTAACAAGTTAATATTAATGACTTTCAAGTCTGCTTTTAGTTGTATACATATATAAGATTTTTTATTCCAATTTCCAAGGGCAGGTAATTGTATAGATAGAAGAACACTGTGGTGATAGGGGTTTTAACAAAAACATCATTTTTTGTACATTATAATCATTTACTTTAAATTCGCATATGACCTTGAAGTTAAGAACTATGAATGGCCTAAGGGGAAGGCCAATTTTGATCCCAAAGCTTCTATTTGAATAACCTTAAAAGAGGTTCACTAGACAATGTTTCTTGCTAAATATCTAAGCTCTAGCCCTTGTAGTTTTGAAGAGAAACTTTTTCTTTTACTTTAATCATACAATGAAAACAAATTACCCAATGGGGCCAGGTCAAATTTCTAAATTCACCTCAGGACTATAATTTGAAAAATCTTGACAGAATGCCTTGTGCAAAATATCTAAGCTATAGGCCTTGAGGGTCTTTAGAAGTAGCTTTTTAAAAATAAAAATCTAATACATGTAATTTTTTTTGGTTGCCATGACAATCAGCTTTCAGCATAGAATCAAATTCTTTGAACAACTTTGAAAGCCCTTCACCAAAGGAACAATCCTGCCAAGTTTGGTTGATATTGGACCAGTGGTTTTTAACAACATTTTTAAAGTTTACTATATAATCTATATAACACACACACACACAAGTGAATCACTATAATTATGCTACCAGATCGTAGGTAATAAAGTTGTCACAATTTAACCAAATTCAACAATTTGATCTTGACAGTCAATGCCATTTAAAGGTCAAGGTCATATTTCTCTTTACTGGTGAAGGAAGACGTCAGGTGCCATTTCCTACATTCCAGGCATAAATGAGCAGGTTTATTTTGATCAAGGTTAATGTCAAACTTGAATCATTCAACATGCTGGTTTGACATAGAATGTTGTTTTGTCCAAGTATGTAGAATATAATAGAATAGAATAGAATAGAACAGAATACAATACAATAGAATATAATACAATACAATACAATATGAATAGAATAAAATACAATACAATAGAATATGAATAGAATATGAATTAAAATAGAATAAGAATAGAATAAACTAGAATAATAATAGGATAAGAATAATAATAGAATAAGAATAGATTAGAATAAGAATAGAAAAAGCATATAATAAGAATAGAATTAGAATAGAATTATAATAAGAATGGAATTAGAATAGAATTGGAATAGAATAAGAAATAGAATAGAAAATTGAATAGAATAAAATAGAATATAGAATAGAATAAAATATAGAATAGAATAGAGAATAGAATAGAGAATAGAATAGAGAATAGAATTTGTAATAGTTATAGAATATATACGAGGACTTAACTGGCTGGTATCAGCGCATGGGGCGACAACAAGGGTCAATCATAGTAAATTAATCGAGACGGAACGTCGAGATTAATTTCCATGATTGACCCTCTTGTCGCCCCATGCCCTGATACCAGCTGGTGAAGTCCGAGTATTTATTCTGTAACTGTTTTATCGCATGACCATCACGACTTTTTTCTTCTCTCATAATATTTGTTTTATTTAAACATATAAATATTTTAAGAAATACCCACAGAAATACACCCATTAGATGCCGTTGAAGGAACTGGACATAAATAACCATTTCACGAGGTAAGTTGATGCATTTTTTCTAAATGCGAAATAATAATCATCTTTCTAGCTCATTTTCAAAATATAATCTAGGACATATTGTCGATAAGTATCCTGGTGTATATTTCAGAGGTATATCTTGTAAGCATATTTTTTAAAACTAACAACAACGTAGTGATTTTTACTTAAAGGCACATTATGCCTCATAAATCCTTTTTTATTAAATTCTTTAGAAATGTAAAACACATGTTTAATAATGTTTTGATAATGGATTTAGAACATGTAAGATATTTAACAGCGCTGAATGTGCAGTAATGTGTTGTAAAGGTAGCAAAATGTAAACAAATAGTATTTTGACTTCCATACTTATTCATTATAATTATACCAATTGCCTTCAAAGCAAAAGATGCAAAGATAGTTCATTTATATGGCAAATAAGTATTTTTGTTGAACTTGTAACAAGACACCAAATATTGTGCCTTTAACACTACTTCCATGTAATAGTTTTAGAATATATACAAGGACTTTACCGGCTGGTATCAGTGCATGGAGTGACAACAAGGGTAAATCATAGGAAATTAATGGAGACGGAACGTCGAGATTAATTTCCATGATTGACCCTTTTGTCGCCCCATGCCCTGATACCAGTCGCTGAAGCCCAAGTATATATTCTGTAACTGTTTTATCGCATGACCATAACAAATTTTTTTCTTGTAGATTTACGCTCTCTCATAATATTTGCTTTATTTAAACATATAAATATTTTAAGAAATGCCCACAGAAACTTCCTAGCCAGTTAAAACATCACGTGTGCCTGCAAACTTAAAACTTGTAGCAAATAAAACTTATTAACCAGAAATCAAAATCAGTTAAATAATACATTTCCTGAAAGCTATGCATTTGTCTATGGCTGGTAAAAACATTTACAGTTCTAATTAAAATAAATGTTACATCATTTTTTAAAGAGAACTACTTAATAAATTTTGTTACAAAACTATTCATATGACAAAAAACTGGCTCTGTGGGTATGTTCTGCCATGTTTTTCTAAGTGAAAGGCATAGAAAGTTACCAATATTTTAACATGCAGCAATAGATAAAAAGATTTACCTTTCAAAATTTAATGGTATATAATATTCAAGACATCCATTAAGTTTTATTTGCTACAAAATGCCTAATTTTTCACTTTTTGATAGGCATGAGTGATATTTCAATGGAGTATATAGGAGCTGCTTATCTCTGTTATCTATGTCTCTGATGAAACAAATCAATATAGAAATATTTTGGTTATCTTTTATTTTCTTAGAATTATTTCCCTTTTTCCCTTTTTCTGACAACAAAAAATTGAAGTTCATAAAAATTATGTTGTAACATAAAATTCTCAATAGATATGTGTCCAACAACTTCATTTTGCTCTAGATTATTGCGCAAGTACCTTAATTCAATATATTTGGATTAAATATTCTGTTTCTGGCATTTATATTTTGAAAATTATTATAAACTGAACATTATACTTTGAAGTTTTCTCTGAAAACTGAAGGAAATGTATGTTGACAGGTGTTTGCACAATGAATTAGACCATAAAGAAGTTATTTAACCTATTTTGTGTTACACTTTTCATATACAACACATTTTTTAGGACTTCAAAAATTATGTGTTGTAAAAACATGAAAAAGGGAAAATAATTCTCACAAAAGAGCTACAGTAGCCAAATAAACTTCTTTCTGTTTACCTCAAATATTACGGGAAAGTCAAAGAACGGGCCCGCGAAGCGGGTCCGGGCTTTGGCTTGCCCGGCTATAGACTACACGTGTATATTTAAAAGAAAATCAAATAAAAACAATTAAAAAAATAAAGAATTCTATACCTATCAATGAAATTTTCAGTGTCAGTTCTAGTCGGGCGCCGCCATTTACAATGTAACTCAATGATGATAGGCGGGGTATTCCGATAACGGAACAAATCTCAACTTTTCGGATCAATAATAATCGTCGAGTTTTCCGAGTGAAAACGGAAGCGGTGCATGTTAAATACTGAAAGACACCTTTAAAACGGAAAGAATGAAAGGATTTTTTTTAACCACTTCCCCATTCATAGGCTTTGCCTAATTTCATATTATTCTGAATAACAGGGTCCGGAATAAACAAAGTTTAAAAGAAATATCTTTATTATTTTTCAAGAAATTAACCTTTTCGAAAACCTAGCTAAACACAGTTTTCCGGTATGTTGCGGATTTAGCTCTGGGGAATTACACCAAATGAAGTACATAACACAGTTACATGATATTCCTATTTTTTATCATTATTTTATGGTTTAAGGTGAAAAAAATTAATGTATTTGAAATTTATCAATATTCCTTTAATATCTATTGCAAGTTTTTCAAAAAATAAAATTGTTTATAATGAAAACCAATCAAATTAAGACAGCCGTAGTGGAATCATCCATAATAAATAAGGTTATTTTCTGTGAAAACTTGTGTATTTACTTTATTTTTTGTATGCAATTATTCATAAAATGATATTTAATTGTTTTCTTACAAAGAAATAACTGTTTTATTTCACTTTTAAATTAAAAAAGTCCAAAAACACCTCGAGTTCGTTATTACACACCATTACGTGAATTCCTAAGAGCTATGTACAGAAAGTACCGGAAAACGGCGTTTAGCTAGGTTTTCGAATTCGTGAACATGATTTTTTATGTCATAAGCCCGATCGGGCATTTTCACCAGCCTGATTAAAGAGCATCATGTTGTTAACATTTTTGCTGTATTGTTTTTAATGTTCACCCTTCTCTTGAACACTTATCGTGGACTTACCAGTTCTCAAACCTCTAAGCATTCAAGAGGTCTTTTAGCAAAAATAAAAATATATCTTTACAAAATTCTTTAGTCATATGTACACTTTAATCTTTATGTAACATTTCTGTAAAATTTGACTGAAATTCAACTATTAAAAAAGCTCTATTTCCATCTTGGAAAAGCACAACCCTCTTTTTTAAAACTGACATGGCCTCTTAAAATAAAGAACCTAATCTCAAACCCCTTCAAGTATCTCTAAAATTCTACTGTTTAGTTTAGCCAATGAAGTGATTGTCATATAACTATCACATGACAATGAAGTACCCTACATGATGCAGGTACCTGCTTTAAGATATTTTTGTCTCTAATATTCATTTTCACAAATAGTTAATGGTGTATTTATGGGACTTACAAAGGTAATAGCAATTTGTATGAAATTACACTAAGTAATAAAATATGTAATGTAAATATTTGTTCCTATGCACTGTTTTCATTTGACATCAGCAGACATGTCTGTCAGAAAGTAGGCTTTTTTTGCACACAAGTTCAGGACATCATGGTCACTTCTAGTAATAAAATAACAGCACATGAATGAAAGGTTTCAGAATAGGTTGGGTGTGAGATTAGGTACTTATATACGGAAAAGAGTCAACTCGGCCCTATACCAACTCGGCACGGGTCAACTCGGCACGGGTTAACTCGGCCCACATTACAAAAATATATAGATCTAGGCCTATAACGTATTTACTTTGCTTTGCATGTTGTTAAGGTAAATGAATAATAAGAAATATCTTATAATTATTATATAATTATACAATGTACCTCTGCTGAAATAAAGTATATTTAGAAAAAAAAGTTATTTATTTGTCTTGCAGATTCGATAAAATTAATATAGACACAGGCACAATTATCGAACCTGGGAAGATTCATATTTTTTCTTCCCAGGTCCGATACTTGTGCCTGTGAATATAGATATAAAAAAATGTGTTTCCTTAGATGCATTTTGTTTGTAAAGTTATTTTCAAAAAAATATGAAACAAAAACGTGTTTACTAAATAGCATAAGCTTCTAATTAATTGCAGGTGGTCACTAATCAAATTTGAATGAATGGGTCAATCATAATTATCACCTAATTAATCGGTATCTTTAACATACACATTGATTGATATTAATAGCCCGTGACAATAGGAGTCCTTTGATGTCCTTCACCCATTTTTAAAAGTGGGCCGAGTTGACCCTTGCCGAGTTGGAACAGGGCCGAGCTGACTCGGGGGCCGAGTATGTTTTAGGGCCGAGCTGACCCGGAATCCTTATACGGGGAAGTCAAAGACCGGGCCCGCAAAGCGGGTCCGGGCTTTGGCTTGCCCGGCTATAGACTACACGTGAATATTTAAAAGAAAATCAAATAAAAAACAATTAAAAAATATATAGAATTCTATACCTACCAATGAAATTTTCAGTGTCAGTTCTAGTCGGGCGCCGCCATTTACAATGTATGTCAATGATAATAGGCGGGGTATTCCGATAACGGAACAAATCTCAACTTTTCGGATCAGTAATAATCTTTGAGTGTTCCGGGTGAAAACGGAAGCGGTGTATGTAATATCAAATGACTCCTTTAAAACGGAAAGAATTAAAGGATTTTTTTTAATGACTTCCTCCCCGTTCATAGGCTTTGCCTAATTTCATATTATACGATACATAATTTGCGTATAACAAACTATACAGAGTAGTACTGAGACATGTTAAATCGTAGCAAGAATGGTTTACGTAGGGATAAGGGTTTACATAGCGCGTTTCCAGACCATTCTATTTGAAAGATCCTGCTCCAAGTAACTAAACAGCTAAAAATGAGGAAAGCAATTACAGTTTTCAGTCTATCTATATCAACAGTTCCAGCCCAATTTATTGCAAAAAGGTCATCATCTGAAAATGGGTTTATTCCACCAGCAGAAACGAGTGAAATGAACGATATAAATGATAACACATTCATGATTATGTTTTGTTTAAGGAAAAAAATCTCGGATGACGTCTACAAATTTGTTTACACCATGGACGCAGACATGTTGATGTGCAGCAGAAAACGAATATTGTAACAACTGTTCTGATTGGATTATTTTATTGATTAAATAGGTATCAATTATTAAACTACAATACATTTTAAAATTTTACTATATAATATCCTCTCCCATAAGTAATGTAACATTTGATACATTTATATCCCTTATTCCTGATTTTTTAAAAGTTTTTCCACGTTTTACAACATATTATTCACTGCGTTGCTTATACGGTTAGCTGTCAAAGGAAGAAAAATGAATTTAATACCAGTATTTTTCGTTTCTTTGCTTGTTTTTAAGAGTACATTTGCTTTTTCAAAGCAGGGCATATGGGAAAATGTCCAATTCCCACAGGTATTTTAGTCTATGCATATATGTATAAATATTTTACATTAAGAAAATATAATTTTTGAACTGTTGAAGCATCCCCACCCACAACAAATAACACGTTTTAAAAATTGTTGCAAATTCACCACATGTATGATCTATACGGCGGCACGAAATACCCAAATATGCCCAAATATTGTCCAAATATACCCAAATATAGCAATATTTATTTTTGTTTGTATAAAATATAGATTATAATGAGAAATAAATATCGTGGACTAACCAGTTCTCAAACCTCTAAGCATTCAAGAGGTCTTATAATGTGAATAAAAATATATCTTTATAAAAATTCTTTACATATGTACACTTTAATCTTTATGTAACATTTCTGTAAAATTTGACTGAAATTCAACTATTAAAAAAGCTCTATTTCCATCTTGGAAAAGCACAACCCTCTGTTTTAAAACTAACATGGCCTCTTAAAATAAAGAACCTAATCTCAAACCCCTTCAAGTATCTCTAAAATTCTACTGTTTAGTTTAGCCAACGAAGTGATTGTTATATGACTATCACATGACAATGAAGTACCCTACACGATGCAGTTACCTGCTTTAAGATATTTTGTCTATAATATTCATTTTCATAAATAGTTAATGGTGTATTTATTGGACTTACAAAGGTAATAGCAATTTGTATAAAATTACGCTAAGTAATAAAATATGTTATGTAAATATTTGTTCCTATGCACTGTTTTCATTTGACATCAGCAGACATGTCTGTCAGAAACAAAGCTTTTATGCACACAAGTTCAGGACATCATAGTCATTTCTAGTAAAAAAATAACAGCAGATATATGAAAGGTTTGAGAATAGGTTGGGTGTGAGATTAGGTACTTATACGATAAATATTTATAAAATAACATGACTTAGCCTGCTATAACTTTCATTCATTCCGTTGAAATGGGCAGTTAAGATGTTGTAAGAAAATAAAGTTGTGACATTTGCTTATCTACAATATCGCTTCTTTATAAATGCAATTTTAATTCAAGATATGATATTTGTTGTCTACACTTACATTTTTAAGGTGTAATTTTGTTGAAATTTCATATCATAATAAGAGGAAGAAGTCAATGTCATTAAAAAAAGCTTTAATGGAGTACATATACTGTATCTTTGTTCAAAACACAATGATAGGAAAATGTATATTTGGGTATGTTTGATTATATCTTAGTCAGTGTTCGACACTAACGCAGTCCCGCGGTCCCGAGGACTCCAAAAATTGGAAAGGGATTTCTTAAGTTCCAAGTCAGATGTCCCGTTGGGACTTTTAAGTTTTTAAGTAAAAAATATACTAAACAATTAAAATTGATCTTTAATCAACTTTAAAGTATTCATTTAAGATGGTAATCTTGCAAAAAAAAGTATTTATTAAACGTGATTAACTTGCAAAAAGTAAACCGGAAATGAAACATTGTTTACAAAACACGAAAATTCTCCACATACCAAACATTCCAATGTCAGTATTTGCCGACATTTTGCTGAATTTTCAACCACCATAGTAAAAATGATATGTTTTATATAGTTTTGTTTAATATTTGATATTTACTATGATGTTAGAAAAAGTCGGCAATTCCATAATCAATAGTGTACTAGATTTCGGATAAACACATTCGGATGCGTGATTTTTTTTGGGATTTTTTTTTAATATACCGTTTTTGTTATTATTATGCCCCCGCCATGTAATGGCCGGGGCATATAGTGTTACCCTGTTCCGTCATTCCGTCCTTCCGTCCCTTCCGTCATTCTGTCATTCCGTCATCATCAGTTTCCGTTCATTATCTTAAGAACGGTTGCACACATTCAACTCAAATTTAACATATGGATATATCATGAGAAAATACAGGTCAAGTTCGAATTTGGTCATGGTTCGATGATTTTTGGCAGAGTTATGCCCCTTTTACTTTGAAAATAATATGAAATATCAGTTTCCGTTCATTATCTCCCCAACGGTACAACACATTCAACTCAAACTTGACACATGGATATGTCATGAGAAAATACAGGTCAAGTTCGAATTTGGTCATGGTTCGATGATTTTTGGCAGAGTTATGCCCCTTTTACTTTGAAAATAATATGAAATATCAGTTTCCGTTCATTATCTCCCCAACGGTACAACACATTCAACTCAAACTTGACATATGGATATGTCATGAGAAAATACAGGTCAAGTTCGAATTTGGTCATGCTTCGATGATTTTTGGCAGAGTTATGCCCCTTTTACTTTGAAAATAATATGAAATTTTCAGTTTCCGTTCATTATCTCCCTAACGGTACAACACATTCAACTCAAACTTGACATATGGATATGTCATGAGAAAATACAGGTCAAGTTCGAATTTGGTCATGGTTTGATGATTTTTGGCAGAGTTATGCCCCTTTTACTTTGAAAATAATATGAAATTTTCAGTTTCTGTTCATTATCTCCCCAAAGGTACAACACATTCAACTCGCATACGGATGCGTCAAAGGAATGGGCAGGTCAAGTTCAAATTTGGTCATGGTTCAATGATTTTTGGCAGAGTTATGCCCCTTTCACTTTGAAAGTAATAGGAAATTTTCAGTTTCCGTTTATTATCTCCCCAATGGTACAACACATTCAACTCAAATTTGACATATGGATATGTTTTTGGAATGCCCAGGCCAAGTTCGAATTTGGTCATGGTTCAATGATTTTTGGCAGAGTAATGCCCCTTTCACTTTGAAAATAATATGAAATTTACAGTTTCTGTTCATTATCTACCCAACAGTGTTACATATTCAACTTAAATTTGACATATAGATATGTCAAAGGAATGGGCAGGTCAAGTTGGAATTTGGTCATGGTTTGATGATTTTTTGGCAGAGTTATGTCCCTTTCACTTTGAAAATAATATAGATACATCTTAGGAATAAGCAGTATAAGTTTGAATTTGGTTGTGGTTCAATGATTTTAGACAAACTTAACTTAAAATGAAAAAAAAAATTAATGCACCATCTGAAATTTTGGCTGCATGCGGGGGCATCCGTGGCATGATGACACATTTCTAGTATTTTAAATGCAATAATGATAATTTGTTCCTGTCTAATCATGTCATTGATATCATTATGTAAAGGAGTTTTGAGCAAAAAAGTTTTTTTGCAGTAACTCATGTTCTTCTCTTCAATGACTAGTTTACACTTATTCAAGTAGACCTAATACAGCAATATTATAATATCAAATGAAAATTACTTCCTGCATAACTACAGACAAAGGGACAAAATAAATTATATGTATTGAAGTCAGATATATTTAGGACATATATTACAAGACCTATAAACACTTCCAACTGCATGTATGATTTGTATAATTTAATAATGCTGGAAGGAAACATAGAGGATTTCGTTCCTTCATCACTTAATGTTATCACAGATCCATGGGCGGCTATGATCAACATCCCAAAAAGTAGAACGAAAGAACAATAAAAAATAAGTTGCACATCAATTTTGATAGACAAAGGTTATTGCTTTATTCTTAAAATTATATTTAAAAAAAATCAGGGACTTCCAACTTAGGGAAGGGACTTTTGAATTCAAAAACAGATGTCCCGTTGGGATTCCTGGCTGAAAAGTTAGTGTCAACCCCTGTTAGTGAAAGTGTATATTGTTTTCATGATTAAAACAGCACTTTTTTAGTATAAAACATTTATTTTTAGTATAATTGGACAATATTTGGGTATATTTAGGCAATATTTGGGTATATTTGGGCAATATTTGGGTGTATTTGGGTATATTTGGGTATTTCGTGCTGCCCTGATCTATATGCTGAATCTGTTGATGTTTTGTTGTTTTCCAAATTTATATAATATGCTATACACGGTTCTAGTCAAGCCGTCCGACATCCCTGCTGACAAAATTAGTCAATCCAGGTCCAAGATCTTTAGTCAACCAATCCCTATTTTCCATTATCATTTATTTAGTACTACATTGTGGTAGTCAGACTATTCTCTCCCTTACCAGTTCCTCCCTTGACGTTTCCTCCCTGATGGTTCTCTCCCTATTTTGGGGGAGAACCGTCTGCATATTTGCAAATAAGCAGACAGTTAATCCCCATCTTTATTTCTTTTTATTAATACATTATTATTGAAGTATTTAGATGTTTATTAAATGGATAAGTTTATTATTAAATTATAATAATAATTGATATAAATCGGAGAAAAAATATTTTATTGAAGTATTTAGATGTTTAATACATGGGCATGTTTATGATCAGGGTTCTCACTAGGACTTTAAAACAGTCCATGGACTCCCAACCCTAAAAAAGTTGGAGTCCAAAAGCGCGTCACAATTAATATGTTCATAGATTAGTCATTCAATGCTCACAATAGCATTGCTGATATTTTGACTCAACACATGGATCAACACATGGAAATCGTTTTTTGTTTTTTTTCACTTTTATACCAAAACAAATTTTATTCTGGTTAAAAAAGTCCACTCTAAAGAAAAAAGTTTGTATTTGTAAAAATAAAACGTAAATGTATATAGGCAGCGTTTAGCGGAATGAATAAGAAAATCGTGTACAGCTTCACACAGTGTGTAAGAGACACATCCGATCGACAATTATTTTAGCAAATATCTTCAAAAGGGGGCAAATTGAAGATCGATATTTAAAGATTTAATGTTGATTAAATAATAAAGGAACAATTTATTCGCATGTTTGGCTTTGAAACCGAGAATTTTAGCGAAATTTTAGGGTTTCTGGCGAACGTGAAATCGCCGATGTTCGGGATCAATTTTCGGATAGAATCTAAATATCAAAGAAAAGCGTATGTGTACCTGGCATTTCGGCACAATATCTTAATTTCTTAATACTCTTATTATAAGTTATAGAAAGTTTTTGCAAGAATGAAACTAAAGCAAAATTGTGCCTAGAAAATGCCGAAAATATTCGACGATCATTCAAAATTACACTCTTTTGTTATTTGAGAAAACAGTCTTTAAACTTGCGGCGTAAATAGTCGATAATTTTATCCTTTTGTCGGTAAAATTTGCTAATTTCCAATCAACTGTTGATCAAAGATATAAAATTATCACCTCGTGTTATATCTGGTAATTACATGTACTGTGTAGCGCGTGTATCACTATTGCGTGATAATGATCGGAAGCCTTATCGCTGATTGGCTAATCGCTTCACGGGTCGATGTGCATAGGACCGCCTACCTACATGTATAGACTGACACGCGCTGACGCATTTGTGTATTTGTGGCTGTAAACAATCGGTAATGAATACGCGTCCCCAGGCAAAATTAAGCGTACATGGAATCCTTGCTCTGAAATATTTGCGTCCAGCTGTAATAAACATGCGTACCGGGACGCCGAAATAAGCGTCCCCGAGAACCCTGATGATTAATTGATAAAGATTAGATAAAAAAAATATTTTTAGCATATTATTAGTGTATTATTATGATTTTTTTTATTAGATCTAAAGTATACTTTTTAATGTGTTTAATTTACTTATTAAGATAATCATTCGATATTTATTATTGGGCGAGTTTTGTTTGTTTGTTTTTTTAATAGACAAGAAAAAAAATTATAAGAAAAAAATGATTTATAAATTTTAATTCCTAAATTTCATACTTTTGTATAATGAAGAAAGGAGTTCAATACACATGTGCATTAAATTGCTGTCAGAGATAATTAAGGTGTTTATTAATTAAGTGATGTTTTTAAAACTTTTTTTTCGCAACAACCCTTACCCCTAAAATTATGAATTTTTAGCGCGATAATCTGTCAAATTGTGAAAAAATAAACAAGAATAAATCATCACCTGTAGTCACTTTATTCATACATTTTAATAATTATATTCATAGTTTCAGCTTTCTTCTTTTTATTCCCTCAAATATATCAATCAAATTCTCAAGATTGTCATTTGTCAGTTCATTATCTTGTTTGGTACTGAAAAGCAATCCTGCCAATTGTGAATTTTTTACACATTTTTGTGAATTTTTTTATGTGTTTTTGGCATTGTGAAGAGGTCTTTTTTTCTGGTTCAAAATCAACCAAAAAAAAAAAATCACTGTAATAATTCATTATTCAAGAATGAAGGACTTAGGTGTAATCTAATGATTAAAATAACTGTGAAAAGGTGTTTTTATATTTTTATTTGGTAATATATATTGTTTCATGTTAATGACTACATGTTCTTAAATCAATTTTGTATAAAAGTAAATGTGAAATGTGATTGCATACCAGTTGTTGCTTATTTATTTTTTATAACATACTTGTTACCACCTTATTCGCTATTTAACAAATAAATGAATATCACTAGACCTTCACATAGTTACAGGTGTATGTATATCAATCACTGTCCAATAATCTTATCCTCTCACAATAAAGGTGTTAATAGGAAAAGGTGTTAAATTTACAAACACTTTTTAGAATCAAATAAACATAAAATGCACTTTACTTATCAAATTCATTCTTTTAATAATCTTCAAGAAATATTATAAGATTAAGTCAAAACTTAAATGATAACTAACAAATAAAAATTGGGAGAGAACTGTCTGCATATTTCAAATTTGGGAGAGAACCGTCAGGGGAGGAAACGGATTGGGAGAGAAACGTCAGGGAGAGGAACTGGTAAGGGAGAGAATAGTCTCATTCCTGCATTGTCACTCTGTTTTCATATACTTTGTCTTTTCTTTTCAAGTATCACAGGGTGAGAAAAATGTGTTGGATAACCAGGACTCGAACCCAGGACCCTCAGAATACCATTCCGTGGCTCTATCAATTGAGCTAAAAAACCCTGATTTTCGAACTTGTCTCCCGTTCTCCCGCCTTGGGATAATTTCCCCGATATTAAAATATTCAAACAACAAAACAATTAAAATAAACATAATTTAATGATAGACTTAAACAACTTTTGCAACTATACATACCTGAAGTAATATCTCCCCTCAAACAGCAGGGGTCTAACGGATAATTGCATTGTTGGTTACTCAAACATACTTCAATTACTTTCAATAGCTGTCAAGAAATTAATCAATGCATGACAACATTCTCTTTTGATAAACCTGTCAGTCAGTGTCAGTATTGCAGGCGTTTAACCAATGACAATGCCCGATACTGAATGCGTGACACGTCAAATTTTGGGACGAGTTTGGTGTCAGTGTTGCGTCTTTGAAGTTGGTAAGAAGTAGGGAATGGTGCAATGATGCAAATTAAAAATATATTTGCAATTTTCAACTTGTTCATGCATAGCTCAAAAATTATTTCACCTGTAGGTCTGAAAGTTTACAAGATAGTTGGTCAGCATGTGTACTTATGAACCTTGGGGTTGCTTTTGGATTTATTCAGTATTTGTAAAGTTCTTGCCCTTTACATGAACTTAGTAAAAGATTTTTAGTTTTCAAATTGTGGCACATGTAGCCCAAAAAATTTTTGACCTAGAGTCATAAGATTGACAAAACAGTGGAGTGTTGGGGCACCCGTGTCCTATTGACACATTTCTAGTTTAATCAAAATTTAGAACATACGAGGGTTGTCCCAAAAGTCCGTGACAAATTTTATAGACGGTTCATTTTTAACGCCAATAGAAAATAATTCACACATATAACCGTTAATTTTATTATTTAACATTACAACAAATCATTTACAAAATATTTACTCTAGTTACTTAGAAATTTTCAATATTAACGACCACGGGTTGAGTTGCCGGCGCACGTCAAATAATTTGCATTTTGTTATGAATAGGCTAAAATTTAATTACGTATATTTCAAATATCTGATGATGTGTCTGCACAATGTCATGTTGACTTCCTCTGCTGCTATGTTTACATCATCTCAGAAAATTTTAGTTAAATAAATTAAGAAACGAAAAAGATTTGAATAAATGAAAATATCTCATATAAAATAGGAAAGTTAAAATGGCGACGTTCTAAGAATTTGCGGCGCAGTGAACAGGTAACTCAGGTTTCATGACTATTTCGAGACGACACATGTTACGATTTTTAACAAATTTACCAAATAAAACAGTTTAGCAACATTTCCTGAGCATTTGTTTACTAAAGGCATGAACGGAACCAGAGTTTTACGCTACAAAAAGCGAAAATAAGGAAAACACGGATAGGAAGACCGATCTTCGTCGCCTACTTCCCACAGCTAAAATCAGGTGCAAGGAGACTGGAAGTTCATGTATAGCAAAAATTAATGTATGCCATCCAAACATGCAACAGACATTAATAACCACATGATTTAAATCTGTAATTGACGATTTATGGGTACCATTATTGCTTTGAAAGCCATTGAGAGTATTTGAGAAAGGCGCCTGATATAGATTTAACGTCGTCTTTGATGTTTGACGTGCGCCGCGATTCAGTTAGTTGCCATGGTGTTGATGGCATATTTTTGTTGTTTATTGATATTTTTCTATGTAAATTTGTGAAAATGTTTCAATTATATGGGGTTATAACATATTAAAATATCAAATTCGTACCTATTTCATTTAGCTTTTAAACAATCTTGTCACATAATATTGGGACAACCCTCGTATTTCATAGATTTATGAATGCTATTGAAGCAGAGTTGTCACAACAGTGTCAATGCAAGAGCTTCAGTTTCAGTATTACTTCTAATATAATTTAATTATTGTCAAATATTTTACCTTACAGGACAAGGGCTACATGCTTTTTACCAAGAGTATGTATAAGGATACAATAGTCTCATTAAAAAGTAAGTTCAATTTTTACTTAAGTTTTTTTTTTTTAAATAAATACAAATAAATGAGTAAAAGAGTTTGTTTTTGTTTACATTTTTAACAGCGTAAAATTAAAAAAAACTTCATTTAGGAGATTTTGGTAATTCTGTACAGCAATGATCATTGGATAGGCTTTTTGCTTTAATGATTCTGGCCTGTAGAACAAGATGGTCACAAAATTAAAAATAAGCTTTAAATGACATCTGTTCCTCAGTGGCTTGTTATGACTTTGATGGAACCTGTACAGAAATGATCTGTTACTGAAATTGCTCAAATGGTTTTGGTCTATTGACCAAAGAATATCCAAGTTATTAAATCTTGGGTATGTAAACCATATTCTATTGTGAGTTATAAGGGCCATCATCATTGGGGGTGAACCCAATATGGATCTCAAAAATGACCACCAATTAAAAAAAATATGTGAATTTCCACTGATCCAGATTTGCAGTACAAAAACCATATGTGAAAAATAGGTCAGTCACAGTTTTCGACTTTTTAAACATTTATATAAAATTTAAAGTTTTTTAAGAAAATCCAAGTGTAATTCTACCCTTCTGACTTTTCTCAACAGTTACCCATTTTTGTATCAGATTTTAATGCAGCCTTTCAAATAAATGTTGAGATATTCTTTCTGTCATGGGTTCTTGTGTGTACGAAGTACTTCATATAAAACGGTGTTTGGGACAAGACCATCTAAAGATTGAACTGGCTTTGCTCTTAAGCTTTAAATGACCTTTAAGGTAACCTAATGGTCAAACCTGAAGGTCAAATTATTGAATTATGCTGAGATTGTCATGATTTTTAACCAGGTTTTCCGATTATTAGATTGAGGTATGTGGGCCCTTAAATAGAGTATATAGTGAACAATTTCTTCTGTTGCCCAACTGCTTCTACATTTCTCAAAGGATTTTGTTCAAATTTTCACAGATTAGCTTTATCTTCAAGTGCCCTGATGTGTATTGTCAAGGTTTTATGATTGGATAAGTTTTTACCTTTTACCTTATTATGGCCCTTTGTCTTTCCACAAAATTTAATTATTAGTGTAATATATCCTATTAATCACAAACTTTATTTAGTTATAAAACAGAAACTATCTAGGTTGTTGCATGCCTGCCAGCTCATCTGCCTGCTTTTGGGTCCTGTAGAGTCAAGGTCAAGGTCACTGTTGCTAAATATAGAAAATCTTTTTCCAGTCAGGTCACTGTTACTAAAAATAGAAAATAGGTTTCCGGTCAATAACTAGTTTGGAATAAGATATTTTTATGAAATTTGTGGTAAAGCAAGTTTTTATGAAGACCTCACTTGGGATGGCTTTTTGGCCTCCTAGGGTCAAGGTTACAGTTACTAAAAATAGAAAATTCATTAATCATGATTTGCATTGCACATAGTTACATTGTTTGTTGCTTGTATTTGTATTTCAACTACAATATATTTATCTACAATGGTGATAACTGAAAACCTGGTTTCGAGGCATTGCCATGTTTATTGTGTTATGTCTTTAAGAATATAATTGACTGTAACTTTGTAATTGATTAATGAATTATTTTCATTCTTTGACAAAATAACTTTTTGGTCATGAATTATTTTCATACTTTGACAAAATTACCTTTTGGACATGTCCTTCTTAAAGGTTGAACTGACTTTAAATGACCATGACGTTCAAGGTCAAATTATTGAATTTTGGTTTAGTTGTCATAATTGTGTTATTTATGTACAGATTTAATTCATTTTGGGATGAAACAACACTTGTGACCAGACCTGGACCTTTGAATAACCTTAACTGTCAATGTTAAATTATTGAAATTTGCATATATTTTCTTAACTTTGTCTTTTATTTATGGAAATGATTTATACATGGACAGAACAACAAGTGTGACTAGACCAAGCTATTAAAATTTGGAAAAAAAGAAAAACTAATTTTAATTTGAAGATTTGTTTAAACCTTTTAATTATTTCCTTTTAAAAAAGTAAAAAAGGTAGAGTGTTGCCCCTGCTGGCTCTTGTTCTGGAACAAAACCAAATTCTCTATAAATTATTAATTTAAACAAAGTTTGCCTGTCAATAACAAATTTAAAGTTTGTCCAAGGACTTTTGGAGGGCACTGTATAATTATATATGTGTTAAATGCATTCAGAAATAAAATATATGTATTTGTGAACAGATTTCTTTGATATAAATATATTTAATTTTTATTTTACAGTTGACTGTTCATCAAAGACAAGTGCACAGATTAAGATTGAGTGGTTACTTAGGTATACACCTTGTGCCACAGAGTTTCAATCTTTAGAAGGTGCTAAGGTTTGTAAATTTATTGTATTATCAAACTGAAGATTTGTATAAAATCATTGGTTAGGAATGTTGGTTAGGAATGTAACAAACACATGTGTATTTGTATTTTGGGGAGTAACATGGTTAGAATGGTATGATATAGCATATCATTTTAATCTCATCTGTTTTGAAGAAAAAGTCAAACTGTTGAAATGGCTGCATCAGCGTTGATTTTGTTTATCATCTTTATTCAAACAGGTAGGTATCAATAAGAAAGTTGGACTACTTGTTAATCATGACATGGTGCAGTTGTAAGGCAAGGGCATTATTTTTTAAAGCAGTATTTTTGGAGTTGTGCCCCATTTTCACATATAACTGTTAATTAAACATTGCCTGGAATGCCCATGTTTACATTATCTTAATAAGCATTTAGTTTGTCATTTTTAGCGTAAAGTTTAAGTGATTTTTTATCATAGTAATTTTTTCATTAATATCTCTTGAAGTGGTAATTTGATAAATGACATATTATTGTGTTGTAAATGTTTAACAGGCAGAAGGAGCAGCCATTGAGATGATGCTTGGTGAAGGGCCACATAAACTTTTGTTTCCAGACTTCAAATATGATACTATAGAGTATATCACTAAAAGTTATGAAGAAATATGTGATGGCTCTACAATCTTTTTAGAAGTAAGCCCATGCTTTTAAAAGTTGAATATTTTCATTTATATATACATTGATGGATTTTTCATTACACTGATTTGCAGTATTACTGATGTAGATAGAACACTGTTGAAATTAAGGTAGTTGTTTTTATTGCTCCCAAAGAAAAAATTTGGAGAGCATATAGTCAAAGCTTCATACTTCCATAGTTCTGCGGCACTTTCCATATAGTTTCACCTACCAACTTCATTTATTGACAGATCTCTTTCATATTTGAGCTGTGTCACGACAAAACCAACATAAATGGTTTGCGACCAGCATGTATCCAGACCAGCCTGCGCATCCGTGCAGTCTAATCAGGATCCATGCTGTTCACTATCAGTTTGTCTACTTGTTATAGAGTTGATAAGCGAACAGCATGGATCCTGATCAGACTACGTGGTGGCGCAGGCTGGTCTGGATCCATGCTGGTCGCAAACCCACTATGCTGGTTTTGTCGTGACGCGGCTCATTTGGTAAAAATATATCTAATGTGGTCCTCTACATTTGGATTGAGTTTGGGAGCACTTGGGTCGAGGTCACTAATGCTAAGAAATATACTTAAAACTTTTGCCTATTCAGTCTTTATTTATTGACTGACATAGTTCATATTTAGTTCAATGTCAGCGGTCTGGAGGTAGGGGTCACTTTGGTCAAGGTCAAGGATTCTGGTACTAAAAAAAGTTTTTTAAAGCTTTGGTTACACAGCCTTTATTTATTGACGGATGCCTTTCATATTTGGTAGAATTATACCTTGGATGGTTTTCTGACTTTGGATGGAGTAAGGGGTCACTTGGATTAAGGTCACCTGTGCAAAAAATAGATTTTTACACTGTTGCAGATGTTTTTCATATTTGGTAGAAATATATTTTACTTAGTCCATCTGTTAGAGTGGTCGATGTCAATTATGCTTAAAAAAACAAAAAAAACTTACATTTTTTTACATATTTTGAAATATATTTTGAATTATAGTAAGAGTAAAATTAGCGAGCATCCATAGTCTTAAGCTATATGTCCTCTGTTTCATTTCTTTGCTAAAATTTGCACAATTTTTCAAGCTTTTAATGCTACTTGAAAAACTTAAATTTATCATCATTAATTTTACAGTGCATCACCAACTGTCATTTTAATCTATTTACAAATTTTTATGGACCCCCGTCCTTTCAAAGAAAAAAATGGGGAGACTATGTGTCATGCGCAAGACCCAGACCCCTACCACCAAGGCCAAGGTCAAGCTGAGAGATCAAAGCGTAAAATGATCTATATTTTCCTTGTCCAGAAAATAACTTTGAAGGTATTAGAGAGATTCAGGTGAAATTGAATAATCCAGTGAGAGAGACGGCGGCACTGCAAAAGAACTATAACTCCATCTTGAATAATAATTTTAATTATCTGGCTTTTAATAATGAATTTATTGTTGCATGTGCAGATCTTACATTTATGAAGAATTTTCACTGAAAGTCTAGATCCCTATCTCAAACTTTTGAAATAATAGTATTGTGTGCTTCATGTATAACTTCGTTTAATTTGGAGGAGAATGGTAACTATTACAACAGTCAGTGACAATGGTCTAATGTTGATAATGATTTAGCGAGATTCTATAACTTTTTAGATACTATTTCAAATACTAAAGCTGACATATACATGTATATAAACATGTTTTGTTTTACAGGCAAAAACTATGGAAAAACCAACAATAGAAAAAATAGATAAGGTATGGATCATTTGTCATTATATTATTGGTTTGCATATTGTGATAAAAAAGATTACAGAATACCTTGAAAGAAAATATTCTTTTATTGAAACTGAGTTGGGCAGGTGTGAAATCATCGCCAAATTGGCTAAAAATAGCAGCATTGTATTTTGTTCCAAAACATTTCCTTAAGTTTATGTTCAGCATTATGTATAAATAATAACATATTATATATTCAATGTTACAAATCTTTTTAAGATATGGCCATATGGCTATGAAAAACAACTTTATTGTTTTTTTAATTTTTATGAAATATTTCATAAGATATAGCTTCATACACTTTAAGATTTCCTTTAAACTTTGCTCAAATTTTAACCCAAACAATGAGGTACTAGTATGCAGAATCCATGAAGGTTAAATGTCAGAAAATTTTGTGTCTACTCTAAAATCCAATATTCTTAGAAGGATTTTAATGCCAATGCAGCAAAGTTAAATGTAAAATCTTTGAAGCTGCTATACCAGCTTTAGGTGAAGGTTACTCTCTAAGGTCAAATCTTCGACAGTTTTGTGATGTTCTATAAATTTTGTACTCCTTAAAGGACTTTCTTCTAACGTAACTCAAATATTTACTTTCAAAAATAATAATAAATGGACCTACATAAAGTCTTATGTTATTGAGATGGTCGAGGTATTTGTTACTCCTGTTATAGCTATGGTTAGTTATTTCTAGCTTTAAAAACCTGTACTATCGTTTTAATGATATAGAGATATAATGTGATTTTGGAAAGAGACTAGATAATGATTATTGATGAAGAATAAGAATTTTTATAAAATGTTCAATGATGGCAGTGTTTGTGGCAGAAGTGGTTAAGCTTAACATCCCAGATAATGGTAAGCATTTAATTGAATTGTTTAAAACATTGTTTAGCTTAATAGTAGTGAGTACTAGTTATTTATATAAAATAATTACTCTTTGGTGTACATGTATATAAACTTTTATGTTAAACAAGGATCAGGAATTATCTATACTTTAATTAAGGTTGCGGAACAAACAGAGAAAAAAACAGAGAAATCCACTACAGAGGAGGCGGCTGATAAAGATAAGAATGATAAACCATCTCGGAGAAAACGAGAAGATCCAGTTACAAAAACTAAACCTTTAGAATCAGTGCAAACAGATAAAACTGTCACTACAACCAAAACTAGTGATTCAACAGTAGGAGTTACACCTAAGGCTAATATTTCACAGAATGTTAAACAAGATCAGGAGGTGGGTTATCTGGAAAACTAAGAACTTAACTTTGATATTGACGTTGTTTTCCTGAACAAAAGTTGTCATTTATGATGTAGTGAATTTATCAAGTTTATAATTCAGGGTTCCAATTAATATGATGCTACAGAGTTTTTTACTTACTTCATGTACAGATGTTTATGTAACTCACATTGCCTGTTTATATATTTGATCCTGGTCTCCAGGGATAACTTAAATTGATAAGTGAAACAGTTACTGCTGACTGCATCTAACACCCAAATGTGACATTATATGCAATTCCATTAGACGTAAGTGCCCCTGTTATTTGCTTCTGTAAAAATCATTAAGCGTTTTACACTGCTTTTTGAATTTCATTTATTCTCAAATGAATAGCTTATTCAACATAAAAAGTTACTTGGTTATAACTGGTACTTAAAATGATGGGACAGGCAACAACTGTAACAAAATTGAACTAAGTGTAACAAAATCTCAAGTTTCTCAACTATTTTTACCTTGCCATTGTAAGTGTACTGGAGAAGTTGTTAGCTCGACTATACGAAGTATATGGGGAGCTGTCCTACTCGCCCCGGCTTCGGCGTCCGCATCCAGATTTTAGATGAAAGTTTTGGTGCAGTAAAATATTTTTCACTATAACTTTGTCATTTCTTAAGGTATCATAACTCTAGAACCAATATTTTCAGATTTATCTCCCCTTGAACTTATAATTTTCCTTAAAAAATACTATTTTTTACTGATACTTCTTTATTTCTTAAGGGATCAACCTCATACTTCAAATATATGTACCTTAAAATCATCCCCATCTTATGTGACAAGGTTCATAACTCTAGCACCAATATTTTCAGATTTATCTCCCCTTGAACTTAGAATTTTCCTCAAAAAATACTATTTCTTACTGTTTCTTCTTAATTTCTTAAGGGATCAACCTCATACTTCAAATATATTTACGTTATCATCATCCCCATCTTATGTGACAAGGTTCATAACTCTAGCACCAATATTTTCAAATTTATCTCCCTTTGAACTTAGAATTTTCCATAAAAAATATTATTTTTTACTGTAACTTATTTATTTCTAAAGGGATCAACTTCATACTTCAAATATATTTACGTTATGATCATCCACATCTTATGTGACAAGGTTCATAACTCTAGCACCAATATTGCAAGAATTATCTCCCCATAAACTTAGATTTATTTACTAGAAAAATGTTATTTTTTATTTTAACTTTTTTATTTTTAAAGGTAACTACCTCAAACTGCAAATACTTATTCCTTATCACCAATTACATTTTATGTGACAATGTTCATAACTCTTGAAGCAATATTTACAGATTTATCTCTTTTTGAACTTGGGATTTTCTTTAAGAAATATAATAACTTCTTTCTTTTTAAGGTATCTACTTCAAACTTCAAATATGTATTTCTTATCATTACACAAATGTTGTGTGGCAAGGTCCATAACTCTAGCATGACTATTTCTAGAATCATTCCCCTTGATCTTGGAATTTATGTTAACAAATGTTATTTTTTTTACTATAACTTAATACATAATTATACATAATTGATTTTTCTTTCATAGTTTTGTCCTTACTGCGTCCAGTATTTTATTAGTCAAGCTTCGCTGTCTCCTGTGACAGCTCTTGTTTTTTTAGTACTCTTACTGCTAATTTCTCTGGCTGTCATAGTCACTCAACTGATTACCCTGTGGAGTGAGGCTGAATCGAGGAAAAAAAAGCGACCATTATATTCTTTTTGAAAATAAACCACTTGACCAGATTGTTACTGTTAAAAAGTACAAATACCTATGTAACAGTACAAATTTCTTAGTCATGGGTTCCCACTTGCATTAACAGGAAGAATAATTCCCATTGGCCTGTGGGAAAATAACTTAAGCTTTTGTGATGGCATGTGTCCATTTTTTTAGTTATCCACAATTTCTTGAAACAGCATCTCCTCCTTAACAACCACTTGGTGGATTCTGACCAAACTTCACAGGAATGATCCTCCCTGATATAAGCTGGGCGAGTTGTTACTTCTCTAAAATTTCGGTCTTGCTATGCCCGGATTAAACTTTGTAGAAATACAGAGAGCCAAATATTAAGATCATTTCTATTTAATTACATTTTTGTACAGTTTGCCCATGATTAATTTTTTGTCTAAATACATATATTACAGGTAGATCATCCAAGTTTGGCCAAGGTCTGGAAATCGGGATACTATGCCTTTGTTGTAAAAATAACACCAGTTAATGAGAATGACAAGTTTGATGCTAAATGTAAGTTTGAGTTTTACTATATAAAGCAAAAGAAGAACAGTTCTTAAGACAATCATCATCTTGTGTCCAGATTTTTAATTAAAGTTTTTGAAGTTTTTCAAATGTTGTTCCTTGTCATTTATTATACATAGAGCATGGCTCATAACTCTCGGTACTTTTCACTGAAATCACTGATGTATTGCTTTTGAATTTGGAACACTTATTTATGACCTCACCTACAGACTAGACTATGTACAAAACTTTGGCATAATCATGTTCCTTTTTATTGAGAGAATTTTGAAAATGACTGTCTTTATTTCACTATCAATCAGTTTGATAAGCTCAAGGTGCTGTCCTTTAGACAGCTGTTTAACAATTTATTATCCCTCATTACAAACTATTATAGAATATTATAGGATTGTGTATTAGCAAACATTGTACATATTTGTATTGATAGTAGAACCTGATTGATATCTCTTCATGGTAAATTATTGGCTCTGATTTAATGATTAACTATATAACTTTGAACATTCATCCTATAATATTACAATTTTTGTTGGTATAAAATGTGAGTGCTTGTGATGATATAATTTTACTACAGTGTTGATAAATGTTTAACAAGACTAATTAACCAAGAATTTTACTATTTTTAATTGCACTCTCGTGTTTATCAAATCAATTAATACAAGTTTATTAGCTGTGTACTGCAGCCATCTGGTTTATTATTAGTTAATTGCTTTTAGCTTGTTAGAGGCTCTCTGACATTTTACACTGCAAAATCGCAACTTTTGTTTCTATCAAATGCAGAAATTTTATTTATTTATTTTTCAGTGACTGTTGCTATGAAAGGAAAAGTTGGATATATATCAGCTGTAGATTGGCCGCTGCTTATTGTGAGTTGTTTTCTGTAACTCTTTTCTTTGCATGAATCTACTGTAATATCTTTATTTCCTAATTCTTTACAAAAAATCACTCTTGTTAAGTTATAACAAGTGGCCTTCATACATATTACTTATTAGATGCAATTATGAAATAATCTGAACAGTTATTGTGAATGTGTAATTTGATTTAAAAAAAAACAGGGGAGTTATAAGTTTCATTTAGCATTATCTAGTATGTTATAAGTAAATAAATGACATAGATGTTTTGATATATTTTAAGTTTTATGGAGTTATGGGACTTGTATATATAATATATGGACTTGTATGGTTGGTTTTGTTGGCCTGTAATTGGAGAGATTTAATGAGGTTACAGTACTGGATTGGTGGTGTCATTGTTCTAGGTATGTAACTTCATTATACATATTTCAGATGTACATTCATTATGTTGTCAAAACTGGCATTCATTAGATAATATTATAATGCAAGTAAAATTTCTCCCACATGACATGTATAGAAATAAAATCATTAACTTTAATGTTGATACCTGTAAAGAGCAATAAACACAAATAAAAGTATAAGAAAATTGTAGAATTGATTAACATATCATTTCTGTATAGTAATATTGTACAAGAAGGTGATGAAATGACTTTAGATAGCATCATATAATTATGTTAATATCTACAGAAGAGAGGGAATGATTTGATTTTGATTGCAATATAGAATAAATTAACTCTTTGTTACTCAATTGTCAGGAATGTTAGAGAAAGCTGTGTTCTATGCTGACTACCAGAATATAGCAAACAATGGAAAGTCGGTGACAGAGGGTACTGTGATATTTGCTGAAGTTGTCTCATCATTGAAGCGTGCTCTTGCTAGAATGTTGGTCATTATTGTTAGTGTGGGCTTTGGTATTGTCAAGTAAGAACAATTCTTTTACTTGTTAAATTAACAGATTAACAATGTTATTCTAAAACTGAGCTTAGAATAATATTTTTAGCTTGACTGTTGGACAAATAGTGGGGCTATCTACTCACCAGGGCATCAGTTTACCAAGGCCCAAGTTTGGCTGAATTATAGCCCTTAGTGAATATAGAACATTTTTGTGGGACCTGCTACACAGTAGCAGCTACATATAGGGACATATAGGGATCACTTCTCTGTCATCTGTCTGTCTGTCACAAAACTTGTCTGGACTACTCCTCAAAAACTATATCATCCAAGATTTTACAGTACCAAGACTACTTAGGCATATCTTCGGCATTTTCCAGTTCAATGAGTTACTGCATTAAAAAAAAAATTTTTTTTTAAGTTTTATTTGAGTGAAACTTTACAGGATTGATTGGTACCCTGATTACTTGTGCATATATAACGGCTCTTCTGGTTGAATGATTTTTGGCTTAGTTAGGGCCCTTGGATAAAAAAAGTGTTTTGGCCTTTTATTATGCTCCCCTTCAAATAAGTGGGGGTATATTTCTTTGCATTTGTCTGTTTGTCTGTCCGTCCCAAATGGTGTCCGATCAATAACTCAAGAATGCTAATGCCAAGGAATTTCAAACTTGGTATGGGGATTGTTCATGGATTTTTCATTCCCAATTGTTTTTGGGGTCTTTAGGTCAAAGGTCAAATTGACCTTGAATTACAAAATGGTTTCCAATTAATAACTGAACAACTCATGGGACTTTGACCTTCAAACTTCGCAGGTGCATTGGTCTTGGCCTGTAGATGACCCTTATTGATTTTTTGGTCATGGTCAAAGATCAAGGTCATATTGACCTTATAGGTAAAAATTGTTTTCAATCAATAACTTGGCAACCCATGAGCTGTTGGCCTTTAAAATACATATATAATAGGTGAATTGGTCTTGGCAAGTAGTCATTATAGATTTTGGTGTCAAGAGGTCAAAGATGAAGGTCATATTGACCTTGTAGGTAAAAACAGTTTCCAATCAATAACTCAACAACACATGTTTCACAGTAGCTGCAACATGCAATTGCATCATGCAACAAATGTGATCACTGATCTGTCTTGTTGTTTAAAGTATTACTTGCAGCATCAACTGATTGTATTCACATGAAACTTAAAACATATCCAGTGTACATACTGTATTTTCTGTTTAAACACCAGTGTCTGTTGTTTTAGGATGCTGACATGAAATTATTTTAATGTTATATATTTACAGTATGTCACATCAAAAGTCAATATTAATAAATGACATTCTCCCAGCATTGCACTTTTTTAGGGTAAATTTTTATGCATTTTCAGTTGCTGTTTACTAAAAATTATTTTGAATGAAGGGAATCTTTGCATTAAAAATGATTTTTGGAATAAATCTTGTTATTATAATGCACTTAATGTTTATGTAAGGATGTTTTGTATTTCAGGCCCAGATTAGGCCCTACCTTCCATAAAGTGCTGTTTGTTGGTGGTCTTTATTTTATCCTAGCCACCATTGAAGGCAGTATGAGAACATTAAAGGTTTGATATAATTCATTTATTATGTTTCATAGCTTTGCTGAGTGAAGATTTTAAATTTGATCTTGATAGACTGAGATTAATAAAAAAGACACTATTCATTCATTAGTCGGCTATGTGGTGTTGATACAACAAGGTAATTAAAACTAAACTTACTGAATTAATTACAAACGCAGTGAATACGTAAAATAAGGAATATGTGAAATTTAAAAGGAGTTTAGACTTTATTTGTTTTTATTTCATGCTTTCCAGTGTTTTATTGTAATACATCAGATGATTATATTCTGATAAACCACTAGTGAAATTTATAAAATATAATTTTCACTGTAGCCGGACTATATCTGAATGCGGATGAAAAGAAAATCATAAATAAATGGAATAACATGCAGAAATAAATGCCGTCATGCGTAAATTTTGCCGTTTTAGGAAACGAAAGCCGATGTCACCATACATCATGTTAAAAATGTAACAAAATTAGAGAAATTTAACAGAACTATATTTCAAAATTGATGATGTGACGTCATGATGTGATGACGTCACAAAGGAGAATGCGCGACGTTACGCGGTAAAATCAGTAAGAATTACTTAAAATAACTTAAAACGCATGAAATAAAAAGAAAATTAATTTGTTTTACATATAAGATTGAAATATATTTCATTCGTGAACACCAGCTATTATATTTTCACTCGTGGCTACGCCACTCGTGAAAATATTGCATCTGGTGTTCACTCAGTGAAATTATATTTCAATCTTACATGCAAAACAAACAAATATCCTCTATATAATACACAATGCTTTGTGATAAAATATACATTACTTTAAAGTATTTGTCATGTTTATGATTTATTGTATTAAATATGACATGATTTGTATGGTATGTGATTATAAATACTTATATATGTCCATCTTTTGGTAAAATATGAAAATGAAACTTGAATTATATATTTTCATACTATCTTATATATTACTATTGTTAATCTAACTGCCAATTAAGTGTGGTGAAAAACATGTATATATGTTTATGCTAATAAATATTTTGACTTTAACTAGAGGATAGTAACACACTACCCAGGTACTTTATGAAAAAATGATATTGTTGTACTTTCACAGCTTTCTAATTACTTTCCCATGCTGACAGATATTTGTATAGAACAACAGGAGATTATAGACTGTTAATCTATGATTATTTCAGCCAAAGGGAGATCAGTCTACAGATCTGATGTTGGCTGCTGTACCTCTAGCAGTTGTTGATGCTTCTATTTGTTGGTGGATCTTCTCAAGTCTTGTTCAGACAACTAGACAGTTACGTTTGAGGAGGAATGTTGTTAAACTAGCTCTCTATAGACACTTTACAAATACTCTCATCTTCGCAGTATTAGGTTTGTGTATAAATATCAACATACATGACTTTCATTCTAATTTGAAGAAAATATGCCTGGTTTTGTTATAGTAATGTGATCATAGATCTTTCACTATGATATAATTGATATTTCCCAAAAGTTATGTTGTTTTTGTTCTTGTTTAATTTACATTATTTGTAAATGCCACTCTATTATAACAAGAAATATTATTCCTTAAAGTTTTATGATGAGTAGAAATTTTAAAGTGCAGGCAGAATGTTGTAACTAGACTTTAGAAAATTATTGTTGATATGCCCTTTCTCTTCAGCACTTATATTTGTATCTTCTGTTGTTCATCAAATATTATACTTATTGCCAGATATAGTACACATATGGTCTATGGCTCATTACGTTTAATTGTGATAGATAACTGTAGATGATGTGAGCTGGTAGTGTAAGTGTACTTTGATATTGAAATAAATGAGTTACCAAAATAATTTTTATCATTCCAGCATCAATCATTTTCATGATATGGTCAATAATACAGATCAAGATGAAGACTTGTCTAAGGGTAATCTATTCTCTCTTTATATAATATCTGTTTTGATTAAACTTTCAGTTATATGCTACTTGTCAGAATCTATCAAGATTTTTAAAGCTTTTATTATCTCTGAAATGTTGATTTCGTACAATTTGATTCTGATGGAATTGATGAAAATGTGCAGCTGAATGATTAACTGATTAAAGAATAAAAATTGATGAATTTGTTGATGTGGTTTTATATTGATTTTATATAGAGGATATTGAATGAGTGTAAGTTCAATACTGAACTTATTTAACAAGTTATATTATGCGAGCCTCTGGCGAGCATAATATTATTTTATTCAACTATTTCACTAAATTTAGTATTGATGTTACATGAGTAAAATATTCTATTTATCACATATCCAAAATAAATAGTGTTTAGATTGAAAAAGAATCATATTTCAATGACGTGCCTATAGTATAATGCTAACAATTAGCGCATCTTAACACTGCGTCTTAACACTGTGTTTATATAATGCAAATGTCGTAAAGTCAAATTATATGCACGGCCGTGCAATACCGTTTTTACGGAGTTGTAAAATCTGCATGTGTATTTGATAAATACTGTATATACTCTATAAGAGGTTTCATGTTTTCAAAACTATATAATTATTCGACACTTTCATTTGTATTTCTCAAATTGTTTTCTTATTTTATAAAGTTTTCAATTGAAATGGTCATGACAAATACCTAACAAAGTTTATGTTTGGTTATACACCTTAGATTATTTCCTTCTTTATGATCTTTTCATCTGTTTATATATTCCAAATGGGATATTTGTTGTTGTTTTATAGTGAGAGAAGTTGTTTGTAAGTATGATATTGTAATTACAGGCATGGAGAGAGATCTGGTTAGATGAGGCATACTGGCATTTGTTGTTCTCTGTTATCCTAGCAATTATCATGATTTTATGGAGACCTTCATCAAATAACCAGAGGTGAGATTATATAAACCTTGTTTTAATTTAAATATATTCAATCTATGTCCATGACTATTTTTATCATTGTGTAAGTAGATACAGTGTAAATCATGCATCCAGTCTAGAGATAGATTTGTGTGAAATTAGCATTTGTAGATTGAAGTACATTGTGCTATTTTAACACAATCAGAGAATACCATCCTGTGGTGCAAGTCATGCAATAGTGATTTCTGATCACACATGTGGGAAAGCACCACACATAAGAAGTTTACCCTAATTTCTTGTTAATATATATTTCCATCTTATTCCAAAGAGTCATAATATTAATAACCCAAAGAATCCCTGGAAAATATTTTTTATCCGGTACATTTAGCTCTTCAGAGGTTACTTTATGTCTGTTATATATTTGTGTATATATATTATATAGGTATGCATTGTCTCCGTTGATTGATGTAAATGTCTGTATATATATTTGTGTATATATATTTTATAGGTATGCATTTTTAGCTCGACTTTTCTATGAAAAGGGGAGCTATCCTACTCGCCCCGGCGTCGGCGTCGGCGTCGGCGTTGGCGTCACACCTTGGTTAAGTTTTTCGTACCACCCCACTTTATTTCAGAAGTATTACAAGTATGGCTTTGAAACTTACCATACTTGTTCACCATCATAACCTCCATCTACAGACAAGAGTACATAACTCTGTCAAGGTTTTTGACAGAATTATGGCCCTTTTTTGACTTAGAAAGTGTATTGAGCTTGGTTAAGTTTTTTGTACCACCTCACTTTATTTCAAAACCATTGGAGGTATTGCTTTGAAACTGACCATACTTGTTTACCATCACGACCTTCATCAACAGACAAGAGGACATAACTCTGTCAAGGTTTTTGACAGAATTATGCCCCTTTTTGACTTAGAAAATACATTGAATATGGGTAAAATCCACTTATTGCCTTAACCCTTTGAGATATTGCTTTGAAACTTTTAATGCTATTTCACATCATTACCCCCATCTGTACGCAAGAGAAGGTAACTCTGTCAAGGATTTGTTTTAAAAATTAAGGCCTTTTATCGACTTAGAATCTTGGTTAAGTTTTTAGTACCAGTCCACTTTTTGACTGAACTGTTTGAGATATTAATTTGAAAGTTGGAATACTTGTTTACAATCATGATTCCCAAACATGTCCAGGAGAAGGTAATTCTGTCAAAGATTTTATTTGAATTATGGCCCTTAACTGTCAATGTTTTGTATTATAGGCAAGCACTAAAAAACTTAAAAAATCTAAAAAAATATCTTAATGCTCATGGCCATTGTTCACTTTAAAAATACAGAGATTCTTGTATTGCCTTTTACTGCAAAAACTTTTTTTATTGGCAAGCAATAAAAAAGTCGAGCGCGCTGTCTTACGGACAGCTCTTGTTAGCTCACCTGTCACAAAGTGACAGGGTGAGCTTTTGTGATCGCTTTTCGTCCGGCGTCCGTCCGTTCTCCGTCCATAAACTTTTACTTTAAATGACATCTCCTCATAAACCACTAAGCCAATTTCATCCAAACTTCACAGGAATGTTCCTTTGGTGGTCACCTTTAAAAATTGTTCAAAGAATTTAATTCCATGCAGAACTCTGGTTGCCATGGCAACCGAAAGAAAAAACTTTAAATATCTTCTTTTAAAAAACCATAAGAGCTAGAGCTTAGATATTTGGCATGAAACATCTTCTAGTGAGTGTCTACCAAGTTTGTTCAAATAAAAGCCCTGGGGTCAAAATTGGCCCCGCCCCAGGGGGTCATTGATTTTCCCTATATGCATATAGTAAAAACTTAAAAAATCTTCTTTTAAAGAACCCAAAGAGCTAGAGGTAAGATATTTAGCATGAAACATGTTCTAATGGGTGTCTACCAAGTTTGTTCAAATAAAAGCCCTGGGGTCAAAATTGGCCCCGCCCAGGGGGGTCATTGATTTTCCCTATATGCATATAGTAAAAACTTAAAAAATCTTCTTTTAAAGAACTCAAAGAGCTATGGCTAAGATATTGAGCATCAAACATGTTCTAATGGGTGTCTACCAAGTTTGTTCAAATAAAAGCCCTTGGGTCAAAATTGGCCCCGCCCCGGGGGGGTCATTGATTTTCCCTATATGCATATTGTAAAAACTTAAAAAATCTTCTTTTAAAGAACCAAAAGAGTTAGAGCTAAGATATTTAGCATGAAACATGTTCTAATAAGTGTCTACCAAGTTTGTTCAAATAAAAGCCCTGGGGTCAAAATTGGCCCCGCCCGGAGGGGTCATTGACTTTCCCTATATGCATATAGTAAAAACTTAAAAAATCTTCTTTTAAAGAACTCAAAGAGCTATGGCTAAGATATTTAGCATCAAACATGTTCTAATAGGTGTCTACCAAGTTTGTTCAAATAAAAGCCCTGGGGTCATTGATTTTCCTTATATGTGTATAGCAAAAACTTAAAAAATCTTCTTTGAGAAAACCCAAATAGCTAGAGTTAAGATATTAAGCATGAAACATCTTTTAGTGAGTGTCTACAAAGTTTGTTCAAATAAAAGACCTGGGGTCAAAATTGGCCCCGCCCCGGGGGTCATTGATTTTCTTTATATGTGTATAGCAAAAACTTAAAATCTTCTTTGAAAAAACCCAAATAGCTAGAGTTTAGATATTAAGCATGAAACATCTTCTAGTAAGTGTCTACAAAGTTTGTTCAAATAAAAGTCCTTGGGTCAAAACTGGCCTGGCCCCAGGGGTGTCATTGTTTTTAACTATGTGTGTATAGTAAAAAAATCTTCTTTTAAAAAGCCCAATGAGCTAGAGCTTAGATGTTTAGCATGAAACATCTTCTTATGGGTGTCTACCAAGTTTGTGCAAATAAAAGCCCTTGGTTAAATTGGCCCTGCAATGTTGGGGGGTGGGGTGGGGGTTGGGGGGCCTATATACAGGTGAGCGACCTCAGGGCCATCATGGCCCTCTTGTTTCCGCTGATTAATGTAAATGTCTGTTATATATTTGTGTATATATATTATATAGGTATGCATTTTCTCCGTTGATTGATGTAAATGTCTGTTATATATTTGTATATATATATTATGTAGGTATGCATTTTCTCCGTTGATTGATGTAAATGTCTGTTATATATTTGTGTATATATATTATATAGGTATGCATTTTCTCCGTTGATTGATGTAAATGTCTGTTATATATTTGTATATATATATTATATAGGTATGCATTGTCTCCGTTGATTGATGTAAATGTCTGTTATATATTTGGGTATATATATTATATAAGTATGCATTTTCTCCGTTGATTGATGTAAATGTCTGTTATATATTTGTGTGTATATTATGTAGGTATGTATTTTCTCGGCTGATTGATGTAAATGTCTATTATATATTTGTATATATATATATTATATAGGTATGCATTTTCTCCGCTGATTGATGTAAATGTCTGTTATATATTTGTGTGTATATTATGTAGGTATGTATTTTCTTGGCTGATTGATGTAAATGTCTGTTATATATTTGTATATATATTATATAGGTATGCATTGTCTCCGTTGATTGATGTAAATGTCTGTATATATTTGTATATATATATTTTATAGGTATGCATTTTTTCCATTGATTGATGTAAATGTCTATTATATATTTGTATATATATATATTATATAGGTATGCCTTTTCTCGGCTGATTGATGTAAATGTCAGTTATATATTTCTGTATATATATTATGTAGGTATGCATTTTCTCAGCTGATTGATGTAAATGTCTGTTATATATTTGGATATATATATTATGTAGGTATGCCTTTTCTCCGCTGATTGATGTAAATGTCTGTTATATATTTGTATATATATATTATGTAGGTATGTATTTTCTCGGCTGATTGATGTAAATGTCAGTTATATATTTCTGTATATATATTATGTAGGTATGCCTTTTCTCTGCTGATTGATGTAAATGTCTGTTATATATTTCTGTATATATATTATAAAGGTATGCATTTTCTCCGCTGATTGATGTAAATGTCTGTTATATATTTCTGTATATATATTATGTAGGTATGCCTTTTCTCTGCTGATTGATGTAAATGTCTGTTATATATTTCTGTATATATATTATAAAGGTATGCATTTTCTCCGCTGATTGATGTAAATGTCTGTTATATATTTGGATATATATATTATGTAGGTATGCCTTTTCTCCGCTGATTGATGTAAATGTCTGTTATATATTTGTGTGTATATATTATGTAGGTATGCCTTTTCTCCGATGATTGATGTAAATGTCAGTTATATATTTCGGTATATATTATATAGGTATGCATTTTCTCCGTTGATTGATGTAAATGTCTGTTATATATATATTATATAGGTACGCATTTTCTCCGTTGATTGATGCAGCTGATGATGAGGATGAGGAAGATGAGTCAGTCCTCAACGATGCTTTTGGTACGATACTATTTATTATACTGTAGATTACCAATGTTGGTACGATAATATTTATTATACTGTACATTATCAATAAAGCATCTCATATACATGATTAAATACTTCAAAATGTTCGAACAAAAAACAAACATGCTAGATTGAAATTAGATATTGTTGCTATATGTGACAGCTTCCCATTTGTACATACATGTACATTGTAACCTTGATACTATCTACTTAGCTTGTATAGGGTCAGTTTACATACTTTTGTGGATTGCCTGTGGTGTTCTAGACTGTATTAGGAAATTACTGAAAGTTTTTTTTTTAATGAATTTTGAAAATTTACTTAAATCCGTAAAATCATACAGAATACATTATAAAATCAACTTATAATAAATGTTTAAAGCAGTATGGCTCAAATTCATGCAAAGATTCATGAAAATTTTGAAATGGTTTTAAAAGTAAAATATTTTAAAGTGAACAAATTTATGAATTTACACCTTACGAGCAGTGCTTAAAATTACCAAAAAGGTAAAAATGTGCAAAAATAGCCCTTACTTCATTAGTAGCGCAGTAGAAATATTGTGATAAATACTGAAAAACTAATGAGTAATTGCTTATAACATGTAAACTATTATTTAAATCTTGAAACTTTTTTAGTTTTCTTAAAATCTTAGTACATTTTTCTAAAGTTGGATTTTCTTGCAAAATTTTGACTGATCTGGAGGCATACAGCTTTTAAAGACAGAGTGAAATGTTTAATTTATTTATTTACAGCTGGTATGAAAAACAGAACCAAGCAGACAAATGGATCTCCAAAACAAAAACAAAACTCCATTGTAAGTTATTTTGCATATTTGAGTTATTTGATTTTGTATAAGACTTTAACACTTTAGACTTTGCTATTTTGTTCTTAAACTTTACCGTGGATCATAATAAAATCTATAAACATTGTATGGTGTACATATTCACTTAAAAATCATTCTCTTTCCTGAGGTCTATTTATTATTTTTTTTTATTCATGTACTTTCAAATATTCTGAAAGTTTTGATTTATAACTTTAACTGATCACATATTAAGACTCAGAAATTATTTACAATATGTTGAGCAAAGGTGTTTGGAATGGTTTAAATATTAATGGTTGACAATAGTAATGTTTTTATTGTTACTTATATTGTAATAATTTTATTTGTAACAGGAGGATGACTTGAAGTGGGTTGAAGAAAATATTCCATCAACATTATCTGACAAGTAAGTTGTGTTAACAGTATATGTAAATATCAAACTAGGAATTTTTTATTTTTATCTACACAGACATAATAATAATAATAATAATAATAATAATAATTATATCTTTATTTAGAGAAGGTAATACATTAAGAAAATACATCAGCAATCATATCTTATTTCCAATGAGGCCTTCTGAAATAGAAAAATAACAACAACAACAACAGAACATGCATATAGAGATATTTTCATGAAAGTATTAGTAAGCTATCCAGCTGGTTTACTAAAGGTTGATGTTTCTACTGGAGTGCCTGAAATGATGCACAGAAGGGGTATTTGTGGTCATCCTCCACAAGTAAAGCTGGAAAGGGGCCATTTGTATAACTTAAAATCAAAGTCACAAACATTTGCTATTTTCCTGTGGTAATTTTTTTGTATGCTAAATGTCAGTTATTTTCTTCTATATGAAATATGGCAAAATGATGTTTGATTGCAATTTTTGTTTTAGAGCACAGACTTTAATTGAATCAGATGAAGAAATTATGACGGTGAAATATGAAATGTCAAAGATGCAATAGTACTGTGTGTGAATGTAGAACAGTGACTGTGATTTCTGTATATATATTTCATCTAGGGACACAATATGCTACCAGGGTTATACACTGTGAATTTTGTCAGAAATTTGAAGCAAAAAAGACATGTTATAATTTTCTTGTATGTCTGGTAATTTAAATAATTTGGAGAAATTTACTTAGGTGCTTAAATGTAGAAATTTTAAATTATACATTTTTGCTTTTATGGAGTAGATATTAGATAAATTTTCTGGTTGTACACAGTGGACTGGACTGGACTGGTTATGTTATTGGTGTATTTAACTTTACGCTTGTAGCACATTTATAACATGGTGTTCTATATCTGGGAAAAAACACTTTTTTTCAGTTAGTATAATGCTTCTGCACACCTATACAATCTGGAGGGTTATGATTTTAGTAAATAGGATTGTAAATAATGAATGAACAAAACTAAGATTTTTTTTTCAACTAAGATTTATTTGTATTTTAAGGTAATTATGATATTGGAATAATTGTTGAAGTATTTTTTATTCTTTCCTCTTGGAAATAGTTAAGAAGAGATGTAAGTGATTATATGTAGTTTGAGTGACATTCAGTTTGATATTGCTGTTACCATCTAACATTTGAGCCGCATCACGACAAAACCAATTTTATGCGTTTGCGACCAGCATGGATCCAGACCAGCCTGCACAGTCTGATCAGGATCCATGCTTTTCGCTTACAAACGGATGCGCAGGCTGGTCTGGATCCATGCTGGTCGCAAACGCATAACGTTGGTTTTGTCGTGACGCGGCTCATTTTATTATTTTATTTAATCATTATTTCAATCAGTGTAAAAGAAATTAGATAAGTCATTTTGTAGAAATTCCTGAACATTTTATTCTTTATTATATTTTGTAAGTAGATCTAATTGAGTAAAAGTGCAAATTCTGAAATTATCAAATTTGATAATCTCTCCTAATAACAAAATCACAACCTAACTGGCTTTATATTTTAAGATTTGATTAAAAAAAATTTGCTCTGTTTCTAGTTTAGATGAAGTTTTTTTTTTGAAAAATACCCACTTACTTTCAAGTTCTTATATTATTGTCAATAACATGGCTTTTTAGGACTAGATCTGTTTCAAAATGATTAACACTGATACATACCCATACCTACATGTACATAATATGTTTTATTTAAATTGTAGAAGTTATATTATAACATGAGTTAACATGGAACTGGATCTGTTTGAAAATTATTTTGCAAAAGAAATTTTATCAATTCTGTATTTATTTTTATTAGGAGTCTTTATATGGGTTGATAGTAAATTTGTTTTGACTGTTCATTGCTATTTGAGTAAGTATGATATGTTGTCAGTGTTATTTAGGTTAAGTATGGAGGGAAATTTTGATTTTGTTTTGTATTTATGTTAATCATGACTAGTGCTGGTACTCTGTTGGTAACGTATCACGTTCATATAATTCATCATCCGTCTTTTGTTTACACCATGTACATTTCATTATTATTTTGTTGATTTTTCAAACTATGTCATAATATCAATAAATTATATTTACTGTAATGTTTGTTTTTGTTATTTGATATTGATAACAGCGTTGACACTTTGTGATCTTTCAATATAAATCATAATTTGATCCATTCAATTTAGCCACTTCTCTTTTACCAAGTGTAAATTATTCTTCATTAATTTCTACATACATAAAACACACAGTGAAATATATTTATACCAGTTATCTCTCTTATCTCTGATGTAAACAAATTGCTGTCAAAATGTTAAATGATGATGAAATAAGCAATACTTTATATTGATGTGAAATAAAGGAATAATAAGAGGGTCATGTGGTACTTACAAGCTCACCAGAGTCAATATACTATATGATCTTCAGCATGGATTTAGAGAAAGGTGATTGAGACATAGTTCATTGAACTAATTACCTTGTTAACAACTTTTCAAGTGGCTAACGTACATGACTTCTAAATATTTCAATAAAGTAGTATAAAAATCTTAAATACCGTGCAAGAACATGGTGTTTGTCCTCTAAACCTAAACTGGACACAGTCCTTCCTTATTGGCCGTAGAAAAACAACTGTCTTGGATGGTGATAGCTCATCTCGAGTGCCCCAAGGATCAGTACTAGGACCTCTGCTTCTTTCCCTATATCAACAAGGTATCTTCTTCTGTCCACATTATTTGCAGATGACACGACTTCTCATCAATTCCTCATCAGATCACCTGCCAATTTTCCAACACGGTCTAGACAACATGGTTTTGTGGGAGAAGCAGTGAGACATCGAGTTTAACTTTAACCCTTGAAAGTACTAAGTCATTCGTAGATTCAATAAACACCAATATACGCTCCAAGGCCAAGTCCTAGAAACGGATTGGTCTCTAATGCTAAATAAATTGGACTAGATCTGTCTGCTGACCTTAAATTTAATACACACATATATCTAGAATAACTTCAATGCAACAGATCCATTGACTTTATCAAAAGGAATGTAATTACACAAAACAACAACGAAAAATAGAGGACTAGCATACAAGTCCCTCGCCCCGCCACAAGTTGAATGTGCATAAACTTTCTGGTCTCCCTACACTTAAAACCAAGATTTACAATGTAGAATTTGTCTAGACTCGGTAAAAAGGGATTACTGCCCTCTCTCGAGTCTCACAACTGGACTGGCGGTCCCTTGAACATCGCAGACTGCATTGTAGGCTTATCAAGTTATATAAAATATACCATAGTTAAGTTGCAATTAATCTTCCCACAATATGTCCAAGTCCCACATAGGTTGACCAGACATATGTACCCTTTATCCCTACGTTCTCCGACTACCATACTTACTATTTCTTTGCTATGGAAAAAACTCCCTAGCTACATCGCCACCCTCTTATGGTAGTCCTAGGGTTGAAGTATTAGTCTTGCTCCCAGTGTTAACTATTTTATCATTTGTCTTTTTCTTACACTATTAACATTTCAACCATGACTAGAATACTTTTCCAGTCTCGTCTTTCCTGGCATGTTTACAATGTTTGAACTTACTTTCACCGTTTACTAACAATGCGACGCGCACTTATTATATTGTTCGCTAAGTGTGTGAGAGGCCTTGGTATCAATATTTGTCTGGTTTATATCAAAGACCATTGTGGTAAATGGTACTAGTACTTATTCTCTTGCTTGTCAGTCTGATGTAAGTATATGTTTGGAATATCCAGTCAGTATGTCGACTTTTGGTGGTGTTTTTGTAGTTTACTGGCTTCAATGATTTTAGGTGAAGCGCTAGTACAAGTTAAAACCGTCACCTATATAAACAAATACATTTTGTAGTTGACGATGACGGAAATGAAACTCCCACTCACATTAATGTCTCATGAAAATTCCTTAATGAATTAACTTCTATAACAAAACGTCGCCGTCACACGAAGTTCATTCACAATCTCGAGCCATTGATAGGTACAAGTATTTAAAGTGAAAGTGGAATGATGACGGTAATATAGACTGATAGTGCCGTGTACCTGAGAGGAGGAAATGAATTGATCACCAGATCTAATGACAATCAATTTATGATAGTACGTTTTCTTACATATTAAAAAACGTCACATGCTGGAATGTCAAAGTTTGTAATTGTACTGAAACAACAAACACTTTTTTGTTTACCTTTGAAACATTTATATATTCACGTTTACAAACGATGTTATAATGTATATAGATGCTGCTTTGATGGTGATCTTATGATTGACACTTCTGTCAAACAGATATAATGTCAGCAATATATTGATAGATCAGGTCTAAAATTAACCTATATCCCTGATATAGGGTAAACAAATTATAACACTTATTCAGCCAATCGTCAACAAAGTTAACCTTGGAGAACTTTCTTAAATTTGCTGATACCCATTCTAGGTGCAAAGGAATTAATAAAAACAAATTATGTTAATAATTCTGATATGGTTGCACAACCAGGTATATAAAGGTATAATACACTTTCTATAGCTAACTTTTGAATAATTCATTGACTGTATTTGGTTTGAATCAACAAGTGATCTTAGGGTCAGTGTCCTTTTTGAATTTAAAATATTGTATATTAATTAAAATATAGTTTACCGAGTCTTGCTGCTTGTGTTTTTTTTTCAAGAAAACTTTCATGGAAAATGTATGGTGGCATATTTCTGCCACCAGATAACCTGATAATTAACTAGTTAATTAAGAGGTTAACTAGTTACGTAACTAGTTAACCTCTTAATTAACTAGTTAATTATCAGGTTAACTAGTTACGTAACTAGTTAATTTTTTCCATAAAGAAAAGATCATAACGGGAAATAAATGCATGTTTGTGCCCGCAACTGCCATCCCTTATTGTCAGCTTAATATTAAGAGGTTAACTAGTTACGTAACTAGTTAACCTGATAATTAACTAGTTAATTAATAGGTTAACTAGTTACATAAATACTTAACTAGTTAACCTCTTAATTAACTAGTTAATTATCAGGTTAACTAGTTACGCAAATACCTAACTAGTTAACCTAATAATTAACTAGTTAATTATCAGGTTAACTAGTTACGTAACTAGTTAACCTAATAATTAACTAGTTAATTATCAGGTTAACTAGTTACGTAACTAGTTAACCTCTTAATTAACTAGTTAATTATCAGGTTAACTAGTTAGGTATTTGCGTAACTAGTTAACCTGATAATTAACTAGTTAATTAAGAGGTTAACTAGTTAAGTATTTATGTAACTAGTTAACCTATTAATTAACTAGTTAATTAAGAGGTTAACTAGTTACGTAACTAGTTAACCTCTTAATTTTAAGATGATAATATAATAAAAGGATGGCAGTTGCAGGCACTAACATGCATTTATTTCCCGTTATGATCTTTAATTTATTGAAAAAATTAACTAGTTACGTAACTAGTTAACCTGATAACTAACTAGTTAATTAAGAGGTTAACTAGTTACGTAACTAGTTAACCTCTTAATTAACTAGTTTGTTATCAGGTTATCTGTTGGCATAAATATGCCACCATAAAAATGTAATGAAACAAATCCTTTCTTAACATTGTAATTTGGATGATATTTCCCTTCCACAGGGATGTTGTGAGATAGCATGAGTTATCTAGTATCGTAACTATTATTTGCCGTGTATAAAGCATGTCTATATAGAACTTTATAGTTTTACTGCATGGTACTGATGTATTAAAACATATTGTAACACACGTGCATAATATAACTGCTCAATAACAAATCATAAGTATACAAATAAACAAAAAAGTCACCAACTTAGTTACTATGTTATCTGAATAGTAAGACTATGAAAAAATACAGCTGTAATTGTGAAAATTAATGACAATTTGCATATGTAATTGGTATTTCCAAAATTCTCAGGATTATTACTTTTGATTAGAGCACTTACCAGTCACAGCTTTAATATACCACCCAAAGTGCACTTTGATTTAAATGTGAATTGATTTTTGATAGTTGTCTTGCTATATTTAATTGTCTTTCTGATTTGTCATCCCTTTGAAGCATATTCCCTGTACAGAAAATTTCAGAGACACACGCTGAATTTTGTTAAAGAACAAATGCAGCAAAATTTACAACAAATACAATCTATTGGTATAGTTGAAAAGCATGCACTTTGATGTAAACGTTGTCAATGTAATTATTTTATGTAAAAATATCTAAAACCTGTTTATTGCAGAATTTGATTAAATAATATCCTTGGCAATGAAATGACGGTTTACTCGAGGAAAATGTTTGCCAGAAGTTGCAATTTTTTGCATCGCAAAGGTTCAACAATCAAAGGAATTTTATTTGAATATAACTATCATTGTACAATGCTATCTCTTTCTGTGATTCAAGTTTATTTCTTATGTTTAAGATAGTGAAACAGTGAATAGTACAACTTCTTGACTTTTTACTTTTTCCAAACATTTAAACTACGTACATTAAAACATAAAATGTTGTTATGCAATTCACAGTGTATAAACGCCTTCCTTTTTTCGCTATAAAGATAAAAGATAAATAGGCTTCCAAGATATATAGTGTAGGGACGTAACAAATAATAATAAACGCAGGACCTGAATGACACAGGCTTTGTTAAATTGGGACACAGGCATCTTCTTTGTGCCCTTCCATTTTCTCTACAGTCCAGTTTATAAGTGGATTTTCTCTTTACATCACTACTTTTCTGTTTGAAGACTTTGGTATGTGTTCTAAGTATTATAGACTGTAATTCTGTATTAATTATTTTGAAAAGGCAAACAGTCCTATATTCTTGCGTATAAGACCACTGTTTTTTTTGTTTGTTTTGTTTTAGTAGTTTTATTACACTTACATAGAATATGTGATTATCAAAAATATAATAAGTATTAAATGTTGAAATCATGCCCAGGATAACTTAATTAATTAATGACATTTTTGCCTTGAAATCATGCATGCAGCAGTAATTTCGAGGTGTTGTAAATCTATCAATATACACGTAAAACGCACTAAATTCCTTTCATCTGGTACACTGGTAATTATAAAATGTAACAAGACACAGAAAAACAAAACATAA